AGAAGAGGAGAAAAGAAACTAGAGAAAAAAAACTAAGTAGAAAAAACACTAGAGAAATAGAAGTAAAAACTAGAGTAAAAGAAACTAGAGAGAAAAAAAAACTAGAGAAAGAAAACTAAGTAGAAGAGGAGAAAAGAAACTAGAGAAAAAAAACTAAGTAGAAAAACACTAGAGAAATAGAAGTAAAAACTAGAGTAAAAGAAACTAGAGAGAAAAAAAACTAGAGAAAGAAAACTAAGTAGAAGAGGAGAAAAGAAACTAGAGAAAAAAAACTAAGTAGAAAAAACACTAGAGAAATAGAAGTAAAAACTAGAGTAAAAGAAACTAGAGAGAAAAAAAAACTAGAGAAAGAAAACTAAGTAGAAGAGGAGAAAAGAAACTAGAGAAAAAAAACTAAGTAGAAAAAACACTAGAGAAATAGAAGTAAAAACTAGAGTAAAAGAAACTAGAGAGAAAAAAACTAGAGAAAGAAAACTAAGTAGAAGAGGAGAAAAGAAACTAGAGAAAAAAAACTAAGTAGAAAAAAACTAGAGAAATAGAAGTAAAAACTAGAGTAAAAGAAACTAGAGAGAAAAAAAAACTAGAGAAAGAAAACTAAGTAGAAGAGGAGAAAAGAAACTAGAGAAAAAAAACTAAGTAGAAAAAACACTAGAGAAATAGAAGTAAAAACTAGAGTAAAAGAAACTAGAGAGAAAAAAAACTAGAGAAAGAAAACTAAGTAGAAGAGGAGAAAAGAAACTAGAGAAAAAAAACTAAGTAGAAAAAACACTAGAGAAATAGAAGTAAAAACTAGAGTAAAAGAAACTAGAGAGAAAAAAAAACTAGAGAAAGAAAACTAAGTAGAAGAGGAGAAAAGAAACTAGAGAAAAAAAACTAAGTAGAAAAAACACTAGAGAAATAGAAGTAAAAACTAGAGTAAAAGAAACTAGAGAGAAAAAAAAACTAGAGAAAGAAAACTAAGTAGAAGAGGAGAAAAGAAACTAGAGAAAAAAAACTAAGTAGAAAAAACACATAGAGAAATAGAAGTAAAAACTAGAGTAAAAGAAACTAGAGAGAAAAAAAAACTAGAGAAAGAAAACTAAGTAGAAGAAGGAGAAAAGAAACTAGAGAAAAAAAACTAAGTAGAAAAACACTAGAGAAATAGAAGTAAAAACTAGAGTAAAAGAAACTAGAGAGAAAAAAAAACTAGAGAAAGAAAACTAAGTAGAAGAGGAGAAAAGAAACTAGAGAAAAAAAACTAAGTAGAAAAAACACTAGAGAAATAGAAGTAAAAACTAGAGTAAAAGAAACTAGAGAGAAAAAAAAACTAGAGAAAGAAAACTAAGTAGAAGAGGAGAAAAGAAACTAGAGAAAAAAAACTAAGTAGAAAAAACACTAGAGAAATAGAAGTAAAAACTAGAGTAAAAGAAACTAGAGAGAAAAAAAAACTAGAGAAAGAAAACTAAGTAGAAGAGGAGAAAAGAAACTAGAGAAAAAAAACTAAGTAGAAAAACACTAGAGAAATAGAAGTAAAACTAGAGTAAAAGAAACTAGAGAGAAAAAAAAACTAGAGAAAGAAAACTAAGTAGAAGAGGAGAAAAGAAACTAGAGAAAAAAAACTAAGTAGAAAAAACACTAGAGAAATAGAAGTAAAAACTAGAGTAAAAGAAACTAGAGAGAAAAAAAAACTAGAGAAAGAAAACTAAGTAGAAGAGGAGAAAAGAAACTAGAGAAAAAAAACTAAGTAGAAAAAACACTAGAGAAATAGAAGTAAAAACTAGAGTAAAAGAAACTAGAGAGAAAAAAAACTAGAGAAAGAAAACTAAGTAGAAGAGGAGAAAAGAAACTAGAGAAAAAAACTAAGTAGAAAAAACACTAGAGAAATAGAAGTAAAAACTAGAGTAAAAAAACTAGAGAGAAAAAAAACTAGAGAAAGAAAACTAAGTAGAAGAGGAGAAAAGAAACTAGAGAAAAAAACTAAGTAGAAAAAACACTAGAGAAATAGAAGTAAAAACTAGAGTAAAAGAAACTAGAGAGAAAAAAAACTAGAGAAAGAAAACTAAGTAGAAGAGGAGAAAAGAAACTAGAGAAAAAAAACTAAGAGAAAAAAAAGTAGAAAAACACTAGAGAAATAGAAGTAAAAACTAGAGTAAAAGAAACTAGAGAGAAAAAAAACTAGAGAAAGAAAACTAAGTAGAAGAGGAGAAAAGAAACTAGAGAAAAAAAACTAAGTAGAAAAAACACTAGAGAAATAGAAGTAAAAACTAGAGTAAAAGAAACTAGAGAGAAAAAAAACTAGAGAAAGAAAACTAAGTAGAAGAGGAGAAAAGAAACTAGAGAAAAAAAACTAAGTAGAAAAAACACTAGAGAAATAGAAGTAAAAACTAGAGTAAAAGAAACTAGAGAGAAAAAAAAACTAGAGAAAGAAAACTAAGTAGAAGAGGAGAAAAGAAACTAGAGAAAAAAAACTAAGTAGAAAAACACTAGAGAAATAGAAGTAAAAACTAGAGTAAAAGAAACTAGAGAGAAAAAAAACTAGAGAAAGAAAACTAAGTAGAAGAGGAGAAAAGAAACTAGAGAAAAAAACTAAGTAGAAAAAACACTAGAGAAATAGAAGTAAAAACTAGAGTAAAAGAAACTAGAGAGAAAAAAAAACTAGAGAAAGAAACTAAGTAGAAGAGGAGAAAAGAAACTAGAGAAAAAAAACTAAGTAGAAAAACACTAGAGAAATAGAAGTAAAAAAGAGTAAAAGAAACTAGAGAGAAAAAAAACTAGAGAAAGAAAACTAAGTAGAAGAGGAGAAAAGAAACTAGAGAAAAAAAACTAAGTAGAAAAAACACTAGAGAAATAGAAGTAAAAACTAGAGTAAAAGAAACTAGAGAGAAAAAAAACTAGAGAAAGAAAACTAAGTAGAAGAGGAGAAAAGAAACTAGAGAAAAAAACTAAGTAGAAAAAACTAGAGAAATAGAAGTAAAAACTAGAGTAAAAGAACTAGAGAGAAAAAAAAACTAGAGAAAGAAAACTAAGTAGAAGAGGAGAAAAGAAACTAGAGAAAAAAACTAAGTAGAAAAACACTAGAGAATAGAAGTAAAAACTAGAGTAAAAGAAACTAGAGAGAAAAAAAAACTAGAGAAAGAAAACTAAGTAGAAGAGGAGAAAAGAAACTAGAGAAAAAAACTAAGTAGAAAAAACACTAGAGAAATAGAAGTAAAAACTAGAGTAAAAGAAACTAGAGAGAAAAAAAAACTAGAGAAAGAAAACTAAGTAGAAGAGGAGAAAAGAAACTAGAGAAAAAAAACTAAGTAGAAAACACTAGAGAAATAGAAGTAAAAACTAGAGTAAAAGAAACTAGAGAGAAAAAAAAACTAGAGAAAGAAAACTAAGTAGAAGAGGAGAAAAGAAACTAGAGAAAAAAACTAAGTAGAAAAAACACTAGAGAAATAGAAGTAAAAACTAGAGTAAAAGAAACTAGAGAGAAAAAAACTAGAGAAAGAAACTAAGTAGAAGAGGAGAAAAGAAACTAGAGAAAAAAAACTAAGTAGAAAAAACACTAGAGAAATAGAAGTAAAAACTAGAGTAAAAGAAACTAGAGAGAAAAAAAAACTAGAGAAAGAAAACTAAGTAGAAGAGGAGAAAAGAAACTAGAGAAAAAACTAAGTAGAAAAAACACTAGAGAAATAGAAGTAAAAACTAGAGTAAAAGAAACTAGAGAGAAAAAAAACTAGAGAAAGAAAACTAAGTAGAAGAGGAGAAAAGAAACTAGAGAAAAAAACTAAGTAGAAAAAACACTAGAGAAATAGAAGTAAAAATAGAGTAAAAGAAACTAGAGAGAAAAAAAAACTAGAGAAAGAAAACTAAGTAGAAGAGGAGAAAAGAAACTAGAGAAAAAAAACTAAGTAGAAAAAACACTAGAGAAATAGAAGTAAAAACTAGAGTAAAAGAAACTAGAGAGAAAAAAAACTAGAGAAAGAAAACTAAGTAGAAGAGGAGAAAAGAAACTAGAGAAAAAAAACTAAGTAGAAAAAACACTAGAGAAAGAAGTAAAAACTAGAGTAAAAGAAACTAGAGAGAAAAAAAAACTAGAGAAAGAAAACTAAGTAGAAGAGGAGAAAAGAAACTAGAGAAAAAAAACTAAGTAGAAAAAACACTAGAGAAATAGAAGTAAAAACTAGAGTAAAAGAAACTAGAGAGAGAAAAAAACTAGAGAAAGAAAACTAAGTAGAAGATAATACATAGAAGATAAATAGACATAAATAGAAGATAATACTAACAGGTTTTTTTTTCAATTTAGAAAAAATACTTAAAAATACTAAGAGGTTTAATTTAGAATCGTCAAGTCACACTGAAGAACTTGCAAAATAAAAACACTAACACCACCAGATGAAAAAGGTTTACTTCTTAAACTTTACAAAGAAAAAAGTTATCTTTATAAATTGAAGTTTTGAAAATTGTCACATAATTCATCACATTTCACACTAAAATATATGAATTAATGAATCTGGGTGCCTTTCAACTTTCTTCAACACTAAAGTAAAAAAAAGAATTTCATCAAAAAAATAATAAGAGAAAATATATTTAGAAAAAAAACTAACTAATACTAAGAAGAAATTAAAGAGAAAAGAAGTATAAGAAAAAGCCAAAGCAACTGCCAAAATCTTTTCAATTGTGAAAGCACAAGGAAAAACATGCAAAATCGAAACAAACACCACAAGACAAAAATCAAGTTTCTTCTTAAACTTTTCAATTCTTAAACTTTTCAAAAAACATTTAGAAGCAACTGCCAAAATCTTTTCAATTGTGAAAGCACACGGAAAAACATGCAAAATCGAAACAACAAACACCACAAGACAAAAATCAAGTTTCTTCTTAAACTTTTCAAAAAACATTTAGAAGCAACTGCCAAAATCTTTTCGATTGTGAAAGCACACAGAAAAACATGCAAAATCAAAACACTAACACCACCAGACAAAAAAGGTTTACTTCTTAAACTTTACAAAGAATAATTTCTCTTTATAAATCCAAGTTTTGAAAATTGTCACATAATTGATCACATTTCACACATGTTATCACACACTAAAATATATTAATTAATGAATCTAGGATAGGGCTAAAATAATTCAGGTTCTTCAGGGGTGCCTTTTAACTTTCTTCAACTTCATTCATTCTAAAGAGAAAAAGCATTTCATCAATCCTTTTAGGCAAAAAGTGGCAGCAAAGTTTGTATTTTCAACCTGACATCATTATTAAAAGATATTACTCATTATCTTACTTTAGTCATCTGTTTTATGCCAATTATATTTCAATGTTCCATTTCCAATGTTCATCTGACAGTAAAGTTCATATCGACAGCTCATGTTGCACTCTTGACCAAGGAAAATCTTGAATATAGATATATAAATAAGAAGACATGATTAATATAAAATTCCATTTTCAACTATCTTAATTATGGTTATACTTCATCCCTCAACATATAACTATGGTTGCTATATTTATTTAAAGACCACCACAGGAATTTATTACTGGTGACATATAGTGAGCATAGAAGCAATGTTAACTTAGTAATCTTAACAAAATTTGTGACTGCCTGAGGATTTTCCAAAAAAAAATCCTAGTTGCAGCAAATTCCCCCTTATACTAAATAACAAAATATATACCCGGGCAGTTGATGTGTATTACAAGGTCACTACAAGAATTTCAGCTGCAAGGCTAATATAACTTTTGAAGGAACAATCGAATTACCTTTACGCAGAAATCTTGTCATTTCCAATGTTCATCTGACAGTAAAGTTCATATCGACAGCTCATGTTGCACTCTTGACCAAGGAAAATCTTGAATATAGATATATAAATAAGAAGACATGATTAATATAAAATTCCATTTTCAACTATCTTAATTATGGTTATACTTCATCCCTCAACATATAACTATGGTTGCTATATTTATTTAAAGACCACCACAGGAATTTATTACTGGTGACATATAGTGAGCATAGAAGCAATGTTAACTTAGTAATCTTAACAAAATTTGTGACTGCCTGACGATTTTCCAAAAAAAGATCCTAGTTGCAGCAAATTCCCCCTTATACTAAATAACAAAATATATACCCGGGCAGTTGATATGTATTACAAGGTCACTACAAGAATTTCAGCTGCAAGGCTGATGTAACTTTTGAAGGAACAATCGAATTACCTTTGAGCAGAAATCTTGTCACTTCCAATGTTCATCTGACAGTAAAGTTCATATCTACAGCTCATGTTGCACTCTTGACCAAGGAAAATCTTGAATATAAGAAGACATTATTTAATATAAAATTGCATTTTCAACTATCTTAATTTTTGTTTAGTTTTAGCAAAAGGCACAAAAGACACAAGACACAACAGTAAAGTAAAATACTTAACTTTGACCAGACAGCACAACAATCTTGCTCAGAAAGGTCCGCGAACGGTCCACGTGTATGGGATCGCCATTTTGAATTCGGCGGCCGGGCGAGTCTTGAACTGATTTCTATTTTCTATTTCAACTGTTCTCTTGACGTTCGTCTTGATAACTGGCGGTTGAGATAAACGTTAATGACAAAATGTTCAGTTCTGCTTCAGTAGTCTATGGGTGTGGAAATTGCTCATGAAATAAATTTTCAGTAAAAAATTATCATCATTGCAGCCAGAATTAAGCTCGAAACTTTAGATAACCTTGTACGCAGAATATTTCATATTGTATATGGCTTTTTGTTATTTCTGGCCAGCAATTAGCAGAAGGCACACAAACATCAAAGTAAAATACTTAACTTTGACCAGACAGCACAACAATCTTGCTCAGAAAAGTCCGCGAACGGTCCACGTGGATGGGATCGCCATTTTGAATTCGGCGGCCGGGCGAGTCTTGAACTGATTTCTATTTTCTATTTCAACTGTTCTCTTGACGTTCGTCTTGATAACTGGCTGTTGAGATAAACGTTAATAACAAAATGTTCAGTTCTGCTACAGTCTATGGGTGCGGAAGTTGCTCATGACATAAATTTTCAGTACTAAAAAAATTATCATTGCAAGCAGAATTAAACTCGAAACTTTGTACGCAGAATATTTCATAACCTTGTACGCAGAATATTTCATATTGTATATGGCTTTTTGTTATTTCTGGCCAACAATTAGCAGAAGGCACACAAACATCAAAGTAAAATACTTAACTTTAACCAGACAGCACAACAATCTTGCTCAGAAAGGTCCGCGAACGGTCCACGTGCATGGTTTTCTTTGGCATCGCCATTTTGAATTTGGCCGGGCGAGTCTTCTATTTCATCTTTTTTCTCTTCACGTTCATCTTGACAACTAGCTGTTCAGATAAACCTATATACAACGAAAAAAAAGGGTTCGGCTCAGCTACACTGTACTCCTTAAGGAAGGCCTACGGCCTTCCCGTAGATTAGTGTAAAGGCCTACAAGTGGGAACTAGTCAACTAGCAGCGTGCGGGGGACCAAAACGCTCTAGGCAAACGGTCCCCCTACTGGGGTCGGACAAAGCAACCGCAGATTACGCATATAATCGCCGGAACCCACCTTTTAGTCAACGGCGAACTCCTTCTTCCTCGAACAACCTTCAATCTTGCTGAGCTTCGATCTTGCTGTCCACCTTCGATCGCCACCTAATTAAAGAAATTTTTTTTTAACGTTGAGATTACTTTTATAGGCGATAATTACCATGTGATCATAGCAGATCACGTGGTATGATAATGTACGACAACATGCCGATCAACTCCGAACATCATCGTGAGCGATGTTACTAAAAACGAATCGCTAAAAGCCTAGAAAAAAGTTGTCTTTTGAATTGTCGCTGTGTGCCGAATTCTTTGTATTTCTGATGTCAAACAATCCTATACTTTTTGGTATCATAAATATAAGCTCCTTTGTTTTAGAGACATACAACAGTTTTTTTAATATTTTAGCCAAAACATATAGCAGCAATTACCGATTCACTAAGTTCATTCTCATCTTGATTCACAAATTTTTAAAGGACTTGAATCGATTCCATGCGGTCTACAATAGCTGGGCGAACGTCTTACACCTAAAGTCAGTCAAAGATTGTTGTATCTCAATTCTTTAGCTTCAGTGATAAACAACATGAAGAAAAACATCACTTAATCACAGAAAACAACACAGATCAGTATACCATGAGAAACATTACAAGGCCTTTATGATCTCTTATAATAGTTACCTTGGCAAACATTTTGCAAGAAAACTCTCACAAAGTCCAGTTAAATGATAACACTAAATGACATGCCTCCGAATAGCTTTTGTTCTGCTCCGAGAAGGTCATCGTTGGCAGTTTCTTAGCATTTTGGTCAATTTTGATGACATTGTCAACTGTTCAGAAACTGTCTTAAAATGCTAAAAATGGCTTCCCAAGACTAATATCTTTCAGTTTAGAGCACATTTGGTTGGTTTTTGGAACAATGAAAAAGTGGTCAAAATTGGCCAAAATGGTAAGACTTACCCTTAGTGACTTAGTTTCAACTTCCGATCAGAAGGTATATAGCTCAGTGGCGCTAACCAATATTCTATGATGAGGCCGGGCCGAATCTGAGGCTAACTTCACATTGTTACTTGTTTGTGTTGTGAAATTGTAAAAAAATGTTTAAAAATGTACTGAGAAAAACGGCGATCCAACGTTTTTACAACGTTATCTTGCGGTTTTTTCGTTATTAAAATCTGCATGTTGAATACATACCATGGCTTTGTTGAAATCTGACAGCAGCAAGGAATTACAAATCGTTGACGAGTCTGGCCCAAAAACTACGAAGGAACATAAAAATGATAAAATACTCGATGAAGACTTGTATATAAAGGTTTACCATATTTTCTAACACAATTCTGCCTGTCTTTTTTTTAAACCCCTCCGAAAATCAATTGTTTCGTGTTTATATTTTGCTCTCATACGTTTTGTTTAGTCGATCGAGAATATTATCGAGAGGGATTTCTTTCCCAAAGTCACGAAACTAAAAGCTCAAAATCGGTACCTTGATGCGGTGAAAAGGGACGATGTCGAAACACTACGAGCGTTGTCCTCACAATATAACATCCTTCTCACTCCAGCTGGTGCCCCTCGTAAGTAGAGCGACACCTCTGTTCAATGCCAGACGATTGTCCTTGCCATAATTTAATCGGCACCAACTTTGTCAGCACCAACATCACATGAACCTAGCTACACTGTATCTGATGGTGCCTTCATATGTATATGTTCTATGCACTTGGCCACTTCTTGGGTAACAACAATTGAATGGTTAATTACAATAAATATTATTATACAATATCATTTCTCCCACAAATAGCGCCGACACCAGCAAGCTTTGAAAGACCACCAACCGGAAAACATTGGGAACCGACCGATGAACATCCTGGTAGTACGCCAGGTTCAACCTGGGACATGAATGAAGGAAAACAATTTGAACAACATGACAAAGACCAAACATCCAAAAACATTTCCCTTGATAAATTTCTCGCCAAGCACACAAGCGAGGATAATGCATCGTTTGAGAAGATTATGGAAAATACGCTGCAAAAGAACAAAGAGAAGCACGCCTGGCTTTATGAGAAGGAAAAAGAACATGCTCTGCTAGCACAACAGAGGCTTGCTCTCCCTGAGGGAAAGGAAGGCGACCAACTAAAGCTGGCTGAAAGGCCAGCAAATCTTGAAAATTGGGAGTACACTAATAAAAATGCTCTAATGTACATTCCTGAGTGTTCAACCTTGACTGCTGAGGAGTCCATAGCCAGGGAGAAATTGCAAGAACGAGAGATTAGACACAGTAACACAAGATTGACTGAGGATATTTTTAAGGAAAAGGCAACCGACGACTCGATGAGTAAAGCTGCGGAAAGTCAAGCTATGGGACAAAAAGGGAAAATTGGAGTGGATGGTAAAGAAATTGGTGGAAGTGAAACACCAAATGTGAAAGGTTTTCGATTTGTGGCTACCCCATCTCCTGCCCCAGGTAAGAAACCATGGAACCTTTCAGAAGTTTCCAACAGAGGCCAAGTAATGCACCAAAATTATCCCATGTCAGCCACTTTTGTGTTTATCTTAGAATTTCCTTTCCTAGGTGTAGATGCATCTCCATTGATGACGTGGGGAACCATCGAAGGAACTCCATTCCGATTGGATGCGGGCGATGTTGCCGTAGATTCAACCCCAGGTCCCACGTTTAAGATCCCTGCACCGAAACAGCGAGAGGTGCTGGCATTGAAGTTGGCAGATAAAGCAAGTAAAAGGCATCGCGAGGAGAGACGACAGGCACTTGCAGCATCAGCCTTTGGGAAGTATGTGCAATAAAATGAAATACCAGTAGTTGATCATTGTTTTTGAAATAGTACTCTTTTGAAATGAATCAAACTATATTTTCATCACATTGGCAATTATACCTTTGAAGATTTTGCTAAACAACTTGCATTTCACTTTTAGATCACCACGAAATAAAAATACTTCGGAAAGACTAAGCAATATGTCCCCAGCTGCCCAAAGGTTGGCCTCTGAGAGACTAGGTATTAGACTCGGAACCGACAAAGCATTGAGGTCAAGTTACTCACCTTCACCTCGACGTATCTCACAGGCAACACCAGACAGATCGCAAACACCATCATCGCGAAGGACACCATATATCACACCTGAGGCAAACAATACACCAAGAACACCATCGCTGACAGATAATTTACTAAATCTACCAAAACATTGATTGATGTATTATACAACATAAGTCTTATAACTCCAGGCACCACTCCAATCATTAGGCAAAAACTAATACATTTATTGTATTTTCCTGCGGTTTCATGTGTCCTAAAGCAAACTGAAGCAGTATTGAGTAAAGTAGAAATTTGCATTCCATCCTCATAACAAAATTTTGCTTTTGAAAAGTTTTCATGTATTATAAATCTTTCAACAAGTGAAATTTTGTTATGTGAATGGACTGCAAAGTTCTACTTTACTCAATATATTAGTTCTACTTTATAATTATATATAAACTAAAATTATACTCTTTCAAAGTGAAAATTATGGAACCCAATTTGAAAGGCTACCACATCAAAACTAACAAATTATCAATAAGTCCCAATCTGAATGGTCATATTGAATGTCAATATTATTTGTATACAATTAAATTCCCATGTGAATAAATGGTCACTCATCTCTTTCTGCAATCGCTCCATAAAAACTGGCTGTGAAACCGTCTGGTGAGACCAAAGGTCTTCTGTAGGATCCTCCGTTTTGAGAGAGTCTACGAAAAGAATTTCGCGTCCAGCCATAGACCAAGGAGTTGAAAAAACCTTGCATTGGAGTGAAAATACCCTGGAGAAGGAAAGAGCAATAGTGAATCAAAAGTGCCAGAAGGGGGTTTCACGCAAAGCATATTCCAATGTAGTTGAAATTTCATCTGATAAGTTATTGGACAGAATGAATGTGCAATGACACCGAGGACCATGAACATGTTTTTACCCCTAAACTTCTAGTAATGTATAGTGCTTTAGACTCCAGCATGGCTAGCACCAAACTTACTTCAAGTAAGAAGACAAAAAACCATTTCTTGAAATTGTAATTTTGGTCCTCTGTTGCCAAATCAATAAACGCCACAACGAATGCTGGAAGAGAAATGGCTGTTAGCAAGCAACTGATGAAGATGAATTTGAGGAAGTTTACCAGATCAGGCCAGCTAGGTCTCTTCTGGCATATGCTATTTCATAATCTATGCTCAAGCTAGTGATTTTACCTGGGAACCAGCAGATAAAGAACACAACAATATACAGCATCACACGCTTTTTGTTACTCTCAATCAATTCTCGTTGCTGGATGGACAAAAGGCCTGAACGCTTTATTACGCTAGTGAAAGTCTTCATTGCCAGAAAATACAGCACCTAAGAATAGTTAAAAGTTATGCAACCAACTGCTAAACTACAACATAATTTTGAATTGGAAAGCTATAAAACAAATTCAGTTGCATGGGCATTCACATCCTTAGCTTTATGTGGACATAGATTAACCTATCAGCTTGCAATGTACCCAAATGTGCCCAGTACCACCTTAATAGTACTTTACTCTGTCAAATTTCAGATAATTTCACTCATCAGTGGACTAGATTACTGACAGTTAACAAACCATATTTCTCTTGTTAACACATTAGCTTGCAATGTACACAAATATGGGTTACATTTTAGTACTTTACCCTGTTTAATGCCAGATGATTTTATTCATCAGTAGAAGAGTACTGCTGCAGTTAATTATACAATGATGATATATATGATATGTGGTTCAAGTAAACATCTTACCAACAACAACACAATAGATATACCAAGGGTAATAACCAACACAAGGGAACCATAATTTCTCCACGCATAATTATTGGTATTTGTCACCTCAACACCTTCCTAAAAAGTCAATGGAACCAAGATTACAAAGAGTATACATACCAGTACATTATGACAGCTGAGATTTCTGCTATCATATGGTATTACTTACCTCATACATCCGGGCTTTTGGTCTGTCAAACAGAAGAAGACATCTAGAAAAGTTTTAAATCAAATGATATTTATATTTGTTGACTGTATAATATATTTAAAGGCACATGCCCTTTCAAACTGTTTTTATTTCATCTCTGATCAAACGTACCTTGAACAATCCAGAAAATCATGATGCGAATAATATATCACCATTGGTAACATCAACAAAACAGGCCCAACCCTGCAGAATACAAGAGATAATTTGACAGCGAGTAGGTGAAAACATCCTCTAAAATCATATGTCAAACTCCATAAATTTTAGCACCCTAATTTCCAAACTTACCATGACAATATATACAGACCAAAGAACAGCTTTCGATAAAAAAACCCATGAGAACCCTGGAATGGATGATACCCGTTTGGTTAACTTATAAAATTATAGCGCTCTGGGAAAACTTTCAACTCCAATCAGATTACAGGCCAGGTACATTAATCAGCTTAATTTATAGCCATTAAGTTAGAACACTATACTGCTTACAGTGTCTCTTGTTCTCTGTTTAATACGAACAAAAACATGAGTTGCATAATTCACTGTCAAGAAGAAAGATGCGACATGGAAAATCTAGGAAAATATTAAAAGAAATGGTGTATATCCAAACTAATTCATTAGATGAACTACCAATATATGATACAACAAGCATCTGACATCACAATGTTGAGACACTTGACATTACATAAAAGCATACAACAAACCTCCGTGACAATTTCAAGATAGAAGCAACCATTTGCAGCTTCCACTGAGTCATTTCGCTTCACCCACCATAACAAGGTAGTGATGAACCATCCACAAGCAAGAAAAAAATCAGCGACAGATAGATGAAACAATGGATGAATCTAAAAAAGATATATTAAATAATTTCTATTGGATGTGATAACTTATTGTAGGGGCACATTATTTGAGATATTTATAAATACCATTGCAAAATAGGAATTAAACCAAACAACTAAAATTAACTTACTTCATAATTGCAAACAATTCTTTTCTTGCAAGCAAAGATAATAATAGACAACGCCCCTATGATACTAAATGTGTAGAAAGAATAGAAATTGCATGCATTAATATATATTACAACAAAGTGATGATGGCTGTTGAAGCATATAGTAGTGTTTGGGATCAATTTTTTTTATTAATACTACTTAGAAAACTAGCTTGGAAAACACAAAAATAATTAAATATATACCTTAGGAATGATGATACCATATATATCACAGCCAGGACTTTCAGCTGGATTAAAAGGTAAAATGTCATTAAAACTAGCATTGTACATAACTATATATGAGTATATGCCTACAATACTGCATGTGAGCTATGTAATGTTGAACGGTTGAACTTGAACCTTGGCAAATAAATCCTTTTTATTCCAATCATATTAAACTGTTTATATACTGGATGTAAAATTGTCTGGTATAGGTACTAGGGTATTACTGTGTTTGAACAAATATCTTGCTGTGACCATTGACAGCTGTGTAATTGAGTTACCAATATAATAATTAGAAGCTGAAAACAATCTGTGGCGCAAATATACCAGCTTGTTACAAGACTGGACCTGATTTGCAAATCACCATACACTTTTAGAACAGACTTGCTTTCATACACTGGCTTGCATTTTGCAAGGGGGATTTGCGAAAGAATACAACATCGTCAGTGACACTGCGACTATGCAAAAACAATAAATCAAACTGGTGTGTCAAAAAACAAAATACAATTACCATATCGGGAGAAGAATTGCTGGGTTTAACACACAACGCAGGGTTCACATCCACGGGTGATGACCCACTTGAATTTTGAAATGCCATAAGTAAGTTGTCACCGCGAGAGAAGCTACTCTTCTTGTTTTCAATTCAAGCGATCCTCATCAAAACGTTTCCTTGACAGCTTCCGAAAGAAGAACACCAGCAAGCACACTTTTATACACTTTCAAGCATTTTCGTTTCGTTTTCACGGGCGAGTACACTGATTTTATAAAAAAATCAATATGCTGCAAGTTCAACTTGAATGTGTGCAAACAAAATTTACATAAAATACAAAGACTGTTTAGATATCACACATTGGGATGCTTTGTATTATAGAGTCATTAAAGTTGTTCAAAGTCCACGTCACTTCAGGTTGCAAACCTCGAAACATTAAATGAAACACTTTAAACAGCTTTTCTTGAAATACGTCTTCCAAAAATTACCGTAATTTTGCAGGTATCAAATTCCTAGAACAATATCATGTAATATTTTGATATGCCATGGCACGTGATATGATAGTATCTGTGTATATGCATATGAATGTTTGGTATTGGCGTCGTACGGTATATAATATGGCGGTCCAAAACAATGGAGGCTTAATAATGTCATTTTCCAAAAGAATCAATTAGATTGTAGCCATTAAATCGAGAATCAACTACAGGAATTCTTGCCCGTTTTTAAAAATGCTATCTATCTGTGGATTTTCTCGTATTTTAAATAGCTTGCTAAAATCAAGGGGTTGCAGTACAGCAATCAATCAATTTGTACCTAAAGTTGACAAACGTCTGGACAACGATGTTTTGATGCAGTTAAGAGATTTTGTGGAAAGGAGTCGACGTTTGTTTGTGTTGACTGGTGCTGGAATATCAACTGAATCTGGCATAAGGGACTATAGGTCTGAAGGTGTTGGCTTATATGCTGTCAGTAAAAACAGGCCAATAGAACACCAGGAATTTGTTACAAGTGCTAGCAGAAGGCAGAGATACTGGGCTCGAAACTATGTCGGCTGGCCAACATTTTCAACACATCAACCGAACCAGGGTCATCGTGTTCTGGCAGAACTTGAAAGGGTAGGAAAGTTACATTGGCTTGTGACACAAAATGTTGATTGGTTGCACTTAAAAGCTGGGTCAAAACGGTTGACAGAGTTGCATGGTGCAACAAACAGGTATATATTCAGCTCTTTTAACGTTGCTGATTGATTTCGATAACCAAACATCTGGATTTTTTAAGAAGCACACAGACTAAAGTGAGGCAGTTGCATGATGTATGATTAGGATTGCCTTGGAAATGCAAAGGATAAAGTACATGATTTGTGATGTAATTTTGCAATTCATATTTCTAGAGTTATCTGTTTGATGTGTGGAAGCAAAAGCCGAAGGGAAGACCTTCAAGTTGAAATGAAAAAACTAAATCCTAATTTCCATGTTTCGCCTGACATTGTCGGACCGGATGGTGATGTCTTCCTTAGTGATGACCTTGTTCAAAATTTCAAAGTCCCTGACTGTCAGAATTGTGGTGGGTTACTCAAGCCAGACGTGGTGTTCTTTGGTGGTAGCGTCCCACATGACAAAGTCTCATTTGTGCGTGAAAGACTTAAGGAGTCTGATGCTGTCTTAACACTAGGGTCTAGTCTTCAAGTATACTCGGCATACAGGTTTATAGTTGCAGCGCATGAGCAAAAAATCCCATTAGCCATTGTCAATATTGGTCCGACCAGAGCTGATGGATTAGCAAATCTAAGAGTTCATTGTAGAATAGGAGAAATTGCTAGCATCTTAAATGAATTTGTTGTGTAAAGAACTTGTAACATACCTATGTTTATAACTAACTATTAATATTAACTGAGTCAAATTTATGTGGTTTTAAATGCATTTGATTTTTGCCAAAAAAACCAGCATTTTTTAGTTGATTTTGACTACTGGAGTAAAGTAAGTATCAAGACTCTTGCACACAAGACAGGCCCAAATGTTCGATTACTTTTCCTTTTGAATTCCCACACAACAGTGACCCGCATAATGTAGTATACACTGACTGAATTTTGAAATCTTGGCTCATTAGAGAAGAGTTTAAATTTCGCACGAACTGATAAAAGGTAGGACGCGATTCGACTTTTTTGCGGTGAATTGTTTCGCAAATATTTTCCGACCATGTCTCTCGACTTCATTCATGTTTCCTTCTGTAGTAACAATTGATCAATAAGAGGTAATCTTTTGAAAATATTTGTGATTGCCTTCAGTCATTGTCTTCCTGGGCTTGGCGTATTCTTCCTGACATATCATTAATCTATGCAGCATATCATCAAACTATTAAAAATCTTCACCTGCTGTTCATTTCAAATGTTTAATGTTCCATGTTTCATTATTCCTTCGGATAAATCGAAATTCCATTATTATAGTATTCATTAGAATGTGTTTTCTGTACTGCGGTTTCTTCTTTATTAACCAATAGAGTAGAAACCTCCAAGGAACTATTTCTCTCATTAAACATGCCTTAATTTTATACAGGTTGTAAGTTGCAACCACGCAATTTTGTATCAAAATTAAACTAAACTAAATTTATTTATACTGGATAGCTCTATCAGTTCTAAACTGTTCTTCCTAGAGGTCCAGTAAGGATCATCTCTTATTGATCCAGTGTTACTACAGGAGGAAACCTAAACTCAGTGGAAGTGAAGTCTATTTGGAGCACTCGATCAGATGGGAATAATCACGCCATATAGACACATTGTACAGTCAGTTACCAAGTGCTGAGATTTGATAAATTTTGAAATTTACCTCTATCGAGAAAAAAGAAAGAGGTTTAGTTTAGGTTTCCTCCTGTAGTAACACTGGATCAATAAGAGATGATCCTTACTGGACCTCTAGGAAGAACAGTTTAGAACTGATAGAGCTATCCAGTATAAATAAAGTTAGTTTAGTTTAGGTTTTTTCCTGTAGTAACACTGGATCAACAAGAGATGATCTTTACTGGACCTCTAGGAAGAACAGTTTAGAACTGATAAAGCGATCTAATGTAAAGTTAGTTTAGTTTAGGTTCCTATTAGGAGTTCCTAGGAGTTACTATTGTTGTGTATTTTAGGTTCCTCCTGGTAAAGATATGATTCTTATAGTGGCCATTTATAATAGTTTGTTTAGATCTAGGGTTTAATTAAAAAAACTGAGACAGTGTGACAGAGCTGGTGACCGCGATGAAAATTAGTAGATGGCAATGTATAAAGCAATTGATGTAATTACAGGTGACAATAATGAAGTGTCCCGACTTAAAATGAAAATGCCCCGGGGTAATTTGTGTGAATAAAATGCAGGAAACGTTAAGCTAGATGTGGCAAGATCCAGGCATTTATTCCTTAAACAGAATTTTGATTCATTTCAAAATTCGCTCACCACAATGATTTGTATGAGCTAGCCGCGCGCATAAATGCAGACAGACATCTTGACGAAAGGTCATCTATGCAAGGCACTGACTGCCACTGTTCAAGAAATCATTAATTTCCGTTTACAAAAAGTTTACCTGCGTTAACCGGCAATTTTTCCTCCAACCCGAGTCGACGTTTTGACAGTTTGTTTGCTCAAAATATATTAGGACATTAGACTTCAGCCCGTGAAACAATGGCGCCTTAATTTTTTATGAAATGCAAAATTGCATGCACATGTTCGTGAGACGATGCAGCATGATGGAAATGCTATATTATAAAATAGAAATGAATGAAACAAATTAAACGGTGTGCATATATTAATACCTCCTTAGGGCTATTGTGTATACGTAAAAATTCAAAGGATTCGGCAGCTTGTTGGAAAAGTTGGCGTCTGTTTTTGTGTATAAATATTTGCATGTTTAACTGACAATGTGGCATCGATGCGAAAAACAATTTGTAAACGCCTGACATTTACTGTGTTTGGTTAACCGATTTCCAAAACCTATAAAACGGCATCGACTTGTTCATCTTACAATTAAAAGAGAACATCTCGTACTCAAAGACATCATTTCATAGGGTTTTTTTTGTCTCGAAAAAAAAAGAAACATGAAGACGTATATCTTTGCTTTTTTCGTTCTTGCGGTAGGCTTACTTGTGTTTTCACAAGAGTCCGAAGCGTATTCTGCTGGTACTGGGAGATTTGGCGACGAATATAAAGTAAGCGTACTAGTCTGAACTGATTTTATAACATTAGCGAAACTTCAGTGTGGATTATATAGGCGTTCTTGGGCGTGCGTCGACCATTCATTGCAAAATCTTTCATTTTGAAAGGGCGTGATTTGGCCGAAGAATTGTAATTGTTAATTTGAACGCGAGAGAGAAAGCCTCCTAAAAGGGTCGTGAATGCGTTGCTATTTTTATCTTTTAAATAATTCGCTGTATGTTATCAATATAAGGACTATGATATCAACTATACCCAGTGCAAAAGAAATTAGGTTTTTCTGCAAAGACACTCGAACAAAAAGAGATGATCTTTTCTGGACCTGAAGAAGGAACAGTTTAGAACTGATATAGAGCTATTCAGTATAAGTAAAGATAGTTTAGGTTTCTTCCTGTAGTAACACTGGATCAATAAGAGATGATTCTTACTAGACCTCTAGGAAGAACAATTTAGAACTGATAGAGCTATCCAGAAAAAATAAAGTTAGTCTAGTTTAGGTTTCCTCCTGTAGTAACACTGGATCAAAAGAGATGAGCGTTACTGGACCTCTAGGAAAAAAAGTTTAGAACTGATAGAGCTATCCAGTATAAATAAAGTTAGTTTAGTTTAGGTTTCCTCCTGTTAGGTTTCCTTGCTATTATCTACTTCAACTTGAATATTGCATATTTGTTATTTGGTATAGTACTGCATATACCCAGAGCTTTTTCGCTGCGCTCTACAACTCTACGCAAACCAGAAAAATCATTGAAACATGGCTAAGCCTATCATGACAACCACTCATTCATATTATTGTCTATTTCTTAGTCAAAGAGAACCTCGAACAGGCAAGAAAATCCACGTCTGAAAAATGTTCTTTATCCACGAGAAGCTGGGGCATTAAGATGGGAAGAGAATTATGAAGACGCACTGGTGTAACATTATTATGATTGGGACTGCGATATGGATGACAAATAATCAAGATAATAGTAATAATAGATCAAGATAATCAAGATAATCAACGAAACTATGGCTTCAAAACATTTTCATGTCCAGATTCGATCATGATGAGTTCGATAGAGTCTGGACACAAGTTTAAACATATACATAATCTTACAAGTTTAGGATTGTTAAAATTTTTAGTTGATATAAATGAATATTAAAAATATATTGTTTTGGGGAAAGTTGAACTGATAATTCATATAATTTAAATCAAATAACGGGCAGGCGGGCAGGCATTCTTTCTGTATGGGTTGCGTTTGACAAATTCGAATTTGATGTCAAACTAAATGATTATATTCTATCCATCAGTAACATTCAAATTATAAATCAGATGTGAATGCTATCAACCATTTTTCTGGTCCCCAGGCTTTGCGATACTACGCCGCTGCGTGGCCGTCGCGCGTGTATGGATCTCTCTGATCTAATAACGTGACCTGCAGACTTGATATGCGTGGATTGTGCCACCTGGCCGGCTTTATTAAAACATCACAGCGATGATTACAAGCAGCGCTTAAATTCGTTTTGTCTAGAAAAATCATTTATCACTTCCCAACGCTTCATTAAATCGCAGTCAAAACATATTTATTGCTCAAACTCTTTGCCAAAACATCTAATCTATGTTTGTGTAACACAAAAAGTCATAATTCCGTTGAAAATACTTTATCATTGGCACAAACAGATTACTTCAGCGAAGGAATACGCCTTTTACTTTAACTTGTGTCGCATGTAAAGCTACCTAATTCATATAAAATATTTAACTTATCTACTACTTTCAGATAATCCCAAATTTTATATCCTCAAAATCTTGTCAGGAGCTTTTGTTAGGAAATCTTGTGGAACAAGTTATTATACGCAGGTAATGAGCAAATAGATGCATGCATGTTACTTGATATTTTGTTTTGTCTCAATGAAAATGTCTGCGTTAAAAGCTTTGTTAAGTTTTATATTTTGCACCTGTTAGCAAGAAACTCACAAACTCACTAAAAACATTTGTCTGAACTACCTGAGAAAGATATCTCAAACGTGATGGACCAATAATAATAATATTTAAAATTTATATAGCGCAAAATACATATGTATATGATCTAATGCGCTTGTAGGTAGTATTCTACAATAAGCTGTCATGGTTTGTGTCTGAACTACCTGAGAAAGATCTCTCAAACGTGGTTGTCCAGTGTATAAGTAGTATTCTACAATAAGCCGTCGTGGTTTGTGTCTGAACTACCTGAAAAAGATATCTCAAACGTGATGGTTTAATATAGGTAGTATTCTACAATATAAGTTGTCGTGGTTTGTGTCTGAACTACCTGAAAAGGATATCTTAAAATTTTCAGTTCAAAAAAACACCTCCTTTTCTATAAATTCACGCGTAGGTGAAACACAGTGTCTACATTGAAAGCTCACTTGATTTCACCAACCCCTCACCCTCATTCAGGACAATAGACGCAAATTTCTAATGATTGCAAAGCAACACTTCATTAAAGTGCATCAATAAATACAATATATTAAAGACATCAAATTGATAAAACATATCAAGTCAAAAGAGACGGTTACGCACGCCTATGACAGTTAAGTTAAAACTTGGCATAAACAAGCGAAAATATCGTATGCTATACATGCATGAACAATATTTTTTCACGATAACTTCGAAGAAAATCATTTCGGATGATTTAATAAAACTTATAGATCCAATCTTTGAACAGGTAGATATTGAAACCAGACGCTGACGATTCTAATCAAAAGTCTTTCTGCAAAAGTTATTTTAGGCAAAATACACACTGATCTTCATTTGAGGATTTGTATATTTATATTGACAAAATGAAATGACTTTTCCAATATTACCTGAGATACATAACACAACAAAGCCTAATTTGTATTTACTAACATAGCTTTTCATAAAATGACCTCTCCCACGTATCATATTCTATATTATCTAGATTCAAAATCATCCTCAGAAAGATACTAAGCATGCAATATATGTTATTATAAGGTTAGGTTATCAGCGATTTCGTATTGTCTCACAAACTTATCGTATACAATTTAGAACCGTTTTACCATCCAAGGCATTGATCAACAGATTGTTTCACCGCTTCTAATTAATTCAGATAAATTTACAATCTGCATGGCCGGCGGCGTTCACCTAATAAAGGGGCGATGGGGCACCTTGTGTGAAACAGAACCCCATGAGAGGACAGTTGATCTGCTATAGAGTCAGCATAAATAAAGTTAGTTTAATTAAGTTTTCTTTCTATAGTAACACTTGGATCAATAAGAGATGATCCTTACTGGACCACTAGGAAGAACAGTTTAGAACTGATGGAGCTATCCAGTATAAATAAAGTTAGTTTAGTTTAGGTTTCCTCCTGTAGTAACACTGGATCAATAAGAGATGATCCTTACTGGACCTCTAGGAAGAACAGTTTAGAACTGATGGAGCTATCCAGTATAAATAAAGTTAGTTTAGTTTAGGTTTCCTCCTATAGTAACACTGGATCAATAAGAGATGATCCTTACTGGACCTCTAGGAAGAACAGTTTAGAACTGATGGAGCTATCCAGTATAAATAAAGTTAGTTTAGTTTAGGTTTCCTCCTGTAGTAACACTGGATCAATAAGAGATGATCCTTATTGGACCTCTAGGAAGAACAGTTTAGAACTGATAGAGCTATCCAGTATATATATATGTTAATTTAGTTCTTTCTCTATAAGAACGTCAAACATGATTAAAAACGTTAAAATTTCAAAAATCTTCCATAGAAATCGTTTCTCAAGGAAGAACAATTTAGAATTGATTGATCTGTCCTGAATAAAAAATTAAGCTTAGTTTATGTTCCCTCTCATAAGTATAACAATGAAAAATATCGCTAAAGTGACAATCAGTTAAGGGGCAAAAGTAGTGACAGTTGTGTTTAATGAAATGCTTTCCCAAGGTTCGCCACCTGCATTCGTGTCGGAAAAATCATTGTTTGCGTTTTTGTAAATATCCTGGAATGGCAAAGGCGAGTTAAAATATTGAAAAGGGTTATTGATCTATAGTGTTACTACGTGAGGAAACCTAAACTAAACTAACTTTATTTATACTCGATAGCTCTATCAGTTCTAAACTGTTCTTTCTAGAGGACCAGTAAGGATCATCTCTTATTGATCCAGTGTTGCTACAGGAGGAAACCTAAACTAAACCAACTTTATTTATACTGGATAGCTCTATCAGTTCTAAACTCTTCTTCCTAAAGGTCCAGTAAGGATCATCTCTTATTGATCCAGTGTTGCTACAGGAGGAAACCTAAACTAAACCAACTTTATTTATACTGGATAGCTCTATCAGTTCTAAACTCTTCTTCCTAAAGGTCCAGTAAGGATCATCTCTTATTGATCCAGTGTCACTATAAAGGAGAAAACCTAAACTAAACTAACTTTATTTATAGTGGATAGCTCTATCAGTTCTATCAGTTATTCCTAAAGCAAAGGTCAAAGTAAGGTTCACCACGCATTGATCCGGATTTGAACAAAATGCTCCCACTTAAACTAAATATTTTTTAAAACGCGCTATATGCCAAGGAAAAAATTAAAAGTTGCATATCTCTAATAACTCTACCCACTCTTACAATATATTTACTTTAGTGAACCACTTCAAATCTAAAATATTAATGAAAATGAGGTGTAAAATTAATAAAAACGATCCTGTATATTAGATGAACAAACACACTCATTAAGATATGTTGCTAATGGCATTGTTTACTCAGTGGTTATTAACATAAATCGACTATAAAACGGCTCTGCTGTGCAGTTTTTGCCATTGAAAAGTGTGTCTAGTCTTTGCTGAAGTATTCCGAGAGGTTAAAACGAAGAATTCAAGATGAAAAGTGCTGTTTTCCTGATGGTTTTTGCTGTCCTTTTGGCGACGAGCCTCATCCACGAAAGTGAAGCGTTTGCTGCTGGCGGTGGAGCATTTGGGAAAAAGCGAAATTTGATTGAGGTAAAAATGTACTAAAATGTTCAAAATTGCTTTCTCACGAAAAAGAATTAACAGGAAATATATTTACGAGTTCTTTTTTCCCCCGACAAAGTATTTATATACGTTAAGCTCACGTTAAGCTTTCAAAAACATTTCAAATATTGAAAATACACCAAAGCAAATTAAAAACCTTTTTGGTATTTCAACATGTTTGCAGTTTGACATTCTATTTCGCTTGACAAAACACAAGGAAAATGATCTTTTAGTCGACCGAATAACAAGCTGCGTTAAATATTCCTGCGGGCCGTAGGTGTGGAATCACTCCCTGGCCAAAATGACTAAATTTCGACAGCATGAGCATCTCATATTTCATCGTATGCAATTCACCTCATCGAGATTGTTGTCTTACGACAAATATGGAAACTTTATTTGCATCAAACGGATGTCGAAACACCTCGTGCACGGATTTTTCATACATAAAACGATTTAAATAGGCAATGTTAAAATCCGTTGATGAAAATTTGAGAAACCCTTCGTGAGTTTATTGTAGGACACAGCGAGACGTCATCATGTCTACAATTCGACTTGCTACGATTCTAATCGTCTTTGTGGTAAAATTGTTTTGCTCTTTTACACCGTGTCCGCATGTCTCTCGTATATTAAAAATAAATAATTAAAATGATATAGGCGACTGGATTGCAGCAACTTTAGAAGACCATAAAACAAATGTGTAATTTCTTTCTTAATTATAAAGTTTAATCTGAGCGAAGGTCATTTTATTTATACTGCGTAGCTCTATCAGTTCCAACTTTTCTACCTATAGAAGTTCGGTAGGGATCATCTATTAATGATTCAGCATTACTACAGGTAGAAATCTAAACTAAACTAACTCTATTTATACTGGATAGCTCTATCAGTTCTAAACTGTTCTTCCTAGAGGTCCAGTATAAGGATCATCTCTTTTTGATCAAGTGTTAAATTAACTTTATTTATACTGGATAGTTCTAGAGGTCCAGACCTCCTAGAGGTCCAGTAAAAAAATAATCTCTTTTTGACCGAGTGTTACAACAGGAGGAAACCTAAACTAAACTAACTTTATACTAGATATAGCTCTATCAGTTCTAAACTGTTCTTCCTAGAGGTCATGCAAGGATCATCTCTTATTGATCCAGTGTTACTACACGAGGAAACCTAAACTATCTTTACTGATATACTGGATAGCTCTATCGGTTCTTAACTGTTGAATAAAGTTCGCAGGGACTAGTTTTTAGAAACGTGGTAATCAATATTTTACTAAAGTTTCGGTAACATTAATGGGGTGACATTACTCTTTGAACAGCTGAAAATTCGCCTAAATCTATATTTAATTTGACTCTTCATTATCACCGCCGGAAATTAAAACAACCCGGAAACAAATATATATACGTTTTAGATTAAGCATCTTGCAATATTAAAAACATCACATCAATAGTCGCTGTATTCAATATTCATATAAACATTCAAATATTTATTTATGCGAGGAAAACTAGCAGACTGTTTTCGAAAAAGTGTGTACACACAAAGACCGTGAAATAATTAATCTTGGATGGCGATTAACATTCTGTCGGCCGTTTTTAGGCAGAGTTACTTTAATTTCAGTTCATTAGAGAACTTTTAATTGCAAAGGAAGCAAAGTCTGATAATATACTGATATAAAGTTTCTTATATCGCAAAAGTATACAAATACAGATAACGATTTTTCTTTTCCGAAACACAAAATCAAAGTGATTCGTGATTACGGCAAGCAGGTGCTTTCTTTATGAAGTCGAACGTATAGCGACAAAGAAAAATCGTTGAAAACATTTGACAAGATTATTCGTATCTCCGGAAGGATTATGGATTCATAGTTAAAATTAAGCATATCTATGTTTACGTGAACGTATTTTATCCATATATAGTTTTCACAAAATACAAACACATGCCCAGTTTAAATTGTAAGTTTTTTTTTTAAAACATTGGCTTACTCAGAGGTTTACATGCAGGCAGGCAGGAAGAGTTCATCTCTTGTCGATCCAGTAAAAATACCTGAACTAAACTAAGCTTTTTCACTGGATAGCTCTACAGCTCCAAATTGTTCCTTCATCAAATCACGCATCTAGGTGTTTTCAAAACACCGCCTTCTGGACGATGTATTTCAGCTTATACTATCCTTTGATGCACCGGCTTACAAAAGATGCTGAACTCGTAGGTGGCGCGGTAACATAATATCAGTGCGTGGATTATTAAATTCTAATTTCCAAATCGTATTTTTTTATTAACAGAGGTCCGGCGCAGATGACGGCCTTCGCGAGTTGTGTGAAATGGCAAGTGGGGTATGCCGAAAATACTTGTTGAAGAAAAAGAGAAACGAATAGAGAAGACGACAAGTTTGCCTGAACTAGTTTAAAATATTCTATAATTTAAAAAAGCTCGATTGTTGGAAAGCGAATGTGGAGCGAAATGAAATATTGTAAATTATAAAATAATTTATTGTGTAATGAAAATAAAAATGTATGCCTTAAAAATGCTACAGATGAATATTTTCTTATTGCGAAAAGAGCATGTTGATATCTATCGACAGGTCGCCATCTTTTAAGCTTTTAGTGAATCGTGCCTTTGTTGGCAAAATAGGACGTCATGTGTGAAACAAAGCTCCCCAAAAGAAAGCCAGTTTTTAATACACTGATATGATAAACAAACACTTTACAATTATCTTTTTTAGGGATTAAAAATTTGCAAAAAACCGCTATCGGCTTCTAAAATTTAGAAGCCGGCTCTGTTTAAAGAATTACGTGAACAGATATACACGAATATCTCACGCGCATGCTCAAATAAGCATCCAAATCATCGTATTATCAGTCAACAGCGGGAGACATTCCTTCCGTCTTATTGTTAAAACGCTATATTAGGCACTTTACTACTTTGTAGTTGTTACCCCCCCCCTGCTCATACATATATACATAGTGGTACGCACATTTTTCCGGCGGGGAATACATCATAAAACGCAACATTTTTCACATAACTATTTTAACACGGTAAAAAGAGTACCTTGGGTTTATTTGAACATCTTTCTGAAGTCGTCGTTACTTAGTGCTGGTTTGGGATTTTCCTCCTCGTTTGGCGATGGCTGAGATGTGTCCACGTGAGGTGCTTTCTTCAGGGCCCTGGGTACAAATTGTACCTGGGTCCGAGCTCGGCCAGGTCTGCTGTAACAACACCAAATAAGGAAATGACTGATTTATACTGGATAGCTTTATCAGTTCTAAACTGTTCCAGTAAGGATCATCTCTTATTGATCCAGTGTTGAAAGATCTGTACCAATCTTTGACTATGGTAGAGTCAAACTGGAAACACTCTTCTCACAGGTGACTGAGGTGAAATTAAAATCAGACAACTGCATATTACAGGAATCAAACCTCAGTTACAGAGATGAAAGACACATGTTCTAACCACTGTGTTTGGTAGAGTCAAACTGGAAGCACTCTTCTCACATGAGATCAAATTATAATCAGCCACAAAGATGTATACGAAACACTATGTAACAACGAATCTATAATGATATTGACTATTTACCTTCCTTCAGGGCGAAATACTCGGCTTTCGTGTTCTTGTCGTTGTTTTTTCGGAGGATTAGAAAGCGCGACATTAATGACGCGATTGTTAAGCGTGGATTGATCTTGTTTCAGAACTGCGGCGGCGGCACCCGCCTAAAAAAAGACAAAATTGTCAAAGGGCATCCTCTCCACGTAAATGACATCATCTACTTCCACGATATCTCACCTCATCCTCGTATTCGACGTAAGCATAGCCTTTAGACTTGCCTGACCGGTTGGTAACCAGTCGAACTTGTTTCACCTTGCCATGCTAAAAAAACACGATACCATGAAATCTCCTGGAAAAAAAAAAACAAAATCAGTGTTCAACTCCCAAACAAGGTTTGGTAACACATTCTCATGTGATACACCTCCCTTCCCCCCGTCCGCCCCTCATCGTTCGTTGCAGGCAATCAATTTTTCAAATTGATACATGAAAAATTGATACATACCACTTTAAAGACATCCTCAATTTCGGAGCTCTTCAACTCAAAAGGAAGATTGGTGACGAAGACTGTACACTTATCCAGCGAGGTTGGGAACTACAGGGACATCAACATGAAGAAATATAACATTTGCGCAATCGAGCCGCTGTGCTAAACGATTACAGTAAAAGGTGGTATCTGGTGCCCGCACACACCTGAAACTTTTGGCCAACTCTTGTTTTTGTACTCACCCTGAAAGTCGTTGGATTCTGAGTTTTGTCCACGCACGGAGACACAAACATGGGCCTTCCACATAATTCCTGTCTGTCAATAGCCAAAGCAGCCGAGATTGAACTCTATATTGAATAATTGTAAGCATACTTTACTTCAAGATAGCTTCCAATTGATCGTGTGAACGGGTCTGATATACCCACATCGCATTTTTACACCCACCTGATTTTTAAATTCGACATAAGCATAACCTTTGGATTTTCCCTGCAGGTTTCGAACCAAACGTATCTCGTTAATTTCTCCCAGCTTCGAAAAAGAAGAAATAAAAATGTTTAACGGAGTTCGTCATGTGAAGATCTGCATTTTGTCTGACGGTTTACAATGACGACGTTCCTGAGTTTACAGTTGAAAATGTGCATTGGTAATCCCAAGTTGAAATGTTTTGCAGCAAGTATCACGATATACAACTCAGTGTTATTAGTTTCCTTTGAATATTTCTACCAAATACTTTGAAACTTAGGATGCAAATTGCCAACTCGCAAGAGGTTTGACAGTGCATAATCGGGCCTTATACTTAAAAAGCGAAATACAAAGTCTCACAGAATTTACTTACAGGAGAAAATGTACTTTTTAATTGTTCCTCGTCGACTGTGAAAGTCAAATTACTAACGAAGACCGTTTGAGGATCTTTGGACCTAAAAACAAAGACAGAACTACAGTATACTGGAAAAACTCGTGTACTTGCTTGGAAGAATACGACGACTCTTCTACCGTTTCCTGGCAGAATTTTTCGTCCTAGTTTCTAACCTGTCATGAACTTTCTCCACAGGAGCTTCTTTCAAGTCTTTCTCATTGGGTTTTGTGAATTCCTCCCCTTTCGACACTGGATAAAACGAAGAGAAATTGTCACATCTCGGTGAAGCGATATGCCTTCGATTTTCCACTGAACAAAATCGGGACAAAATCAATAATTACCAAAAGGTCGCTTTGTTTCTGGTTCAGAGACCTCCCTGTCTTTGCCAGCTTCATCATCTTTCTCGTGCTGCAAAAAAAAGAGATAATTTTCCAGTTGTACTCGAAATGAACTTTTACAGGTGAAATTATTCGGAATCTTTTCTTGTAGAAACATCATCATGTAACGTCAGTTTCCACAGGTTCTTTCCAGGCAAGACTGGAAGCACTCGCATACAACTGAAGTAAAATTAAGATGATATAACTAAAGATTACGAGAATTTGAAGCTTTTGGCAAACCTTTCGTTTGGTTTTTCCAACTTTTGATTTCATCTCGGCTTTTTTCTGAGCTCGTTTTTCAGCCTTTGCTTGTTCCTTCTTTGTGTTTGCTTCCTGTTCAGCCAAACGAGCCACCTCAGCTTTCTCGTATTCCTGGTTAAATACAATAAATCGATCATCAAGCGATCATGACTGTTTATTAAAACGTTGGAACAACATTTAACCAAAACAAAATCTTTGTAACAAACCCTTGTCTTTTGTTCCCAAACTCGTTTCAACCTCGTTGAACACTTGTTCATGGCTGAGTCCAGATCTTCTAGGGAACCTGGATGGGATACAAGTGTACTATCACTTCAATGTTATTATCATATATAGCCCTTATTATCATCATATACCCAATAATAACCACGCTAACCACATACATACCTTCATCCTTCTCAAACTTCTGAAACAGTTCGCACAATAATTCTGGTTTATCATTGGACGTTTGAATCGCTCTGATAAAAACTTTTCTGCATCCGACATTGTCGTTGACCTGCCTAAACATTGTGTAAGATGAAAATCATAAATATAACTATTGCTGAAGAAACGAAGGGTGGTTCTTATAGAGACTAGCCATCCACCATTTCCTCCTGTAGTAACACTGGATCAATAGGAGATGATCCTCACTGGATCTCTAGGAAGAACAGTTTAGAACTGATAGAACTATTCAGTATAAATAAAGTTAGTTTAGTTTAGGTTTCCTCCTGTAGTAACACTGGATCAATAAGAGATGATCCTCACTGGATCTATTTGAAGAACAGATTAGAACCGATAAAACTATCTAGTATAAACAAAGTTAAAAAGTTTAAAGCTGATAAAGCCAACCTTAACAATCGAATATATTCCAGCCAATACTCGGCCTCACGATTATGATGCGGCATAACTGAATCCCATATTCTTTTTGCTTCTGATATATTCTTCAGTTTTGTTGCCTGTAAGCATGAAACACAACATAAACAGTTCAATATCAGAGGTTTTAAATGAAGACTGATTGAGATCTATCAGCAAGCGAGAACTAATTCAACTAAATGCAAATTTTCTTCAGCTCACCTCAACGTAAGCTTTATGTCTTAATATCAGAGCCTGGGAATCGGCATCTCGACCAAAATCTAATACGAACAAGAAGCTAGAGTCAGAATGCTTTTCAATTATTTAAAATATTAAGAATAAAAGAAGAGAAAGAAGTCTACTTCATCAGATATCAACAGTTGTATATTTTGAGTGCATTTTTAACATACTTCTCTCTAGGTATTCTAAGCCATCTTTATAGGCTTTCTTTAAATCATCCTTTTCTTGGCATTCTAAATACGAAATTTATCAAACCGTTCTCTCAATGGTTGTCAAAATGTCTGAAAATCAAGTGAACTTCAAAAATACCAACTTTTAATCGGGTTTATATTAAACTGCAGGCAATTTTCAAGCTCCAAAAATGGTCTTAGGAGAAAAGTGCACGAGGGCAAAAAATGAACAAAAAATCTCGCATTTCCCGACATTTCAAATACCGACCTATTTCCCAGTCTCCCACACGTCTTCGCAGATATTCCAAGAAACAACACCAAAGTGAGGCTGAATCTTGGGCAGTGGACGACAGTGATGACAGACCTCGTTCGAGAGTTTCTAGAAACAATCAAGAGTGCACGGTAAGTCGGTAAACATTTTAGCATTACCATCCTAACTGACTTCAATTCTCAAAGAATTACATTTTCCATAAATATGCCGCAATATATTTTATTGCAAGTCGTACCTTGGACCTTTTCTGGGTTCTGCCCGGTCCGTTCCAAAGCCCTCAAGTAGTTACACCACAATCCCACGACCCAAGGGCAGTTTCTGGTCGCTCGTTCGTGTACTGGTAAAACAACGTCAGCGATGTTCAGTTTGGTGTCCTAAAGACGTGAACAACCACACAGATAGAAATAAAAAAATTCTTTTCCCAGCAGTAAATCAATCAATCTGGTCATCTGGCTTACCATGTAACTGGTATATTCTATCCAAAATTCATAGTTGAGACAGTTATCGACAATTGCTCTCTCGTAGAGGCACTGCACCCGAGCCAAGTCACCGCCTTTCATTTCAAAGGCAATATACGAGCGATATTCATCAAGTTTGGGTGAAGTTGCTGATGCCTAAACAAATTATAATTTTGCACTGAGAATTCTTCATTAGTTTTGAACTGAGCTAAGTTCAGTAGGATGAGGTAACTGGAGTAAAGCGAGTCAGACAGGTTATGAGCTGGAATGATTTATGTTGTGAGAAATTCAGGCCTTATTTCAACCCCCCTTTTAACATTCTCATTCAAGATAAACAATCAGGGGGGAGAGAATATCTACAGCATAAATGATATCTAAAGTATTTACCAATGCCTCTTCATAGGGCAGACACGTCTCAAGTTTCGCTTCTGCTTTGTTGAAACCTCGCGTGACATACTCAAGCACTTCCTCGTCCCCAAGCCACTGCTCATACTCACGAAACACAGCCTGCATTCCTGTGGAATAAATAAAGTGTTTCAAATTCATCACGTCTTTTTATTCTTAATTTCTACTTGGTGCTGGTATTTGGTTCTTAGAACATAAATAAAAAATTAGTCTATAGCTAAAATTATCCATACAAAACTGATTTCAGAATTACCAATCAATGGAACGGAGATTTCTCTCCTAAAAATGCTCTTCACTTTTTCCTTTTGTCGCTCTCTAAAAATAGACAATACCACCATAAAACTCAAGTTTCATGAGTTTCCAAATGGTGATGTGGTCACAGCTGGTTTAGAACGACAGGACTCATACAGGTTTAGAAAACAATCCAGTACTTACAATTTCTGTTGAACTTGCGGCAAGTCTGAACCTGCAGCCATTGTCTACATGAAGAAATTGAATCTGCAAGTTGCAACTATAAAATATGATTGTGGATCTAAATGTGTATGAAATGGACAATGCACGGTACCTGGTAAGAATCATATAAGGCCATTTCAAATTCCCTGTATCCATCCCAAATGGAAACACCCTGTGAAACATCAGGTATTGATATGTACTTATATACTTTTCAAATCAATTTGCCATAAATATGCTAGAAGCACATGCTTATAATATTTAAAATTCTGCCTCATGCTGAAAAATATCACCATCATTGAAAGTTTATTGCCAGTTAACGGTGTAATACATCAATCACAATAAGTATATTCTCAATGAATAATAATATTATGGAGTAAAAATGAACCTCAGTTAAATGTAAACCAACAGAAGTTATGGCTCTTTCAAATACAGCTCTTGCATCCTCTAAACCGTCCTCTCCTTCCATGTTATCCAACACATATTGACAATATTCTGTCCAGATTTTCACAGCTGAAAGAAGCAGTTAGAAGATCAGATAAGTGAGGCTTTAAATGAACTGAGACAGGCAGATTTGTATATATATATATATATATATATATATATATATATATATATATATATATATATATATATATATATATATATATATATATATATATATGAAATTTACATACATTGATAATCCTTTACAGCTTTCTCAAACAGTTCACGGATGTATTTCTTTTGTTCAGTTATGCAGGCCAATGGCAGTTCATCTTGAATCCATTCCAGCCATAATTCTATACATTTAGAGAATATCTAAGATAAGTTGCCCTTGGGCTTCTGGTGATGGATCTGAAAGAATGGCTCTGGGATGATTGAAATTAGAAATTATTCTGAGATTGGTCGCTCATGTGGTAGGAATGACGGTATATACAGGTATATAGGTAACCTGATATACAGGGTACCCAGGAACGCATGGTATGATCGAGTGACCTTTATTCTGGTTGACACATGGTTGGAATGATGGTATACAATAAATTAAATTAGCCTAGATTTTTGGCTTCCAGATTATCCCAGAGCTTTTGTTTCCTCGCCAGAGAAAATTAGCAAATCGGGGAATCGCTTTGCAACCCCACACTCACTGCTAATAACATGTGATCACTATTGTTTATCTATTGCTACTATATTTATCACCTGCAGTTAGAGGGAAGATCTTGCTCATCGTCTCTCTTGCCTGTCTGGTTCTATCCAAGTCTCCAATATCCCTCAAGGCTTTGATCAGTTTGAGATGGCTTTCATAATGAAATGGCGAGTTTTCCAACTGTTATAAAAAGAAAGATCACTCAAACGGGCTGTGATATACACATATATCATGCGACATACTGATGATTCTTCTTCAATAACAAACCCAACCCACGTGGTAAAAGACGTTTTTATAACGTTTTACAACGGGACTTACTAAACTTGACTTACAAACTGTCTTAGAGCTGTTATTTCTTCGCCCTCCGCCTTCTCGTCGTCGCTAGAATCGTCAGAATCATCTGAATTATCTTCCATTTCATCTTCCTGCTCGAATTCGGGAAGATTTGCGTCCGATCGGGATGATTTCCCTTCTGCTGTTGTAGAACAATCCATTTCATCGTCCGCCATATTGGATCCGACAAAATCCACTTACCCCCATCCCCAGATGCGCACAAACCATAAATTTATGGCTTAAGAAAATGATTTGGATTTTTATTCGCATATTTACACAAACCAGAGTAAGACAATCTTTTAAATGATATTATCAATCAAAGCACAAAAGTCTGTTTATTTCGACCGAAATGAAAATCAATACCATCCCTACCCTTCTAAGTAGTGTTCAGCCATCGCCTTGGCAATGCCCCTTCCCGCGTGTTTATTTCATTTTGAAAGAAAAACAAAGTTATGGCGGAAAAAAATTATGGACGATTCACAACAGCCTGACTTAAACCGCTCGGAAAACGAAGAAGACGAAGCGATAGCTCAAAGCCTTGCTGCAGCGCTATGCGAGGACGATGTAGAGAAATTTCTCCAGCTTTATGACGAAATTCCGACGAGTGTTTCGCGTGAAAGGGTGAGCAATATTTTTACGCGAATGTTTGAGATTCTTGTTTTGCGAGCTTTCCCCTGAGGGACCTGATGCATGTATAAATAGGGCCAGTATAATAAAGTGATGTAGGATTGCAGTTGTTGCATAAGATAACAAAGAGTCTCATTGACTGCCGGTCAGTCCGCGACATCGCGAGAGGATTAAATTTAACAACGTGGTATTGAATTACAAAGACCCGCGATTTGTGTTTCTATGGATTTGCTGTGCCACGCGAAAACTTTCAACATAAGTTTACTAACAATTTCCCAGCTATGAATTAATAAGTTCTCGTTTGCACCGAAGCTAACAAACTACCGGTACCAGATTAACCAACGGTTACGGCGTAGCGATCGCCAGTACATGGGAATCAAAACTTATGTTTTGCATTTTGCACACAGGTAAAATTACGCTTCTTTTTACGGAGGCGTTTTGACGTATTACTGTAAAAAAATGTGGAACTTTCCAGCCGATCTAAAATTGGCATTTCACCGTCTGCTACCGGCTCTTAGCGAGGGAGGGAAAGCGTAGTGATATTATCAAAAGTACACGTAAGACACGAATTTATTATTTATAACATGCAATTGATCTTTCTAAACGGTTACGAGACGAGGTAGACAGCGATATGAAATAGCCATCGATACGATGTCGAACCGTCTTCGAAATTCATCCAACGTTCACCTTTGAATGAAACGGTGCTTGTTCTAAGGACTTCAGGTTAAAGCCGACGGAGTATGGCCTCGGAGGAAGACAGTTTGTTTCAAAATCAAGCCGGTGTTTCATGGGTTTGTACAATACGAAGTTTGTTTGTAAGTTTAATCGCGCGCAATTTTGTTTCCAACAAACGCGTGAAGTTTGCTTGAAATGATTACGTAACATTCGACGTGAATTACATCAAAATGTAGCCTTCCTTTTCCCCGGGGAGCGATTTGCGAATTCTGTGATGTTTTTTTCAAATTTTTACAGTGTTTTTTTGTTTTTATTTCATATCTAAACAGCCTGGTATAAATTGTAGCGTTTAAACTGCAGTTTCTTCCCTCGCTTCTATCAACATATGGCTACGAAGTGTGTACTTAGGTCTTTGTTCAATACAGCAACCCGTTTAGATGTTATTTACTTCACGTCTTTCGTTCGCTTTCTTGCCTATATCGCTTTTTCGAAAGACTATTGGTTTAAGTCTAGCAGGTCTATTTTATTTAACAGAAAAAAAAGATTTCCTGTTTACTAAACGAAGCAATTTATATTCAGTCGCGTTACAATATTGAAAAATACTTTCCTTTTCAAATATTGTTTTAACTACCTAAAGCCCCCGACAGCGTTAGACAGTTATTAGACCGTATTTGATTGTTTCTGGTTTACAGTTTTAAGCCGGAAACAAATCCCGCTGATGATTTTAAAAGAAATATAAACTCCGATATATTGAAGGTCTTTGTTCCCCCGTTATTATATAATAATAATTTAATGTTTCCTAGTCTGGCTTGCAACAGTTTCCTAGTCTGGCTTGAAATAATGTGATAAAAGTATTTTGTAATAATAATTGTTGTGCAATAACTTTGCTATTGAAATGGTTGACTTAATGAAAAGGTTTTTTACTTTTTAATTTCTTTGTGTGGCTGGTAGTCTGTTTCAAATCAATGAAGCATTTTATTCCAATTGAAGGCCATTCATGATCACTACATTTGATATTGAAAACTGTAATTTCACTAAATCATTTAGTTTAGTAAACATAATCCAGCTTTCCTCAAGAATTGCTTGTGGTATGTCCATGTTCCGGTCAACTTTACATGATAAACCGAGATCTACTGGATGTGGTTTCATAGTTCAGATAATATAGTTTTCAAAGCTTGCCACAATGCAAGCTAATGGGTCCTTAAGAAACATGGACATTCAATTGCTAACAGCACTTATGGCACTACCTGCCTAATTTTAGACATTTTACTCATCTGTTGAAAGATAGCCACATTAGCATCAGATATGTCCAATCCATTAGCTCATAATGCACTCAAAAGTGTGCTATTTTTGTATTTTACTCTATTTTTGTGTCAGACTTTACTCTTTACTTGACAGTTGAAGAGCTTATTGAGTTGTTGCATATATTAATTTATTTTATTTTTATTTTAAGTAATTCCTTTCTGATGCTCTTTCAGCTTGGTAACATAAAGGAAATGGCAAGACAGCTGGCAGCATTAACAAGAAACACAAGAAATCGACACAGCCCAATTGCAGTCAAAGACTCAACATATCTCGGAATCAACCACACTCTTCAGACGACTACACTGACCCTAAATGGACAGCTGAACACACCTGATTTCAGTGCATTTAAAACCCCTCCAGAGGGGCACACCCCTGTCGATCAGAACCACTTTGATTACGATGATGATACTTTGAAAAAGTTTCAAATAACACATAACATTTCATTATCCTTATGTGATAAACAGTTGAATGACTCAGGCATTGAGAATGTTGAACTGATGGATGTGGAGCATTGCTCGAAACATAACAACATTGAAGCAATTAAGACTAACGATGATGATGAACCAATTAAGACTAATGAAGATGATGCCTTTGAGTACCACACTCCACCTACAGAATTCCAAGGTATTTGAACCCACAGCAAATATAGTTTACACATAGAAACCGGCAAATGTTGATGTAAATATTCAAGACAAAGTAATTTTTTATCTTATGCTAAATGATTAGATTCATCAATAGGTACAAGCATATGGATGATTGAGGGAAGAAACTACTTCATATTGTCTATACGTATTTCAGTTTTTTTTTGGATAATGCCAGACAGCTAGACCTGAGCAGTTTTAGTATAATGGGGCTTGCCAGTTATTCATTTTGTGATTTGGGTTTCCCTCTAGATGCCAGTGTTAAGGATGGCAGTGTTGTCCCACCATTCGGCTTCCCGCCAAAATCCGATGAACTTATCAATTCTGTCATCGAATTGCTCTCAAAAACCGCCGAGGATTATGAAGCAACTGCCGACGTTTGCCCGTCGGGAGAAAACGAAGAGATTTCACGCGATGGAAATGAAGAAAAAAGCAAAGAAAACGAAGAACTATTTGAGCCTAAGCAAAACAATCACCAGGTAGGCAAAGGTCCCGAGGTGATCCCGGAAAAGGATGGTTTGGACTTGGACCCCGATGTGAAAGTAAATCTTGAACGAGGGAGTTCAGAAAAAGACAGTCTAGATGGCTCTCCTCATAGCCGTAGAAGTTTCATTCAGGAGGAAGATGATTCAGGCATTTCCATGGTAGATGAAAGCGACATAGTGCAGGAAGCAACGATGACAAATGGTCATCATTTTGAGGCGAAAAAAGAGTGCAAATTTCAAGTTGAAAACGACAAAAAGGACGTGAATGAATTGCTGGAAGGAAGCCATGACGATGCACAAAACAAGAGGACAGACACCAGCACACGAGCAGAGAAAAAGACGTGTAATTCTGAGCCTGAATCAAAAGATACTAAATCTAATCAAAATTATGGCAAATTGAACGAGGCCGATGGCAAATATACACGTTCTAACGAGGAGCAGGAGATGAAGTGTAAGAAATCAAACAGTTTTGAGAACGAACAAGACTCCACCGTGGGTTGGCAAACTAGCCATAAACGAATGAGTAGAAAGCGACAGGAAAAAGAATACGAAAGAATGCAATATGGTAACGATAATAATTGTACGGAAAATAGGGTAAATCCTAGAGAAACGACCTCCAGAAGGTCTAGCGGGAAAAATAAAGGGAGACTGGAAAAGTCTGATGAATACAGTAGGACGGCAGATAAACACAGTGATGATAGAGGAAGAGAGAAAGGCGCTTGGACCAGCAAACGTGGCGATGAGAATGATTTTCACGAGAGTCCTAAACGCTCTGGACGCCGTGGGCCCTTGGCTTCTAGGAAATCTGAAAGTAAATATGCAAAGAATGCTGGTCGAGAGAGGAACGGAGACAAGCATACTGGGAAAACTGAAAGCGGTGCTCAGAATGCAAAGCCAGCACCGAGTGTGTTTTCCTACAGAGATGCGCTTCTGAAAGTCGGCTCCAAAGGTGAGAAGTCGCATTAAAATACTTGCCCTAAGTTCGATTGATCCTCCAGGTCTGAAAGTGATAGATTTTTTTATCGTTCCTTGATGAGTAATAGGTTTTGCATCACTCCTTTTCATACAAGGAAACCCTCTAAACGGTTTTTCTTTTAGTTCAAAGTGCAAAGGACCCAACACAGGCCAATTCTAAAACGGACAAAGTGTTCAACTTTGAATCCGCAGTGAGTTACTTATCAGCAGGTATGTGGAGATAAAAATTTGAACGAAACATGATTGGTACAATTTGGTTACAATTTCCACTACAAATTACCTCACGGACTATCAAAATATACTCGAATTTCACTTGTATGAACAATTGTTTTTTATTTTTTCGTTTAGTTTGGACGAGCGTCGATAATTTACACAAAAAAGGTGAGAGTAATGCGTACAGTCGCCCGGTTGGGTGTATAGTCGATGGATGTGGTCAGTCACTTCGTTGTTTTCGAAAGGAAACTTACATGAAACAAAACCTATTTTCTTTTAGATCCCTCCAAAGTCTACATCTACAATGGTGAATAATTGGAATAACGAAGATTTTGAAAACGGACTCCCCAAATTTATTTTGAACAGAGCTATTAATGTGTGCAGAAAAGATTAAATTATTATGAACTAATCAAAAATAACGGCATAAAAATTAAAGATAGATATTTTTCTTAATATCTCCAAGAGGTTAACAGAGTAAAACCTTGTCAAAAATTTCCAGATTTACGAAGATTTTCATCTTTATATAAAAGGTTGAAATTGTTAATGATGATTCAATTTGCTCCTCGCATTGGTCAAAAGCGAAGGGTATTTAGTCTATAGATCTTCAAACGGTACTTCAGCAAACCAAGAATTGTATTTCAAAGTAACTTGATTATTTTTCAAAGATATTTACCTTTATAGTTGATTAAACTTTCAAATTGCAGAATCTACCGTCCAGCTTGCCAAAGAAAGTCGGGAAAAGGTTCGTTTAGGACCTTCCATGAACCACTATTTGTACAACTTACTGGAGGTGGAAATCAACCTACAGTTTTCATAGAATATGAAGATTTTTCAGTCAGCCTTGGACCAGCATTTCCCAGCCAAAACAAACCAAACCTTTTCCCGTCTAATTTGACAAGGTTTCTGTATGTTTCTGTCCAAGCACTAAGCCTATAGCAATGGGTACAGAAAAGATGTTACTAACAGGGCCTAAGGCTTAACTTATATTAGATTGCAATGTTTGTCTAGTTTAACCTAAATATACGATGTTATTTAATTGTATCTTCAGAATGCAAATAGTAATATAAATTACATAGATAAATTATATCTATTTTTCAAAATATCTGTGTGTGTGTTGTGTTTATAAAACTCATGCATGGTCCAGTTATGAATGAGGGTTAATCAAGAGAAACTCTGGCAGGTAGTTTTACAAAACCACCACTGATTTCTAGTGAAATTGCTCAGCATATTAGATGGTCAGAAAATAATCAGAAAAGTTACAAACGATTGAAACTTCAAATTTTAACTTTTTTACTTCAAAGCTACATTTACAGCAAATTCTATAAGAATAAAAAAACATAAAACTAATTTCCACTACAACTTTTCAAAGGCAGGTCACCATCATGAAAAATTCCCATTTCAATGATCTAGTTTATTCACATATATATTTGTTCTGGGAAATTTAACTGAGAGGTTTCATTACATAAGAACTATGCTAATGAAAAAATAAAACCTTGTGTAAAAACTTTTATGTGTTTGAGTTTGTTCTCTGATATATTTAAAGCAACTGAAATCCTTAAAAAACAACTGTAAGTGCACATGCGGTAGCTTCAAATTCATCTCAGCATCTCTTTTGCGACTTGGGTGACAAGCCAACAAGTGCTCCTGTACAGTCGGAAAGTCGTCTTTTTAAATGACTGCACGTAGACTCGCATTCCTCAATCTTTTTCGTCACCTTAATTTGCTCATCATTGAGTTCTAACAGTTTAATTTTTATCGCTTCTTCAGAACTCTGTAGTTTGCAAACTTCCTCCTGTAGCTTTTGAATCTCCTCTAGTAACTGCTTCGTCTTAGATCGTATGTTCTCGATGAAGGCTTTCGAAGAACTTATCTCAAGATCTAACTTTACCTTTGAGTCTCTCAAACCTTGCATTGTTGTTTGAGTTGAATCCACTTTTGCCGTGTCCCCAGTTATAACATCTTTGAGAAGGCTTTGGAACTTTTCTGAAACATCTGGCTCTGATAGCAACTTTATGAGTAACACAGGAGTAACGCTGATTCCCCTACAAGCCGCAGTTTCCTTTGGTGGAGGTGTTTTTGGTGGTTCATCAAGGGGTGTTTGTGGAGTTTGTTCACCTTGCTCTGGGCTGGTGCTGCTATCAGGTGGAGTTGGTAGATCTATATTTTGATTTACGCTTTCAGGATCAAATCTTTCTACAAATACTTCATTGTCACTGACATCTGCTTGTCGTAAAGCCTCAGCAAGTATGTTCAATCTGGGTGGATTACTCTCGACTAATGTATCTGGTCTTGGAACCTGATCAGATTCTGCTGATAGATCATTGCTTGCATGATCTTCTGTGGTTGTGGAATCAGAACTCTCCATGGATTGACTAAGGCTTAGACAAAGGTCAATTTGTTTCTCGATTACAATCTCCTCCTGGTCACAGGTTTCATTTAACAAGTCGTTATCACAACTAGCACTCTCCTGATTGGTGCTTAACGATGCAATGTCATCGCTAGATTGGCTTTGAGCATCATTCAGATGTAGCGGATCATCGCCATTATCAGGGTTCGTCAGAACCACTTTTTCTTGTTCAACAATTGGCGCACTTCCAAGATTTTCCGTGAAGGACTGATCATCTGGTATCAGAGAAGCACTTTGCTCCAAAGATGTGTTGTTATTACTGGAATTAACACACGAACCATTACAACAACTGGTCCCTTGTTGAAACTTGCCACAACTTGGCTGTTCCACTTTACTCCGAAATGCATTATTGTGATGCTCACAACAACACTCATCCTTCTCTGAGTCAGAGAACATCTCCATTTTAACAACGGGTACCTCACAATTTGAATATTTATACGCCTCGATCATTGCCGCAAACTCCTGGTTGCCGCTTTTCAAAGCGACCAGAATCGGCGTCTCGTAGTTGTTATTAGAAAGAGTTAGATCAAATCCCTCTATCGCATTTAAAACCAAATTCAAACCAGAAGTAACTGTCTCGTTCCTGCAACTGGCAGCTAGATGCCAAATGGTTTGTCCTTGGCAATCCTTGAGGGAAAAACCATTGTGTATGAACTCCCTGCATAACTTCTGTTGCTTCGATAAAGCGACCAATCGCTCACAGAGAATCTTGAACAGTGTTTGGTGGTACTGCACCAACCTGGGACATGTATCAATGTTCTCCAGCAACAGTTTAAGACAAAGTGAGAAAGGGCTGTCCCGCTGAACATAGTCGTAGCGTAAAAGCAACTGTGGGCATTTGCTTGTGAAGATATTAAGAACCTTAGAAAAAACTTGGATGATATTACCCAAGGAGTACCTCCGACCACGCCCAATTCTGGGGTCCACAGCCCGTTCGTGGGCCTGACAAGCCACTAGTCTATGTAAGGCAGTCTCTCCTTGCTTGTTAGTCACTTCAACGTCGAAATCCTGATCGATCAACCATTGCAACGCGAATAGTTTTCCATATACGGCCGCCCAGTGGACAAGAGGGAACCGAAAATACTTTGCGTTGTCCGCGATGTCGCTGTCTCTGTTCCATCCGGACGCTAGTTCCTTTCGGACGCATTCTTTAAACCGGTCGAACGTCTTCGGGTCGTTTCTCTTGCTTAAAACGAGCGAAAGCAGCATCTCATGATGCGTAAAAGCACAGTCTTCCTCGCAGAATATCGTATGGCCCTCTTTAGCGCCAAACATCTTAGATCTCTTTGTAAAAAGTCGTTTATTCCTCGTATGTTTTGATTCAAACATGTTCATCGCATGCAAGATGGCGGTCAAAGATCACGCTGTTTGTACGCACGCGCAAACCAGTCATACAGGGGGGGGGTTGTGCGAAGGAGTGCCAAACAATGCACACCGTACTTGCCCCCTCCCCGCATACAAATCCTGCCCTATATAGGGTAGACTATTTCGACGATATTACCGCTATATGAAAACCGCATGTTTCACTCCATATCAAGATTCACGTGTAGTTTCAGCCGGATGTTATTTCACTTTCCCGCCATTTATTATAATTTATGCATGGTTTTGTGAATTCTGGGAAATTTAGTTACATACGGTGCGCGTGGCTGTCTGCAGTGGAAATTAGCCTGGGGCCCGAACCCTTGGTTAACATTTACACAAGTTTTTTAAACGCCTGTTTAGATAACAAAGTTGATTCTTACGTTTTTACATAAATATTTTCTGGATCAATTGAAGTGTCTTTGTGACTGAAGTTTTGAAACAACAGCGCTGCCTGGCTTTGCACAACTGGCCTCTTTGGATACCTACGGTCGATATATACGGTCGATACCTACTTCGATATATGCTAAAAAAGTGCACAATGTCCCTTTCGAGATGCTGGAAATAAATACATATCTATTTCAACCACTTTGGTACTATTTAAACATTTGGATACCTACGGTCGATATACAGTATATACGGTCGATACCTACTTCGATATATGCTAAAAAAGTGCACAATTTCCCTTTCAGCAAGCTGGAAATAAATACTTATCTTTTTCAACCACTTTGGTACTATTTAAAACATTAAAAACCGCAACCTAGGTTTTGGCATTTTTTCAACCTTATATTAATTTAATATATAGTATTTCAGAAGTCTGTATCTTTCGCATGTTGAATGATCTTAGTCAAAAAAGATTGTACTTGGGAATAAAAGCTAAAGCTTTTCAACGCTACTAAAGTTTTGGTTGAAAATCATGATCAATTAATCAAAGGAAAATGATTCAACTAGTCCTAATATGATAATATCAGCCGCGCCAAGCACATGGACTAACCTCCCTTGCACGGCTTGGTAAATTGAGCACCCAATATCACAATGAATTATTAATTTATTATTGTTGTTGTTGTATACATATTTCATATATAGATATTCTCGTAACTCGAAAGTGACAGTTATATGAGTGACCTCAAATGATCTTATAAATAACTCAGGGCGTACCGGATCTTCGGATTGCATATTTTGTATAATTTGTATTCTATCAATTTATATATAGTACTAGTTAATTAACCCTTATCTGCTAACTTTACTCACACAACTTTGCGCAAAATGTAAAGGTTCCCACATGGATCAGTTCGGGGTCCTAGATAGATAATATCGCAAATTCATATAGGTCTCTTTTTATCATGTTTTGAGGCTGGGTTTCATTTCAAGATGCTAATCTTAAAACTGAAATCTTAAAAAGAGATGATACGCACAGTCTTCCTACTACGAAATCATCTACATATCATCATCTATCATAATTGATATAATCACATATTGATTGAAAAGCGTCAATCTGGCATGGAATCGCAGTAATTCGTTTAATTGCTGGCAAAATTTCAGGTCACGTCTCTCTACCTTGAAAGTCAAATTCTGCGACAATTTTTTTCGCAAGATGCGCGTATATGCATGCACGTCACTTGGACGGTTTTCAAAATATGTTATCGTCTGTTGTATTGGTTTGCCCATAGACAATCCAAAAGACAATCCAAAAGTCTTTTGGATTGTCTATGGTTTGCCCTATGACCTTCAAAGCTTGACTTCCACTTTTTCATTGAACGAAGCAAGTTTTTTTGCCTTGGACAATTCAGTTTTGTTCCAAAATGGTTGTGCTTGCATGCTTGAAGGGTCTCTGAGGCAATGAAGTTACCAAGGACCGCGGAGCGTTTTTCGTATTGCTGGGGCTCGGAACGCGCGCCTGCTAGGAGAGTCCGGGAAAATTTTGAAATATAGGTCGCTGAAATCGCCACAAATGCCTCTCAATTTAAGGATTAATGGAAAATAATAGATAGTATGTAAAGTTTCCAGCATGTTTGGCGCTCATAACAAACATTAAACAATATAACCTTGCTTTGGTTATGATGTCAAATATTTTGAAATGGATAACCACGCTGTTTTAATGGTCAAATGCTTGCCCTATGTAAAGTTTCCAGCATGTTTGGCGCTTGTATTGCCTGTGAATTTGAGCGAACTAAAAAATATTCGAAATTAAAGACTAATTACGGAAAAATTATTGGTGGGGCTAAAGCCCAGCGAGCCACCCTGCTCCGCAGTCCCTGACCCTGGTTACAAAGTCTAAAGTTATCGCTTTATCTAATCCCGTTGTCCCTTTAAATCAAGCCTAGCTCAGTCTAAGCGGGCAAGAGGGTTTTTTTTTTGATTCGTAAAAACAAACTTGATAGCTATTGATGTTATAATGTCGATATTCTTTTTAACTAACAAGCCGGTTTTCAATAGAGTTGTACTGGTGGAATTGTAAATTGACCGTCCGTACTGAACAAATCGCAACACGTATATTGAGTTTTGATACACTAAAGAAATGAATTGATTGCCAAAACAGCATGTCTGCATGCAGTCTGGTATTTAAATCCATATTCAACCAAGTGCCGGCGACTGAACTCTTCTTCACGAGGGCACAACCTGACCAAAACAAGATGTGTTGAACACATAACATCCGAAGTTGTGTGATTGATAAGATTTTGCGATTAAGACATCTGTAAGTCTATAATCCTGGCATTTAGGCGAGAAACCTATCAATTTATCACGCCACTGTGCTAAACGCGCTTATCATGATCGTTTGGAACATCTGCATGACCGCGAATGTTCATCTATAGCTTTCAGTTCCGGAAAGTTCCGCTTTTTTTTTTACCCTTCTGTCTTCGTGTTCTACGCATTCCGTCTTAGTAGCGCCGGAAATATGTTATCAACACTGATGAAATGGTTTGTGCAATTGCATCAAATTGCGCACGAGATCTTAAAAATCATTTGAATATCTGAGCTAGAAGACTGATGAAAATTGGTGAAAATGATTGCGAAAAATCCGCGTGAAGGCCATTTGATTGGTTTGAAAGTCGACAGTGATTAATGTTTCACAGAATTGCGCGAGGATCGGGTTAGACCTAGGTTATAGCTGTACGTCGCATTTTGGTCGCATCGAATGCAATTCAAGCAAAAAAGAATGATGTTTTAAATGGAAAATAACAATTTGATTTGGGATTGGCTAAAATTCGCAAGTATAATCGACCACTTTAACTTAGCGCAGGCTGGCAAACATTTAACAAAACGTGACTGTGTTCTTCAAGGCGAAGCGCGTCACTCTGGAGAAAAATCTTTAATCCTTCCAAAGGTTTTATGCGGATTAATTAAAGCGTCCGGGATTTAGCCAAGCCAAAGCTATATACACACGACGGTACTTCTGCCCTTGTATAATGAATTAATCGGGGCTTCTAGTGCTGATTCATACAAGCTCTTTTAGGAATCGGTCAATCGGGGATCCGATGTATATTTTCCGATAGACAGAACATTATGCGCAATGTGTCCTCAGAAAAAGGAAATTCCAGATTCCTAAAGTGTGTGACCAGGCGTTAGATGCAGCGAAAGTCATTGTTTTCTTGCAAGAAATTTAGTTTAACTGCATAATTTCTGCTTGTCCTTCGTTCCTTCTGATCGCAAAACGATCCTAACGCATTTTAGTTTCTGCAAAAGCATTTCTTTCTCTTTAATTGGTCGTATGAATCATGTATGAACCCATGCGCAAAGTTTCAGTATTCAACTGTTTCTGTAACCGTCTTATACTTAAGTCAGTCATATTGATTACGAAACAAATCGAGGTCTATATTTGTTACCAAATTCCATTTTGGTCATTCTGTTGGCGTTCGAATAAATCTGAGTTTAGTTTGCCAACAATCACGCGAATGCCGTTTGAACTGAAATTCACAATCAGTATGAGTAAAAATGTCTCACTGAGACAGTTGTTTGGCAGTCAGTTAATTACACGTAACAAATACAGCTATTTCTTGATATACGAGCTGACCGTAACATAAAACAATTGACGTCCGTTTAGAATCAGAGTAAGGTTGCTCCTGCATATCTCGCGAAAAAAATAGGTCATTCAAAAAGACAGGTGTTTGTCAAAATCGGTTGTGTTTTTACTGGGCGTTCTGCGTAAGTATTGTAATCTAGGACAGCCTGGGGAGCGGACTTCCTTTTACGTCACTTAAAATGGTTTAAAATGGTTCGCGTCAATGACGGCTTTGAGAATACCGATTTTGCACGTATTCGCGTGCGTATAAATACTTGGTCGTGCACAGCCGAGCTATGGTTAAAACACAAGACCCAAAGAAAGGCAGATAAAAAGAAAAATGAAGACTAATATTTTGAAGATGAAAATTCTCGCGCTTCTTATGCTGGTGATGGGTGTCTGCAGTCGGGGCTCCCCACTGCCACCAAATTCTCAGCATCGAGGTTTGTATGTTTAGCTTACATTAGCCTGGTTTATACTAGAGATGGATGATCGATCTGACAGATCATTCGTCTGACTGTCTGAGTATACTGAACGTTAACACGCGACACACTATCCAGACGAACTATGCAGAGGAATATGTCAAACCGAAAACAGAATTCGAATCGCGCGTTTGAAAAGTGCACGGGATTGGGAAATTATTTATGTGGTAAAAAGAGTCCACGCAAGAGCCGTTTTATGATGAATTTTTCGAGTTCGTTCCCTCTCTGTATTTATACTAACAGACGGATGATGCGTCAAGACGAACTACCATTCAAAATCGTCTAAATAGACGAACTATGTGGATAATTTGTGTTTCCAAATGAACCGTCTGCTTGCCCCGTGGTTATACACAGTCACAGAAGAACTAGAAGACGAACCATCTTTCGCTTGCCCAAGTCCGGACGAATGATCTGTCTCTAGAGTATAAATCTATCCAATAGTTTTGGTTGTGCCAATAAATTCGAAATTTAAAAAACTCGGAGTATAGGCTGTAGTCCAAGGTAAAAGAGCCAATTTCAAAAACAGCTGCACGAATGCTGTCAGCTTCGCGATATATCACTCACTCATTCTATCCCTTTCTCATTCTTAGCTATGCATTGCGATAAATTTCATTTTCCGGCTTTCCTACTGATCAAATTATGCATCCAATCACTACTAAACCCAGTCATGTTTTTAATTTCTTTATCAGCGAAAGGGTTTGTAGCTACAACTGAAAAAGGTTGCACGAGACATAGAGAACTTTGCTATAAACCAGAGGATTGCTGTGGGCCTTTTCATTGTATGGAAGTGTACGACAAAGGTACAGTACGCATACTTTTATGCCACGTAATTTCGTGCTCATATTTCAGCCAATCAGCGCTCAGAAGGGTTGTCGAAATAGAAATCCATTCTGCAGTATTTCATCGATTATATCTTGTTATTTTTTGTTACTTATATCTTTGGTATTTTGTGACTACTTTCTAAGTTATTTATTATTTTTTCTAGTTTGGCAATGTAGTATGCCGAGTGATCCCCGGCCACATATACCCGCACCACCCGCATCACCCGCACCACCAACAACTACATCCCCAACATCAACTACAACGGCAGCCCCACAGTCAACTACAACCCCACAGTCAAATACAACCTCACCGTCAACTACACCCCCACAGTCAAATACAACCTCACCGTCAACTACATCCCCACCGTCAACTACACCCCCACCGTCAACTACACCCCCACCGTCAACAACATCCCCACCGTCAACTACACCCCCACCGTCAACTACATCCCCACCGTCAACTACATCCCCACCGTCAACTACATCCCCACCGTCAAATACATCCCGGATGTGTGTAAAAGCATATCGGAAATGCTCGTCTGGTCCTCGTGAGACTAATTTGTCGTGTTGTTCCAAAAACTACGAATGCTTGCGCATTACTGGTAAATATATCAAATTAGTCGGCAATTTAACACTTGTTCTCTTAAAAAATTGCAGAATTATAGAATATAATTGAAAGAATCACTCACAATTTTCACTCAGCCATTTGGAATCTAAGTACTGCACACATGCATCTTAAACTATATTTGTGTTATCAGTTATCACCAAACGTTTAAGTCCGGTTTACAAACTATATATTTTAAATTGCTAGACTTATACAGTATGTAGGATATAATTCAAACGGGAATTCCAAGAATCATATGAGTATATAATTCTCCTCAAGTCAGCATTACCCGACTAACCCAGCGTCTACTGTCGTGTTAGCGGTGATTAATTCTTGATTTTTCACAACTGCAACTCGATACGACTGTCTGACTCTCGCTTTATGACCATGTTAGATATCAAACCCGATGATGGTATTTGCGAGGCGAGAAGAAACGAAAAAGAGCACTGGTGTAAAAGGGAAAATGTTCGTTGGCAATGCCCCAGAATGTGTGAAGTTAGTGGTGAGTAAATTATATAAATAGAAACCTTAGGTTTGACTGTTAACGGCAAACCGATAACCAAAATCGAGTAGAATCTTCAAGATTTCAACTGATTTTTTTTTCAAATTTCAGAGAGCCATTGTATTAAGAAAGGAATCGAACTTTGGAAAATATGGCAACGTTTGAAACCATATTTTCACCAAAATCCTGTTCAAGCGGTCATTAAAGTTTTATATAGATAAGTCATTGTTGTAAAATTTTTCAGGTATAATAAATGAACTATACAGAGTTCCAGTGAGTGGATTTGATGTGTAATTCTATCTCTAACTTTATTCTTGAGGTAACTTTAATTTCTCAGTCACGATCTCGAAGCCTGTAGTACTATAGATCCTTCTAATAACACGTTTATTTCTAAATTCCTCGTTGACGAATAAGGATATTCAGTTAAGGCTGCTTTTTACTTACGCGTTTTTTATACGCACGTACACGTACGGAAAATTTTAAATGCTTTTAAGGTCAACTAATGCATACTAAAATATGCAGAAAACTAAGTTCCTTCGATTTAGTTTTGTTCAAAGGTAACATGCATGCTTGAATAAGGATGAAACAGCCTTTATCAATCTACGAAAAATCGAGTAGAAACAAGACGTGAAGTCGTACATCGAACATACATTGTTCATTCGTAAAGATTCGTACGGACTCAGTTCAAAACCATTTATTCTTGCATGGTCTTTCTGATCGCCCCCCGTACATGAATTATCGCATTCTGTAGTTGCTGCATGTATATGATGTGTCAAATGTACTTAAGGCGGTACCAACCGCCACTGTGTGCATGATTGCATGTACATGAAGCATGTAAAATATGATAGATTGTCAATGATAGATTGGAATTCCTTGTTTTTTTACTTGGCTGAACTGAATATACGATAAATACGAATATGTGCAACCCTTCCAATTATCGCCCTAGTTATAAAACATGAATATAAAACTTCGGTTGCTTGATCTACGAAGAATAAACTGCAGGTTCACTAAAAATGGTCCTGTTGTATTTCATCAGTACAAATAGACTACTGGCTGCCTACTGGAGTACTGGTATTAAGTAAAGTGTTTCAAGAACTCAGCATTCAAGTGTATCGTTATTTACATCTACCCCTGCAGCACGGAAAATGCAGTTTCACTGCTATATTCTTAACAAAATGCTTTATTTCAATTTAATTCAAAATATGAATATATAGTTGGGCCGTTTTCCCGCTTAATGGAAGCGCCTACTCGAGGTACTGCGTTCCAGGGAAGTCTGGTAATTCTCATTATATAAGTTATTCCAAATAATATAATTTTATATTCATCAGTGATCACCGACAATGGCCATCGCCGACTGCCGCTGAGCTATGCATGGTTTTGTAATTACTGTCCCTGCGGAGAAAGATCATCTGCGATACTGCTATTTGAAATCAAACGTGCCGCGAGCCGAATTTTTACCGTTGTTTATTAGCAGTCAACGTTACTTTAACGGTTTAACCTCTACTCAAGGTGACGTTCACCCACACTCAACGTTACGTTGGGATATTGTCAACGCAACGATTCACAGGTGACGGTTTAACGTCTTCGTCCTGTTGTCCTGGTTTAGGACGAATATTTTGACAAAGTTCGTTGTGGTCAGAACAAAGTTTTCAAAGTAAGATATATTCAAGTCAAATCTTGAATAGTTCTTGTATGGAATATAAATGTTGTTTGAGATGTTTAAACCGTAAAGAAGCATAAAATCTTCCACTTCAAAAGCATCTTCTGAAAACATTGCTAAAATAGCCATCTCGTATTCAGCTCTGTTCATGTTTACAAAATTAGTACCGTGTTCGTAGTCGTATATAACTTTGACAGAACCGCTCAATTCAAATATCCTGCTGCACGAAGACTTAAGACGAAGACTACTATTCCCAGTCTATCTCGGCCGAAACACGTCTTCGTCTTCGTACTTCGTTTCCTTTACTTATCAACGTAGATGCTGTATATTCTTACATTTATATAAGATTCATTTATATAAGATTCGCCAGTAGGGTGTTCACTGAATAAAATTAGCCAACAATAAAATGCGTATGATTTGATTAGGCAGTTCTAATGCATGAGTTTACAGCTAGGCCCTGGGGACGAAGATGGAGTTTACAGTTGAAATATTTTAAAAACTGTCACTCAAATCATCGCTGCATATTCAATCAGAACATAAAGTTGAGTAGGGCAGAACGTAACTCTGTAGGGGAGAACATCGCGTTGCCGCTACTAGCAAACAACGATAAAAATTCGGCACGCGGCTCGTTTGATTGCAAATAGCAGTAAACTCTTTGTTCAAATGTGTCACGAAAAAACCCACAAACTTCATTCCCTTGTTCCCCCTGAAGGTGATTATAACTATTAATGGTGTTGGAAAATTTAAAAATGTTACACAGTCTTTGTACAGTCTTGTTGCGGCCAAGATTTAAATTGATACCAAAAATATTCCTGATCGTTTACCGTGCTATTCCTGGACATTTTAGGATAGTAGTCACGTTTCTTTTGAGCTTTGCGGATTTCATTAGAAATTTAGAAAACCACCCAGGAAGCTTTTTAGTTTTGACTCGTTTTTTAATAAGTGGTGGGTGATTGTTTAACGTCTTTAACACCGAAAGGAAGTGCTCGTAAAAGAAATCTAATTGATCATCGGAAGAATCATATACTTCTAATAAAACTGGAGGCAGAATGTCAAGATCAGTGCAGAACCGCGAGACGTCGAAGCATTTCGTTTTAGAGTACATTATAGTTTGGTGAAATTTTTGGTGCGTAGCCGTAGATAAGCGAGGATTAATCTTTCGCGTTATAAATATGGGGAAGTGGTCACTTAACCCTAGTTCAATTGTGCCACTTCTTAATACATTTTCACAGAGAGTCGAACATATGTGATCAACAGTTAACTGAACTAGGTCGAGTTGAAATAATTCATTGTTTCTGCTGATACTGCGAAACAAGATGATATAATGGCCTATAATTGCTTTTGTCGAGAACATTGCAGTTAAAATCAGCGAGTATCAGAATCTCTTTACGCTTTTTATCCACTGTTTTAAGCGAGTACTCAAAATGAGATCTTCTCCACCTTATATTCAGGAGTGGATCCAGCACTAGTGCATAATTTGCATTACAAAACAAAGTGGTTGTTTTTTAGCAGTTTTCTTGTAAATTAGTGCACTAGTGCTGGACCACCCCTGCTTATATTCGTATCCGGTTGGTACATATAAAACAAACTAGGATCGGTCGAGAGTTATGAAAAAGGAACTCAACCATAAGTATTCAATTACATGGCAATAATCTGTGACATGGATATCAAAACGAACATCATAAAGCAGGCCGTGAGGAATATAAACAATAAAGCCACCTCCTTTAGAGTTTAGTCGATCTCTCCTAACACAATCAAAGTCATCAATTAATAATTCAGACTCAGTCCATGTAGAATTGAGATGGGTTTCGGCAATGCAAAAAATTATGGTACTTTTTTGTCAACTGATTATGGCAGTGAGAATTAAAGTTTAATGGCATCAAACTTATTTGTTATGGCCTGAATATTTGAGCGCGTGCAAGAGGATATTTTTTCGATTCATAAAAACAAACTTGATATAGCTATTGATGTCGATATTCTTTTTAACTGACAATCCGGTTTTCAATAGAGTTGTACTGGTGGAGTTATAAATCGACCGTCCGTACATCAAATCGCAACAAGTATTGAGTTTTGATACACAAAAGAAATGAATTATTGCCAAAATTGTCTGCAGTCTGATATTTAATTCCATATTCAACCAAGCGCCGGCGACTAAACTCTTCTTCATGAGGGCACAACCTGACCAAAACAAGATGTGTCGAACACATAACATCCGAAGTTGTGTGACTGATAAGATTTTGCGATTAAGACATCTGTAAGTCTATAATCCCGGCATTTAGGCGAGAAACCTATCAATTTATAATAATAATAATAATAATAATAAATAATAATAATAAAGACTTTATTTCTGTGTCAGTATACATCTAGCTGAGGAAAATTTCCTCTACTAATTGGGGACACTTAACTATCTGCTACGATATACCTATACCTAATAATTTAAATTAAAAGTAGTACTATCTTATATTATCTTATTACACATATTTCATGTGTTACAAAGTATGCAATTGGTGCAATTGCAATTTATCACGCTACTGTGTTAAACGCGCTTATCATGATCGTTTGGAACATCTGCATGACCGAATGTTCATGTATAGCTTTCAGTTCCTTTTCTATTAACCCTTCTGTCTTCGTTTTCTACGAATTCCGTCTTAGTAGCGCCTGAAAAGTGTTATCAACAAGATGAAATGGTTTGTGCAATTGCATCAAATTGCGCATGAGATCTTAAAAAAAATTGAATATCTGAGCTAAAAGACTGATGAAAATTAATGAAAATGATTGCGAGAAATCCGTGTGAAAGCCATTTGATTGATTTGAAAGTCGACAGTAATTAATATTTCACAGAAATGCGCGAGGATCGGGTTAGACCTAGGTTATAGCTGTACGTCGCATTTTCAGTAGTCGCATCGAATGCAATTCAAACAAAAAAGAATGATGTGGTAAATGGAAAATAACTATGTGAATTGAAATTAGCCAAAAAATTGCAAGTATAATCGACCATTTTAACTTAGGCTTGGCTGGCAAATATTTAACAAAACGTGACTGTGTTGAGAAAAAAAATCTTTAATCCTTCGAAAGGTTTTATGCGGATTAAAACGTCCAGGAATTAGCCAAGCCAAAGCAGAACGGTGTTTTGCCCTTCTATAGTGAATTAACGGGGGATTTAGTGCTGATTCATACAAGCTCTTATAGAAATCAAGTGTTTCTAAGACAAGTGTTTCTCACAATCGGTTGTGTTTCTACTGGGCGTTCCGCGTAAGTGGTGATCTAGGACAGCCTGGAGAGCGGACTTCCTTACAGGTCACTTAAAAACGGTTTGAATCCACGCGCGTCACTGAGAGCTTTGAGAATAACGATTTTCAGGCACGTATTTGCGCGCGTATATATACTTGGTCGTGTACAGCCGAGCTATGGTTAAAACACAAGATCCAAAGAAAGTCAGATGAAAAGAAAAATGAAGAGTAATATTTTGAAGATGAAATTTCTCGCGCTTCTTATGCTGGTGATGGCTGTCTGCAGTCGGAGCTCCCCACTGCCTGCTTCTCAGCATCAAGGTTTGTATGTTTAGCTCACATACATTAGCCTGGTTTATACTAGAGATGGATGATCGATCTGACAGATCGTTCGTTTGATTGTTTGAGTATACTGAACACAGAAGAATTTATCAAACAAAACAGAATCGCGCGTTTGGAAAGTGTACGGGATTGGGAAATTATCAGTTATGTGGTAAAAAGAGTGCCACGCAAGAGCCGGAAAATCTCAAATGCTTTTAAGATAACAATCGTCGAGAGAATCTTTCAACTAGGTTCTTCCAACATAATATTGATAGTGCCTACTTTGAAGTGAGTATCTGCCCGCAAAGAGAGTGACTAACTATGAACTACGCTATAACAATTTGTATAATCATTATCGCTGCCATACCGAACGATTTAAAAACTCTTTCTTTCCACAAAGAGTTTTAAAACAATTATTTTAATATTCTTCAATTTTCTAAATTTTTAATATAGTCTAGTATAGTAGCTTTACTTAAATAGCTTTTAGTATATCGTTTGTATGTAAATTCTAACGCAATTTAACCTTTGGGTTACAATGTTAGTAATATTGAACTAATGCATACTAAAATATGCAGAAAACTAAGTTCCTTCGATTTAGTTTTGTTCAAAGGTAACATGACACATGTATAAGGATTTAGACTTTTACGTGCGTGTACCTGCGTGTAAAAAACACGTAAGTGGAAAACATGCATGCAGCCTTTGTCAATCTACGAAAAATCCCGGGTATCAGAACAAGACGTTAAGTCGTACATTGAACATACATTGTTCATTTGTAAAAACGCGAGTCGGGTAAATAGAATGAAGAAGGACTCAGAAGTCAGAAGGAAGCGCCTATCTCGGGGTACTGCGTTCTAGGGAAGTCTGGTAATTCTCATTATATAAGTTATTCCAAACAATATAATTTATTGTTATATAGGTGCTTTGTATTTTAAATGTGATTGGTTCATTTGTAGTCACATGACTTTAAATAAATGCAATGTTTCCCGCCAGGGAAACAAATGAAAAATTGCTGCCCGCTCATGTCATAACAAAGTAAAGTGGGTTTCTTTTTTAAATGAAATTGTTGGGAAACATGTATGTTTTTGTTCCTATATAACAAAACACTTAATGTTCGCTACACCTCGGGAAATAGTGAGTTTTGTTTTCCCTCGAGTCTCAAAGTTTCCCGCGACTTCGTCTTGCAATTAAACGCGCCGCGAGCCGAATTTTTACCGTTGTTTATTAACAGTCAACGCTACTTGTCAACGCAACGATTCACGAATGATTATCAACGTAAGATGACAGCTGTATATTCTTGTGAAGTTAGTCGACTATCATGAACGATTTCAGTAATCTTCACTTCATCTGAAATCACCTCAGGATTATTTAATCATGTTCTAACGTTTTCTTTATCAGGTAAAGCGGGAGCCTGCAAGGAGACTCATGAACTATGCAGAACAATGGAGGATTGCTGTGGAAATAATATGCCATGTGGAATGTATGCTGGAAGTAGGTTCATTGTAATATACTGCATTTATGGCAGTACTCTTTTGTACTCTACAAACACTCGACCCAATCCACAAACACTCAATCCAATCCACAAACACTCAATCCAATCCACAAACACTCCATCCAATCCACAAACACCCCATCCAATGCACAAACACCCCATCCAATCCACAAACACCCCATCCAATCCACAAACACTCCATCCAATCCACAAACACCCCATCCAATCCAATCCACAAACACTCAATCTAATCCACAAACACTCCACCCAATGCACAAACACCCCATCCAATCCAATCCACAAACACTCCACCCAATCCAATCCACAAACACTCAATCCAATCCACAAACACCCCATCCAATCCACAAACACTCAATCCAATCCACAAACACCCCATCCAATCCACAAACACTCCATCCAATCCACAAACACCCCATCCAATCCAATCCACAAACACTCCACCCAATGCACAAACACCCCATCCAATCCACAAACAATTTATCGGTCATGAAGAAATAAACATTATCTTATGAAATCCCCCCAACCGAGATATATTTTTTTTGTAGAAATGGTATGTGGAGGTGACGGAGGTATACCAGGCCCTCCAAGCCGCAAGAAATGTGGAGTTTGAGTGGAACTTATTAACGAACTTTATATATGCTCAGAGCTCTATATATGTATCACCATAGTTGAATATAGAGAGCAGATTTAATAAACATGATTCAAATATAGATGAAGTTATTTGATTTTATTACTAGAGTGGCTGAAAGACTCGTTTTATAGCCCAAAGCCAGTGTTAAAAATCAGTTTGTGAAAATAATACGAGAGTTATAAAGTACGCATATTTGCATCTGCAAAGCTTTATAAAAAGTTGAACCGAAACGGTTGAAATATCTTGATAATGAAACTAAAATTTCGGCAAAAAACAAAGCAGATATAGGTGCTCACCGCAGACACCACTGATCAGTGGTGCTCACCGTCAAACAGACGGTTTATGTTACTCGGAAGAAGCTATATGTTACTAGTTTTGTGAACAACGTTAGTCATGCTTTAACATTGCCGTAAATACCCCAATCTATAAGGTTTTCATTACGGCTTCGCCGAAACGATTGAACGTACTTGACTTAACTTAGTTAACTACAAGTCAAAAGTCGCCACGAAGCTGGTTTTAATTCAGGTACACACAACTAAAATATATATACACACACGACCTACCTTTTCCAAGAGCTGAATAACCTCATAACGATGCAAAATCCCGAATAATTGTAAGTTATAGCTGTATAAAGGCGATTTAAAAAGCCATGTACATACACACGTCCGTCTCGATAAACGATATACGTTTCATTTGAATATTTTTGCAAAGTTAACTCGACCATGATAAAGGATTCAGATAGTGGACGGTGCATGTCCTCACAAAAACAAAAGCATTGAAATCATTATGCGAAGGAATATGCGAAAATATTGCAATGATGACCTGCCGCATTGTCTATAGAACTGGATTTACGCACCCGAGGGCTATTCATTTTCAGCTTGTGGCCCACAAGCTGAAAATGAATTGTGGCTTTTGATTAATTCCTGAGGCAATCATATTTTAAAAAGTCTAACAAAAGAAACGTATACACGTTAATTCATTGACATCATTGTGAAATTGAACAATGTTTATTCAGTAGGGGCTGTTGGCTTGAGTTCGGTTCATGTTACCTTAGTTTCAACGAAACACGAGATGATTTTGAGGCAATGAAGTACGTCTTTATGGAAGCAAACAAGCACATGGTATTGTTGGGATGACAGCATCACTTCCATAATCATGTTATTCGCTCATTTCAATACCCCAAAGTCAGTTCACGCTTTGTTGAATTATACAGTAGAGCTCATTGCATGCATGATAAAGAGACTTTTAGTTTTATAATTCAATATAGGTATAAACATGAATATATTTACATTTCAAGATATATTATAGTTAGCTCCTGACAGTTCGTCACAGAGAGGAAACTCAAAATTGGTTTCAGCAATCTTCAGCGGGCGCTGACGCAATCCTTTTTGATGATATTCAAAAGTGATCTCTCACTTATCTCAGGACTAATAAAAACTTTGACAAATTCCGCATGTTTTTTGGCAGAGATCTTGAAGGATTTCGTTGTCTTTGCAACATGAAGTATCCTTCATTTTGTAACACCGCTCGTCTTTGTCCTCACACGTTCTGTAACGAGCTGGATGGGGAGCTCTAGCATTGCCTAAAAAGAACCAATGATTATATTTTTTCTTGCTTTGGAGACAAACGCACCACACGCACACTAACAAATCACAAATCACTCAAGCAACCCCCCACCCGCAACACAAATATCAAAGATTCCGACTCAAGTGAAGTAACTCTTCTATTTCTCACCCTCCCCCACAATTCTTTGGTTTATAAGGTTGTAATTCACTCACCGAAGTCTCCACAGGCCCCACACTTCACCGGGCAGAGCAGCCGCGTCTTGCGGGTGTTGCGGGCGAAGTTACAATCTCGTAAAACATGGGTTCGATTACAAATGTTTTCGTTCACATCAAAACAAGCTGAAAGTGTGAATGGAAAATATCAATAAATATAGTAGTAATATCAAATAAATATACAATTCGTCTGGTTTAACAAACACAATTAATGCAACTGCTTTAAGATATTTGAAAATTGAAACGGCTCCATCAGTTCTAAACTGTTCTTCCTAGAGGTCCAGCAAGGATCATCTCTTATTGATCCAGTGTTACTACAGGAGGAAACCTAAACTAAACTAACTTTATTTATACTGGATAGCTCTATCAGTTCTAAACTGTTCTTCCTAGAGGTCCAGTAAGGATCATCTCTTATTGATCCAGTGTTACTACAGGAGGAAACCTAGACTAAACTAACTTTATTTATACTGGATAGTTCTATCAGTTCTAAACTGTTTTCCTAGAGGTCCAGCAAGGATCATCTCTTATTGATACAAGTGTTACTACAGGAGGAAACCTAAACTAAACTAACTTTATTTATACTGGATAGCTCTATCAGTTCTAAACTGTTCTTCCTAGAGGTCCAGTAAGGATCATCTCTTATTGATCCAGTGTTACTACAGGAGGAAACCTAAACTAAACTAACTTTATTTATACTGGATAGTTCTATCAGTTCTAAACTGTTTTCCTAGAGGTCCAGCAAGGATCATCTCTTATTGATTTAGAGGAAACTCATAAGGCTAAACTTCTGCCGACGAATTCAATTTTGTGAAAATTTATTACCTGGACAGTTACTTTTCTTGAAGTCAGTTGCCGGTCTTCCATCCCAACAACAACCATAGACGTGCTCTTTAGGACACTGTGGTTCATACGGGGCTACAGAGGATGAAAGCAGGTACATATATCGTGTTTTAATCCGACTTGTCGCACGGTAGCAAAAGCTGGTCCGTTTGGCAAATATTAAGATCGCGAGAAACTGATTCATCAGACCTAAAAGATTTACCTACCACACACGCCACATTTTCTTGGGCACTGGTAACGAAAATTCTTGCTGAATCGACAGAAACGCTTGGGTCGTTTGTCACAAATACTGTCCTCAGGTTTACAGCCGACGTCTATAGTGAAAAACAAAATAAAAATCAAACAAAACTTCGCAAGCCTTCAGGCTATAGTCATTGTCAACGATGAGAAATAGTGCGGATGTATAGATTTGTCTTTATTTTTGTATGCAAATCGGTTATTGTTGATAGTATTAGAAATATTCAATCACATCAGCCACCTTGACATGTTCACGAAATTTACAAATCCAGACAATTCCTAAACAATTTTCTTCTTCGAAGTTTTGAAAATGAAAGTCGGTGTAAACATGACACAAGCGTGGCTACTTCACTCAGCAAGGCGACTTATAAGATATTAGCTGTAAGTGTTTGTTCAAAAGAAAAAAAGAAGATTGTCTCCAATTGCTTGGCAAGGATGTCGCAAAGGAAATATGTCAAGGAAAAACGCAAACGAAAGGATGTCTTTATCTTTGGAAGATGTCGAAAATCATGTGCCGAGTGACTTGGCGAAATCGAGTACACAAATAGCAATTTTGCCGCGACGTAAATTGTTGCGGTTTTGTAGACATAATAGCATTTCTAATATGACGTTCATTGACTTAAATATAGCTCATGACCTTGCCAACAATAAACCACTTGAATATTTAATCACTATGATTTTACACACGCGAATTTAGCGTGTTTCAATGGGCTTGTTTATATGATGATGTCTTTGTTTTCTCAAAATATTCGATACAAAAATCATTAACCCGCTACGCACACTTGACTTATGCTCAATTTACAATCTATACCTGGCACTTATACAGTGCTTACAGAGAGCTACACCACACCCATATAAAAAACTATACTTTGTATCATGTTCATTTTGACAGTACTTTGAAGTTCACAAGACCTCAGAGATCTTCCTGTTATGAACGGCATTATATACAAACGTAGACAAACAAGATATAATTACAGATGTAAAAGACAGTTCAAGAAGTTTCTCTAAATCATAAGAACTTACATTTCAAAGCATTCTTCACCTTTTTGTACTTCCCTGGGGGTAAAAAGAAAACACTGGTCAGTTCATAATGAGACTGCTTTTTATTGAAATGTATTTTCGAATGTATGAATGTATTTTCCATGCATGCATATGATTTGTGATAGAAATGAATTCATTCGGTAGACACGTGAAAAAATTTGCGCTATGTGAAATATTTGTGCTATCAGAGTGATTTCTTTCATACGGATATCCGTAAGGGAATAAAGATTGACGTTATGAGGAAACAAAGTCAAACTTAAAGGGATGAAAAAGTTCTCGGATTCAAAACTTTAGACTGAAGCACTAACTTGAAATTCGTGCCAAAATCACTCCTATCGCTTTCAAAACTTTATAGACTTCTTGTGAAAACAACACACAACTTCCTAATTTCCTAAAACCCTATGCTGGTTAATTCGTTTATTCCATAAAACCGGTTCTATTACCGGTTTGATAGCGGTGATCATATATATACGTACATGAACGGGGTTGAATATATCTGACTGATTAAACCAACATGCATCACAATCTTGGGCCACGAAAAAATCGTGTCTTGTTTGTAAACGAAAGAGTAGTTCAAAATATGATTGATGATGGGACTCGCCCGACCCGACAAGTGCAGGACATCCAAACGGAACTCAAATGAAGTGGCGAAGACTTCCTATCACATGGGTTGGACTAGGGTGTTAAAAAAATACGACACAGCTTTTTCATATTCGTTGTGTCAAAAGAAACCTTCGAGTACCTTCGGATCGTTTATTTTGAACACTATGCAAATATAGTATATAAAATCTCAGCAAAACGATATTAAGATAGACGTTTTTAAAATCTGTTTGTGAATGCCTTTTGTAGCAAAGAATGTTGTTGTTAAAGAATGTGACAAAAATAAGGTAAAAACTCACGTTTTCTTCTGGGAACGACGGATGAAACAGCGATTAGGATAAACAGCAGTAAAATGGTCCACTTCATAGCACAACGTCTAATCCTGTTTGCTTTCAAAAGATTCAACTTTAGACTTAGTTTTTCTCTTCAGCCAACTCAAGTTTTGATTGCACTTTTCTGTTGTCGAGTTCTTTAAAACGTAAAAATGAAACAGTACTTTATAACTGTTATTCCTCAGTAGAAACAGATCAATTCTTGCTTGGATTATATCGGAATAACAAACTCTTGGCAAAGCTTTTCTTTACTCGACACCAACGAGCGATGAGCATTCAAATGGTAGCTTGCAGTAAGTAGCTCTGGCTATCACACAACTGTCGTGCGTGATGAGGAAAACTCGTTTATCATACCTACATCTGTCACTTCTACTTCCTCAAACTCGTGAAGATAATGATATGCATGCAGTCATATGACGTTTGAGACAACGTCTAACGTAAACTTAAAGCGATCGCTGATATTTGCAGAATGTTATCAGCGCCATTAGTTCACAAAGGATCCTTTGCACTGAGACGCATTTTGACGAACGCTGAACGTGATCGCGTGCAGAATCGACACGTTTGACTAACTCTACGCTGGGGTCTTAAAACTCTAAACTCCTAGCTTTGATTTCGTTTATCTAACAAAACAAATTAATTGAAGACATTTACGTTCATTTGTAATCTAAAATGAAGTTAATTTAAACAACGATTGTCTGTAAATTGGCAATATGCCTAAGTGCACACACTTAGTTTTTTTCACCACTTAAGTTTTTCACAATTAATAAGCATATTTTTCATAAGATTTTCATGTCTGATGGAACAGATACAATATAATATGTATACCAACATTATATTTTAGACATTTAGTAAATTAAATGTCAATTATATTCTAACATTACGAGTCAATGAAATATAATTCAACTTTAATCTATACTATTGGTAATTATATGTAGCTACTAGTTTAAAATTCATTTATATTTGAATAGTTTTGTAAAGAGAACCGTTGTAAGAGAGATTCGCTTCAATGCCGTCTCAGTTAACCTCAGTTAATCGTCTCACAAATCAACCTTCAATGTTTAATGTTTATCGTGAAGCGAATTACCGGTTGAAATAAAACCTCGCTTTTGGTATTCAGACTTCAGAAAAGTTGAAAACCCCATTCGTTTTAAAACAGATTGAAACAGGTGCATTCTGAATCTCTGACGAATTTCAAAAGAAATGTATCATATTTTTGTCGCAAAGAACTGCAATCCATAGCCATAGGCATGAATCTTTTCACTGTTTCAAGACACCGGAAATGACGTTTTTCCATATATTTTTGAAACAAGGCACAAAAAGTATTTGAAATTCACCTAAATGACTATATGTCACGTCTTTCATATTTTTGAGTCAAAAAATGAAGTTTTCTACAATAAAGATATATACTGTACACCTTTATCGAAGGAAATGAATCGAAGATTCCGAAAATAAATTATTATGATTTGGTTAGTACAACTCACACCGAAAATGGCCGAGTTAGTTCTTACCTAAGCCTAGGGTTTAAAAATGTAGCTAAGAATTTATCAGTATAGATTTAAACAGTATGATACCGACATTAATGACTTATTGACGAAGTCTCTTTTCTAGACTACGTTCAATATATATTCACTATTGTTAACATACTGGTATAAATCCGTCAAAAATTTCTTAATGAAAACTTTGACCTAAGATTCATTTCCAGTTATTATCTTTAGGAGGGCAGAGCCGACTTCGACCGATGCCTTGCCGAGAGTCTCCCGAACCTAACCGCTGCCCAGAACCTCGCTGTCGCTCAATGCTTGAAGGTCGACCTTGTACGGCGAGATCTGCTGGCTCGTCCTCAGTGCTGATACCGCTGACCTGCCGAGAATTGTTGCTTCGAGTTTGTCTCGCCGGTATGGTGATTGTATTTGAACCATAGGGTCGTCCACGTGTGCGATTATACCCTCCCTTTGGAGTATGTCCCCGCGAGAAGTTTTGACCACGCGTGGAACTCTGTCCACGCTTAGAATTCTGTCCACGCTTAGGATCATATCCACGCGGGTTTCGATTCTTTCCTCCTTGGTTTACGCCCGCAGTTTGAGTGGTTCGCGGATTGTCGGAATGGGACAGATACTTCATATCAGCAGCATGTTCATCGTTTATCCCTGGGCCTGAAAATGGACTGCTATTTAACAATGGACCACGAATGGAACCATTAAAAGTTTCCCGATTGGGTGGTAAAGATCCAATAGGCCTCCCTCGACCCTGGGCCTCACCACCTAAAACATTCACCTCGCGAAAATTTGTTGTAGCTGGAGTTTTTTTAGATATAGGCTTGCTTTTTCGTCTATTTTGGCGAGGCTTCCTCTCTGGTGTCACACAGGGATTGCCAGGATCATTAAGGGTGGGTTGTTGATCTGGCGGGATCGTTTTTTTTGCAACCAACGAATGTGTGCTCGCCGCGTTGCCCAAAAAGGTTGGTGCCAGTGTGCGTTTTGATCGCGCTTCGATATTGGGACTCGGTCTGATCGCCGCTTTGGAAACTGCACTAGAATTCGTCTGTTTGAGAGGCGAGAGGTAAGGTTTTGGCAGATCAGGTGATGGCAACACATCTGGGTCTTGTCGTTTTCGTTCTGGAGGTGGTGAAATAGTTGGCTTCTCAACAATTTGCAGGTTTGGATTAAGAGGACATTGTACCTAGAATGGTGTGATAACACTGATATAGACTTAAGGTGGCTTCCAGAGCTGGGAGGAGCTTGCAACTTTTTGGAACCTTTCAGTCCACTCTATGCCATGACAGTATTATTAAACACTTTGTAACACCATTGTTACATTGTTATTTAACACTCTTATAACATGCATGTTTGAGACTCAATAACCCCCTTTTGAATAATAATCTCCTAATATAATTTAGCTCTCCTAACATATGAGACACGATACTTTTTTGCTGATTAAAAAAACTTTTTCAATAAAAATAACACAGTACAAAGATCTGATCACCCACCTGGTGCAAGGCAAGATCAACGAAGGGGTAAGATTTTAAACAAAATTCACAAGGACCTGATCCCGCGCCGATGTCTGAGAAAGAAAAAATATATCATTCCTGGACACATCACATCATCATGCAGAGGGTTAAATGTACTAGAGGCGGGTTGTATGGTCTATAACCGATACGATCAAAACCTTCATCGCTGTTTTGAAGACAGGACTCAAGCAACGAAACGCTACCCAAAAGCTCTCCTATGGTGTATTTTGAAAAACGGCAAATGTCATCGAAAATCTAAAGATTAGTGGAAAAGTGACTTCTAAAAAAGGCCATTTCTTCTGTCACTGTGGATTTTGGGGGTTAAGTGTCCCCACCATAAAGCACTACCCATTTCCTACTGGATAAAAACTAGTAGTCAGACCAAACCTGGAATATTTCTTCGAAATGGATACCCCTTCGAGATGGATGATGCTTCGCCAAGGTAAGGTTCAAAAGACGACGCCCGACTTGGAAAAGGGCGGCCCAAGGACAGCCGTTGAAACTTTGGAGAAGATGGTGAGCGAGGGGTTGGTGGAACTTGGTCACAGTTTGCCTGAAGTGAGAAAACATTGCCTTATCAACATGGCACGTCACAGAAATGACAAGTCAAATCAACAACTTCACCTGATGGAAGTTCAACGAATCGGCGGGAAGCATTTCGCTGCAAAATTCACAAGGAAGAAACGTTTCGTCTGTCAAGTCAGGAGACGGTTTTGGTGCTAAAACAACAGACATTGAAGATTTTCACTACAAATATAGTAGTTTTAATTTTCAGTACGAATATTTGAGGCACTAAAATATATGTCAAAAAACGAGGTTTAAAATCAGCTCATGTACGAACACTGGCTTTGTGTTCTGTTACACAAATGTAATGCGTTTTAGAATACGTGCATGAACACACAACTTATTCCCACAAATATGTTGCCATTGCATTCTACCTGAAGTATCCTTCATTTCATCATCATCAAAAGTAGCTCCTATTTCATCGCTATCAGAACTAGAATTGTAGGTTCCACGAGATGATCGCTTAAAAACCTCAGTTCTCTCCTCTTCACTTGTGTCCATTTCGTTGGACACTTTTGCTTTTGCATAAACAGGCCCACGGGATTTCCTATTGAAGGGGATTTGTCTAGAGTTCAAGTCTTGGGGTGTGGGAAACTGTCTTTCGGTAGGAGGGAGTCTTCTTGGCATGGCTGTTGGAACAGGCCTTGTGAATCTGGAAGGACCATTATTCAGAAGATCAGAGGTTTTTGTTGTTTCTTCATTTGTATAAAAGTTCGGTTGGAACTGTGGGTGGAAGGGGAATCCGTATCCACCAGTAGCAGACCAACGCTCATTTCCACCACCTATAAGTCTCTCTGGCTTGCCGATTCCACCTGGATCTTGCGTGCTTTTGTCATTTTCTTTATGTGGTGTTTCACAGCCAGAGGCAATATGGTCTTCCAGGTCTTTAAGCAGGATCCTTCTCTTGCAGTTTTCACATTCATCTGTACGACTGCCACAAGCCTCCTCATGTTCACCCATCTCACAGGCAAGCATTGCTATCTCACAATATTTACAGTTCACACTTCTTTTTGGACAAGTTGATGTCTAAGAGGTTTAGAGAAGATCCAAATATCTTATTTTGGGCATGCATTCTAATGTTTTATAAAACCAGACATATCCACTTGGCATTGAATAATATCACCAGTTAATAGGTTAACTTAATTAGCCAAAATGCTTACCTTATGACTTTCCAAGTCCATTTTCTCTAATCTTTCTCCACATACATCACATTTCACCTGTATATAAGCAGGTTGTTACACAAAGTATATCTAAAGAACACAATATTTTGAGTTGCAAGAAAGCAACAAGACTTACTTCAACATGATTCTCATCAATGTGTTCTTGAAGACTGTTTTTGTTCACAGATTCTCCACATTGTGGACAGGTTGTCAGAAATCTCTTACAATGTATGGCATGCATATCATAGTTAGCACTTGGGATATCTTGTTTGCTTGAAAATTGAAGGAAAATAATGTTCTTGTATACACTTTATGTGATTTGGTAAACCTTAATTTAATTTTACTTAAATTCTATTTCAATTCAATTTTTCTCATATTATAGCATGGTAACACTAGGGGAATGAAGGGTTTCCATATTATATCATGAGTTTACCAATACCAAACTTAGAAAATAAACTTTAAAAGGGGCAAGCCTGCCTGGAAAAAAGGAATGTCTCCCAATAAGCAGGGCAGGTGAAGCTTTTTTTTTGCTCTGTGTCCATATTTCTTTAGGTATACCAACACTCACAAATATATTTGGCAGGGGAAATATTAAATAGTGTGGACAAACTATGATGATTTCAGATGTCATTAAGTTAAACAGTACGTAATATCGTAGATAAATTAAGAAGATTTGAATCGCAAGGATTTATTTACAGATCAACTGAACAGTGTTGGCAACCAAAGTTTTTCTTGTCAACACCTCATGAATAATCTGACACTGAGAAACCTTTATTCTACAGCTAGAGCTGTTGAAAATACTGACGTATATCTACCCAGGCTATTGAAAATGAAATATCCTAATAAAAAAAATGAAAGGTGATCTATAAACCTATCAATGACAAGGCAGTAGTAATTTTAACAGGTAATCAAGCCAAAAAATTCATGATCTTTGACGCAATATTTAGATGAAAATTTACTAAATATTTAAATCTATTAAATACAAAAGGCATAACGAATGTGGCGTTGACAACAGGAATAGATCAACTTTCAGACGAAGTATATAATATAAAGATAAAGACCGGTTGAAATTTATTGTGCTTTGATTGTATCTTAACACTTACCAGGTCGGGCAAAGCCTTTTGGCGATTTCTGCTTGGTCATCATCCATTTTGCTGGCCGAGTATATTTCAGATTTTCTCCAATCTGTCGTCTAAAAAAGCCTTAAAACCACGATCTATGTCTGTCCCATAAAAATACACCGTTTATAAATCGACTCTACACGTCTCCAGGACACGGAAACTGAAGAAGGAACTTTTGAACTTGATGAACCTCTTAAACTCGATGAATTTTTAAAATATAAACATAATAAATTGAAACTTCTATCGCTGATACCGAGGATTTTCCTTCTTTCCAAGAATTTGTGTTTGTTTTTAAGGTTTGTATATTTTCACTTTCATTTTTGTTTACGTTTCGAGCAGAACGTCATGTTGTTCAAATATAAGTGATCATAGTATGAAGCGTCCTCGATACTAGATATTTATTAAATTTATTTTTAAATAAAAATATATTTGAAATTAAATATATTTTTATATTTAAACATATTTCTATATTACCGTGGTACCTAAGTAGCAATAGGTGGCATTCATGTGCCACTATACCAATGGGCCACCATAATGATGGGTTATATTTAAATGTACATAATTTTCTCCAGGATAGCTAAATGTTTAGAAATTCGATACCAATGTTTGTTGACAAAACCTAGTTAATCGTTCGAATCAGGTATCGTTGTAATCTGCCGTTATTGACCTATTCATATTTTCAGGTAACTCACGCATTTCGATGAGAAATTAGGGCACGTTTTGAATGATTCGTTGAGACCTGTCACTCACGTCACCAGTTCTTTTCCTGGAAAAGTTTTCCAGGGGGCTATAAAAATGGTTTAGAAGTAAATGGCCGTTTATAGAATGTTAACTTTATTTATACTGGATAGCCCTACCAGTTCTAAACTATTCTTCCTAGAGGTCCAGTAAGGATCATCTCTTATTGATCCAGTGTTACTACAGGAAGAAACCTAAACTAAACTAACTTTATTTATACTGGATAGCTCTATCAGTTCCAAACTGTTTTTCCCAGAGGTCCAGTAAGGATCATCTCTTATTGATCCAGTTTTCTACTTTTCTAAACTGTTCTCCCTGGAGTCCCATGCTTGAAAGATTCATACATTGAAATAACAAGTCTAATCCCGCACACACCTTGATAAACACATGGGAAGGAATCATGTTTCTGACTGCCATGTCAATGTCACCTTGGTAACGGGCCAGACTTAAGCGTAACCTTGGCAACGTAACGTAGCCAGGTGCTAGCGGAAACAGCTTGTAGTCTAATGTATGGCTAGCTGACGGAAGGATACTAAAATGAATCTGAAGAGAAATCATGGTGAAGTGACTGTTCTATTGGAATAAACAGTGATTCCATTTCATGGACACATCAATTCTCTGCACCCAGAGTCCTCCTCCACCGCGCGTAAGAAGCCGGGCTCTAGATACGAGAATGCACATCACAGTAACTGACCTCTTTACTTCCAGTAAACATGAAGTGTTCGCTTTGCTCAACCTTTGCCTCAATTTCTTGCACCGTAGCTGTCTTGTTAAACAAAGTATAGGACAAGGGTAACGCGGTACGGACCGTGCCATAAGGAGGTACATCTAGGAATAGAAAGGGTCGTGTAATGGATGGCTCTTACCTATCCCTGTTAACCCTACAAAACACTACGAAAAAACGATAAAGGAAGACTTAATACCTGTGTGGATAGACAGGGGCACTTTCTCGATGCTTGTTGAAGGTAAATCAATGTCAGTTACAACTGATGGTAGTTCAGATCTTTGTTCGACTCTAAGTAGATGTTCAAGTTGTTATGAATATCGGCCATATTTCTTTCCGTGCAGCTAGTCGATGGAAACTTAGTAAAAACCTTTTAGTAAAAAACCTCTTAGTAAAAACCTTAGTAAAAACGATTTTTTTACCTTTTCCATTCAATTTGAAGCTGGCCGAGGTGAATTGATCGTGAAACGCTATTGGATACTTTACTAATCAGACAAAAACAATCCGATGCAGATTCATCATTTTCCAAAGAAACTAAATGTAAAAAACACAACAAAATAAGATGGTATAAATTGATGTTGTTCAAGACGATGTTTCATGCGATGTACAACATAATGATTAACAGAAATGAACAATCTAGATCAAATTATGATGCCTTAAGAAATGAAATCCTCTCAAGTAGTTTTAATCTATTTAAGTATTATAGTTTTAATTTATAATATAAACCTTTCGTACTTTGTAATTGAGAATAAGTATTAAAAATTATTGTTATTAAATACAAAGTATTGCACCTCCGGATAATTGGGATTCGCTATCATCATCTTCAAGCTGAATTTCATTTGACTAAATGGGATGAAAAGACGTTTTCTATAAACGAAAATGTCTGCTTTGTTATAGAGTTTGTAGCTACATCGAAGAAGATTGATTTAAGAACTTTTCAAGCACTTTGAATGCCTCATTTGGCAACTCAATGACAACAAATCGAGAGTAGTTAATAAAAATCCCATAAATTGAGAAAGCAACGCCGTGATCACCAAATTTCGAGTGTAACGAAAAGAATACAAGAATTTTGACTTGAAATAATACAAGAATTTTACACAAGACTTGAAAGAATATAAGAATTAAAATCCATTGCCAAAGCCCTTGAAAGGTTTTATGGGAATCCTGTTGTACGTAACGGCAGAAAAACAATTCATTACTAAACATACATACCAATTGCAGTTTACAAGAAATCACGGTCAGAGGCCATGGCGAGGAACATTTTATATTCACAAGCAACATGAACAACTCCCCCTCGTGAATTTTGTCCAAACTGAAAAATTCCTAGTCGAGAAATATCTGAGTCAATGCAAAGTGGGCCAAGGGCTGTTTATTTGTCAAGTTGTAGTGAGTTTAAAAACAAATTTTATTTCGGTATATTTGTTTGTATTTGAACACTCAAAACCTTGGTCAGTATCTTACCTTAGTTACGAGAGAACACGTTGTTCTGAACGGATGAACACTTTCCAGTGTCGTTGCCACAGTCTTAAAACAAAACAGAGAGAATAGAAATGCAGCAGTGACTTCAAATGCTCAAGATCAATGTTGACTTGAAGTCGAAACACAATACCTTGGAACATAAACACTTCACAACATGACCCATAGTTCCCACAGTTACTTCAACTTCGTAAACAACCTGATAAAAAGGTAATTTATTTATGTTCAAAGGTAAGATGCAATACGTTAACTCTTAATTTCAATCAATTTCGATCGAATACGTCAGCGACAAAGTTTTCAACATTAAAGCGAAAAATTTCACTTGAAGATATGTGTAAAACCTGTCACGGACTGTCTTCAAGCTAACCTTTGCCAAAAGTTCCGTTTTACCAGCTTGAGAGGTCTTTGCAAACAGTTCTCGTTCAATCTAAAATATCAGAATTTGTAAGCCCAATTCCTTGACGTCAACGAAAGCAATGCAACGTTAGAAAAACACCAACCTTGTCAGAAATCTCCGAAATTTCAAACGTTTGCGAGTGTTTTTCTTCGTTTTCAAAATCCGGCTTGTCCAGACACATCCAGACTACAGGAAAGAAAGAAAAATATTCGTTAAAGTTTTCTCGCTGTACGAAACAGGTTTCCACAAGCGATATTTTTGGCGGGAAGCAACTTCTTGCTTCTCAAAAACAAAGGAATAAACTTTTGCTTCGCGCGAAGAAAATCGCTAATGGAAAACTGAATCTTTTGAACACAAACTCTGCGTTGTAAAATACCCAGTTCAGATCTTGTAGTGCTTTTTTCCGCATCCATTTGAATTTCTACCCTGAAAATCATAGAAAATAATAAGCAAAGGATTGACATAAGTACAGTACAAGACACTCAGCTGGATTTGCCCACAGGCATAATACTTACTTCACATTTGAGATTGTCGTTTTTTCCTTGTTACTTATCCGAAGCTGAAGCGGGTAGATTTCATCGATCAACGAAGGCTGCTGATGTTCAAAGGCGATGTCCACGCACGGTTCACGTGGAGTTACACTGGAATAAATTGTATACATGAAGTATCTCATTACCAACAGACTATTTAATGCAATATAAAATACCAAATCTTATCACAGTACTTGAGTGAACACACAGGACACAAAATGTCTGGAAGACCTCGTTGCAAGACCGTCAAATGTCTTACTGAATCATAAACTTTCACAATGCAATTTCCTACCTTAATTTCGATAAAATACGTAGTCGGTTCCATTCCCCCGTACCAACGCTCGCTATCTCATCGTTCTGGTTACCGAGGTTGACGAGAGTCGAGTCAGAATTATTTGCAATGTTACCACCCCCGCCGTTCCAGATCAGGATACCACAACACACCTGCCTCGAGCCGAGCTCAAGAACCACAGACGTAACCTAAAGCAATTGAGCAGTTACCTGAGTGCTATTTCAGAGAATCACATTCATACAACTTGATACAAGTTGTTATTCCATACTGATATAGCTCTATCAGTTTTAAACTGTTATTCCTAGAGGTCCAGTAAGGATCATCTCTTATTGATCCAGTGTTACTACAGGAGGAAACCTAAACTAAACTAGCTTGATTCAAACCTGACCTCTATAACTTTTTCAACATCTTCGGGCAGGGGGGTGAAGGAAAAACTTATTTTCTTAATCTTTCTTGGCTCCAGATACAGATCACCCTCTTCAGAAACTTCAGAAGTGCTTGAACCAGGGGCGTTCACGACACATAACGAGTTGTAATTCTGATTATTGAAGAGAACCGAAAGACTGTTGAAGCGAATCGGAAATGGACTGGTCGTTCTGTCATGTCAAAGAATAAATTCATGGTTATCACGAGGTACAAACACACAATCTGGTGTATGTTGAGGTCAGAAGCTCGACAGCAATGGCGGCCAAGTCCATAAATCACATACACCAAAAGTTGAATCGGAATTGAGGGCTTAAATTCGGTGCTCCCTGATAGGTTCCTCACCTAAGGTAAATGTCCAGGGCAACATAGCAATCCGCAGAAACGGACTGGGAATTAAATATGGCTTTGCATTCCACTAAAAATATGGAAATTTGATGAGTTATTGAAAGTTAAGAAACATAGGCTATTTATCTTTCGACCGTTATTGAAAACGATGAAGACATGGAATTAACAATTGAAAAAGAGAATCTTTATTGAAAAAGAGAATCTTTACTTTAGTTAAAGTAAGGTTTAAACTGAACTATACCAAACTAGGGCGTTTTGAAAGCGCCCAAGATGTTTGGTTGGAAAGAACATCACACAAAAATATATTTCGCTCACCAAAGGAGGCAATGTTAGACATTTGGATATTAATGAGATGGGGTCCCTGTTTCATCAAGGCTTTCCAATGTTCCTTCGCTTCTTCGATTGCTTCGACATCACAGCCTGGTTCGTGGTCTGGTGAGTCACCCTATTGTTGAATGAAAGAGTTTAAACTAGCGGAGGAATGTATTCATTTCTAGCGGGTTTCTTTGAAAACTTGATTGTACGTTGGATGTTCACGAACGTGGTACACGTGCTTCCACTTACCGATATCACTCGGATCAAATTCATTTGAATCCTGGTTCTTTCATCGGAGTAATGAAGAGCATCTTAGGACGAGTAAAGGAGCATAAAACAACTGTTCATCCAGTTAGGTCAAATAGATCTCCGTTATGAAGACATATATAGATCGTCCGTTTTACAATGTTCATTTATAGTTATATAAGCTTTCAAACTTTCAAAAGGATACATTGACCCATTAGTTCAATACAAATGGTTAAATATTCTTGTATGTTCGCCAAAAGATAGGCACATCTACAGAAAAAAATACTTTTAAATTAGACACGTAGAACCGACTTTTAAACTAGGCACGTAAATACACACTTTTCGCGATGACTGAAGAAGCGATATGTAGCTTTGAGGAGCGAATAATGAGAGAAATCTTGTCAATAACATTTCATCCAAGATATTCACATTACATTACCTTAAAGAAGTGCTTAGAACAGCTGTCAACAAAGACCACCATTTTTCCTTGCGATAATCACTGGTCACAAGACCAAGAAGACTAAAAGTTTATACAAATGATACTGGTTGTCAATTTCCAGACGTTTAAAGACAAAATAAACTCCAAAAAGTGAACACAATGTGAATGTTTCGCTGGCAATATTGACCAAACTACCAGTTTACTTACGCTAAAGCCTTCGTATAGTCTCTTGCATGGTAGTACTCTTCACCCATTTGCACCACTGAAGTAAAAATAGACTTCGTTACAATTCGGTTTAGTTTGAATGCTGTTATAAGTTGAGAAACTCTTACTCACTTAGGAAACGCTTCATTCTTGGAGATTTGTATTTCTTGAACTGTGAAACGGCATTACTCAGCAACGGAATTATTATCCACTGAAAACCAAAAAATACGCCGCTTTTTAACTGCACAAAAAGCATTCTCAACAGATAATTAGCAGCAAAAAACAAGGTAAAACAAGGTAAAACATACTCCGAGGCGAAGAAAGTAATCTTTAAAAACCATTTGTTTTAAAGCACAATTCTTAGGTTTACAAGACGTTGTTTATTGGAGTATGTTTTATCTTGTACCTAACTGTACATTACTCCACTTTTTAACACTAATGAAGGCTAAAATCTGATTGAATTTCTTAGCGTACTGCTTACACAGTGATCGACCATAGTTTCTTGTGCTTGTAGAGCCAAGATGCCGGCATTTTCTTTCGTCTGGTCGGGAGGCTTATCGCCTGAAGGAAAGGACAAGAACAGTCAGACGATTCACACATGCATGAGCCGGGCAAAATCTCGTTGGGAAAGAGCATACCCTGGTGGAGTTGCCTCCACGGTCGCTGGCCAAAATATTCCAAATTTCCGGTTTTCTCCAGAGGATCGAAGGACACCGTGTCTGGGGGCTGAAAAAGAAATAGTTTTTACAAAAAAATCCCAATGAAAAACTATTTAATGTCATATCTTGCGTTATTTTCAAGGTCAACATCCACAACAGTAAACTTACAATGTGATGGCAAAGACCCTCTGAGAGCTGACGTCTTATAACGGAGTGATTTGCAGCTTGTTGATAATAGAACCCAGGATGTTGTGTCTAAATATTGCAGAAAAAATTGCCGTCAGTCAACGAAATTGGGCAGGCGATAGATGGATCAATGATTCAAACCTGGATTGCCGTCAATCCATTCTTTATAGCCTCATCGAATAAGTCACCGAAAACGCTGAATCTAAGTAAAAAAATCACATTCGTTCAAAAGGTTTGGTAGTTTATGGTTACTACAAAACTATCATATCAATGATCTTGTCTTTTCATCAAAATAAGAAATGGTTACACTCCAAAAGCAACTCACTGTTTCGACAGCCAGGCTAAATGCTCAAAAGCCAGTTCAGGATTTCCTGCCTTCTCTTTGAAAAAGTCGACATGTCTTCGAAACTGTGAAATGGCATCCAGCGGAGCACTGAGACGAAAGCTTAAATGGCAGATCTAAATGATTTAATTCAGAGCATGGATATAAAAATCATCTTTCTGCTATTTCATTCATTCTTGTTTATTCATTTTTTTCTCCATTTTAATTTATCTTGAATATACTGAAATGCTTTCATACTTTATAGTTGATAAATCCAGCGACAATTTTAATTTCCAAAATATTCATTTCATTTTGTTTGATCTCAGTGAGCAACGAGTAGGCTTGCTTGTAATGTCTACACGTGAAAATACACAACCCTTAAATCAAATGCTTTATATGAACAGAGTTTTCATTAGTGACAGGTATACATGGGGATTTATCAAGCAGGCAATATTCATTTCAGTTTGATCTTATATATTCTTACTTCAAAGCTGAGTGTGAATCCTGCCGTATCTCTGAGAAGAAGGCAATCTTGAATTGATGTCGGACAAAGAATTGCTGAAATAAGGTTATCCAACCATTCGTAATTACAAAACAAGTTTGAAATAAAGAGAGCATTTTATTACAAACATAACAAGTAAACCTTTCTTATATAGACAGTTTTAGATTTGATACCCAAACTATGACTATGCTTTTATTACCTGATGCAAAGACTTGTTTAGGAATTCCTATAGAATAATATTCATGAAATAATGTTAATAATAAAACCTGAATTTTACATTAGTATATTAAAATATTAGATGAAAATTGCATAGTATATACCTTATGTGATTTGACCTTTTTGGCCTCTCCTTGGTAATAATTCTGAGCCAATTCATGAAATGCGCTTTCCAATCTAATTAAGACACAAGACACATTGAAGAACATTGTAACCCCATGTTACCTTGCCTCTGTTCTGTCATACACCAGACAATTATACTACTCAATAGAAGAGCACTTGCATAATGTATACACATTAGATTAAATGAAATTACCTGGTTGTATAGCCATTCAAATTCACCATATGATCAGTGAACGGCAAGACGAAGAGAGATTTTGCCGACAAATCACAGGCACTGCAGAGCGCTGCAACCCTTTCAGACACTTGCGTATCTTCACCTTAAAATGATACAAATTACAAGATTGTAAAACTAGAAAGTTGAAAAACAATCCTTTATCTCTGCATGCAAGCTTAGGACATCCAAAGCAATACCTGGGGGGATTGGAGCATTCTTTTGAATGAGAACTACTGCAACTCGAGTGTTCCGGCCTTGCAAATTGTTCCTAAAGTTGAATGCACAATCAATCAACTTATTAAAACGCAAATTGCTTCATCACAATCATACAGAATTAACTGCACTACAATTACCCACATTGGCAGACTCGGCAATACAAAGAAAACTAAATGGCAGAAAACAGCATCATCAAACCTTATCTGTGTAACTTTTGCTGAACATTCTGCTTGTTTTTCTTTCCATTTTAAGTTATCCCACTCGAGATCAAAGAAGAAAATGACAGCGGCAGGAATGACATTTAAATGTTTATGCATCCATTTAGCTTTTAAGATGCCTTTTGGCAAATACCAGTCGTAATTCGTCCTCTAAAAGATAATAATCATAATATTTATAATAATCAGATAATAATATTGCAAATGCAAGTCTCCATGCAGCAGAGCTGACAGAAATGTTGAATAGCGATCAAGGGAGCGATCAAGCTGGTATGTCACGATACGTGCATATCAGGGAGGATTTTCCTCCAGGAAACAATCTTCAGGAAGGCCAGATATTAATAGTATTCTTTAATTATGAAAAGTAGTACCCACCTTGGCTTTGCACTTCGGAAATTGGTGGTCATATGGAACGAGTGTGAATGCAAGCGAGATCCGATCGGGCTGTCTGTTTAACGTGAATGACTCCCAGATTTTCTTGTGAGCTGTGTTAGCCGCGATGTCCAAACCGCTCAGAGCTACAAGACTTAAAGGTCGAGTAACCAACTCTGTAGGAAGGTCACTCGCGACCGCCATCTTGGAATGTAATCGATCATCCAGTTTCATTTTGCAATTTGCAGATCAGTGTCTGACTGAACTGTTAATAACCTGGATGGTGGCTGTGCAAAACTTCATATTGTATAAATGAAGTGTCTCATTTCCAAATAGAATGAACAAGAATGTTTTTAAAAAAAGCGTAAAAAAGTAGTTCACATTTTCTAATAAAACCCCTTAATTTTTAGCTATGAGCGACAGCGACGAGACGGTTTGTGGCAATGAAAGTGGAGGAGAAAACACGCAAAATTCTCCATCGATATTGAGCAACTGGGATCCAGGAAAAGCAAGCATTCGTTTATCCGAAAAAGGCAAAAATAGTCCGAAAAATATCTTGGTACAAAGGGATGAAGAAACTAGGTAAAAAACATTAAACATTAAAAATATCGTGAATCATTTTAGTAAATAATCATTTCGATTGCTTTGAGGAAGAATTTTACGAGTTTTACGAATTCAATGTTTCAGTTTTGAAAGGAAAACTAGCTTTTATATAAAACTTTCAAATCTGTTTGGAAAATAACATTCAAGATTTGATAATGAATTGGTTTCGATTCAGTAGGGAAACTTCGAGTCCAGAACAAGATGTCTCACCGGAATTCCCACTCTATGCCCGGGGATTCAAGCGTAAAGGTACGTCGCCTTGTTGTTTAGTTTCTGATAATTAAAATTTCTGATAAATAAAGTTTGAAATACAACATATTTAGCCTTTTTTTTTAACCGAGTATCTATAGATTAATCGATATTGACGATAAGCTCAAATTGGGATTTCAGAAGGTTTCGATGAAAAAGATGACGCAGGTCGCGACGGGAATGGCAAAACTAGCAACGCTAAGAGTATCGTAGAATTACCAACATCAAACGATAATGACAGATTAGAAAATTTATTGAAAACTTTGGAACAGCTTGTGAAAGATTTGGAAACAAGATCAGGTATTAAACAGCGCGCATCAATCCCATGTTTTATACATTCTCGCAACAGCAGTTATTGAACATTTCTCCTCGCAATTTATAGGTGTTTACAATCTAGAAATCTCATTTCAACATGCAAAATCCCAGTTAGCCGATGTTCAGAAGATATTGGTAGAATCCAATCGTAAGAATCAAGTTGAAAGAAAACTGGTTCTTTCAAGTGGCGATGCTGAAAATACTCAACAGCTTCCTGAAGAAAAGAAGTTATTGATTTTGAATTTGGCGGAAAGGCAGAGAAATCTTCTTGGCGCTTTTAAAAGATACAGAAGCCTGGTTCAAAAATTTAAAACAGTTAAAGAGAAAAGGTGAATTTGTTCTTCAATAACAATTCAAATTCACTGTTTACCAGAAAGTTATTTATCAATTTGTTTTGCCAAAATGTGCATGTATATATTATATCTTTTTGAAATTTGTTTTCGAGTTTTGCATTTATACATTGTGTTAATGTTTTCCAGGGCAAGGAACACAGAACAATCATTAGTTTCAACATCAAATCCAACAGCGTCAACAAATAGTAGCGTGTCCGCTCCAGCTCATGCCGGGCAAACGGCCGTGAACAGTCGTTCTGAAATGTTGACGAAAACATCTGAAAATGCTTCAAAAGGTGTACCGAGGATCGTAGGTTTAACAACAGACGCATCAAATCCTTGCTTTACAAAAGCTGTCAAAGACGGTGCCGTGAAATTCATTGTACTCCAAAATCAACCGAACGACTTACGTTTAAGGGAACAAATTTGTAGTTCGGGAAATCATTCGAAGCAAGATGCTCATTTGAATCGCTCCGTTGTAAAATCGTCTGTAAAATCAATGGCAACAAAGCAAACAGCTCAACAGGTTCAAAGAACCACATCAGGAACGGCTTATCAGAATGCAGGTGTGACACCGATAATCATCGTTGATACATCGTCGAATAAACCTAGCAATTCTCAACCGTCTTCCGTCAAGTCGTTTCTTTCTTCGACCATCAAGAATCCAGGTAGCGTTTCTAAAAGCAGATTTGCGAAAACTCAAGATCCTCATGTGGCCAAAAGACCACAAACGCCAGCCAATCTACTCCAGCCGTCAGCAAATCCGACTTCACAGGCAATGAAGCAAACGGAAACAGTTTCAAATCGATTGGCAAAACAGATCCCGGAGTCGTGCTTAACATTAGGGAACTTACTAAAACAAGGCGTACTTGCGCCAGGAAATAACGTTCTCACAGCTTCCTCAGAGGTAAAGATCTTTCCCGTAGAAAAAGACTTTATCATGCTAAGAAAAACAAGCATAACAATCGTTTCAAAGATTTCAAACCGCTCGGTAGAGTCAAGAGAAGTTATAACTACAATCCTGGTCAAAACATTGACGACACTCAGTGTTAATTGCCACTACAGTCAGTAGTCACGGAATATATTTCAAAATTCTCCCCCTTTCCCCCACAAATCAATGTTGGGTGATGTGTCAGAACTCATTCAAGTATTCAGCATGGGCTCAACATTGATTAGGGGGGCGAGGGGGGGAAGTCGAGACAGAAATGTTGATGTTTTGCATAAAAAATTACAAATCATTTTGAGTGTAGTCAATGGTTTTGGCCAGGATTGTAGATTATTGCTACTCTGGCACTAATTTAAACACGTTATATGCATATTTTCAAACGGAATATTCTCTTTTGAAGGGCAAGCGATATTTTGCGTCGTTGTCGGACAAAGGGACCATCATCTCTGCTGGAGGAGAAGGATTTACGTCACCACGTTCCTGGGTTAAAGCAATCTTAGGAAGCAAAAGAAAACTGAAGAAAGATCTTGCATGGAAGATGGTATACTGGATAGTTCTATCAGTTCTAAATTGTTCTTCCTAGAGGTCCAGTAAGAGTAATCTCTTATTGATCCAATGTTACTACAGGAGGAAACCTAAACTAAACTAACTTTATTTATACTGGATAGCTCTATCAGTTCTAAACTGTTCTTCCTAGAGGTCCAGTAAGGATCATCTCTTATTGATCCAGTGTTACTACAGGAGGAAACCTAAACTAAACTAACTTTATTTATACTGGATAGTTCTATCAGTTCTAAACTGTTCTTCCTAGAGGTCCAGTAAGAGTAATCTCTTATTGATCCAGTGTTACTACAGGAGGAAACCTAAACTAAACTAACTTTAATTTATACTGGATAACTCTGTCAGTTATAAATTGAAATGGAATGTTACTAAAAAGGAGATCTCAGCTAACTTATACTGGATATAGGTCTAAGGAATCTTAAAACCGAGACGTTTTTGCATTTTTTTCAAGGTTTCCTACAAGAACAAACCTTTAATTGACCACGCGAGTGAACTCACACAAGTTCCAACAAACACAGCCAGGCCATTGTTGGATTGCAATCTTGAGAACAGCGATTCCGAAGTTTCCATTGAGAACAAGATCACAGGAAACCACGGAAAACAAAATCTTATCAAAACAACGTCATCCCTCAGAACTCTACTAAGCAACTGTCGCGTCAACAGAATTTCCAAAGAAGAATTCATTTTTCCCGATCAACTACCGAAAGACTTTTGGGACAATAACGAGGTGGAATTGTCAAATGATTATATTTCAAAGGCTTTTGATTTTTGACGATTTGGTCTCCAAACGAGATTCTGGTACTTTTGAAGATTTTTAGATAACTGTATGGTTGTTCGACGATAGGAAACGTAATTTCGTATGATAGAGAACATAAAGTGCGTGTATAAGAAGTTGACTTGTGAAAGGTCTATTCATCTTGATCATTTTGAGTTTGTGATAACCTGTGATGTACATGTACTAGTTTTTGAAAAAAAGAAAGAAAGCCATCGATTATTATATGAAACCGTGTTGGTTATATTATGTATTTGATCACAATGTACAGAAATCATTCCGTGTATTTCTTTGTATTCAACAAAATGTTCCTTGCTAAGAACTGGCATGACATGGTCATCCGCTGACACATGGTCACCCGCAGGCATCGGCGCAGACATTTGCATGAATATTGATTCTCCATTTTGGTATTCTGTCCATACAAACAGGACAGCAGAACATGTGGTCAGCTGAAGCACTCTTGATCGGTGACATTATTTCCAGGTCACCTCGCTCATCAGAACTGCTCAAAATCACAGTTTCGTGGATCGTGGAGCCCACGCAACCTGAAGCGTGGAGCTCTATCGTCTCTGGCGGGAAAAATTTCTCGCACAAAGGACACTCGTGCAGGACGGAAGATTGTGCTACGGTATCACGTGAAGAGGTCGAGAAATCACGTGGTAAACTTGGGACATCACGTGGTAAATCTGGAGTGTAACATGACGAGGTTGGAGTATCCCAGAGTGTTTCACATGGTAAGGTCAGTGTAACAGGTGGTGAAGTTGGAATATCACGTGATGAAGTTGGCCTATCACGTGGTGAAATTGGCCTATCACGTGGTGAAGTTGTCCCATCACGTGGGGGCATAGCACGTGACGGAGTGGGGTTTGAGGATTTGGTAGACGTGGAATATGCTGGACTGAAGCCTTCATCAAACTAAAAAAATAGAAAATGACAATCAAATCGCCCAAATGAAGTAAACTAGAAGAACGTCTTTTAATGCAATACCTTTTGGAGATCTTTTCTTCTTTCTTTTACTCTCTCCACTTGTTCCTCAGTAAGCTAAAAATTTCAACAAACTTCGGTCAAGAAAGGATAATGGCTATTGATGAGATTTCCAATCCGTGCCTGTGTCTGTTTGTTTGAGAGTTCAGGCAACTTTCATAGACGATGTGTTGTATAACCACGTACCCTGATAAAAACTTTTCTTTCTTCTTTTGTTAATTTTGCGCCCCGCATTTTTTCCATTTGTTCTTTCAATTCTACAAAAGACAAACCCGTAGATATTATAGCCATCTATTTATCAAGAACAGCCAAAACAATACTATAACGTCTCACCTTTGTATGTAATTGTCTCTAAAGGCATCTTGAAAAAGTCGTAAGTCTCCAAAAAGCACTCGACTTCGTCTTCAATCTAATTCCAAGAATTCGGCGAGAAGTTATTAAAATTTGAGGGCATTTAAATATGGAACAGTTGCATAAACATATATGAATATAAAAATAAACAATTTCTCAGTAATACGTACGTCCCCAGCGGTTCTTCTTGATAGAGTTTTGTGTCGTTGCAAACTTTGAAGTTCAGCATTGCCATTCGCTTACAAGATAAAAATATAAAACTGTGTATAAGCATATGTCTTTTGTTCATTTTATATTTTATAGCTCAATGTTCTATATTAATCGTGATAAAATGAACTGAGCAACCTCTATGTTCACTGCAGTATCTTTTAACACCAAACAATTCATCATCAATTGTAAGGAAACTACATTATAGTATAACTATTACCTAAGGTTCAACTGTTTAAAGTAAAACTATTTGTCATTGTCTCACAGTGACTCAGATCTATATACTTCACAATAATATTAATTACAAAAATGAAACAAGAATACTTTTGGATGACACAAAACTGAAGTCATTATGTAACAAGATTTAACATTTGAAATACTAAAAGATGCATGAATTCATAAGAAGTTGAAATCTTGGATGATTACATGTTCATCTTGTTTGATCATGGCTCAACATGCAAGTGTTAAATTAAATACTATACCGGTACCAGGTCTGTCATAAGGGTGGCTTCTTATTTTTCTTTGCTTTGGTTGGTGATTTTTTCCCTTTGTTTCCACATTCCCTTTCAAGGCAGCCTGCACCAGCCCGGCTGCACGGCTTGATTTTGGCGATGTCAGATGACCAAAAAGTGACGAAGTTGGCCGATTTTGAGGTTGTAACCGAGGCGAGGTGCCTAGCAGTTTGCTGTTAGACATAAATGAAGTCATTCACGGTTAATTAATATTTCTCTTTCCCACTTGAGACTAGAAATCATCATGAGTGTTTCACCAGTCACTAGTTACTGTACCTTCTGAATTCAGCCAGGGATTGCCTTTGAGGTGTCTTTGCTTTATTTGATGCAGAGTTTTCAAGGTTACTGCCCTCGATGATGTCAACAAACTGTAATCCAAATTGCTTGTCCTTTGTAAAAGGTTGACGGCAAACCACTCGTACCCTGTCCCATTCTTCCTCTGGAACATCTTTCGTGAATGAAGCTACAAAAGAAACACAGTTTGTGCAGAGTGCTGATTTAATCCACAATGTTTCAATTCAATCTAATATTGCTAACCTACTGGGTATTATGTTTTAGTTCATAGGGTAAACTACAGTAAAGAACTAAAGAACTCAAACCATATTTTTTTGTGATAAGTAATTGAGCGTCCACACCTTTATCGAACATTTTAACTCCCAAAATATTCCTCCCTGTCTTGCTTTCTGCTGGTGACATCAGTGTTGTTGAGGGAAGTAAAGTGACATAATCTTTACCAGATGGCCACATGGAACTGCCAACAAGTAACTCAACAAATGCTGATCCAAAATTACCTAGAGAACAAGCAAAGAAACACTATTTACACATTAGGCCTTTCATAGGCAAACTATTCTGAGAAATGGGTCTAGATAGGACAATCTAGTTGTCCTTCGATGGGGGATAAATACCCTCAAACAAAGGCATATTCATCGATTTATATTTGTACTGATGAATATATAGAAAATTTAAAAATGTATATTAAACGCTTCACACCTATATTAATATAACCGATCTGTATTGCTTTTGATAAATGAATCTCTGCTTCGATCTGCCCGCTCTTATCATGTTTACTCGAGAGCCATTTTTTATCCTTATTTAAGATGTTTTCTGCACGATGTGTCGGATCCTGAAATATAAGAAATATACGTAGTACAATCACGTTTTATACACAAACATAAACACAACAAGTCAACAAAGACTTCGTCAAAAATTGTTTTATTTCCAGTGCGTTTAACATGCATTGGCCCTCAAAATGAACAGTAACATCGTGCTAACAATAACCCACAAATGCGCGCAATAAAAAGCCGTGAAAAACGGACGGATTCTTACTTACTTGCGAACTACAGCGAGCAATAGAAAGCAACGTTTTGTTTACCGGCGCCATTTTCTTTTGAAGTTTCCCGCGAAAAATTGTAATTCCCGCGACTAGTTACCAATCTTTGTTACATATTGGAACTGATTGGAAGTTGGAACGTTCGGGAATTTCCGGGAATTCGATAATCAGTATATAATATAATAATATATGACATACTTTCGCATGTTTACGTTTGATAACAATTAAATTTTACTATGGACGTTGTTCGCTCAAACTTCGAAGTTATTTTGCCCCAGATCGAGGCAGCATTGGAGAAATCTGAATTTATAGGTAGGAACACCAGATAATGGTAATCATCTGTATAGAATAGTACCAACAGTTCAAATCATTAAACCATCTCAACGATCTGGTAACTTGCAATTCGAAAATTATTAAAAAATCATGAGATACTCCACAATAAAAATGGGGTATTTTGGGTGTCAATTGTATAAAGGTGCTTGCTAGCACCTTGCCCACTCCCCTACCAGGTAGGGCCTACCCCTAAGTGACCCACCACCACATCCTACTGCCCCACCCCCACTTGCACCACAACAAAACAGCCCCACAAGATTGTAATACGTGATTAAAGTCTATGTAGTCATGCGACTCGAACAGGAATATATTGTTGATAAATTATGTAATAGTTGTCTATTTTCATTCCATTTAAAAGCAATCGATACAGAATTCACAGGCTTGGCTGCGAACGACAATCAGCAGCCTAGTCTTTTTGATGCACCATGTGAAAGATACACAAAACTCAAGAGGATGGTCAACCAGTTCCTTGTTTGTCAATTTGGTTTGTTGTCAAGAATATTTCTGTTCTAAATACTATTAATTAAGTTTAGAATAATCAATGTGTATTATGTGTATAATTAGTAATGGAATGTTTTTGAAATAGGTGTTAGTGCATTTGTGAAAAGTCAGGAATATTCAAATACGTAAGTTGACGTGTAAGTCATCTCTTGTTTGGCATGTTGTTGGTTTCAACTGGTTGGTTGGTACTTGGTTGGTTGGTTGGTACTTGGTTGGTTGGTTGGTACGTTGGACCATCAGTTGGTCAGTAATGTCTGGTCAGTCAGTTGACCATCACTTGGTCAGTAATCTCTGGTCAGTCAGTTGACCATCAGTTGGTCGTAATGTCTGGTCAGTCAGTTGACCATTAGTTGGTTGGTAATATCTGGTCAGTTGGTTGATCATAAGTTGGTCAGTTGTCTAGTTAGGTCAGTCAGTTGACCATCAGCTGTTCAGTAATGTCTGGCTATGCAGTTAATTGACCATCAGTTGGTAGGTAATATCTGGTGGCAGGTAACATCTAGTTAGTCAATTCACCATCAGTCGGTCAGTTGTCTGGCCAGTCAGTTGACCATCAGTTGGTTGGTCAGTTGTTTGGTCAGTAGTTTCCCATCATTCTCTTTATTCCAACTCTCTCGTCATCATTAGTTATGAAGCACACACCTATAATTTTCATCTTTACCCATCCTCCTTTGGACAACAACATGACATCAGATTTACCTGTCAGGCAAGTGACAACATAATAACATCATTGATGACATGATGCCATTGATGGCAAGAAAACTTAAGCTCAGTTTTATAATTCTCACTTCAGGCTTCAAGCTTAGAGTTCCTTTGTAACCATAGATTTGATTTCAACAAGGTAATAATAAGAACTATTTCTCAACGTTCAACTTCAATACAACTTTAAGTTCAATTTCATATTAGAAAGTATGAAATCCAAAGTGAATAACATTATTTTAGTTTGTGTATGAAGGCATTTCGTATTTGAACGGAAACCAGGTATGTATGTACTATACAGTCTAAATAAAAAATAAACAAACTGTGTTCTATAACTGACGTGTGGTCGACGAAAATACCAACTAGCAATATAGAACATATTGTGGCACTACTGGCATTAGGCGAATATATTTCACTTATATATACTTTACCTATCATTTATTCTTTGCGTTTCTCGTAATTTTTAGAGAGCTGAACTTCAAGAATTATGTCTAAAGAACCACGTAAAAATAGCAAGCTCCCTTAACAAGTCAGTTCCTCTTCTTAATAATTAAATGAAACATTAGTCAATTTCAGCAAAAACAAAATTCAAAAACTCTCCACCTAATGGTTTGTTAATTTGTTTTTCATGTAGAGTTATTGAACAGGATTTTTTGTGTCCGAATTGTGACAAAATAGAAGAATGGTTAAAAGAAAATAAAACCAACACGTTGATTCTAGATTGTCACGGAGGTATATACCTTCGTAACTAACTGTTGTAGTCAGATGTAAAGCTTCAATATCTTTCCCTTTGCGGCCTGGAATTTTTGTTTACAATAACCGCGGGAAATTATTTGTGTTTGACGGACATTGTGTATTTTAGTTTTTTTCCAGTTTCTGCTGTATCAAGACATACGTAAAAAGTTTGCTAATTTAGATTGTGAGGTCCAGCCTCATGGAAAGGTAGCTACTGTATACAAAATGAAAATGATTTGTAAATTGAAATGGATTGCTGTGCCTGTAATTCATTTTACTCCAGCATAGGCCGACATTTATAGGTGCAGCGCGCTGGCGCACCAACACAGTAACTCCCTATCAAATAAACAAAAAATACTCATATATATTTTCAGTTACTCGTCAAACGAGAGTCGTTAGAAAAAGAACAACAAGCTGACTACGATGAACAGATAATGAGGTAGCTTTTCTTCAGTATTTATTCGATTAATAGTCTCTTTCAAACTGAATTGGGTTAGCAAGAAAGATCCTGAAGGGTCGGTCTGGTTAACCAAAAAACAGTTTTGCTATTAGGGCTGGATCCAAGATTTTGGCTGACTGATGCGATGTTTTGGTCAAATATACCGACCATGGTCGAATACGCCGTTTTCCGGCGAACTCGACCATGCTCGTATTCGCCATTTTCCGGCCAATTCGACCATAATCCTATTCGTCATTTTCCGGCCAATTCGACCATGGTCGTATTCGTCATTTTCCGGCCAATTCGACCATGGTCGTATTTGCCATTTTCCGGCGAATATATGACCATGGTCGTATATTTGCCATTTTCCGGCGAATATATGACCATGGTCGTATATTTGCCATTTTCCGGCGAATATGACCATGGTCGTATTTGCCATTTTCCGGCGAATATGACCATGGTCGTATTTGCCATTTTCCGGCGAATATGACCATGGTCGTATTCGTCATTTTCCGGCCAATTCGACCATGGTCGTATTCGTCATTTTCCGGCGAATATGACCATGGTCGTATTCGTCATTTTCCGGCCAATTCGACCATGGTCGTATTCGTCATTTTCCGGCCAATTCGACCATGGTCGAATTCGCTGTTTTCCGGCGGACTCGACCATAATAGAGTATACCATTTTCCGCTCCTGCATTTTTGCTATAAAGTGTAGTGTTTTTATCCGGCAAAATAAAGGTATTTTTTTCTCGAGGTATTTATGTCGCCTCTATAAACGTATTTATCTTCTTCTTGTAGAATTGTTCAAAGCTTTTGCGGATTTACAAGGGTATTTGAACTGTTTGTGAAATTAAAAAAGGTAGGCCTAGGTGTCTTTCACTACTGATGAAGCTTTTTTCGACGATATATATTGATAGTTATCAGGCTATAGTATATCTCTAGTGAGTCTATATGCCTGAGGTCATGCACGTAGTGTCGTTACATTGAAGACATCTTCTTGATTATTCCAGCCGCTTGTCGGACACAACTTATTCACAGATATTCTGTTTATGTACGAGAAATTCAACAGTTTTCTTCCAGGTAAATCAATGTTTTTAATGCAAATTCACACAAGAAGAAAAGATTATACCTTGATTAGTTATGATCATACATCAACATTTTCAGTATAGATTTCTTGGAATTGCTCGAACCGAAATAATTTGATCAATTTTTTTTTATATTTTCAAATCTTTTTATATAGACGACTATAAAATTTTCAAACGAAATATTCACGAATTGTTTCCTTTCATTATTGACACAAAACATTTGGCGTTTGCTCTTAATAGGCACGAAGTAAGTAAAATTGAATTGTATTTTTCTGTAATTTGCAATTGCCATGCTGAAGGCATGATCCAGTGGTTGTTTACGGAATCATTATAGGAACGTAATGAGTCACTTTTTAGATCTTATGTGAAAGCGAACTGTTCAAAAAAACGAATCTCGAAGAACTTTACTCAGAACTGAGTAGGTAGGGATGTCTTACTGCCTGGCTGCGTGTTTGTTTGTTTACATATTTATTTGTTTATTAGTTGCTTGTTTGCTTCCCTGTGAATGTAATTTGAATCCTTTTTAAACAACGAATTTATTGTTTTCATAGTCATAAAGGTCTCTATTATGTTTTATATACGCCAACAATAGTTCACTCGAAACTTTGCCAGAAATACGGTAAGTTGTTGCAGTTATTTTTCCCACAACACATGCAACACTTATAAATATTGTCAAACAATATCGAAGATTTTTACCCTGCAGTGTCTGTTTCAAAAAACAATCTGTGTCAATACCAGTTTTCAATTTAACTTTCCAGTTAATTCACATAATATTCACGAAGCTGGCTACGATGCGTATATTTCTGGTTACGGTAAAACGAATTCGACAACATTTTATATTTAGTTTGTTTTTGTAAAAAACTACATTTCAATGACGATTATGGCGTAATTATTCATGTTCATATAATTTCTTCAATATAGTATTTCTAAGGATGGCTCATATCTTAACTGCTAAAACTTCAGGGTAAGATAATATTTTCACAGTTTATTTAACCGTGCCATTGATTTATGCGGTAGGGAAATTCATTTCTTATTTTTTACGATATCAAAGATCAACCTTTGATGGTGCGGCGGAGTTTCGACAGTATTTTGATGCTGTTAAAAGTTACGGGAATATTGTGAACATTAGTCGAGCCACTGTTCCGTTTCTGGTGAGTGGATTTTAGCGTATAATATTCGATTTCAATGCTTCAAAACACGATTTGCTAAAACGTCTTACACCGGGGGATATAGCAAAGGGGTATATTGGATTATGGCAGGGTAGATTACCAAACTTAGGGGGCATCTTGCGACGAAATGGAACAAGGAAGGATATTAATTGATAAATTTACTGTTACATATGTACATTCAAGGAGTCAATCTGTACGCGGTAATTTGTCTATGAGGCGCGAATTTTTATCAACTCTTAGAATCTTGCCGGGGAAGATCCAAAGTCCATCAGACCAAGATGGCTCCATATCTCACGACGTCGTTCTCTAAAGAGATTGACCGCTGGCCAGGTATGCTTGTGGGCTTGTAAGGTAAAAACACCACAGTGACCATCTTAGGTACTCCTTACCATCCAATCAAACCTCAAGCTACAAGTTTTGATTCGCCTCTCACAAAGATAATGTCAATCAAGTCAATACATCCTTTGACACTGTAGATTTTGAAGGAATTAGACAGATTTGGCTCCCTTGACGTCAAAGTATTGGATGATCAAAGAGCGTTAGTTGCCACTGGTCATTCAAAAGTGTAAGAATGAATAATATGATATATATCACACGTCGTTTTAATTAAAAGCTTTGTGATTGACCTTTCTTTGACGTATTTCATCTTAAAAATAGTCATTTTAATCAAAAACTGTCTATACGTTGTTTGCAATATACACAATAGTTAGTGCTCTTATCTTTCAGCTCTCTTACTGATGTTTCATGCCTGTCAGTTGTCTGATTATCATTTCATCTTGCCAACGTGTGGGAGGCAATGCTTCTAGTTTAGCAAAAAGATTTCTCTTGCGTGTTACTTATATCTTATATCTTCTTCCGAGCGTGTTTATCTCAACAAGGCTATAGGAAGAAAGTCCACTTAAATCCAATTCACTTCGTTTTTTCCTTCAAGTATGCATTAAGGACTGTACACGCGAACATGCACGCTTAAAGTTTATTTAATCTGGTGCAGTGTTATTAATAGTTGCCGCTTAATTTATGTTTCCTTCTGTAGTAACACGAGATCAATAAGAGATGATCCTTACTGGACCTCTAGGAAGAACAGTTTAGAACTGATAGAGCTATCCAGTATAATTAGAGTTAGTTTAGTTTAGGTTTCCTCCTGTAGTAAACTGGATCAATAAGAGATGATTCTTACTGGACCTCTAGGAAGAAGAGTTTAGAACTGATAGAGCTATCCAGTATAAATAAAGTTAGTTTAGTTTAGGTTTCTCCTGTAGTAACACTGGATCAATAACAGATGATCCTTACTGGACCTTTAGGAAGAAGAGTTTAGAACTGATAGAGCTATCCAGTATAAATAAAGTTAATTTAGTTTGGGTACCTCCTGTAGTATCACTAGATGAATGAGGTCCGTTTTAGCACATAGATCAGTCTTCTATAATAAAGCGACAGTTTAGAACTGATAGATGCCAAACATAACTTCATGAGTGTTCATGGCTATTTTTAAGTCTTCGTCAAATATGTTTGTTTTTTACGCGAGTTTGTCTGAGCAAACTGAGATTAATGTATTTTTTTAAATACTCTTTTAAATAATCCGAGAAAACACTTCAACTCTTCAGGAGATCTGGGTAACTTTTGTCGTCATTGTGCAAGAGTGTATTACTTCAAAGTGTTTGAGGATTATCCCATATTATATGCAAATACAAGCTAGGCAAAGTTTATTTTGCCGCCAGTAAATCTAAACCTTGATGCTATTTTTGTGAACTGGTTATTAATATCAGCTGTTTTAGTTTGTGTTTATCTGATAAACATTCTGTGACTTTACTATCGAATACTACCTACACTGGACCACCACGTTTAAGATATCTTTTCAGGTAGTTCATGACACAAATCACGACAGCTTATTGTAGAATACTACCTACACTGGACCACCACGTTTAAGATATCTTTTCATGTAGTTCATGACACAAATCACGACAGCTTATTGTAGAATACTACCTACACTGGACCACCACGTTTAAGATATCTTTTTAAGTTCAGACACAAACCACGACAGCTTATTATATCAGCAGATATGCTGTACTTTACTGAATATGCTAACTAAACTGGACTCCAATGTTGAAATATTTTCTTTAGATCTCAACGAATTCTAAAAGCGCTACGACGTCACAAACAACTAAAAGCCAGGAATTATTATCCATTGTTGGACAGTCCAAATATAAGAACCTTTCTATGGTGAGGCTTTGGTTCGAATTTGCAGCATATTGTTCAGTTGTTCTGACATAGTTAAGATGATAGGCTTCTGTATTGCTCTACTATACATTCTAGTTCAGGTGTATACAATGTATACACATAGCATCAAATGTGGTATAAGAACTGCCTAACATAGACAAAACACTTCTCGACGTTTCGACCTGAGGGCTTTCGTCAGGAGAGTTAGTAGGAGTGACTGAGTGAGTAACTCTCCTGACGAAGGCCCTCAGGTCGAAACGTCGAGAAGTGTTTTGTCTATTTTAGGCAGTCGTTATACCACATTTGATGCTAAGTTGTTTGAAGACGCTGCCACGCTGCTCCCTGGTTATATTGCAATGTATACACATATCAATTTTCGCCCTCTTATGTTATCTGACCAACATCTTTTTTTAAACTCTTTCAGGGCTGGTGGTGTAGCAACGGCTGCTGTGACGTTTTTTGGAGTAGTTGCCGCGGTGTGTTATGGGAAAGAAAAACTAAATGAAACGTCTTAGAACATTTCGAATAATTAGTGCCTAGTTTATATTTATTCCTGAACCGTTTTAACCAGTTTAATCACTAACGTTGATAAAAATATATACGGAAAACTGGTGGATCTCAAATGTCGTTTGGTCTTGTGTTTTTCTTTACTTGTTCTGTAAATATTTATCAGTTCTAAACTCTTCTTCCTAGAGGTTAGTAAGGATCATCTCTTATTGATCCATGCAGTGTTACTACAGGAGGAAACCTAAACTAAACTAACTTTATTTATATTGGATAGCTCTATCATTTCTAAGCTGTTCTTCCTAGAGGTCCAGTAAGGATCATCTCTTATTGATCCAGTGTTACTACAGGAAGAAACCTAAACTAAACTAACTTTATTTATACTGGATGCTTTGTCAGTTCTAAACTGTTCTTCCTAGAGGTCCAGTAAGGATCATCTCTTATTGATCCAGTGTTACTACAGGAGGAAACCTAAACTAAACTAACTTTATTTATACTGGATAGCTCTATCAGTTCTAAACTGTTCTTCCTTCCTTAAAAACCCTTTAGTTCCGTCAAACGTAAAGGGAAAACTCTGTAGTGCGGTCAAAAAATCATCCAGGAATGAGAAGCGTTTGTTGTATGTGTATAGAGGTCATGCAGAATTAAGTCATCTGTGACTAATGGTTGTATCTGCCACTACAGCGATCAGACATCATTCATCAAACAAGAAACAGGATAACTCGAGTAATAGCTAATGGTCGCTCGTGGTGGTTAATCGATAAATACATGCTGTTTCCATTTCATGTCTGAAAACGGTTATATTTAGTGTCCGCGATGGCTTTGTTTTCGACTGAAAACCCGCCTCCTGTTGTTCCGTAGCCGCGAATGTTTTTAGAACGGAAGATGTATGAGGTATCTTCACGAGTTTTGACATGAAAGATCACTCCCACTGGTGTTGAGGTTTTAAAAGCTTCTTACCATCAATCATGTTGGTTTGAGAGAAAAAAATGGCTGAAGGTTGCCAATTTTCTAATCTTTCGAAAAATTCTCCTTTGAATTGGAGTGTTTAATATATATTTGGTCATGTGACTGTGACCTGCCATATATAGTTTGAGTATCGTCTCTCATTGATCGTTTCTGCAGGAGGTAACCTAAACTAAACTAAAATTAACTTTATTTATACTCGGGAGAACAATCAGATCTAAACTGCACTTCCTAGAGTAAGGATAATCTCTTATTGATCCAGTGTTACTACAGGAGGAAACCTTAACTAAACTAACTTTATTTATGCTGGATAGCTCTATCCGTTCTAAACTGTTCTTCCTAGAGATCCAGTAAGGATCGATCATCTTTTATTGATCCAGTCATTCCAGTGTTACCACAGGGGGAACTCAAATTATTTTGGTTCTGAATATAGATCTTGCAATCAGAGTTCCAAGAGATTCTGAAAGATCTTTCACAACGGTTACTGGACTAGCAGGAATCTAGAAACAGGAAGCGGTGAGCTTATCACTTTCAACCCAGTCAAAATTATAATCGGAGAAAACATGTTGCGGAAATCTAACACCAGGTCAAAAAGGTGAAAGACATTCAATATATATCCTCCCCGAGCAACAATCGCAAAACTCATTTTCTAAATACCAATCTTCAGGCTATTTTGAAGCGATTTTGTACCCTACTGTTCGGATCTTGATTGGCTGAATTTTGCAGATTATGATCGATTCGTGCCCACAAATCCCTTGTTTATTACGTTCCCACAAGTCCAAGCGACCCTGTCGACTATCATCATTCGCTATTTTTTCAGCTTCAAGCAGGGCACCAAAACGTCTGTATTTTCTATTACATCTCTTGACTTTCGGTTTTGTTCGTGCAAAAAATACCAGTGATCTTTTTTCAATCTGATGTTGATACTACCCAGGGTTGTTTTCAATAACAAACTAATCTAGACAAATAATCCTCAAAAATTGACTTTTAAACACGCTATAAATGTTTATTTTACATTCTTAAACTGTTTTCTTATCAATTATAAGCGGAGGGATATTGTTTGGTCAAAGCAATTTGTGCATCTGCCATTTCATTCCAAGTGTGGGGGTCATTTCGGCTCATTTAATTTAAGTGTTTTGTGTTTGAATGCGACATAAGATGATCATAATATAGCTGCGGTTTTCTCAAATTTCAATCTTTAGTACACCTCTTTCCAACAAGTTCGTTTAGTTTAGGTTTCCTCCTGTAGTAACACTTGATCAATAAGAGATGATCCTTACTGGACCTCCAGGAAGAACAGTTTAGAACTGATAGAGCTTTCGAGAAAAGTGAGCAGATTTTTATCTCCTGAGAGTACTGTAATTGTTGAATGAGATCTCTCTATTAAACATAAATTATATTGTCCATTAAGTTCAGATGGCACCTTGTTCCGATTCGCCCTGGTCATTTCAAATAATACACTCAAAGTTGCTGGATTATTCTATCACAAAACAGGTGTTGAGTAAGACACCTTGATTGCTCGACCAGTGTCGTTTGCACGTGCGGTGCTTAATACCAAAGAATACGCCAAAAAAGCGATTCTTTCGCTCATTTTCATGCATACAGTTTGTTTGAGTATATATCCGAATGCTACATTGTTAAAATTTTATCTGAATACAAGACCCACGCATTGCGTCTGTCGTTAGCAGTCGGTTGGAGGCAAATTGTCGCATGTCATTTCGAGAGAAACACACGCATGCTGTCTGCAGGCTGTATGGAAACATAAGTGTTTCATGTCCTTCAAGAGCTACCTTCAAGGTCAACAATTTAAAATGCTCGTGCTGTCGTTAGGTAATCAATTTCCTAGGGTTCAAAACGGTTTCACAGCCTCCTAAGGCCACATTGAGCAAAATGAAATTAAAAACAAGCTATTGCATCAAGCTTATTCGTTTCTGCTTGTTGAAACTGCTCCAATGCATAAACATTGAACTCCATGTTTTATGAAGAGTGACAACTTACACCAGAACATATTGTATTTATTTATTGTCAGTATTTATTTGGCACTCGCTGTTCTGTATTAAAAGCCCACAGTGCTCAAACAGTGAAAGGTTCCTCAATGGCGCGAACTGCAGAATCTCGCTTTAATTTCAATGCTCAAATGGACCCGCGAATGCTGAATGTTTGTCGAAAGAGCCTGATGCTTTAGAAGGACCATATCAGGCGAAGTATGCAATATTGTATCTTTTTAAATTGTTTACCTGTGGGGTAAGAATTACTGGTAATTACATGAGTCCCGCGAAGCGAGTGCCCTTTTGAAGTAAGAAAAAACGACTGCGAATTTTTTAAATGGTTGTTGTCACTTCACCGTATGCGGTTGCTTGGTTGGCTTACTAATCAGACTGCTAAACACCGTCAGGGCTTGTAATTTGTAAACGTAATTATACTTAAAATTTCATCCATCGATGCAAGCAACCTTCCGTCTTAATTGACAAGCATCAAGTTAAATTAGAAAAAAAAGATCTTCATGTTTACGCTAATACAACAGAGATAACGTCAGCATCTATGTACAGCCAAGAGCAATGATGAGTTTTAAGTATAAGCGGAATAGGAAACTGGACTCTTTAGCTCATATAGGGGTCAGAAATCTGCCCCCTTTTGGTGAAGCTCCTGTGATGAAGATGCAGTCCGTTTGGGAAGTGCAGAGCTAGGAAGGAAACTCTTCGTCTAACCTGTGGCGTATGTGGGCGTAATTAGCGATTATATCATTGAGTTTTACTAGGATTTATATATATTCCAGAAATGTAGTCCAACTGAGATCTGGCGGCTATGTTTTGATATTTGTTGTAGTTACGCCGTCGAGTTACTAAAGAAGTAAAGAACTCGTAATTTATTCATATGCGTGTATGGCAAAAATTCGCTTTGGGTTGATGCTGGGAGTTTGAATCGCCCCAATAACTGAAAGCTCTCTCAAACGGTTCCCCAAAACTGCTTGGATTCAATGTTTTCTACCAACTCCAGCAAAAACAAGAGATACGTGGAGTAGCAACAACACTTGATACAGAATTTGGACGCGAAGAAATGATGTAACGATTTATACCAGCTCACGTCTTATTTACCAGTTCACGTCTTAAATAAGTCGCAACTGATTTTGCCTCGTATAAATGGCCCTGATGTGCCTTGGTTCTCCACCTTCAAGAAACATACATGGCATATCAGTATGAAACAATGTTTCCTGGTTTGTTTACCTTTAGATAACTCGTGTTTAGGAATCAATGTTTCCTGGTTTGTTTACCTTTAGGTAACTCGTGTTTAGGAATCAATGTTTCCTGGTTTGTTTATATATATACCTTTAGGTAACTCGTGTTTAGGAATCAATGTTTCCTGGTTTGTTTACCTTTAGGTAACTCGTGTTTAGGAATCAATGTTTCCTGGTTTGTCCACCATGAGAAAGATGGCTAAGAAAACAATGTTTCCTGATTGAAAATGTCTGGAAACTGGCGATGCTTAAGGGCTGTCCACAGTTTCGAAACATGATGACTATCACGAACAATGTTTCCTGGCTTTTCCATCTTCCAGAAGTATGTATCAATGTTTTTCCAACACTATTCCGCGAGATATTTGGTTTCACCCGCAAATTATTGTAGAAATCCACGCAGACGGGATGCTAATTACTTCGATTGCCGGATCTATCACAATTTCCGAAAGTAAATAGGACAGGGAGGAGCAGTCGCGTTAAAGTTTGGAAACAGTGCAAGTTCAACTGCGATAAGATGCAATTATAAGCAGAGGGAAAACCTATTGGCATTTAACCTGTTGATATTAGTGTCGAGAAACTATTCACAGTCGTTTAGTTTGACAGATATGTGTGAACTCTGTATTGGGTCAATATGATACTGTGTAAGATCCAGTACAATTAATCTTCCTACACTAAGGGTCATCTTTTCTTGACCCAGTGTTACTACAGGAGGAAACCTGAACTAAGCTAACTTTATTTATACTGGATAACTCTATCAGTTCTAAACTGTTCTTTCTAGAGGTACAGTAAGGTTCATCTCTTATTGATCTAGTGTTACTACAGGAGGAAACCTAAACTAAACTAACTTCATTTATACTGGATAGCTCTATCAGTTCTAAATTGTTCTTCCTAGAGGTCCAGTAAGGATCGTCTCTTATTGATCCAGTGTTACTACAGGAGGAACCTTAAACTATTTTTACTTATACTGGATAACTCTATCAGTTTCAAACTGTTCTTCCTAGAGGTCTGTCTAACAGTATCACAGTCATTACAAAGAAAGACACCTAAGCTAATTACAATGTCTTTATTTATATATTGAAAATGATCACTTTCAACTGAATTATATCTTTCATAATTTTAAATAAACCTCTAGCAAAGAGTTAGAACGATATTTGCTTGGCAACCGGCATTGACCGGCATTTCACAATTGGCGCAAAGGATTTCGAGACAAGACTGTTCTTCATAGTTCTCATCGCAGAGTTGCGTGGTTGAAATAAACATGATTGGTATTCATTGAGCAATGAAAATGACTTTCATCAACAACCATTGTACCCTTTTGGCAAGCCTATTTCAACTTCCTCGGCTGGGATTGTAAAAGCAAACTGAATTGTAAATAGCTTTCAACATCAGAATTCCGAACGATAATAATTTTCTTCCTCTTATAATGGCATCCTCCCAACATCTGTTTGAAAAACATATCTCAAATATGATGGTCTAGATAGTATTCTACAAAAAACCGTTGTTTGTGTCATGAACTACCTGAAAAAGATATCTCAAACGTGGTGGTCCATGCAGTGTAGGTAGTATTATTACACAATAAGCTGTCGTGGTTTGTTTCTAAGCTACCTAAAGACGATATTTCAAACGTGACGGTCTAGTTTACAATCTTGAAAGATTGGGATTAAAAAAATCTTAATATTCGGAAGAAAAAAGGAACGCTGTAATTTTAAAAAATAGCTAAAGGATTATTCTTCCTACTGCTTCATAAATCTTATTATAGAAATTACCAACGTGTTAGACAAGAATCCCTACAGTATGCTACGCTTCAAGACCACAAGAAACCGTTTCTACTTCCAACAACATGACCTTTTCCCAACCTTCAGGAAATTTAAACCTCCTAAACTTCAGAATGTGCTTAACTTGCTATTTGTAATAGATATTCTTAGCGACAGTATAGGGGAAATCAAATAAAAAAATATTTAATCTTTGTGCATAATTAGTTTGTAAATATAGAAACTTCTGTGACACAAAGAAAATACGATATCTTGACTTGTAAGTCAACAGCCGTCATTTATAGTTCCTCATTCCCACTAAATAACTCTAGGCAAAGAAATCCTACTAAGCTGTTCCTACATGGTTGCCATTTAGTTCGCCTTTATGAGTGAATATAATTCTTTAAACGCCCTTCTCTGGAAGACAAAGAATACAAGACACATTTTGAATATGCTCGCAACGGGTGTGGCAGAAGGAACGCGGACTATTTGAGTAATTTCAAGCTCGTCGAAGTCTCATGACGAGCAAGTTCATTATGCCGGGTCTACCACCTGCAAACATATGATTGGCGATTGTCAACAGGTAGATATAATTACGCACAAGTCACTAATTCTTATTAGTTGTGGGTAAGTGGCGAAGCAGGCAAGAACGCTATCAAGCAAGGGGCATCCCTAAAGGTCGACTGAGTGAAAGATATCGTTACAGCTCGCAACATTTGCTACTGACAAACATCGTACGGCCGAAGATGTATGCATCGTATGTGATTGGATTGATTTTCAGTGTTCTCGTGTTGAAGAAGAGCCAGTGTGCAGCCCAAAGAGTGTAGACGGTAAGTGCGCGCGCATGCGTTCAATAGGTTCGCCTAACTTTGCGAAGTTCTACAAAGCATTTGCTTCGCGCTTTTGTCGTTTTACTTTCTACACTTTCTGCATCATCGAATTCCAATAAGCACGTTTTGGAAAACACCATATATTATAATGTTGCAATTTGCCTTTTGTTGTATTCTTGTAATAATAACACGTCAAGCACTTAAAAACTGCTGGAAACCAAATATCCGAATTGCGCTGACGATATTCGACTTTCATCAAATATGTAATAGTGATATTTATGAGGGATGTTTAAACTGTTATGCCTCGTCATTAGCAAATTGCCTTTCGTGAGCAAGGAAGTCTCGAAAGCTGATTGAATAGGATGGTTGCAATTACAACCAGCCAATCAGGGGCGCTGAGCTTTTTAACTTATTTCTGTTAACATTTATTCAGTTTTGAATCAAAGTCCTCAACCATTATTAGTTGAAGTGTCTTGTAAACGTCCTTAGAACGTTCTGGTAACGCGAGAGAACGTACATTGCACGAGTGATTTGCACCCTGTACTTTTAAATCCCTAAGATTAGACCCTGTTTAAGGCTGTGTTCTCCACATATGGAATGGCAAAAAGCTCTTATTTTATTATGTAAGATTGCCTACGTTTATGCCCACCCATTGACGCAGGTGCATTCAATTGTAAACTATTACGAAGTTTTTAAACCTGTCTGTAATATCAAAAAGGTGCTTTGAATTAACTGATGGTCTTTGTCACGATTTTGCTCAACCAAAACATGGGACGAGTTTGCGTGTATTTTGGACTGTCGCGAAGTTTCTAAAATTCTAAATTTTCAAAAGGGTTCTTTATATTACAGAACTTGTTTGAATTTAACTAGCTTGTTTGTCACGTTTATTTCCTTGTACTCTCTACAAGTGTGCTTATGCATCAAAAGAGTCTTTCAGTTCTTTGAAGAGAGAGAACTCAATAGAGTTCTTTGAAGTAGACCAACTGTTGCTATATATATCCTCGTGCTAAGTAACTTGTAGCTAATTCTTCCGCATATCAATCCGCAATGTTTTGCAATGTTTTGAGAACAACCTGCGATTAAAATAATCTCGCTTGTTTGAAAAACAGCTTTGTTTTTCGTAAACTGCACCTCGTAAAGCGAACGCATACTTCAACATGCTCACTGTCAACAATAACTGTAGTAAACAAGAATAAGCTTCGAGGATCTCATGTCCTTGACCTCAAGACGTTAGCACTTGACTCATTTTAATTACGTGTAAATCCATTATGAGAGCTTGTGGCATCAGGTGGTTTGAGCTGCCTTCTTTAGCACGGCCAAACAGCTTTTACGACATCAGATAAGCAACGATAGAGGCAATGAAGCTCTCAGAACGTATTTATTTAACCTTTAGAGGTTAGGCGCCGTCCTTGAATGAACATAATCATCTCTCTCAGTGTAAACAATCGCGTGCGTGCGATCATCAAAGACAAAGAGATTTATCTTCTCTAGTTGGTTCTCTTTACCGCTCTGAAAGAGGGCATTTAAGAGTGCTCTTAGAGTGAATTGCATTAAGATTTCGAGATGTCTGTCAAATCTACGAGAGCGGCTAAATCGAGGCCGTAACTCATCAAATACCGAAGTCATGCACAATTCATTAATTAACGTTTATTGGTAAAAGAAGAGACGCTAATGTATTTTGAATTTAGACAATGCCAACGCTGTTGCTGCTAAAAGATTAGCTTTTTAAGTTGTTTGAGGGTACTATTTATATGTAGATTTATTATGTATTTTTCTTTTATCTCCGACGTCTATAAAAGGGAAATTCAATTAAATTCATGCCAGGCTGCCAGCTATACATCCCTTGGGTAGTTGGAACAATTTTGCTACACGTGATATTGAGTGCACGACGATCTATAATCGCATCAGATGGCAAAGTCTGTTCCTGTTGAGCTTGTGCAGTATAATAGACTCAAGCGCCCATATCGCTAATAAATATATTCCAATAAATTCGCAAATTAGTCAGTGCAATTATCCAATCAGGGCAAACCTACACAGCGGCCAGCTCTTCCCAATTAGTAATTGATACATTGATATTTCCTTTCTGTTAATGTGATCAGTATCTAGAGCCTTTCCAAAATCGGAGAGTTCGTGAACATGCAATTTTTGAACTGAGCTTCTTTGTATGGGCATTCGTTGTGCACAAAGGCCATATTTGCACAATTATGTTTCATTTTCAAATTCAAAAGATCAAAAGATGTCTTGATAATTCTTCCGAAAGTCACGCTGACTTTCCCATCTTAGGAACAAAACCTTTTGAAAACGAAGGATTGCTTTCTTGCAAATCTCTAGTTTATGTGTTTACTATATTTGGCCTGGACGAGACGTTGTATTGTTCAAATTAATTTGCTACTTCACACACCAACCCTGCGAGATACATTTGCGTAACTACCTTAATAGTCCGGATAACTGTTTGCAACAATTAGCACTTAGTTGTGACCATAAATGTTGTGTTTAATACAAATTAATACAAATGTGTTTAATACGACTTTTAAGACGAGGGTTGAAGCCCAGCGAATATGATATAAGCCCGTCTGGCTGTTTTAAGTGAGAAATGCCTTGTTCATATTTCATTTCAATGTTTACGAATTTTCTCAGATTTTCACACTGAAATAAACAACAGAATGCAAGAGCAAACACCGTAGCAGGTCGAAGATAATTAGAATCTGTGCGTGATATATTGCGAAGTCATATTGCAGTGACAATTTATGTTTGCGCAAGCAAAATTTCATAAGCAATTTCCCTGAAATGTGTTGTAATTTGAATATCTATGCTTCGTACTCCATACCGAGAGGCGACGTTGATTTACTGCTTTCCAAATGGACCATTCCTAGCCACGACCTGAATCAACCTCATCCCCAGAGCGTATAAATGAACGAAACTACATGAAATCAGCCTGTCCACCGCCTCAAGCTTAGCTTAGCAACAATTAATCGATTTTCAAAAACCTGTTTGTGCGTTTCAGATTTGATCTGGGAGGGAGGCGGGGGGATGTGTTGTACTGTTGTTGAGGTCAACTATAGTTATCTAGAATTTCAAAAAAAATCCCTTAGCTTCGAAAACCTGTGGGAAAGCTTAGCAAGGTCTGTGGACTCTGTATGGAGTGAAGACAAATGGTTCTAATATATGTCGTTTAATTCCAATATGTAGGGCTGAGACAGCGCGGTCAATACGACGTTCAAAGCAAGATATCAGGTTCCCGTAAGTATAAAATCTGTTTGGACTTAACTCGATTCACGGCTTTTCAAACGCAGCATCTTTGCTGTTAATCGGATTACTTTAACGCTCTGCATGTAAGCATGCATACTGATGGTATACCATTAGTGTGGTTATTTTTATCTCAAGTGTATAAATCAGTCTTATAAGCCAGCTGGAATCTTAAAGGTATTGCAGCCCCTTATATATTAGCAATAATCACGTTGGAACAAAAAAATCTATATTGCTTCATGCTAGGAAACAATGTTTCCTGGTTTGTCCACCTTACGATGTTAATTTGACGTGAATCACAGTTTTAAAAAAACAATTAATTGGTACACCTTTGGGAAACATGGCTATAGGAAACAATGTTTTCCCACCTTCATGAAACATAAATATGAAACAATGTTTCCTGGTTTGTCCACCTTCATGAAACATGGCTAGGAAACAATGTTTCCTGGTTTGTCTATCTTCATGAAACATGGCTAGGAAACAATGTTTCCTGGTTTATCCACCTTCAGCAGTGAAAAATGGCTAGGAAACAATTTTTCCTGGTTTGTCCACCTTCATGAAACATGGCTATAGGGAAGAATAATCATCATGCAAACTTGCTCGAAGTCGACCCCACAAGACGTTATATGAACCACAATGATTATATAACTGATGATGTTTTATAATAAGTATCATGTCGATGATTTTTCTAGAATGTAAAGATGTGCTTACGTATTGTGATTCAGTGAAAGAAAATGGCGGATGTGTGCTACCTAGATATCAGAGAGATTGTAAAATGACGTGTGGAATTTGCAGCCAAGAAACCCAGCTAATAGTTCGAGAAAACAAAGGTATGTATACCCTTCTTTCTTTACAATGTAGCTTTAGAAAGAATGCACTTTCCTACGATTATAAGGGGAACAGGTCAACGAGGGAGCAAAAGCTCTATAGGACCTATTCTTTGAGTGTAATCCTAGATTAGGCCATAGTTTTCGCATACATTTGACCTTGTTGACAATTGTATGCATGCATAACAGCCATAACTCTACTGTTGTTGCTCATCAATCACTTTTACAAAATCCCTAATCAGTGGATAGCGCTATCTATATGCTTCGTACCACTGTTCATTCATGAAGCCGCTGGCGTGTCTGGTTTTAGAGTGTAGAGACATTGGCAACGTGCAATTCTGTGCAAGGGCTTGTCACCAAAAGAAAAGCAAACACCTCAAGCTCTATTATGCTCGAAAATATTGTCGAAAGACTTGTGGCTATTGCAGTCGATTAAAAAAGAAAGGTAAGTCAAAGCTTATCGAGTTTGGCTCAGTGAAACACAACAGCTATAGCATAGAAACAACAACAACGACAAACAACAACAACCGCTGTCGAAAAACATCTTTCACAAACAAAAAAAACGTCATTACAAGAAGCAATTTCAAATTAAAAGTGTGCAAGCAAAAGTGTAGTTCCCACTTAAAATTTGAAAACTCATAGTCATGTTTATGTTTCTGTAGTCGAAAACACTTGTGTAGATCGTCCTATTTGCAAAAGGCTGACGACGTTTTACAAGATCGAGAACTGTTGGAGACTCCCTCATACATTAAGAAAGCGAGCCTTAAGGAAATGCCCAAAACTATGCGGATTATGTTCTCCGATAACAGAGAAGCCTCCAGGTAAGCTTTCGCAAGGCTATTTTAGTGGGTAAAAAATGAAAAAGCCTAATCGTTTGTGTAAACATATATAGTATTATTTATAACGTATTTCTGAGGAAATATAATAATAGATTTAAGATCAGTCGTTCAGGCTTTGCCCCGCTGGCCTGATTTCCGAAGTCGGTCACGACTTCCTGTCCCGTAAATATAGCCACACATGACGCAAGTCATGCAGATTGACGCAAGTCATGCAGACGTACACGAATCGTGAGCCTTTCTTCTTGTGCCAACAGACCGACCAAGGCAGTAGCTATTCGTGATAAGCAAAATACGGCTAAGTTTACCGCATAAATTGCAGAAATAAGACTTTGAAAGTTCCAAAACCAGTTTACTTTGAAAAACTGTTGGAATGAAGTCAATATTTCGATATAAGGTTTGAAACCGTTTTCTAAGAAGGTTTTCACAAAGTATAGTCTCAAAATAGAGATACCCTCGTCAATCGTCTGTCTTTCCATAGTCGTATTGCTCTGTATCATAAGGAAAGATCACTATGTTTGCTATGTGCGCTAGTCAGCTTTCGTGAACCCTCCCCAGGCTCCGTAACTAGTACTGCCAATTGTGAATTTCTGACATTCTAACAGTGAACTCGATATGAACTGGAACGATAAATCGTTCGCCATCTTCGAAGCCAATTTGAAACCGAATACTTAAGTACCAGTGTCAGTTCATTTCCCTATTGTTTTGCATTCACGGCCAACGATCGCCGCCGACAAAAACAACCGAAAGAGACTGACACTGGTACCTAATCTGGCTGCAAAATAGCCTCAAGAATGGCACCAAATAACCAAGTTGACTTCTGAAAAACACTAATTTTTTTCATTCCTAGTACCAACGACCACACTTCTCAACGGGGTCGCCGCGGAGAAACTAAAACTGACTGAAGCCCCTCGACCTCCCCATCCACCAGTGGACGACGGTGAAAGCGATGAAAGGCCAAGAGGTGGAGTCTTTTACATCTATACCAAATATCTGTCGCTTTAGGTTAGCAAAAGGATCGCGCATCGGGCATTATAGCCTCGGGGTACTGCCCTGGGGATCGCAGGCTCGTATTGAGCCGATCAAATAGATAGATCCAAAATATTTTGGACAAGTAAATATAGAGCAAATGTGTGGCGACGTGTGAAATAACTGTGTAACCAGTCTAAAGACGTCATTTAGTCGATATAAACACGATAGATATAATAGGAGAACAATACTGACTGTAATGGATATTTTCGGGTGAAACTCGAAGCTATATGGAACGCTGTGGGTGTTGTACTATATATATATTTTATATTCACATCTCGACACGTGAAACTTGAGTATTTCTAGCAATTTGATTGGTTGAGAACTAGATGTTACTAGAGTATTAGCACACGCGGGAAAATCTATTCAAAAATCCCGTAATCGATTGCATTTTCCCGCGCTTGCGTGCTGTACTGAGAACGCGCATGCGCGGCCGGTAATCTACAATTGGTCTTTACACACTATGGCGAGCACTGTGCAGCACGCATGCGCGGAGAAAAGTAACGTTTCCTCAACTATCGTTTTGGCTGGGGCATAGAGTTTCGCACGCATAGCCTCGATTTGATTCTCCGGTATGCAGTAATGTCAAAATGATTCGTTGGAATGCGTTGAGATAGTTTGTCTGTAGCCAAACATTGGTCGGACATCAAGGCTGTGCTCTGTACTCTACTAATATGCTCCGTTGTAATCGGTCTTTGAGTAACTTTATATATACAGCACTGTACATAATATATGTCTAAAAAAGCGTAGAAACTGTTGTATCTACAGTAAAAAATTCCATGGGATTCATGATTGTATGATTATTGTGTGTTTTGGGTATTTTTCGAGTCGAATATGTGACACATGTTGGACATATGAAAATAGAGAAGGTAAAGGGGATCGCCAACGGTAGAGGGGGATAGAGTTGGTAATTTAGGATAAACATGGATAGAGTTGGATTGGGAGGGATTGCGTAGGATAATGAGTGATAGAGGAGGAAAGAAAAGGACAGACAATGATGCAGATAGGTAGATAAAGCTAAAGAGGTATGAATTGGGGTAAGGAAGAGTAAAGAAGTACAGGAAATTATAGAGCCGGGTGCAAAGAGATAGATAGGAATGCAATAACAGTGAATGATATATGGCCGGAAGCAGTATCGTGATGTTTATCTATTGTTCTCCATGAACTTTACCACCCTAACCCCATCCTTGCCTTTGTACACGAAACACTGACGCCGGGCCAACATGAAGCGGCAAGGAAGAAAGGTGACAAACAATTGTTAACGCAGCCAAGAGAATTGAAAGAGACATTAAAAAAAGACCCGTAGACACACATAACACAGTGCCGTCGTCCCATATGAACAATCGTGTTGTATGAGGGCAATCTCTGACCTGACGCTGAAAAGCTACTGATTGAGAACTGTTGTTAGCAAAATTGATAAGTAATGAATGGTTTTGGCTAAACTTGTTATTTTTAGTTCCCATTTGATATTTATATCGTCCTTGAGTCGGCCTTGCTTTGAAAGACTAAAACAATTCCTGGAAAGATCCACTGAATTGATAACTTTTCGGTCACCGAGAAATGCTGGTTGTCTCGCGTGTAGTAATCCCGTTCTCCTTTCACCAAAAGCGATTCGTAGGAACTCATATATATGCATGTATATGCCTCCCACTTAACTAGTGCCATTTTTTGTATCCTAGGGAAGAAGTAATCGTTTCTAAGTTGGAAATAGAAAGTGTTGCTAGTCTGCAGTGCTAAAAGCTCCCTCCAAAGGCTTATACCTTATAGCTTTTAAAGGCGCTCGCCAGAATCCAGCTTAAATAAAAAGACGTGGTTTTTGGATCGAAACGCCTCATCAATGGCGAGAAAATGATAATAGCATTACATCGAGAATCCTTGCTATTCTTAACTCAGACAAATGGCGGACATAATATCACACATCACTCTTCTCTTCAATAAGTTCTTCGGGAGCTTTAAGTGCTCTGAGTGCTTGAGGGTCTCCAAAAAGCTTTTCGACCGTTCATTTCGTTCCAGCACGTAAAGAATTTCAAGACTCCTGCGGATCTGAACGTGAAGAATGCAGATAATTTTGTGAATGTGTTTTTCCACCAATTTTCACCTTCTTCTGGCGCTAAGAACTTTTTTAGATGGAACGAGAGTAAATGAAAGCAGTTTATGAGCAATATACGCAAGCAACAAAGACAATCTTGATTTTTTTACACCTTTCAAAGCAAAGCCCTAAAGTAAATCCGTGTTCCAGCTTATAACACCTTATTCACGAGGCCTTTCTGATCACAGGCAAGGCAAGGAATCCATTGGGAGGAACGTGAGGGGAAAAAACAGGTGTTTTTAACCCAAGACTGTGCATTCTGAACGGGTCGGTCAAACCGCTTATGAGTTACCGACTTTGCTCAAGTGAACGGTTCAGCGCATTTTTGTATTGATAGATGCTGTTCGTTGATTTATGTGCAATAATATTGGTGCGTGGGGGGAGACATTTACCAGCGAACATTTCAGTAAATATGTCTCCTCGTCTACGTCATTGGAGAACGAATGGCGTTGTAATCTGGAGCGCGCGGGGAGCCTAACGCACGCACCTTGATTTCTATTCTGTTCATTTCAGCTTCATCGACTAAATTTAGGAGAGAGGACAACAAAATCCAACAGCACAGTTACAAAGGGCATCCGTTTGGACGAGTGAAACTGCAAAGCCTTGCTGGAGAACGGTTGTAAAAGGTTCAAATTATGAACTAATTTCAGTAATGATATAAATTACAAACACGTATACTAATTATGCATATAATATACAAGTGAAAAGTATACCCATTTTCGACCGGTAAAAACTATTATTTTTGCTACAATAATATACTCAAAATACGCAGAAAAATTGCACTTCAAAATTATTATAAGTTTTTATTCCTTTTCCATCTGTTTGGGAGATTTGCCAGCCTTAAAATGTTATCTATATATAAAATATACATATATACCTGGAATCGTCCAGGATTTGAAAACAATTAGGTTGACCGTTACGAAATCGGAATCTACAATGGCCACTTTGGGAGGCTTGCGTGTTTGTCCTGTTATACTTTCAATTATTCCTGCAGTTAGGGTAAACATTGCATTTATGAAATCCTTACTTGAAAGTACTTAAGAGACATCAACGATTTAATATTATCTTAATTTGACATAGCAGTGATGGGCACAAAGATATCATGGTTAATTTGAACGAATTCCAACAGGACTTGAATCGTCGAGCATTTGAGAGATTAATGAAAATTATTATGTCTTCATTATCGAATTCACAAAATGACAGCTCCGTTCTCGAAGAGCGACTGGTCTATTTTCGCTTTTAGCGTATGTTATTGAGTGGATTATGACTTATGCCTTTACATCGTTGTACTTACATTGGCGAAGTAAAGTAATCTAATTTGCTAAATTTACATACACCAGGGGAAGAAAATCGCCGTCAAAAATCGCTCGTGTATAGTCGCGGATTAATGGATTGACTCGACTTCCAGACTGTTACATCGTTACCGACAAAGTTTAGACACACTTTCACACTTTTTGCGACCGCGGTTAGGAATTTCCATCTTGGGAGTTTCAACTTGTAAAGAATTTACAACAAGTACCAGATTATACAACTCAAGGCTAATTACTGCTTTAGTTCCCGAAAATATTTCCACTATTTCCTTTTGGATATTAACCTTAGGATTTACAGTTTTGAACTTAAGATTCCGGCAAAGTATCAAAGAACATTTCGACGGTATGGGACAGACAGCATAGACACGCCAGCTATCATTTGACCGAGATTGCTTTGAAACCACAATGCACCCAATTGGTAATAGCAGTGTGCAGACATAGGTCCAATTCCTGTCACGATTTCCCGCAAGGTTTGCATGTATTTCCAATTTTTTATATTGATTACTTTCCAAATAGTCTTATCGAACATTCTAGAACGATTGAAATACGAGATCTTCTGTACGACCTTCCCCACGCGATAAATGGAAACAATTGAGTTGTGGCCAAGGTCGAAAATTGGGAAAAATATCGCTGCTTGAATTTGGCAAAAGCATTTTTGCGAGAGTCTTGTATTTCTCACGAAGCTTCAATTAATCGTTGTAAAGACGACACTTCTATCGAGCTAGCAGCTCTTTTCACAAGAGCGATTGCTTAAAAAACCCACTCAAACGCAGGCTGTGGTTAAGCTCCCCTAACCTCGTTTAAGTGGACATGCTAATATTTTAATTGAAATCTTCAAGGATACTTTCAACACTGCACGCAACATCGTTTCTTTCGGTCGAAGGGGCCAGTTATTCATAGAACGACCGTCAGTTCAAAGAAATATCCGGACTTAACTCTGATTACACTTTTGCGATAGGATAAGGTGAAGTTGAAATCTAAGTTGAACTATAGCTGCCTACATACATCATCCTAACTTACCATTTCACCTACCCTTAAGACAACTTCCTTGCCGTTACACGCTCGACTGAGATACGATCTCTAGGAATTATCATAATTATCAAAAATCGCACTCGGATTTGAAGGCGTTATCATCAAAACTTGTACTCATGGACGTATACAGCATGATCCCTAAAATAAATGAACGTAAGAAGCAATTAGAGAATTCTAGCATTTCGCTGAAGACTTTTTAATATTAACAAGCCAACGCGCGAGTCAAACGCCAAAGATTTAAAACTATTCATTTCTATTGAGTTATTATCTCTGGATTATTTTCCAAGTAAAACGGTTCTTCAAACCTCTTGAAATTACATAACTGAAAGACGTCACGCAAACAATTATGTTTACAATGAGACAAAGGTAGAAATTTGTTTCGTGCCAAAACGTGAGTCTATTTCAGTACATTTTCGTGATCAGCACCCATGTTCAGTAAAAAAAACCCATCAGATCCTTCCTGGAAGGGCAATGTTGATGCTAAGCGAATTCAGCTCTGCTAAAATTAATACTGTGACTCAGCCCCTATACGTAAGCAACGTAGACAGAGCCTTGTTCGTGTCAGTTACTATATTAAAGTCGTTTGTTTAAGGTGGAAGGAATGCAAAGCCGAGGTCAACGGGTGAATATAAAATTTTAGAATCTCGTTGAAAAATCTTGTCAGAACTTGCGATCTATTTTTAAGACGTTCTAACGAGGTAGCGGTAATCCAGCAGAAAAATCGAAAACAAACACATACTTTAACCAAGATTATGAACTGATAATCTAGGTCGTAAACAGTGGTAAAGTATAGTAAAGAAAATTAATAAACGTGTTTGTGACGAACAGACGAAGTGACCTTCAAAATTATCGGTGAAAATAGTAAAATTTCAATTATGTATTTATGAATATTTTGCATTGTTATGAAAAAGTTAAATACATTTGCGAGCATCCTAGTCATATATTATAGGTTAAGGGTTATCAATTTCCTGGCTTCAATCCATTTTAAATTGCATAGTTATGCCTGAACTGCTTATGGATCGTAATAGAACCACGACCTTTTCCTCATATTTGCACTGGATTTTCTTTAAATCCCATCATCTTTACTAAAGAAGCGAAGATTATCGCTTGTTTATTTGATGAAGATAACCCCAGTGGTGGAAACTCATAACGTAAACATCTCGACATAATAACAGATTCTTCGATTACGAAATCAATAAATATATACTGTATGCACTGATAACATTTTCTGAACGTATAGCTATATAAGTCTCATTTTTGAGGTAATCAAATGAATGCACATAAACAATTCCTTCTAACCGGCCTTGCTAAATTTGTCGGATTCTTTTGTCAATTGTGCACATTTGAAGAATTTCTTCATCAAGCGGTCAGATAAATCTGGAAAAAATTAGCAAAACCGAAATCTGAATGGATTTCTTTCGTCCAAAGATGCTTCATTCTCTTTGTCAGTACAATAAAACTTAAGTTTAACGTGTCAGTCTGTAAGAGCTTTAATCCTGAACGCCAGTCGTTTGTATAGGAAATTGAGGCAGGATGATACAACTCTTTCCGGAATGCGGTAAAAATGGTCGAAAAACCATGTTTGAAAACTATAGCCGGTTATCAAACTTACGCCGGCTTCAAAAACCGCACTTGTTTAGTCAGCCTGCAGATGGAACTAGCTCAGGTATAAATCAACACTGAATTTCAAATCTAATCAGTTACCAACGAATAAAGAATACTTTAGCCAAATAGTAAATAACACTCAAATTCATCCGGCCCACGCTGAGGGCATGTTCAATACGGTGAACCGCGCTTAATGACTCCCAGTTTATCCCAGTTTCATATAGCTTTTATACCCAAAAGCAGTGAATTTGAAACGGCAACCCTAAACGTTCCCTTTATATGGAGAATATTTGTTTTAATTGAATACAACAGGACCTAATTGAGGCGAGATATATCATTGAGTGTCTTATATAAATATAGCGCTTGCACATATGGCATACGCAAAACTCGCAAGTGAAGCACTAAGTCTCGATTGTTCCTATTTCATCGGTCTCCCCCGCATAAGAGACATTCCTGGATGATGCATAAGTGTAGCGATTGATTGCAATTTATTTGCGATCACACTCATTTCCTTGGTCTAGTCATTTCCAAGGGGGAGTCATTCCACAGCTCATCAATTCACGCCCAATTACTGGAAAATGTCACCCTGGCATCATTTGCATGTCCTTGGTTAAACCAAGTTATACAAGATTCCCTTGCTTAGAAGGTATTGGACTCATTACCTACCAGCGCTCTGCTCCAGTGTTCCTATTTGCGCGCAGGAAACCGGTGCCGCTTCCATCGGGTCGGCGGGGAAAGGCTCGAAGGCAAAGCATTAAGAGACGATCGACCTAATAATTATATAAATGTCAGTTTTTTATTTTGTTAACTGCAGGATATCAAGTAAATATTCGACTGGTTCCTGAGCTCTTTAATATGCTCTATTTCGACATGCAAATAAACCATTTTGAACATCGAGAAGTTACAGGAGTCTCTTACAATGGAAGTTATGGAACTAGCTGAATCTTAGGACTTATGTAAACCCTGCCCCGTTTACCAGAGCTTCTGATCTATGAAACATGCGAGAATTATATATATACATATTATGCCTATAATGGAATTGCCATGAGTGATAAGTTGTTTTTTTACTAGCGGTTATTTAAAACTCCAAACAGCCAATTTGCCGTAGCATGTTTTAACCTAGCTGTGTTCGTTGCTTGTTGTATCATGAAAAGCCGTCTATACTGTAGACGTTGGTCAGCAATTCCGAAGTCCGGCGACTCATTTTGTGTTCTAATCTTTTCCCGCCACACGGAGGTGCTTGTATAAAATGCGATATCATCTTAAACCACATTTGATTACGATTTTGTGGGATGCTACAAGGGTTATTTACGATAGTTCTATAGATTAGAAACACTATCCTTCTTTCCGTTTTTTATCTGTAACGTGCAGCCAAGCGCTGTTAAAAGAAGTTCTTGAATAAGTTCATATAACAAATGGAAGAAAAGAGTAAAAAACTTAAAGTAATCTTCTTAGGTTGCTTTGGAGATAGTTCGATCTCTACAGAGGTGATTTTGAGGCGATAATGAATGCGATTACAACTTATAGTTTTTCTGATATTTACGTGCGCAACCGATGGGGGTAATGATTTAATTCTCTCCGGAAAGCTGAGGAAATGGCTTTAGAGAGAACACTTTACATCTTAAAATGATGCGGAAATTGCCACTGGTTTATTGTATATCACGAAATTTACCAACAGGCAACTTTCATCCGCTGCGGTAGCAGATACAATTCTGAAGTAGTTGCCCAAAGAACAGGAGCAATCGAAACATTATAAAATACAACAATTATTTGTAGTTCTCTTTAAATGAACAGTTGAACGGTTAACCTTGGGAACTCTTTGAGGAAACGATAGAGCGCACAGGGTCTATTCCGATGCAAATGAAGAATTTTAGACATTTTTTCCATAAGTCAAAGGATTTTCGATAACACTTTGATCTCGTAAAAAGACATTGTTGCATGCAAACACTGTGCAATCTATCATACGTCTGACGTGTCACATCTCTCGAAATAACGATGAGAAATTCAGACCTTTTTCAAAGGGTTTGCCACTAAACTGTTTTTCCTGTCTCTTGCAAAGAGATAAGTGCTATAATGTTATCAAAGTTAACCACGAACACAATCTTATCAGCGCGCGCTTATCTCTCCTCAAAAAGCGATTCAACGCAAGTCGTTTTTTATTACCCATCCAATCGAGCGCAAGGCTTTCCATTTACGGCAAGAATAGGCAAAATACTGCCGTTAAATTTCACATAACTTGTCAATTAAACTGTCTAACGTTTGTCGATTTAAAATAGTTTGGCATTAATGCCCAAACGGGATTATTGCGACGATTGACGTGTTTAGTGACAGGTGATGCATCTGCATATTTTGCGCGCGCCGTACAGTTAAAAGCTGTCGACCCTTCAAAGGCCAATTCACTCCGAGTCGGTCTTTGTGCAGAAAAGGTTAAATCAACGAGTGGAATTTAACTTCAGGATTTTCAGAAGATGGCGGCTATATTATATATCCAATTCCTGTTGCTTTCCGTTTGTTTCCTCCAAGCAATCGCTCTACAGCCGATAAGAGGTTAGTAGTTTAAAAAGTTATATTATAAAGCGTATATATAGCATAAAACGATTATACGTTAAGACTTTCAGGTTTCTAAAAAGCATTTGAAGATAAACATATGTTGCCGTTGGAAAATATCAAACTCGAACGTTCTTATATATTTCTTGTTCACAAGAAAGCATTGCTTCAGTGCGAAGCCGAAGCTTTGAAATATATACGTAAATGAGAAAGTTTTCAATTTGAACTTGAACTTATTTCCTGAAGGGTATTAAATCTGGCTAATTGATAATCAAAATAAATAGCTTTTGGCTAAATTTTTTTGTGTTCAACAGTAATTTTTCGAACATAGCAGCTACTGCTGAGTCAGGTTTAAAACGAAGCGAGCGCTTTGGTCAAAAGTAAGATGATTTAATGTTTGCAAAATGACAGGGAGTTTAATTTTGGACCAATTTTGAGAAGCTGTGACGCAATTTAAATCAAAGATCATTTCATGTTATCGATGCAAACAGCTTGAGCGAGTTAGCCAACTCAGGATGAAAAGGAAGACGTTCGGATAGTGGACGGCGTTTTGAAAATATTTCAGATGTTAAAACACTTGAGAATTATATTGACCATGCAGGAATAAAAGGTTAATTTTGAATACAACCTTTGAAATATAATATTTTAAAAATTTAATCCCTTTAAAGTCGCGTGGTTAAAATTAACATCAAATGGCCATATTCCAAGCATTAATTACAAGAATGTTACAAATTTCAAGCAGGTCAGAGTCAAGTCAAACGGAGCGAGCACTTATTCTCTTCTTCAAAAACCGTAACATCTTACATGCGCATCATCATTGCTTATTCATGCAAAGGTTTATTAGCTTACCTTGAAATATGTAGTTAGGATTAACTATATTTAGCCGTTGAGCGTTAGGCAAGTGTTAAAACATAAAAGCAGGACTCATGAAGGAAAGCTAAGAAACATATATTTCTGTGCAAGAACATCGTGTCCATCATTAGAATGATTTTCAAAAGCATTAACAAAGGAAATTGAAACTAATTATAGGCCGTTTATCGACGGAACGCTAAATCATCTCGCAATAAACTCATATTGCCACAGCACCTATTGAAATAGATTAAATATTAAATAGCTTTAAAGGATGTTCCCAACGAAGATTATAGTAATAGACTTTAACAAATACCTAAACGAGATTTCAGAATTATGTTTGTTTTTTTTAACCTAGTTTAATTAGCTAGTTGAGGCTATTACACTACATTTTATTCCCTGAGTGCAAGCTAGCCTAGTTCTCAGTCTCCATACGTCTCAAGCAAAACTGCGAGAATATATCTGTGGTTTTTTTAATACGTTATCTAAATAGGTACTCCTATAAATGGGCAACGTTTCAGACCTAATTTGCATAACCAGCGTCTGGTTCTAACCTGCGCACCAATCGTCTGTAATTGACCAGCTCAGCAGGCGAGTAAGAACGCCACGTTGGTCGGAGTTGGTTGAATAGTCAGAAGAATTGATAAACCTCGGCTCACATATTTTTCACAAAAAGGTGAATGCCATCAACGCATGATTTGAACCTTAACAATGGTGCCGCAAAAGCTTGGGTTCAGACTTATTAAAAACGCCCCCCTGGATCGCCACGCGCAAAATGCAAATATCCGTGTTTTGAAGTATTGAAATTCCTGATGAAACTCGATTGTGGAAACGCGCTGTTGGGCAAGATAATGGCTAATAGGCGCTTGCTTTAAACCGCAAATGCGGATATCAAATATTTAATCGTTCTGTACAAATATTTGGAAATGTCATCAAAGCGACTTGTAAATACAAAAAACATCCGAACATCGTCGGCAATACTGCTTCTGGCGAGATCTCCTGTCGTTCGCAATGTGAGTTAATTTTACCCTACTCTCAAAAATATGTTATCTTTCTGTGAAATAACGAGTCCCACGCATGATAGATGTCGCAAACCTTTCTAGGAATATTCCGGTCGTGTCTTGAGAAGCTAAATACTCTGGCACGAAGCCATCTTGACAAAACAGTACGCTTTCGTTTCATATCAGAAAACAAGTAAACACGATAATTTGCCAAGACACCCTGCTAAGTTCCCTGATGCTTTAAATTTTTCACAAACCACGAAAAGTTGGCCAATATTAGACGCTCCACTGTGCCCCTGCATTGATCACTTAGGCAATTAATTGATCATAATTAAATTTAAATTGTCTATTTCTGGACCAATTAGTCGGGCGCTGGTGCGAAGGCGTTAACTTATGCCTGTACCGAGGCATTTTGTCTCACTCGCTCGGATCTGAGTACATAATCATTACGATTTTGAAAATAATATTTTGTTAATCGAATTCTTACATCAGTATTAGCCCTCAATTTTGACCGAGGTGAAATTATAATCAAACAATCGAACTTCAGTCACGGAGATGAAAGACACATGTACTAACCACTGTGTTCGGTAGAATCAAACTTAAAACACTCTTCTCATATGTGACTGAGGTGAAATTAAAACAGATAACTGCATATTGCAGAACAAAGCTTTAGCCACTGAGATAAAAGGTGTATCTATTAACCGCTGTGTTTGGCAAAGTCAAACAGGGAACAATCTCCTCACACGCAGACAACTGCATATTACAGGAATCAAACCTCAGTCACAGAGATGAAAGACACATGTACTAACCACTGTGTTTGGAAGAGTCAAACTAGAAGCATTTTTCTCACATGTGACTGAGGTGAAATTAGACAACTGCATATTACAGGAATAAAACCTCAGTCACAGAGATGAAAGACACATGTACTAACCACTGTGTTTGGTAGAATGAAACTAGAAGCACTCTTCTCACATGTGACTGAGATGAAATTAGACAACTGCATATTACAGGAATCAAACCTCAGTCACAGAGATGAAAGACACATGTACTAACCACTGTGTTTGGTAGAGTCAAACTAGAAGCAACTCTTCTCACATGTAACTGAGGTGAAATTAGACAACTGCATATTGCAGGAACCTCGATCGTAGAGATAAAAGTTGAAAATGTGAACTTTGTGAACTGCAATTAAGTATAGTTCTTTCATCTTTAACAGAAATATACTATGAAGAAGACAGTGCCAGCCCTCAAGAGCCAGAAACATCTGATCTTGACTGTAAGTTTTAAAAGTACTCAGCGTTTACATAAAGTATTTCACACACGCATTTAGCTTGATTTTGAAATGGATCAGAACGCCTTGGTATTCGGGATTTCAAAGAACGAGTTGGCAAAAAGCACGCGTGTGCTACACGAAGTTATCAGACCAATCGAGACATTCCTAAGACTGCTTCACGCGCAAAAAGAATGAATAGACTCGTGGAACCTCGCATTTTCAAACTCATTTTGATACTAGATTATCAAATGTGGTATAACAACTGCCTAAAATAGACAGAAACACTTCTCGACGTTTCGAACTGAGGGCCTTCGTCCAAAGTTTTATACAACTGGCCCAGGAAGATTACCAGGAAGATTCACATTTTTGTCATAATTTCTTCTCATTTTTCTAGCAAAGTGGCTTGGATAATAAGGCGACAATACAATAAGAATTTCATTCCAATTCCACTTAACTTTTTTCAAACCAGATCAACTATAATAGTTGCTCTGTGCAATATTTTGAATTATTGATTTAATCCGTTTAATTTCGAGAGTTTTTTGTGGTATATTTAGATATTAAGTACGGCCTTGAAATTAGTGAAATTTTCCGAATAACAACGATAATGACAGTAACAATATGCGTTGAAATTGAAATAATCTGATTCTTTAGCATGCGAAGATTTAGTTCCAACAAGAAGATGTGAATATGAGAAAAACAGAAGGTCTCGAGGCTGTGAAGATGAAGTCATGCAGACGAATTGTGCAAAGACATGTCTTTCATGCCGTAAGTATCATATCGCAGGTAATAAAGTGCGAAGGCCAGTTCTGTTGTTCAAAGATAGGTCAAAGTTAACCCCGCATGGGTTAAATTTTACTTATGTGTTTACAGTATGCCTCTGCACCGCTGTTTGTTTTAAAATTTTTACAAAAATGACTTCTATCAGTCCAGAAAGTATTAGGGAAAAATATGTTCAAACTTATGTAAACAAGAGATTCAAAAAATCGATGTAAGATTTGCTTTAACTCAAGGTTAAGCTATCCGGCTTTTGAACAACCTGCCCAAGGAATTTATCTAGATATATTGGGTGGAATGATAACCAATCTGTGTAGTGATAAATGAAATTTGTGCAGTGAAAAGAGAGATGTTTTTGCAATGATAAATAAGATTTGTGCAGTGATATAAAGAGATTTTATTTCTTGGTTTTTTATACATACACTATACGCATATTGTGAGGATAGATGTAGTAGTATACAAGTGTATTATTGCTTGAGTAATTTCGGCATATAGTTAATTACGTGAATTGCAAAGTGAGTACTTGCAGCTACTCAGTGGTAACTCTGGTCCAAATAACCTGCAATTTCGAAGGTCAAACTAATTCCTTGTTTTTGCCCGCAGAACGGAAAGCGCCCGCCCCACCCAAAGTCGTGGACTGCAAAGGTTCAACGTACGGTTGCTGTTGGGATGGCAAGACGCCACAGCTTAGTTATACAGGCGAGGGATGCCCGGAGTGCAGAGATGACGCCGTCTATGCGGCACTCTGTCAGATATGGAAGCGTTACTGCGACAATTCAACCCGCGTTGCTGAACATGAAGTGGTACAACAATATTGTCATAAGACATGCAACAAGTGCTTTGGTAAGTGGCAAATCTCTTCAACCTTTTCTTTTGCGCGAGAAATGCGAGATAGGGCAGTTTTTTGGCCCCAACGATATTGGATTCATATGTATCACATCAAGTTTCGACAACTCAAAGCTAAATTTCGCACTCAAAATTTTACCAAAAAGCATAGAATGAAATTGAGTGTAGGTCGGGGAAGGACTGAAAAAATCGGTGCTTTAATTTGATATGACGTTTTGTGTATCTCGGATATTATCCTGAGTAATAAAACTAATCAAAACTCAATTTCTAATCTCAATTCGTGCCTGACTTTCCATTGTAACTTCCTGAATTTACGTCAGAGATTTAGCGTGAGGATTAGGGATTAGAATTCGGTTATATTTGGATTAAAATAAAGCTAAGTATTATAGGTTTAGGATTAAGAATAATATATGCAGTTTGTAATGAAGAAATTGGCCAAAATTTTACAATCTTGCGAAGGAAAAACGCTTTTTCCGCGGGGCCCCAGCTAACCGTAAATTCTTTTTTTCTTAGTGCCACGGGCAACGGAACAAACCAGAATCGAAAGGACGCTCCCCCCCGTAATTGGAGAATTCGAAAACTCGGATGACTCCCCCCGGCGTGGGGCTATTTACGTTTGGAGCAAAGTCTTGAATCCTTTCGGACTTAAAAAGAGAAGAAAATAAAGAGAAATACAGTAAATAAGAGGCGTAGTCTCAGAGGAGGGACGGGGGGGGCGGTTATATGGCTAGGTATTGAGGTTATGTATAGTGCGAAGTTAAGGCTAGAATCAGCCGTTGAACTGAAAAAGATAGGAAGGCTATCTTCCACCAAAAACGTGAAGTTGTCCGATTAGAATCAACTGCTATCTCAGTACTTAGTTTAAGGCATCAATTTTCAGTTCAAGGTTGTTTTGATGAAGGAGAAATGTGAGTGCTCGTGACAGGATGCATAGCTGAAAAAACTGAATTGGTACACGCGAAAAAATCCCACATTTAACAGGAAGGGACCTTGTCGACATGTTGTAAACAACTCGATTGTCCTTTTATCATCTTCTTGCGAGATTGTCACTCTTGACACGCGAATTGTGGCATTTATTGTCAATGAAATAGACACGATAGTGAATGTTTTCAACACAGTATGGAATGAGCAAACTCGAGCCTCTGTTTTAATAAAACTTGTGCATTTTTACGCGTGTACCTTCACTATATGTTAAATAGATCGACATATTTCGTATATAAATATATTAAACGGGGTGCATGTGGGTGCATAGGGGGATCGTAGTGTACCTAATAGTCTTGATCTACAAACTACTCTTTGCAATCAAGCAATTGTATATAGGTAAAGAAAAGTTGTATGTAGACTCAGTAGATTTTATACAGCCTAGCAATAAAATCGTGCTGCTCTTAAATTATGTCAGTCCCGACCTGAAAGTCAGCCTGACCAAAAAAGTCAGTCAAAAGTGTATTGGGGAAAAAGGGCGGGGGGGGGTGGGTGGGTGTGTCTGTCCTCCGTGTTAATTTCTATATCCGGTCTAGAGGAGAGACTCGACATCATGATTGTATAATATCAACGTTGAAACTTTCAATTGCAAGTAATTCTTCTGCGAACAAATATGTGACATCGTAACAATTGCGACGGAATTCGAAAACAAACCAATATACATAAAACGATGACGTTGTTCAAGTAAAGGGTGAAATTGAAAAGATTTTTCATCGAGTGTTGTTTAAACGTTATGTCTATACGAATGATCGCTAGGATTCCAGGCACGTTTGCTAAAATACGACGTATAGATTGGCTATAGATTGCTTCACATGGATGGGTTGTTTTACACAGGAAGCTACACAAATATTTTAAGAAACGGTTACAATATTGAAATAAGCAAATAAAAGAAAATGGTGAAAATATTGGTGGATGTGGTTAGTTATCCAAGTTAGAATAGGTTTTTAAGAATTTTACAAAGCATTCTGTCCATGAGTTAGGTCAAGAGAAATTGACCTTGAAACTGACTAGGCTATATTCTTGGCATGAAAAGAGTTTCGCGAACGAATAGATCTGCTTCAGAACTATACTAGTGGAAAGTTTACCTCGAAGTCAAAGCGTGGATGATTATGTTTTGGGGTATAAATGTGAGCGCGATTCTTGCTTGGCATGGTAAAAAGAGAGAGCGCTTCTTCGCAATCAAAAATAACGGGTGAGAAAGTTTAATATAAATAATATTGCGCTTATATATGTAGGCACGCACTAGTCATGATAAGTAACATGACTCTCTGCATGTATCACCATCAGTTTATTCCTGACGCCCTGACCGTTGAAATTTCTGAGGGGTAATTAAGCTTCCATATTTCTCTGTGAAGATTTCATTTCCTTCTTTTCTCAATCCGACCAATTCAGGTTGTTTTAAATTGAACAAGAAATTATTTGTTGGAATCAAAACAATTAATATTATCTGGACTAACTGACTGCCAATATTACTTTTTTGGGGTTTTTTTACGCGATATAGTCTCCGGCTTATTCACTTGCAACGATTGTGGCTATAAATTTTTAGTTTTTAGTATATCACCCAGATTTTTCACGAAATATCCGAAATATTCTTCCAACAAAAAGAACATTCGGTTTTAATTCTGTAACAGGGCAATCTCAAGAAGTTCCTGAATTTAGTTTTTTTCCCTGATCAAACCCCTTCAACTCATGTGACTCACAGTATTAAACGAAAAAGAATAAGACTTTGTGACCGTCTTCTCTGTGTAAGGCCAATATCCCACTTATGAAGAGAGATTAGAATTGTAGTAGAAAAGTGCCCTTTTGAAACATCCATTCAGATCTCGCTGTGCTAATTGCATCAGCCCAAGAGTGTATTGCAACAGTTTTAACACAGGGTCTGTGCGATATAAAACATCGCCTGCCAAGAGAATATGTTTGAAAGAAAGCAGACCCTCTTGAACTTTTCGCATTAGATCTCCTATATGGAATTGGAATTTTAAATATTAAATGAACATTTATATATATCTCTGAAGTGAAAAATTCCGGATTATGAAATTGGATCATCCAAATGTGAACAGCAAATTTCGGATAATGTCGATTTCATAAATGAAATTTTCATTCTTTATAACAATATAATCACGGAAGCGAAGAAAGACTGTTACAGAACAACTTGAACAATTGTATGTGTCAAGCTGAATAAAATGAGATTTTTATTGTCAATTATGTAACCAGTCAAGTCTCTTATGTTTCTTAATGGATAACTGTCACTAAAACTATATGCCCGTGTTGTTTTTTCTATATCATCAGTTTCTGGCCGCATAGGCTTAATCGCGAAAGTTGTAAAAATATTTCTTGATTTGAAATTCACCTCTATTTGAACATATGATGTCATAGCTAAAACAACTATATGAAATGGGAGGTTAATATGTCAAGCTGGAATTTGAATCAATCAGTTTCAATTTCCCGTCATCTTGGCCTCAACAGTTTAAGCGTTTCAACGGGCGATTTTCGTTCCAATATTTTTAAGTTCTTTGGCAATGTCTCGTGATGCAAACTTGCAAAGTACTCAGTAACTAGACAGTCACGAGTGCCTTTCAACTTCAATACTGCTTCTCTAGTGAGCATTTTTTTCCAACAAGTGTTTTTTCCGTATTACGTAGAGGCAAGGGGCTAAAGGAAATCATTATCATTTAGAAGTAGAATTAAACAGTCTCTATAGATCTAGAAGTAGAATTTTTTTAATCCCTCAATGAGCAGCAATTTAATACTCGCTTCTGGAACTTTCGACTAATCTAGCAAAAGCTAAATGAATAGTAGATACAAGTATAGAAGAATATGAATATGAGTCGTATATTGAAGCTCAGCATCGAATATGTTCTCTCTCTCATGCAACTCTCTCAAAGTATGAAAAAAACTCCATTTTCATTTGGCATTCAAACTAGATACGAATATTTGGAAAGCACTCCAGCTATGTCATAGAGACCGAGAGAAACACAGACGCGATATTTCGACATTCACTCGCAGATAAATTAAATCCGTTATTTCCTTTTTTTAAATGTTTTGAAACCCGGTAACGTTTTCAATTACTCTTTCCCAATATCGGTTTGAAAGCCATTTCAACTGAAAACGGACGTTTTTATTTACTGTTCATCAATTTATTATTTCTTATTGCGTACCAAATTGATTGTTTAAATCGTATATATGAGGAAAAATATTACCATTAAAAAGACTTCCTTGTTATAAGTTTCGATTAATTTATATCGATCTCCAACCCTATCCGATACAAGGTCCTGTTTTGTAACGCAAAAGGCCTCGATAAAGAGACTCTTTGTAAGAATATGACTAGAACGAATACATCTATTGGCCTCTGATAAATTCATAAACGTATTGAAAGAAAATGGTAAGGTTACGTATTCGTAATTATTCTTATGTGTACTATTATAAGTGTCCTCAAGAATATTCGCTTAAGGAGCAAGGGGAGCGCCATGCATGCGGTCACAAAAGCTCTCGACTGCTGTAGTGTTGGCGGGCTTTAACCGTTGGAAGTGTAAAAGGAGACAAACCAATATTTACTAAAAGCTTTCATTCTCGTGACGTGCAGTTGATGGAACCGTTTCGGTTTTCTAAACGAGGTGATGTTTAATCATTGACTCCTTGAAACAACTACAAACACAAACAGCTTCGGAGGCAGTTTTAGAGTGAAAGGAATTTCATCTCAAGTTCTAATCACTCTTGGTTATATGGCTCTTTCTTTTATACAATAAAAAAGACTAACCGGCCGGTCCTGTTGTATTTCCGTACGGATAGATTTAAAGTGTTTCAAAAACTCAGCATTCAAATGTATCGTTATTTACATCTGCCCAGCATGGAAAGTGCAGTTTCACTGCTATATTCTTAACGTAATCCTCAATTTCAATTCAAAATATGAGCATGAAGTTCGACCTTAAGGAAAAACACCCTATATTAATGAGAGACTATACATCCATGTCACCACTTCCGCGTTTGAACAATTTACAGCACTTTATAAATACACCGTTAAAAGCCGGACTTGCATGCTTATTAACGAATTGTACGCACTCGGCACTTATGATATAAACTAAAGTCGCCCTCGCTTGACGTCAAATGCGGGTTTAAATCTTACCGCTTATTCCTAAACATTATTCCCTTTCATTTTTTTTTTGGTTTTCTGATCCTATATCATGATGCCAAACTCGACGGGATGGCCATGCATGCAGACATGTCGTTGAAATTATAGTCGTTTTATAGCCTTCAATTAACGTCTTGTCTCACGAATATGTGGGAGTTACTACTTAAAATATCATGACTTTTTTCCAACTTCTCGAAGAAAATCAGACAAACAAATAGACGCATATTAAGAGATTGACGCACATTGACGCCGCCTCTATTTATAAGGCGCGCGTGTCGAAGTTGTTGGAAAGACTTGGGTAAACTTAGAGCAGGGTCAAAAATTCATTTAGACTATAATTGCAATGATAGTCATCTTAAAAAAGCGAGGATTTTTCGAGATTTGTGAAGAATTATGTATAGAATGCATGAAATCACTCCAAACATGCATTCACGCCCTTGAAGGGCAAAACCTAATTATTAATATCTGTTTCAGCATTAAACAAAGCATATTCAAAAACATGTACCACATCATGAACTAACCGTAGTAAATAAATTAGCAGCAGTAACGAGTTCAACACAACATCGAATAACTCGAGGATAACTCACATTCATTTAAGAGAATGTTCAATACCTTTTTGCGCATAATCTAAGCATGTTTAACTCAGCTGTAACTGAGTTCTGTTCAACATCAAACGATATATATTTAAATGTAGCTTAACTTCAAACACCTTTACATAATGTAACCGTGATTAACTCAGCCGCAGACTTCAGTATATATCACCAGTTCACTTCAAGGTGTAACTCGCATTCAGGCGCCAGTACACAGTGCTCCGAAACCAGCCAAGTTTAACTCAACAGTGATTTTCCTATCAATTTAAAGCCCGGTTAAATGCACAAGAGCGGATTTCTGTATCAGTGGGGGTGATATTTTAGAAGTATTAAAAGACTGCGTGTATTTTTAACGTCAGAGATGCTAATAAAAAAAACAAATCTGTCAGACCAATAAGTATTTTGTGGCCTGCTGACAATGGCTGCTTAACGGTTTCTGACATACATCCTCTGTTGTGCAATCGTGCCTTAGAAGCCAATATGTATCCATTAGACAACCATCAAATTTCCAATCTTCCAAGCCACCTTGGTTCAAGAATTAAAATGCCAAACGAAGTAACGTAACTGCCCAAAAATGGCAAATGTTTCGCCCAAATGCGAATGATTATCCGAAACTGATCTTTGGCAGATTTGCTCGTATTTTTGCACCTTGGATTGAATCCAAATGGGAGATTGGAAAGACGTTTTGTTATATCATCAACAAAGTTACCAGGTGACATTCAGCAGCCAAAACTAACAGTTTACTTTACGGGATTACTTAACGAGTTCTGTCGATCCTAAACTGTTCTTCAGGAAGGTTTATCACTTGTCCACAGTTAGACAGACGGAAAAGAAGTTAAAAACTCAAAACAATATTCTCGATGGCTCTATGGTCCTTACTAAATGGCCATGCAGTATAAGAATCATCTTTTATTGATCCAGTATTACTACAGGAGGAAACCTAAACTAAACTAAACTAACTGCATTTATACTGGATAGCTCTATCAGTTCCAAACTGTTCTTCCTAGAGATCCAGTAAGGATCATCTCTCACTGATCCAGTGTTACTACAGAAGGAAACTTAAACTAAACTTTATTTATACTAGATACCCCTATCAGTTCTAAACTGTTCTTCTTCCTGGAGGTCCAGCAAGGATCATCTCTTATTGATCCAGTGTTACTACAAGAGGAAACCGAAACTAAACTAACTTTATTCATACTTGATGCATAGTTCTATCAGTTCTAAACCGTTCTTTCTAGAGGTCCAGTAAAAATCATCTCTTATTGATTCAGTATCATGCGCTAGACTACGAGACTGCACGCACAATACTAATAATGGACTACATGAAGGTATCTGAACTATAGTACTCTTAATATATTACACGTTTAAGCGTGAAATTTTGTTTGCAATGAATTCTCACATATCTTTATTAACCTCCTTGGGATGAGGACTAAAATAGAAGTGCTTTGTGCACATGACAAAAAGCAAAGCCAAGCCACTTCAAGGCTCTAGATAAACTGCATCACGTCACATGGAATTTAGCACTGAATGCTGGGCGTATAAAAGATTTGATCCAATTATTGGCATTCGACCTCGTTGAGATAACCACAGTCGCAATATAAACATGTTTGTTCCTTGAACACACCAATACTCCCATGCAAACTTAAAATCGATGAAAACACTCTGGGTGTATTTAAAGTCGTATAGGAATGCTACGAACAAGCTCGCAGCATTGCCCTTGTTTATTTTTTAAACATTAAACTAAGTATGCAGCTCAGAATAACCACTGAACGATATTGGACCGCCCGCGGATACGCCAGCATTGCATGACTCCGTGCTACCACTTGAAGTGGGGAATATTTCGCACGCATTCTTCGCATGCCAAAACCCCGCCTCGCACCCGTATAAAATGACGTGCAGTTTCCCTGCTACCTCAGAGGGTATCTGTGCGGACACACAAACGGAACGATAGTATATTTTGCATCACGACGCAACAGCGACAATGGCGAAGATCATCTTACGTCTGTTTGTGTGCGGAGCATTGCTGTATTCGTGTATTTATGCGTATTCTTCAAGATCGCAAGGTAGGTTCTCTAAACTAAACCGTGTTTTTAACAACGGGCTGTGCGTGCGTTCGGAAAAACGTTGCCAAGATGTGAACCGAGCCGCATTCAAGTTTCGTGTTTACAAAATTAAAGGCAATTGGATTAAATTACCATCATTATGCCTCTCGGAAAGGGATTTGCCTGAGAGAATTGATGAATTTTTTAAAAGCTTTTCGATACACGACGACACGAGTGAAAGGCGGATAAACGACACAACTCGTAAAGCGTAAAAATAACCGCGTTTTATGTGCCATAATCGATATTCAGGCTTGCACAATCTCAAGATACGCGGTAAAAAAGGGAATTATAAATTCCTTAGAGTATATATTAAATAGTTTCAAGTACTGAAATACCGAACTAGTCCATTTGCAATGATAGTTCTAAGGGCTCAATATGGTCTTGGTGAAATTCAATGTTGTTTTTCAAAACAAAGCATTTGGGATTTTAATTCTTTTGTTGGCAATCATTAGGTAACATGTTTTTGATGATTAGAAGTTAGATAGGAACGAGATTAGTACTCCGGTCGACCTTTTTTGGATGAAATCGCATAGCAGGCACCGAGTTAATGTAATTTTATTACGCCATATATGAAAAGGCGCGTCGACAATCCTGAATTAAGATTATCGTGGGCTGATAGTTATCTCAGCATACATACATGCATGCACGATACCTGCGCGCGTTGCTGTTCAAAACAGAATCACCGGCAGTGATGAAACGTACCCCAAGTCGATTTCACCGTGTGACGCTTGTTCTCCCTATCGGCACGGGGAATTCAAACGTAAACTATTAATTTCTGAGTGAATTACAATCGAATTCCATGTCTGCATGCATTTTGCAAACCTCTTTAGACGCAGATCTAAGGAAGGTGCGCAAATCCAAAAATTTGACGCCCGACAAAGATATAGGTCAAGAAAAAGGTGAAATCCATTTGGCCCACCTAATATAGCCATGCGTATTTCATACTTAGCCTTGACCACTAGGCTGCAGAGATTTGGGCTTTTTTTAGTTTTCTTTAAGGAGACACTAACCTAACCACAAAAGAAAACTGTAGACCGTTACGCAAGTTCCAGAAAAAAACCCGTTTAAATCCGGCTGTCAATTTGACCGCAAATCTGAGCATCGCCCCGAAAATTGTCAGAAGTTTCTTTACCTTAAAATTTGATAAGTTTCAATTTCTTATTCACGCGATCAATACCTGGTATCTGTATAGATAAATAAGGTGCTTATTGAACGCAGATGGAGTTTCCATTAGAACTCCAGTTAGGCAAGGAACGAGATAAGTTCAGTTTATCGTTTAGGCTCTTTCGCAATTGTTCTTTTCATGTAAGTGAATCAAAAAATATACATGAAATTACTAATGGATGCTATAGATAGCGCATATTTTCCCTGAGGGTTCTACAGAACTGATAGCCCTTATAAGGACAGCTATTTCTGTTTTTGACAAGAGCAATTAGATAGATTTCAGCCTATATAGTCTATATATTCGTGTAAATGTTGAGAGCAATATCTAACGTAAGTGTGTTAGCGGTTGAATTTTAAACATATATATTATTAGAAGGTGCGCATTGATAAGAAAAACTGCCTTTCTTTAAAAGTTAGAACGTTTTAAACCTGGTTTACATGTCAAAAATGTAGTCACATCGAATGAAATCGGGGTTGATTAGGTAAACGATGAGTTGATTTTCCCTTCAATGAAGTTCATTTCTGATTGTTTCAACTCATTTAGACGCATGAAATTCGACTACGAGTCTAACCTGAGTGACGTGTTAATGACGTGGCGGTAATTATTGTGGGTTAAACATTCGTATATATACATCAAGAGAGGTATATATATATTCAACCCTGCATGGGGCACCTGGCAATTAACGCCGTCGTTTTCATTCATAGAGTGACATTATATAAGGAGTGGAAATCAATTATACACTATATAGACTAAAGCAACATACCACGACCACATGCTTTGTCAAAATGCCGATAAAAACCCCTAAGTTGGCCCAATGATGCCGTCTCTATTCATTCTCGGACGGTTTCTACTCTCAACGAGTACAAAATTTGCCTATTCTCGCTTAGAATACACTCAGTCGCAGGTTTACAACCTCACATCTCTGTTTTTCCCACCTGAAGTTGGCAGGAAGTCTGCACAACCTCACGTGTTGACGCGACAATATACAGAATCGTTTTTTATCATCATCTCGATGAAAATAATATCAAGTGCTGTTTATACATCATATTTACACTTTGTGGTCTAAAAGCAGCTCGATAACGGCCTGTCGTGTGAATTGCAGGCATGTTATTATTTAACGGATATATTAGAAAGGAGCTATAGATAGTTTTTTGTCAAATTCCTTGGTAAATTGCAGTCTTAATCTAATACGGTAAGATAATACGGTCCCGTTTCCTGGATTTAGGTTTTTTCTTGTTATGCAAATAAAGCTGATTATGAGCGATTAACGTGCGGTCTGTAAGCTTTAACTGGTTTGTGCCTTGGCACAGCCTCAGCTAAACGTAAACGCGCAAGATGGATTAAAGTAGCCAGCCAATCTGAGTATCTGACTGTGGTGATTACTGCCAGCATGCATTTGCCGATATGGTTCGGCTTTCCGCTTAAAAAAATGAAGCTTATTTTAAACGGTGATGTTTAGTTTGTAAAACGTTGCTGCTTTGTCATAGTTCACAGCTTAAAATGCGAACATGAGACGGCTTTTGGTTGGGTATAATATTATAATCTGATTCGATTGCAGGCAGAGAGCCTGATTCTGAAGAGGTTAACATGCGCGCTAAATAGTTGTGAATTATTTTGTGGTATGGATTCTGACTTTAGCACAAGTTCACGCTTTCTAATGGGTGTCGACCGGCTGACCCTACAGTAGTTTACGTTTTATAAACTATAATAGTATAATATACTTGCAAAATATTTGATATTGCACCTTAAAGAGGTCCATAGATCTTCTTTGAACTTAAACACGCAAATCTGATCAAAACTCACCGTAAAAAAATGGTACACGGAGCGTTTACCACCAACTAAGAATCCGCCATACACGTTTGAACACAATCATCTGCGAAGCCATGTACCATATATCGGTCACATTACGTCCGTTCTTCCAGACAGCTTGATGCAACAGCCACAAATAATCCAAAGGAATTCATTTTGAAAAATTCCGGTGCATTAAAACAGTGTGGGGATACTCTTTTACGTTTAGTTATTTAGATAAACATGCCTGCACTTCAAATGCACACTTGATGTGTTGAAGACGTATGTATTAAAGCGTTTGCATTAGGTGAAACATCTATTTGCATCTCTTTGACAATACTTTGCATATCTTTTGAAAGAAACTCTGGTTTATATTCACCATTGGGTGTTCAAAATCTTGATAATTGCGGTTTCTCATTAATGCTAATTGTTTTTGGGTGTTAGAGTGACACGATATAGACAAGCGCGGTTTAAATATTTGTATTCAAAGAACTTCAACAGTTCAACTAAGACAAAAAGATTTACGTATTAATTCCCAATGAAACCATTTTCATCAACATGGTCTGTTTACGACATAATAAGGTGCATTCGTCTGTGGGAATTGAAAGAATTATGTTTTCTAAACAACTTATATGCCTGAGAACAAAAAATGTTTACAAGAAAAATGCAGCTTTCTGGTACAAAATTAATCACAGTGAATTTGAAAGATGTGACACGGATTCAACAGTATAGATAAAAGCTATTTCGTGGTTGATTTTTTGCTGTTGTTGCGTGACCTTGTTGAGTCCTTAAACTAGGAATGAAGATTGACGGCTTAAAGAGAGTGACATATATTGCCTTAAGAGCGAGGTTAAGAACTTGAATTATATAATGGCATAAGTGCAGTTTATAAACAGATACGTGTTTGTGTTTATTGCATGCAGTATGTCATGTTTGGGACTAAAAACGCTTATGTTGTTGCCTTTTTGGCTATATATACACTCACAACTGCCATTAAAAACAAGTTTGCTAGGCTACGATATACAAACATTGTAAAGCCTGTCAAGTTAAATTGCCGGACAAACACGACATGTTAGATTGACAAGTTAAGTAAAAACAACAAAAGCTACGCTTGTGGGATCCCCCAAGACATTATTTTCATCAACCAGATGCGAGCAGTGAGTGTTTTCATCCGCGTATGAATATATATCAGATCTTGAGGTTGATGAGCATAAAAATTTTCGTCAATTTCCATTAATTAATTGCTTTTAATGCGTATGTTAAGTGTTCAGCGTCCAAAATCCTGCAATGACGTGTGGGCATCATTAAAGTCTTAAATACATAACTCAATCCAATAAATTGAGACCTCAAAAACAGGCTAAGGCCTATCTCCCACCTCAAACGTTATCAAACATGCGCTGGGAAGCCGTTTGTTTCAAATTCATTATGCTCTACTATATTGTTCTCAACAAAGGAATGGCATAAACAACTAAGATAAGGTTTATATTGAAATGATAACAATATAATTAAATAACTTTGCTCAACAGTTGCTGAATGACAAACAGTAACAATGGGAGCGGTCATTATCACCAATACCAACTGGCAATCGGTTATTATTGGTAGATGGTTTAAATCCAGGAATTTATAATCTTTCTGTTTACAACTTGCTTGATTAACACGTTCCAGCCTTTTCTCAGGCCTGTGCAAAATGGTGCAATTTAGTTAAAATGGCGCGGTGACCCAAGCTTCTCACAAAACGACCATGCTCATTTTTGCAATACTGACTTTGTATTTCCGTCCATCTTTCCAAATTAATTTGAAGACCTACCCATTTGAGATGGTATCATATTTTTCGATGTCTGCCTGTCTAATCAACCTGATTTCACTGAAATAATTCTTTTATATTGACAGATGCGACGCAGCTGAGAAAGTATCGCGTATAGCGCGCTATGCATTGTGGTTATTGTTGTGGTATGGCTGGAAATCAATTAAGATAGCAGTCTCAATTCAATGTTATTTTGCTCAAAAACTTTTTCACAAACAACACACACAATTTTTTAACACAATAATACACTATCCTGAATATCAAACGGGCTATAAAACCATGTAGATACATAGCAAGAATGACTACGGAAACTGTAATGAAATAGCTATATAATTATCAGTCAATCGGTTTTGCATATTGCTGTACAGTATCATAATCTTTTTACTGTATCTTTTTGAGACGGGGATACAGTCGTACGTGCTGAGAAAATCTAATCAGTATCCCGTAGTTTTGTTGCGAAAATACATTTAACAATCATTCATCGTCTGTTATTAAAAAAAATCATTATGAAAACAGACACACGGCTCCATAGGACGATAGGGATTTGTTGACTAATAAGATTATTCGGTTTTTTACCTAATCCCAGCGTGTTCGTCACTTTGGTCACCTAGGCTAAGATTTGATGTCTTCGTTTTCAATTACGCTGACACATTATGATTTGATTAATCGCTGAAGAAGATTGAAAATTGACGTGGACACTTCGTTAAAAAAGATGTTAGTAAATGCCCGCGTCAATAAAAACACATTGTTCCTTACTTATATCGAATGACCACCAATTGAGAGCTTGCAAATGAAAGTTGAATGTAAATACGTTGGGCAATTTTCATACAAACACTAACGGAATTACAAATATACAAAAAGAAAGAGTAAACATAAAGGTTGAAATTGATTTGGGTTCAGGAAAAATAGTTGTTTTAACGTGAAATAAAAAAGGGCATGCAATTACGCGAAGGCGCCTCTCAACAAATCGATTTGCATGTAGCTAGTCTGTCATCGAATGTGCTACAGCTAAATATGTAGTAAACATCTTCAAGAGTTGTAATGTTGTTATTTTGAGTCGAATATGACAGAATTAAAATCACACAACTATTACCCGTTACAATTAATAGGTAAAATGAAGAGTTTATCCGGCTTACTGTCCACTAAAACAGCGATTTAGCACTGCTTACAAAGTTATCCAATTTAAATATAATTAGTTTAGTTTGAATATCCCCCTGCATGTAGTCATACTGGATCAATGAGACTTGATCCTCTAGATTGGACCTCCAGGAAGAACAGTTTAGAACTGATGGAGCTATATCCAGTATAAATAAAGTTAGTTTAGTTTAGGTTTCCTCCTGTAGTAACATTGGATCTCTTAAGAGATGATCCTTACTGGACCTCTAGGAAGAACTGTTTAGAACTAGCTATCCAGTATAAATAAAGTTAGTTTAGCTTAGGTTTCCTCCTGTAGTAACACTGGATCAATGAAACTTGATCCTCTAGATTGGACCTCCAAGAAGAACATTTTAGAAGCAGAGCTACAGTATCTAGTATAAATAAAGTTAGTTTAGTTTACGTTTCCTCCTGTTGTAACACTGGATCAATAAGAAATTATCCTGACGGGTTCTTTAGGGCTCTAAGAGCAGTTCAGATAGAGCCATCCTTCAGAAAACCAGACAAGCTTAGTTTTAAATGATGTCTAAACTAGCAAGGGCTAACACTGAGTGAGTGTAATACAAATTGATCAAAATTTTTTGAGACTAAAGAAACAATTTGTGCACGTTTTTATGGGAAACAAACAAAGCAATTCCAATTCAATTAATGCAATTCAAGAGAGACAAGATCAATATCATTATGTCACCCTACAGTTCATCCAAATCCATCATGCTTCGAGAATAATGATTTGTTGTTTTCAATTTTAGATTTGTCATCCTCAAGAATGCAGCAAAACTATCCGAAAAATAACTTTCAGCTTACGCTTTGTAAGTCGTGATTTATGTTATTTTTAGCCGTATTTATTACGGCGAATACCACTGGCGAATCTCACGAACATGCATGTCGTCGAACAGACTTGATTCAGGTTTATATAAAACTGAAGAAGTCGTTTTAGTTTTTGCGATTATGCCGATACATCAGGAACGACACACTGTGCCTGTAGCTTAATTTGCAATCGTTCTGAAAGGATGATTCAGGCTATCGGGTTTTTATTTTTATCTATGCAACAAGAATGAAATCTAAAACAACACAGAGAGAAATGGTATTTAATTAAGACTGATTAAAACTGAGGAATTTCGGCCCGAGTTTGGATGGCGTAAATTCCATGGATATTATCCCCACTTTGACTGCATTTCAGAAACAATCTTCGCATTCTTTCTCATTTTAAGATGCTTAGTCGTAGCTTTGATTTTGGGGCGGGTTCGTCATGCCTGGATCAATATTTTTTTCAATAACTTGAAGCATACATCGATTCTAATCCTTTTTCCTCATGTGTTTCAGTGACCACTTGCCGTGACAGGTTGCCGAGATGCAATAAGCCTGGTTATTGTGAAAAGTACAACACCAGAAGATGGAAAAAAGTGATGCGGATGAACTGCAAGAGAACTTGTAATCACTGCCGTAAGTATTGAAAATACGAGTATCGTGTCGTAAAGTGCACTTATTGCTTACGGAAAGAGTTGTGATGTCAATCAGATAGGACAGCACGTAGACATATTTCAAAAAACATATGCGTAGACATATGCATATTTTAAAAAAGGAATCAATTGCAAGTGTAAGCCGGCCTTGAATATCGCCAGTTAAGTGCACGATTAACTTACGAATCATAACTCATTATCTCCCCCTCTACCCCCCACACTCCTTTACCTACCACCGCTCACCCCCCACATCCCCACCCCTTAATATCTCTGAATATGCACTGTAGAGCTAAACAGAACCAAATTCTATCTTGTTTTCAGCCGCTCCCTCCCCCCCAGCCTGTTTCAGCTCACAGTACGGCTGTTGTTGGGATTACATCACCAGTGCACTCGGCCCAGGCGGCAAGGGATGCCCACCGTGCAATGACAACCGACGCTATCCTTACGTGTGTCGGCGGTTCAAGACTTATTGTCGAAGAAAAGGAATCAGTGGCAAGTGGATGAGAGGGAACTGTCCGGACTCTTGCGGACACTGTGGTACGTTTGGGGATATACATGCTATACTACACCCTCTTTCCGAAATTTCGATCATTCGCAGATTATCCCACAACGGATTTAACGTTGCCATTATTAATAAGATCAGGATTAGAGTCAAACCGTAAAAGGCTATATCTTATAATTATCATCGGATTTGACTAATACTTTGAAATGCTGTTCTTTTATCAACATTGAACTATATTTAGGTTCAGAAAAACCTTCAGATTGACGGGTTTAACACACACACACACTATCATGCTTGACCACCTTGGTCGGCTTTCGAAAAGTGCTAACACTCTTTCGTGCTTAAACTTTCCTTGTTTTACTCATTTTGGAATGCTCTTTTCGGCTGGAGAAATCAGTACCGAGAAAATGAAGTCAAAGACTTAGTTTAAATGGAAAACAATCCAACTATTATTTTTATGTCTTACTTTGCAGCTATATGGCAGTTCTAATGAGCGTCGCTATACGAAGAAATATACAAGTATACATTAAACGGGAGGGGAGAGAATGCTTTGAAAACAAGGGGAGCCGAACGATACTTCAGATTAGATTTGAAGCAGGGATCAGTTGAATTCTGTATGTATTAGTTTCATACCTTAGACCGACTTTAAATAAAACAACAAATGCGTCTTTGCCCACGACGTGTAATGCAATGTTTCAAAGTCGACGTTGCGCCGGCTTGTGTAAAAATGAACTCGTATGATATGTAATTTGCATCATTTGAATATGCTATTGAGAGGACGGAAGATCAATAGTGAAGAATATAGGTGTAAATATAAACCAAATGAATGTATTTTAAGTGAATTCAATTGTCTAAATAATTGTTTTATAACAAAACTACAGTTGATGAAATTATCAACGATTCTGTTTGAGGATGTAACAACGTTGTCATCTATCGACCTGGCATTGTCGATTTAAAACTTAAGAGACTCCTATAGAGGTCCAGCAAGGATCATCAGTTCTAAACTGTTCTTCCTAGAGGTTCAGTAAGGATCATCTTGTATTGACCCAGTGTTGCTACAGGAGGAAACCTAAACTAAACTAACTTTATTTATACTGGATAGCTCTATCAGTTCAAAACTGTTCTTCCTAGAGGTCCAGTAAGGATCATCTCTCATTGATCCAGTGTTACTACAGGAGGAAACCTGAACTAAACTAACTTTATTTATACAGAAGATAGCTCTATCATTTCTTCCTAGACGTAGAGGTCCAGTAAGGGATCATTTCAGGCGAAAAGCTAATATAAACTTTAAAGTCTAGTAAGAACCGAGCTGATCTTGTTGATCCACGCATGCTATAGTAGTTCATTTCGCATGTTTTCTTGCCGCTTTCGATGTCTTCGTGTTCTCAAATCATAACGGTCTTGCGATTTCTCTCTCTTAAAGTTCTTCTGTTGCAAAGAATTCATATCATTCCTCCACGTTTCTTTACTGCATCGTCTCTGTGCTTCCGCATTTTTCAAATACACTTCATTCACGTCCATCCAACAAAACTTCGACGGTAAAGCGACTTTAAAACCATCTAAGGACTGACAAAACTCCCCAACAACTTCCGTTTCGATCCGCTCCGTGGCTCTCCGCTGCTCCTGAACTTTGCGCACGTCGATCCGCGGCGGAACAGGCGGCAATGTGGAAAGAAGATGAACTTTCGTAAGCTCGCAAAGCTTCTTTCGTGCTTCACGCACGTTCCTCGGAACGTTTCCCTCGTATTTCGCGATCATATTTGCGCTTGACGGCCGCAGCGAGCGAGTCTCGTCCAAATGCGTGCTCAATTTCTCCCAAGCCTTGCGTTTTAATTCAAGCGAAGTCCCAGGCCTCCTCAAGTCTTCCTTTGAGTACGAACTAAGCTTTACGTACGGAACATTAACGCCATCATTCATCTCTTTAAGTTTTCCAGAGAATCCGCGTTTAGTTTCGTCGTTTTCCGCTGTATTTGACAGTTCCCCTTCGGTCGACAACAAAGATCTCTCAGATGAACTCGAAGAATGAGCTCGTTTTCCTGTATCGATAATTGCAGGACCGCTCCTTTCCAATGGTAAAGATGAACTCTTCGAATGTCGTGCAAACAGCAATCGTTTCGTAGATTCGTGTTCTTTCAACAGCATTTCGCTTCGTCTCAGGTTATTCAGGAACCTGTTCGCCTGTTGTTTTTGACTCGTTTCTATTGTCGCAAGCATGTCCTTCTCAAAAACTGCAATTGCTTTGCGACGACGTCTCAGCAAAACCTCTTGTTGGTTGTCAACAGTCATCGAGACATAATCCGTCACGTTTAGCCTGGATCTTTGCCCCACGGGAAGCGAAGATCCCTCAGAATCAAAGCCTTTCGACTGCATCATACGAAGCTATTTTCTTGGCGAGCTGCGACGACCAATTAAGCCGCTATTGTCATGAATTCTTGCTTCAGGATTCTCCAAATTTCGGACGAAAAACCACTATGTTTACCTCGCGGACTCTTCGATTTACTACATATTTTTTTAAAAAATTAACCTTAACGCGACTTAATGCGTGGTCGAAAATAAAATCAACCTCATAGTTGCTATGTTTTCTTATCACTTAGGCAAACTAATTCCTAACGAATAAATATTTCATTCGTTTCGAAGCTCTCGACCAATCGGTTACGCACAGCTTTTATGTGCTAATAAGGATGCCTCGAAATTTTGACATCTTCGCAAACATTTGCAATTGCCCGACGTTAATGAATTACAAATATTAGCGTCGTGAATTTGAAGTGTAAACTACCCAAGTGTGTAAACTACCAAAGTTTACTTAGCATTAAGAAGGTCGGCGGTTGGACTTATGCAGTCTAACTTTATACTAACCGTCTGATCGCCATAGCTACAACTGCATGTGCATTTGCGAAAAAAAAAGCCTCGCACAATTAAAATATTGAATTGTGGAAGCCATGCATCTGCTACCTTCGTTCTGCATCAAAACAGAAACGTTTCCCAGCAAATGTACGTACGAATTGGACCTTTAAGAAAGCGAGGTTCGCGATATTGCGATCCTGTAAGCGTTTGGTTTGTTGCGGAAAATATTATGAGATATTCAACAGAGTTTTTTAGGCAATATTTATCGCAGCAGGTGGCTAAGTGTTTTCCTAAAGTGACAAGAGTTGAGCAGCTGCAGCATTGTGAAGACACTTTGCATTTGCAAATTACGAGTGTTCGCTGTGGATTCGACAGTGTGTTACAAAGCGTGCCTGAGTTTTTCAACAATGACAAAAAGGATGACAGCCACTTCGGAGTCGTTTGGCAGCGATTAGACGCTCAGTGATAAATTAATCCCCGTGCGGTGCTGGTGGAAATAGACTATCTTTAAAAAAACAACGGTCTTTCTTAGCCGTGACGTTTTTAAGCATTTGTTTTGTACAATGTGAAGTATCGCGGACCATACTGCATGGTCTTCGCGCCCACGAGCAAGCCGAGCCGGACCTCACTTCAAGGAAATTGAACTCTCAACACAAATCGAAAACTCTCTTATAATGTATAAAGTGTTATATATGTTATTTCAAAAATACAATGGCTTAGTGATATATCTATGATATAATATATTCTTTTAAATATTCGTAATAACTCATTATGTACCGTAATTATTATGAAAAAATATCCCATCTTCTGCCGGATATGACAGTGCCATCATTACGATATATGACATTCTTAATAGTAAATATTCTACCTTAAATTAATGCAATAAATTTTTGCGAATTGTACAACTGGGTGAAACTTGGGACAATGTCTTGATCACCGTATAAGATTAAATGCAATTTGTTTCTACTGCCTAAATTTGAGATTGGAACAAAATATTCTCCATTCCTTTTAACGGAGTGACTCGCTTTGGAGGAACAGATTGATTTCCAGGCCCTACGCTTTGAACTTGAGCACCGGCCACCCGCACGCCCCTCCTGGGACCTGAAAAATTTTTCGGTAATTTCTCGTGATGTCCTCGGACGCCGTGTTGTCCCGACTTCATCGGCCTGTCGTCGGAAATCAGATCTTCGAGAGACCGAGATCGCCAAAACTCGCCAGTTTTGCTACCATGTGACGTCAGACTCGGGTTGGCGTCGGCATGGTGCGTAATGAATACGTCATCCGAACCGACCGACGGTCGCCGAGGACGGCGAGACTTTGAGGAATGCGATTTATCTTTAGGCCGAGGTTTCTTTACTTCGACTACGCGACGAGCATCCGATGACGTCACCTCCACCTCAAGGTTGCCCTGAACCTGTCTTGTGATTGGTTTAGAATTCGCGTAACCAGACCTTTGGCGGGAATCTTCATTATTGTGACCAGCCCGTTGCGAAGAGGGATGCGCGCGAGTAGGGGGTGCGACGGGATCTTTGGGACGTGCGTTGCTAGTTGGGTATCTTGGATCTTTACGCATAGGCCATGTTTTGTCGGGTCGTGTTTCCCACTCAGCCTGGGGTTTTTGAGAAGGTTGAGGTGCCTGTTTTTGAGGCGGAGGAGCATCGCGTGGTTGCGCCTGCGTGTGGCCCTCCATCGGGCGCGCAAGGATCACAGAGGAAGTGTTGTCGCGATTGTTATTCATCCATTCGGAGGAATTATTGAGGTTTTTAAACATTGCGCCTAGTTCCTCAGATACCGGGTCCCGTTGATCACTACTCCGTCGTACTCCTTGGTCCTGGACACGAGTCACGTGCACGCTAGATGCCTGACCTTCGCGGACTTTAACAGCTCTGCGGTCACCGGGGAGAGGTCCTGGTGCACTTTCAACTGCGTTCAAAACACGAGATTTCTCGATCGATGTCTGTCTCACCGTTCCCATAACTTTCACACGTTCTCCAGAGGGTATATTGGGATCCGGTCGCCTCTGTTGCTCGTTAACCCCAACTGTCCTTCGTTGTTGGTTTTGCTCCCGGAGATCTCGATGTAGCCTGGAGTTTTCGAGTCGCAATCGTTCCACTTCAGAACCTAGAGTGTGTTCCGAGTTTCGCCTCGCTGTCTCAAGCTGTTGATTCTGTTTGGTCAATTCGTCCAAAGATCTTTGGAACTCGTTGATTCGACTTTGAGTGCGTTCTAGACCGCTGACCTCAGAATTCCGGACTGCACCTTCGAGATTAACGATCGTCCGCTGTAGACGCTCTCTCTCCATCTTGAATCCATTTTCTCTCTCGGATATCTGCTTCTGTGAACTATCCAGCGCCACTTTAAGTTTCTGAAGCTCGCGCGCAGATCTCGCTCCCTCTTCGCTCCGTTCAAGTTTCACCCGCTCCAATTCCCTGACCGCGTTCGTCTTCTCCTCTGACGCATTGCGCAACTTGCGTTCTGCGTCGGCCCAATTTGCGCGCACCTGAGAAATCTCTCTCTCCGCCATCTGCGCGTTCTCCTTCGCCTCCGCGTCCGCTTTCCGTTTCACCTCGACCATCTTCGTGTCCCGCTCGGCGAGCTTCTTTTCCATCTCTGTTTTCGTGAGTTTTATTTTTTCTTCCAGTTTTTCTGCGGCCAGGCGGGCTTCGTTGCGAGCGCTTCTCTGGGCGACCTCGTGTTCATCCGTCATTCTGCGCATGTCAAGCTTCAATTGACTTACTTCTTGTTTTAATGAATTTTTCACTTCACTCGCGGCTTGTTCCTTTTCTTTCATTTTTTTCTCCAATTCCTCTTTCACTTTCTCGATCTCCTCCTTCCACTTTTCCCCCTCGTCTTTCACCGCTTCCACTTTGGCCTTCTCCATTTTCGTCACCTCGTCCTTGAAGTTCTTCGATTCCCGACGACGCGACGACTGGATAGCGCTGATCCGTCCGACCAACTCTTCGTTCTCCTTCGCTAGCTCCAAGTTCGGGTCCTTATCGGTGGCCGAATCGGCGACGACCGTCACGGGCCGGTCGTGAGCGACCGACTGTATAAATCTCTCGGTGTGCATCACAGATTCTGAAAACTCCTGGTTGATTTTCTCAAGATTAGAGTTTTGTTCTTGGTTCTCTAGCTCTTTATCCAGTTTTGATTTTACCTTTGAGAATTCATCGAAAATTTCCTGCAGTTTTTCAAGCAGTCGTGTTTTATTTCGAGCTGTGGACAACAACAATTCATTAAACATTCTTTCTTTGTCTTCAGAGTCAACCTTCCCTTCTGATGCTTCGTGATTCTTTGAGCTTTTCGTCTCTTGTTTTTCCTCTCGTTCTGCCCGAGCTTTGAGTTCGTTAATTTCCTTTTGCAAGTCTTTAACCTTCGTTTCCAAATCTTCCTTCTCCGTAACCAAAGTCGTATATTTTGTTTTTATACCTTTGATATAGTCGATGATACGCGTCGGTCCCTCCGCCTCTTCGCCGTTCTTTTTCTCCGCGCCTTTTTTGTCGTTCATCGCCAAAATAAGCGCACGGAACACCGCCTGTAACTTATCGCACTTTTCTTTAATGCTGGCGACTTCGCTTTCCATCTTCGCTTTTTCCTCGTTGATTTTAGTCAACTCCGCTTCCTTATTTTGTAAGCTTGACTCCAGATCTTTATTTAGTTCAGCGGTCTTTTTCAGCTCCAATTTAGTCGCATCTAGAACGCCATCAATCTCGTCAATTGAGGAGCTCTTATTCTTAAAAACTTTTGAAATCTCTTGGCAGTAACTTTTTAAATTCATTTGTCCTTTCAATAAATCCGTAAGCAACTCCCTGATGTCTGCCTCAGTACCACTCGCTTCCACGGCAGACAACTCGCTTCGGTATTTCCGTTGTTCCACGATCTTGTACTCCTCTTTGACTTCGGTCGAATCTCGGATAAGATCGGGCTTCGTCGTCGTAGAAATCTCGGTGCGTATTTCGTATTCTTCACTGACCAAATCACTTGGTTTCTTTATCCTATTACTGTTTTGTCGTTGAACTTTTTTGTTATCTAATAAATTCTTCAGGCATTCGCCAATGCGTTTGTGTTCATCCAATGTATTTGCCAAGTTTTTCTTTAACAAAGTGTTTTCTAAATTTAACTTTTCAATTTTTGCCTCAAGCGAAATCTTCTCTTTTTCAAACTTTTCGTTGTTCTTTTTTGACCGAGAATCTCTTCCGTCTTTGCTCAATTTATTCACTTCGCTTGTCTTTTTCTCAAGCTGTTTGCTTAGAATATCGTAGCGAGTTAAGAGCTCGATATTTCTGTCTTTAATTGCCTTGTTTTCTTTACCAATCTCGTCCAGTTTCGAATGGAGTTCGTGGTTCTCTTCCGTGAGTGATTTCAAATGCTTGTTGATAGCATCCATTTCAACTTGCATCGCTTCAAATGCCTTGACAGACCTCACCTAGAAGAGCGAGCAAGAAAACTATTAGAAACGATTGCAACTGCCTGATATTTTGCTATTTCAGCTGAAATGTCATCACCAGAAATATAATAATAGATAAAAGAAACCAGTACTATTTTGCAGCAAGATTTTGTGGTTTGTGTCTGAACTATACCTGAAAGTGTAGGCAGTATTCTACAATAAGCTGTCATGGTTTGTATCTGAACTACATGAAAAAGATATCTCAAACGTAGTGGTCCAGTGTAGGTAGTATTCTACAATAAGCTGTCGTGTTTTGTGTCTGAACTACCTGAGAAAGTTATCTCAAATGTGATGGTCCAGTGTAGGTAGTATTCTACAATAAACTATCGTGGTTTGTGTCTGAACTACCCTGAAAAAGATATCTCAAACGTGGTGGTCCAGTGTAGGTAGTATTCTACAACAATAAGCTGTCGTGGTTTATGTGTCTAGTCATTGTGCAAACCACGGCGTGTGGGTAGGCGTCAGATTAAGTATATAGTTTCCTAGCAATTATCAGACAATTATGCTAAAGAAGTGACTCAACATAATTATAGGGAAATTGAAGAGCTGGTCGAAGTTGCCATTTTTCAATGAATATCAACTCCACATCATCATTCACAGACTGGGACACAGGGTTGCTTTTCAATGCAGCTAGCTGTGTATGACAATATTATCAAACATCGCTTGTAGTCGATGTAGAACGAACGAAAATAAACAAGAGCATTTGAACAATCGACGGAAACTAAAGAAAGTTCTTTGATGATTTTAAGAAAGGTCGAAGGAAAGAGGTCTTTGTCGACGTGCAATGCCCACAGATTGACGCTTCAAATTTTCGCCTAAGATTTATGCAAATTGTTGTCGTAGTGAGGACTACCTCAGCATGACGTTAGTTGAGATAAAAGGTTCTAAAATACCGAACGTAGTTAAGGCATTGTTTACACAAATTGTATCCAAATTAGGCCGAAATTGTTTGTAATGACTTGCAAAATAGCCTTTGAAAATGCAGATTCGTGCGTTTTAAGATAAGCCAACGATACAATTGTTGTGGCGAAGTATCCGGGCTGCGATGTAAACTAATTTATGACTGTTTTTCTCGATGATCCAGCGAGCATTCTTTTTGTCGAGAGAATGTGTTTGAACAGCATGGATTATAAAGGTTAAAAACATTTGCTTATTGCATTAGAACGTCTCAGTTCTCAGAGACAAATCATTGCTTCTTGCCCGTGTAAACATTCATGCAACTGAAAATCGCGAATTTTGTTCGATATTATTCTAAGTTGCTCAGCTAGACAATTATTATCATTAGCTAAAATTATAATGGCCAGGAGAATTGACAGCTATAATGTAAACAGCGGTCCAACATAGACACTACGCTTTTATGCAAATTGCACAACAATATATATTTTTAAACATAAGATTATGCCTACATTGGCTGTCAAAACCCAAAACATAAAAGAGTTAAAATGATTGAGTAATTCTCGCAAATGACAGCGGTAATATCGCCAAGAATATACGAATTCGGAAGATGAACGAGTGAATCTTTCTCGTATCAATCCGTTTGAAAAACTACCCCCTGCTCTGTGGGAACTTTTGAAAACTTTGGCTATAGTTGAAATCTGTTTCACTCAAAACACATGCATTTTATGACCACGGACGGCTGAAGTTTTAAACGATAGCTGATTTTACAGCGAAGGATTGCGTGTCTCGACACCACTAGTAACTTATAACAAGAAGTCATAAAACTTTCAAGCTTTTGCGAGCGAGAATGACAAAGACCAGCATTCCATAACTACCACCTACGCTAGAGACGACGAACTGACAAGAAGACAAGGGTTTCAAGTTCCTAACCTAAGCTGAGAATTAATTTCTTTCATGTTTGAGTGACATCTCAAAGAACGGTCTCCAAAATGGCCTCATTTTCGTATACCTCAATGAATCTGTTATGAACTATTTGGTTTTGTTTGTACAGTGTTCGTGTATACAAATATACCATGCAAATAGTTTACACGGGAAGTTATAAAGAAGGCTTAAGATTCCCGATTTAAACAATATTTTCAAATGAGGAAAAGACAAGAATATACTGTACAAACCTTATCAAGATCTTTCGAGTTTGGGTCCTTTTGTGCTTCGCTGTTGTGATTCTCGGCGTCTTGTGAAAGTTGATGAACGTGTCTTCGAATCTTGCTTGCCTCCCGTTCCCATTCGGACAACGAATCTCGCAACGTGTCATTTTCCTGGCTCACCGCCTTTACAAACCGTTGCGAGTTCTGAATCTCTTTTTTCAAGCGAGTTACGTCGTTTTCAAGTTCCTCAACTCTATGATCTCGCTCTGACAGAGTTTTCTCCATGTCCTCCATGTCGCTTCTCAAAGCGTTCGCGTCTTGGGCTTCCTGTTCTAGCTTAGCGACCTGGCCTGCCGTTTCCCGAAGCACTTTTAGCTCGCGTTCTCTCTTCTCCAGGCTCTTTTCCAGCTCGCGAACATTTTCCGCGTTTCCTGATATTTCGCTCCGAAGCGACACGATTGTTTTCTTTGTGTCCGCAAGTTCCAATTCCAGCCCAGACTTCTGCTTGTCTTTCGCGGTCAATTCTTTCTCGAAACCAGTCTTTTGTTTACTCTGCTCGGCTAGGTTTAGCTCGAGTGCAGTCTTTTGTTTACCTTGCTCGGCCAATTCTTTTTCAAGACGTTTTTTCGATTTTTTTAGCCCTTCGTTTTGGAACTCCAGTTCGTCAAATTTACCGTTTAGCTTTGACAATTTTTTCTCGTATTCCTTCGAGGAGTCGCTCAATTTTTCGTTACTTTCGCGTAAATCCTGGTTGATTTCCGTTAAGGAGTCAATTTGAAATTGTAAATCTTTCACGCGACCGTTGTTTTCTGCCAACGTACTTTCCACTTCGTCTTTTTCGTTTTTCGCTTTCCTTGCTTCCGCTTCTAAATTTTTCATCTTCTTATTCAACTCCAACATTTCCTTTTCCGTCTTTTGTTTATCTCTCGTCAAGCTTTCGACATTTTTCTCTAAAGTTTCGTTCTTTCGGTTGACTTCTTGGTATGAAGTTTTCATCTGCTCGCTTCGGGTCTTCTCGTCGTGCAGTCGGCGCAGGTTCGCGCTCAAAGCTTCGTTCGTGCCCACCATCGCTTCGTGAAGTCGGCGAAGCTCGACGTTGTCGACAGATATCGCAGGGAATTCGGGCACGAAGTCTACGAAGTTCTTCGATCCTTGAAGTCGGATCTGTTCAGTTTTCTCCAAAGATTCTTCCAAACCTGAACCATAAAAAATTAAAGTTAAAACACCTCTAAATTGGGTTCCCTGCACGTGGATATACCATGACTAGATCTATATACTATGACTGGATTACACACTTATTGTATTCAATGGTCTGACTTCGGAGCGAAAGGCTTAATAAATGTATAAAATACGAACAAAATCCCTCGTTATTGTCTTAGGTCAGTTATGAAACAAATGTATTTTGCTTTTTTCCCATACGGTTATACTCTGGGATATTCGTTTAGAAAGTTTTAAACACAGGTATAATAAACTCCATGGCGGCCAAAACAAACCTTGTTGTATTTCAGCGTTCGCCTCGGAAAGTGAGTTGAGAACATGCTCCATCTTCTTCTGGTCTGTCAACATTTTTTCGATCATTTCTTTCAATTTTTGATTTTCCTCTTGCAATGCTTCCATTCGTTTAACATTTACTTCACTTTTCTCTTTTCCTTCAAACAGCGAATCTTCACCAGTCGCGGAATAATTCATACTCATCTCACTGGATACCAGGAGCTTTTCCCCTACGATCTTTCCTCTCCCGGAATCGTTCACACCAACCTCGGCTAAAGCTTCCTCGGACTTACTCCTCTCTCGAATTCGCTCTACTTTCTCCCCCAGTCCCTGCTTCTCCTCGCCCGTTCCGTTCTCGCAGACTATACGATCTAACAACTCCAATAACTCGTCTCGGTCCTCGACCGTGCCCTCGAGTTCTTCTCGGAGCTGTTCGACTTCTGTCGTCAGTTTCTTATTCTCACTTCGGATTGCTTCGGTTTCGTTCGTGGATCTTTTCGCAAATTGATCTAGTGCTTTTTGCATGTCGTCTCGTTTCGTAGTGATGTTTTTCAATTGTCGCGCCAAGTCCTCCTCGCGCCGTCTAGACTCCGCTAAAGACTTCTCGTACCCAGTCCTCGTGCCGCGAGCTTGCCCCAGTTCCCCTTCAAGTTTCGAATTTTCTTTCTTTAATCTTTCCATGTAACTGTCATGAGACTTCTGAGATTTCTTGGTATTTTCCAACGACTGGGCCAATTCTTCGTTTTGTTTCGTTAGTTTCCCGACTTGGATCTCCAACTCCGTTTTTTCACTGGTTAGTGCTTGTATCTGGTTGTTTCGTGCTTCTAGTTCGTTCTTCGTGCGCAAACTGTCACCTTTCGTTCTTTCGTAGCTTGTTTTGAACGACGTAACGGTAGCCTTCAGATTCTCAACTGCCGCCAAGAGCGAACTACAGAAAGATCAGACTGTTAAATTTTGAACTAAATTAACGGCTTAGTTCTTTAGACTGAATTGTTTAAGCTTAACTAAACTAACTATATTTTCACTGGATAATTCTATCAGTTCTAAACTAAAGGATCCAGTAAGGATATTGTGGGGTAATACACTACACTACTGGATGTAACCACTCTTAAAATTTTAGATCCACACTTACCCAATAATATCCTCGACACCTTTATCCGGGGCACTTTTTGTCTCTTCGGTTCCAGCCCCTTCATTCTCGATCAGAGACAAAACTTCAGCGACTCTCAAATCAAGCTGGGCTAACTTGGCTTTATTCGATTCCAAACTGTCGTCAATCTTCCGCTCTTTATTTCGAATATTACCCACTTCGTCGGCGACAAATTTTTCCCGCTTTGTTCCACTAAGTTCTTTTTCAAGTTTCGACCTTTTAAAAAGAAGAAAAAAAGTGAAATACGGATAAAATTTGACGTGCTTGTCGGAAGCGGTTCTCGTCCTAATGTATTGTTTTCATCAAATTCTGCGATTGCAGCCCGTTACGCGAATAAGGGACAAATAGCCTTATACCTCCTAGCATACAGAATATATCACATACGGCAAAAGGAGAATTAGACTTGACTAACCTGATTTCCTCTAGCTCAGCTTTTTCTTCGTTTAGTTCTTCAATAGAGTCCAGGAGTTCAAGTTTTTCATCCGTGAGTTCTTTGAGGCAATTTTGCAAAGTTTGGGACATGTCTTCCGCCTTTTTCAACTTCTCTTTGATGGCTTCGTTCTCTCGTTTTAACGCGGCGATGTGTTTCTCCTGTTCTTGGACACGAATTTTCTCCAGTTCCACCTGAGTAATGTAAACAAGATGAAGTAGTGTTCACCAAGCAACTAGTTTGGTTTGAAGGTTGTCTAACAACTATAAACTCTTCTTCCTAGAGGTCCAGTAAGGATTATCTCTTATTGATCCAGTGTTACTACAGGAGGAAACCTAAACTAAATAAACTACTGGATAGAGCTATCAGTTCTAAACTGTTCTTTCTAGAGGTCCAGTAAGGATCATCTCTTATTGATCCAGTGTTATTACAGGAGGAAACCTAAACTAAACTAACTTTATTTATACTGTATAGCTCTATCAGTTCTAAACTAAGAGGTCCAGTAAGGTGCATTCACTACCATGATTAATATTTGAAAGAAGATTACAACAGGAGAACAGTCTTACCTTGGCTTCAGAAATCCCTTTGTAAGACCGTCTAAACCCGCCGTCAGTCTCATTCATAGTTTTCCCGACGTTCTCAACAACACCATCGGTTTGTGTACAAGCGGCATTCGTATCCAACTCCCTTGTCTTTCCTCTCTCGTTCATTTTTTCTTGCAAAATAGCAAGTTGCTCTTCCAAAGCGTCCTTCTTCTCAATATTCGCATCAAAGGCCAACAACAACGACGTCTTTTCACTCACAAGAACTAACTTCTCTTCCTTCACACGTTCCAATTTTTGCTCAAGATCTTTGCATCTTCGAGTCAGGCTTTCCACTTCAGAACTGGACGAATTCGTTTCGCCGTTAACCATTGCAACGGTCTCTTCTTCTCCTTCTGTTTGAACAAATTTCGACTTCGTTTTCAAGTTTATTCTTCTCTCTGCCTTCAGCAACACAACCTGGCGTTTCAACTCGGCAACATGAGTCTCCAAAACAAGCTTTTCGTCTAAGATCTTCGAAATCTGTTTTCGTTGAGATTCCTGAAGATTCTTACACGTTTTAAGCTCTTTTAACAATCCACCACGTTCTGTATTCTCGGCAGAATCTTGTCTAAAAGTAGACGGTAAGGACTGAACACGCTTTAACCTATTTGACTTGTCTTCTTCGACTTTTTGGACCCATTCTTTGGCTTCTTTCAGTTCGATATCTGCTAGCAAAGCGTCATTTTTCAACCTTTGCAAAAGTTTATCAGAGGAATTACCTTTGACGAGTTCTTTTATTGCCTTCAAACGGCCAATGTAGTCTTCACGGGCTTTTATGAAACTCGAAATGACTTCGGAGTTTTTCTCGCCAAACACTTTAACCTGCGAACGCAAGTTTTCGTTTTGGTGATTCAAATCCTCAATTTCCTCGATATTCGAGTCGACAGCGTCGTGAAGTTGCTCGCGAAGTTTCGCCATCGAGTTCGTCAACTGAATCTTGTCTTCGTCGAGCTTCGACTTCTCCTCTTCGAGTATCCGATGTTCCTCGAATAATTTATCATAATTAACCAACGCTCTGCATACTAACGAGCTTATAGACTCCGAAGGAAGACTCTCGACATTCCCGATGAGAACGCTGGAATTTTTTCCCGCCAATTTTGAGTCGTGATAAAAATCGTGAAGGACGTCTTCCAGTTCGTCGGCTTGAGCCTTTAACCGTTCGTATTCGTCATTATCAAAGCTCGAATCCAAGATTTCTTCTTTCGCTTCGTCGTATGGAGATAATGGACTCTCGATTGACTCGTCCGTATCATCTTCGGAATAGGTTCGGTTGTTTACGATTATGTTCCCCGCGAAGCGTACCGACTTCGTTTTCTTGTCTCCAGGCTTTCCCTCCTTAGCCCCGTTCATTTTTTGCTGCAGGTTCTGGACCTGCGCTCTGTAGGACAGTTGATATTTCAAGAACGTTACTTCTTCTTTAAACTCGTCTCGTTCTTCCTTGACGCTCGCTAACTGCTGCTTTAGGTTCTTCACCTCCTGAAGGATGTCGCCTACTCCAGGAAGCAGGCGTGGAGAGGCGTTGCAGGTTAACGCTGCCCGTGTATCGTCATTGATTTCAACGTGGTCTGAGGATTTTTCATAGCGCCTGAAAATAAAGAATGCGTACCGTAAGCAAGATTATTAATGACAATGATCGTGTGAAATTTATAATCATCGATGGGATTGAAATTATTGATGCTCCATCATGTTTCAATACGATTATTTTTCGAATGTATTAATGTTTAATACAAGAACATCAGTTGAGTGAGGATTGAATACCTTTCGAGAAACGTTAGTGTCTAGCATATGACGTTTTTGAGGTCAAAAATATGAAACTCTCTTTGAAGAAAAACATGTTGATGTCGACATGACCCCTTCCCCTTCCGCTTTCAAAAAATCATTCTTTATTGTCTTTTTGACAAATTAAAAAGGTATGCGGACTCAAAACTCGCTGAAAGGAAGCCAGTCCTTGTTAAATTAGTCTGACATAACAAACATTTTAAATTCCCCTTTAACCGATTTGAATTCCCCGAAAATTGTTTTCAGAAGAAGACGGCGCTTCTTTTTATAACAGAGATCGAATTACGGTTTGAGCCATTGTTAGTTCCTAAATGTTTTACGATATCAGAGATAAAGGAATTTCATTATTCCAAGTCCCAAAGAAAAAACCTTGAGACACAGACGAGATTCAATTGATGTAAGTTAGTGAAGCACACTGGACTCAAGCGAGTACCTGGACCTGTTGTAATGCATGCAGGCTTGAATCAGTTGAACGAGACAACATCATTGGTAATATCGTAACGTACGCTACAAATTGCATAAATTTAAACAAGAGGACAAAAGAGCTTTCGGTTTGTCTGGTAAACCGCTCATATATAGTGAACTTGACAAACAAATTCTTCAAACGAACTGTTGATAATCCACAAAGCAAATTACATCACCCACTGGCTACATTAATGGCTGTATTCTGAGATAGCTCTAAGAGTGAAAAGGAGAGTTAAAGTTCCTTATTTTAAGACAATTAGATTTCGCAGAGACTTCATCAACGTGATTCCATGCCGTGATTATACAGCATGTATTTAATAGGTTCGATAGTTAAAATATAATGAAATCTTACTGTTATAAACTTAATCATTAATAACAAAGTTATTAAGACGATGGTATTCACATTGTACCATTACTGAAAATATCAAGTATATATAATTTATTTATCTATCAATCTGTATCGACAAAATCATATTTGCAATTGGAACATTGAAGATTTGCCTGAACATATCTGAAGCAATATCACGCCTATGCATGTATACAAGAATTCGTCTCAACGTAAATTTGGATTTGAACGACTGGATTATTCTTCACAACCACAAAGACGAAATCAAACAAATACCTGTGAATTATGATCTCTTTCAGACCCTTTTTCGCCCCAGGTATTGTAAATATCTATTTCTTAATTTCAATTCATTCCTCATCACCGGTAAAGTTATCGAAAGCTCAGATGAAATACAGTTCATGGTAAGTAACCACGAGTGCCCTAATTATCTCTCACAACAGCTTAGAGAACAATCTAATCGATCTATCTGTCTGTCCATCATCTAGAATGCGAAAGAATAGATCGAGAGGATAAAGAAAAGATTGAGCAAGGTGGCGATAATATTAATCTATTCTCGTAATAGCCGGTGGCGATACGAGTTACGACAAGACGAACAATTAAACACTTGTGTCCCGTAAAAAACTAGGCTAATCATAGGGCACAAGAGTTAAAATTATCGGATAACTGCACGTCGCCCTAACGAAATTTTGAACAGCTATTTTGCATTGAAAGTTTGCAATAAAATCTGAAAGCTCTTGAAAGCTCTTGATATATTGGTAATGTGGAAATATGTCATATTGAGCAATCATGCAATTGTTAACCGCTATAATAAACTCATGCACATACAAAAAAGTTCCAAACTAAACTCAGTCGCCGCAGAAAGTGACGAAATGCTCTTTGCCTCGAGCGAGAATCGAGCTTTAAGTTTCGTGACTCTTGGAAATTTTGGATAGCGAGCTCTAACAATGGCAAACCGTAGACACAGGAAATACTGAAGTGGTGCACTTAGGCTCAATGCCAGTTAATTTTTGGCTACCAAGGGATATTGGTGGATAGTTTAGTTAACCCGTTTACTGCAGGAACCTCATCTTTAACGAGTAAAACTGGCGTTAGTGAAGAAAATTGATCAAATTTGAGTTCGTTTTGGGCGTGGCGAAAGCACAGGTTGAACTATATATTGCATGTGCACTTCCTTTACTTTTTCAACCGAATTAAATGTAAATTGTACGGTCAGGTGTCACAACAGCTATGCAGAAGAAGACGCTCGTCTGAATTTTGCCGGAGGATATAAGTTGCAATTTTAGCAACGTTCCCAATTTGGTCCTACCTCCTTCAATAAAGATTGTGCCCTTTCAAAGCGGAACCTTGAAACTCTAAGCGCGGCTGCCAACCAACCTATCATGCCAGCTATTTCAGTCAAGCATCTCTGCCTTTGGAGCAAGTTGACTTGAGTCAACTTATTTGCTGTGGGTATATTCACAAAGGCAAACTTGCAAGTTTCAGATACAAAATAACCCATCATCCCTCTTGCGCTCAGAGTTGAGAGTTCATTGCTTTAGAAAGAAAAGCGTTATTGTGATAGTTCTATCATAAATAGTGCTAACGCTAAACATGTTATCGAGTAAAATTTCACAACTAATGTACTCGAATCTTGCCCAAAAAGATTTCGTTATATAACCTCGACGCCAGGATGTTATCATGAGGATCAAAGTTCATCTCTATGCAAACAAACAAACATATAATTTCTGCTTTATCCAACAGATTGCATCACTGGAAAATATAAAAGCATTCTACAGGGGCACATTATAATCATACAGCTTTGATTTGAAGGGAGACTAATTAATGGCTAATTAGTAATTAACACGACTAATTACCCGCGTCCACTTGATACTTCCACTGGAACGGGATTGCGAAATGGGTAAAAAATGGTTGCAAACTATTTTCTTTTAAAATTCACAAGAGGGCCTCTGTTTTACTTAACAGATAGGATCTTTTTCCAGCTCTTGCCCTCTGGACATGTTTAGGCAGACAAAAAAAGGAAATAAAGAAAGAATGGAGAATATTTTTAGGCAAAACGCTTGCCGCATTAGGTATGTTAAACATGGTATAAAATGTCACGAAAAATGCCTTAGTGGTGCTGTTTGTAAGATGCAGTATCAATAATGAAGCCACGAAATTCGTAGACTTTTAAAGTGGGCAAGATTTTAATTACCGTCTGATTATTTATTAATAGGCACTGAAGTTCTTTCGAGAATTCAGGATGGAAAAGTATAAATAGAGTTTTGAATCGCAAATGTTTCAACGATTAATGCCAGCCAAATTTGATTAATTTATACATATGTGGAAGTTAAATTTGTAGAAATATCTGGAATATGCATGATTGTCATGAATATGATTGAATCTAGCGATCATTTAAAACTTTTAAAGTGTCAGCACCACATATACTATTTATTAATTCAGAACTACACGACATTAGACTGCTCTGTATAAAACTATTTAACTTCGGTTTTCAATGCATAATACAATCCTAGTTATGGTATTTGGACATACTTTTTAATAATTTACACAAATTATCGCTACACGCGATGCAGGAATGTTCTATTTAAACGAATTTCCCGAAGAACAATTTAAAGTATTTACGAAACAATGTAAATAAAGCAACGGACATGAATTTTAAATGTGACTCGGCATTAAATATGATCCAAAAAGATTAGGGCGAAAGTTTCCAGATTTTATAATGCATTTTTACGAAAATTCGAAAACTTGATTATCGATTATGCGATCAATGGATATTAGAAGATGTCTGACACGATAAATTAAGGAAACAAAAATATATGAATACAACATACATATTGTACACATCCACGAACATGCAATGTCTATGTCATTGTCGTATAGCAGATTGTTTTATTTCGGTTTTAAGTATATATTTCAGCGAAATAACCTCAATTATTCGCAATTAAAATATACGAGTTTATTAAAAAGTATGGCAAAAAGTCGAAACAATGCCAAGATTTCGAGTGACCACCACACAAAAAGGCTATATATTAGAATTCGCCCGATGCGTATTCAAGTTTGACCGAGCACACACAGCCGTATATCTTTCTGTTTATTCATGTACAGTAGTTACACGTCAAGTACACATTTTCTTACAGATGTTTATACAACAAATTTATCACTTACTCATTGTCCGAATCGGGCCCGCAGTCATCCTCAGAGCCATTACTAGCGGATTCCATCGTACAGACACAATACGTTGCCCTTTAAATCAATCGCTTTTGACGATACGATCGAACACGGCTTTTAAGTACGGAAATGTAGCTTTGCCGAGGATTAAAACCAGTTATTAGGCTTTGTAAATTGTGTAAATATTGTCGTTAAAATGAACCACAATCCATTAAGAAGGGAGCCACATGTAGTTAGAGCTAATATTTAGACCGGAATACCTCAACACAAGGCATTATGCCAATAATATGCCGAGAGTCACACTACTGCAGGTTGATATTGGTTTTAAGGTGTTCAGGATATTGCTATGTATGCATGAATTAAATTTTCGAAAACACACTTGGCATGCATCTGCAGGAACAGAGTATTAGATGGAAACGGCGATGTTTTTGTTTATATTTAATTGATAAAATGGTCGAGACACGAGGTTTAATACATTAAAATCTTATGCCTATATTAGTATATATGCAAATTCATTTACTCCAGTGGATTGGGTGGAAATAACGTAGCAAAATAGCAGAATTTTATGATCGAATGAAAGATATTTATCGTTAATCGCGATTCTGTGACTTTGTGAGTGAAATATATCAACTATCGCGAGCAGCACTTTTGGAAGCTGTGTCGTCGATTTAGGCTAGAACTACTAGTATTTTTCAAGTCCCAAATGTTTATTTACGATTCTTGTATGATAGAAATGTTTGAGATTTAAAGATACGCTATCTAAATGCATCATACTCCAAGTGGAAACCTCGTGCATTGCTGCATGTAATCGACTGTGTTGAATACAAACGATGTTCGACCCCTAAACATCCCTAGGCTCGTGTCCAAAAGCGTTTAAAATCATGATCATCATGTGCACTACCTACTCCAACGTTATCGTGCGTTTAACATACAATAAAACAGCTGCAAAAAATACAAACATCACTAGACCAATATCTAAAATGTGGGCATGTCATGCGAGCGAGTCATAAGATTGTCACAACACAACACAACACAAAACGAATTTCAATTCAGCATGTATCGCCATTGTTCTCCAAATTAAGCCGTACTGTGGAAAATTCAATGCTTTCTTCATCGCCCATGACGGCGGGCAGTGTTTTGTCCAGGCAGATTCGGTTTACTTTACTCGTTTAAACCGCAGACATTGCGGTTCAAACCAAAACGCTAATAGAAATTTACGATGTCACCACACGTGAAATTTATTGCTCTGCCTCTGTGTAAAGTCTACAAGCTTATCCTATGCGATCAAGTCTGACATAAAAAATGACAGATCTTGATGTCCATATATTTCACCCCGTCTCGTATAGAAATACAAAGCCAATTCATTGACATTATACTGATGATTTATGAGAGATATTTAATAGCTAATTTTACGGTTAAGAAAGACGCCAACTGCATGTAGTTATCTTGGATGTATCGATTACATCCGACATTAAACATATATATTAAAATAATTTTATTTCTTTAATCGAAATGCTTCGTAGCGCCGAACGAAAGTAAACAATTTGACTGTGTGACAAGCCAATGAAACGAAATTACAATTTTAGCTTGTTCTATACAAACGGCTTTATACATAATCAAACAAATATGCCTTTTAATTGTAAAAAAATAGCTGAAATATAAGTTATATAACCGTGGAGATCATGAATATAATACGAAATGAAAGTTCGCGAGCAAACAAGCTACTATAACGAGAAATTTTTTGTACAACTTCGGTGTTTGAATCGAGGTGCTAATTGTAGCCGACAACTTAATTTCGCGCCAATGCAATCGTTTGCAAACACAGGTTGCCTTAAACATCACGAGCTAATCCCCAAATCCAACATCAAACAAACGCAGTACAAACACGATTTTATATATAGCATCGTTCGTGCACTTAAATGAAATACATATGTTCAGGATTAGCGTTGCAAAACTGTGTAAACTTTATCGCTTATTTACCTTGGATGATGATGTCTTGACAATACCGAGTGAAATCTTCAATTTACAATGAGATTGTCTTGCAGTACAACTCCAAGCACAACATAAGAGTCTAATGTCTTTCAGAGGTGACCGGCATCGCGTTTTAAAGCACAAATCAAAGTCCGTATCTTTCTAGCTCACTTCATTCGGGCACGCAAAGACTTTGTCTATGTATGCAGTAATTGAATCTGTTAAAATTGCTCTTGTGTGAAAAATATTCACAGTTGGGTTTCTTTTGCAAATCACAAAATGCTTTCCTTGACACCGGAAAGCTGTGTCATAAAATAGCTTCACAGACTAACTAATCGTTTTGTTCAACAACATGGAAACCCGACCTAAACGTTGTTTAATTGTTTAGAAATACGAAATGCATAATTCAATACAATTCTAGATAATTTAACACCCGCACTTAGCGTTCATTCATTTGCATTTTCAACTGAATTGCATTTTTACGATATATGCAGCATTGTGGGTGATATTATCAGGATTTTTCAGTATAAGTGCTTTTTAAACCTTAGTCTTGGGTCCTTTAGGAAAGAATTGATGTTATTCGTCAGAGAAGCTAAATTTAAAAATTTAAATGATCGTCCGGATTTTTTTATTACAGCTGTGCGGAGAATTATTGATCCAGGCAAAAAAGGGCTTGATCTACCTCATAGTGGTTTTCAAGCGTTAAAAAATGCTTGAAATGCAATACAATAAACCAAAGAAATGGTGCCGACAAATGATAAAATGAAACTCTAGTTTAAGAACGCCGAGGTGCAGTCTACATTTAACCAAACTCCAGGCAAATTCAAAAGAAATTTGAAAATCACACAATCCAGCTGGTCATGCAGCATTCGTACAACTTGCCCTAGAGTATGTGATTTTACACAATACAGAGGGAGCCGGACTTCGAGCGAAGCTTGAGCCTGTAGCATTAGCTCTGTTTGCAAAGCCAGTAAATCACATGCATCAGGAGGACAGTTGGTTAAACGGTAGTTTCAATTTACCTTGTGCGCGGTTTTGGCTTTGGTTTCTGATCCATGATGACTGGGAACCTTTCCGTAAACAACTCACCTGAAAAAGGTAAACAAGCTAAAGTAAACATACAAGGTAAACAAGCTTAAGTAAACAAACAAACAAACAAACAAACGTATTTAGAGAAATTTTCTTTTTGATTGCTGAGTCAACTATACTTTAACAGTGTGCAGTTTTAAAATGTCTTTCCTTCCTTCAGAAAAATTCAAGCTATATAAAGACCTTCCTCATGTAATACATTGTTCTTGATATTTTTTTAACAATTCATATGTGAACTTATATGTTTATTACAGACTATTTCCACAATTGAATGAGGTCCCCCATTTTACCAATAAACCCTCCTGGACGCATTGCGTGCCAGCTTTTATGTGTTCACCACCCCGTACCCCAGAATGGGGTTATGTTTCGCACCCTCCCCCCCCCCCCTTAATATTTCATGTTGAACTTAATTAACCCGACGTCACGATGGATCCATGGGAAAAACAAACGCGCCCGTTAGTTACAATAAACAATCCATGTTATCTTAAGAGGATCTTCAGACTGTGGATTAAATGATCTCAGATTAACTAAATTTCCGAAGTACGTTTCTACAATACGGGTCAAGCCATTCTCGCGCGCGTATTCACAATCAATTTTGTCTTTTGTACCGACCTTCTGCTGTAACGCTAGTCGGTCATTGCTGCTCGCAAAACATGCTAAAATTGATCGTATTTCATTTGTTTTCAACGCGGATATAATTGCTTTGTTAAAAAAAAGTTCCAGCGTGTTATACCATAAGTAATTTCACAAACCAACACAGCTGTTTGTCTTACTATGATCCTGTAGTGACACTTTAGAAGCTCTACTGGATTGATTCACAACAATTAGACAAGTCGAAAGCGCGATTCCACTTAAAATCATTTCTGAATCGCATTTCGCCCGAAGCCTCAGAAAGTTGTTTGCTCAATTGATGTATTTTTAGGTAGTCTGCCGATGGCGATAAAGACTTGAAGCTCGCTTGAAGCGTTGAAAACTTGAAGCGTGTTTTCAGCGGGCAGGCAGAATGAAGTCAATCTTTAGATATATTTGAAATCATTTAACATACAAAACTTAATTCGTACGCATACGTTGTCAAGATAGGCATGGATCCGATGTCCAAACGATGCTTAACCCTGTTGTTGATGACGGTTCTCGAAGGGTAAGCCTAAGTTATTATATCTAATCGTTCCGTACCACATGTTACTAGCATAATCGTAAAGCGGTTTATCTCAATCGATCAAGCTTTAATTTCTTTTTATTTGCGAAGCAAAACAATATACCCAAACAGACGCTTTGGCAAAATCAAGCAATGTAGTAAAACGTCGAAGATCGTCGAAAATAACATAAACCTGAATTTATCAATTCGGCCTCGTACGAGATATATTATCATATATACAAAAGCAAGTCTGAATTCGCGCAAGTATTCTACTAAAAGGAACGATCTGTCTAGGCAAATATACTCTTTTGGAGTGTGTTGACGAATTAGCATTTTACGCGTTCGGAACGGAATAATATAATGCCCAGAAATTCAGACTGTCAAAGTCTGGTTATAGTCTCTTTCGTCGCTATTCGTAGGAACGCGCGAACAATTTTGACAAATTATGAACGTCAAGACGTAGTGGTCCGCGCCAAAATAAACAAAGGCAAATGAGATGGTGCTGTGAAAAAACAGCGCGCTATGGTTTCGCTAAATTAACGAAACGGCGGATTCCTCATGGAATGTCGTAAAATCTTTCGACAGTTTACGGAAATAGCATAGTCGTGAGAAGCTGGCTACCAGCACGTTTGACTCGCCCAGACGTATTGCTTGATTTAATATGAACTCGCGAATTTATTTCTGCAAACAATACCTATCTTAATCTGTATAAACTTACCGAGTTTCCTGAAGCATTTAAGTATCGATACGAGTCGACTTATTTCCTTTGATTTTGAAAACCTTCAAAAAGAAATGATTTCGTTCAATTGTGTCTAAGTTGCGGAAGAGTTTCTGATTGTCTACGAGATGCTTTGTGTTTTGAAATCTCACATGTCATGATCGGATGTAACACCTCCTAAGTTTACAAAGCACTGACGATGAGACTGGGTTTTAGGTTACAAGATATGCCCCGTGTGAAAGTCGTGAACAGATTATCTGACCCGTTTCAAAATCTCACAAACAAAGTTTCACAATAAAATGAGGGGAAATTTCATACGAGTTCACATCGGATAGAATTAAGCTTCTTTTGTATAAAAATTGGCAGTAATGCCGTCATGCATACACACACGTTCATGGATGGATTTCCGTCTTTTAGCTTTCAAGGCTTCAAGCTAAAGCCTTTAAGCTTTACATTTATCGACAAAAAGCCAGGTTAAACAGAATATTTTTCATTAAATCCTTGTTTTCCTGCAGTTATTTCTAGAATAATCCGAAACTAACGTCTAAAAACCTCCCCCAAAAAAGATTATAGAGCCTAAACATAACAATTTTTTACCAAACTTATATTCCATTTCTTCCAACTGATCTCATGGGCGCTTCGCAATGAGCCTACAATAATTCCTACAACAGCACATTTTACAGATATAGTATATAAATGGTTTTTGATAAATACAATTTTGTACAATTCAACTTTTTAGCTGACAATCGGATTTAGTCGATTTAGGATTTTAACAAGACGCTAAAAATATAAAAAAACTTTCCCTCCAACGTCAGGAATTGAAATATTAATAGGAAAATCAAGACGGAATGCCAAGGGCGTAGTTTTACTGCAATATTCTCGAATTTCTCGACAAGTTCCTGTTGCAAAATCATCCAAAATCTCATGACGCAAACACGCATAGCAATGTCAGGAATCTCTGGAATGGCGAATGACTTTGAAAAATGCTTCCGGAATTAACGAGGCGAATCACAGGAATTTTTATCGCAACATGTCGAATAGACCAAACTAGGAAGAGTTTAGATACCACGGACTTAGTCCTAGAATAATACAAACACTTGCCCAACACGTTTGAGATATCTTTTTCGGGTATAGTTCAGATAAAAACCACGACAGCTTATTGTAGAAAGTAGAATGCTACCTACATTATACCATCACGTTTGAGATATCTTTTTCAGGTAGTTCAGACACAAACCACGACAGCTTATTGTAGAATACTACCTACACTGGACCACCACGTTTGAGATATCTTCCTCAGGTAGTTCAGACACAAACTACCGACTTATCGTAGTATTAATACTACCTATCCTTGGCAACAAATTCTTTCATCATAGTTTAATAGACTAATTCAAATATGAAAATAATATACAGACTAATTTCATTCTTGTTTCGTGGTAGTTCAGTCGCAAGAATTAAAAAAATATATTCTATGCCAGTTCAATTGGTAAAACGTCATAACGACACCTAGTTTTCCCAGAAAACTACATGTTAATATAATTATCCCATTTAAATCCAGGTTCTTTTAAATTCCCTGTTTACTTGATCGATCCTAACTGAATTTTCGGTGATTCTAGCTTATTGCGAAAATTTGACGCCATCACGCTGACGTCAGATGACGTAGCATTAGTGCCTCGTGCCCAATACCCCTCGTGCTTGCTGGTTTTCTACAGTGAATGCTAAGCGTTATGGTAGCTAAATCGTGGGTGAAGGTACGGCTATGTAATCGTCTGTTTTTACCGGAGTCTTGCTTTCATCCTTCCACAAAAACTTGAACCTGGAAAAAGATGAATGAAAGGGTGAACTCTATATACAGAACTGGAACGCTAACTAGTGATAAACATGGCCAAAATCGTATTTCTGAGCTGGAATATCTGTCCTCAACTCGTTCGGCTAAAACACGCAAGCTAGGAGCTTACAGTTTAGAGATTCCTGATTTAGTATGTTCGTGTTTTTCCTTTGATTTTTCCGGTGATGTGTTCAGCTCCAAGGATGCCGCATCAACTTCGTCCTCGCTGCAATTCAAAAATCACAAACAAAGAAAATTATGATTTTTCCTGCGATTTTACTGGTGCGATTTTCGTCGTTTGAAAGATGTGAATGAGTAATTAGTTACGAATGCTCTGATGTTTAAGTATATGTGATTGTACATCCGTAACTTATTCACTCATTCGCATCTATGAAAAAGAGAAAATCGCACATCGACAATCTTCGAGCATTTTCACACGAGACCCTTTACGTTAGAAGATAAAAACTTGTGAAGTAGTTTAATTTTGTCAGTTTTTACCACCTCGATTTTTTATAAAACGCCAAATCCTCTTGCAAAGTGATGACTTGTTCTTTTAGCTCGTTTCTCTCTTTCAAGACTTTCTGAAGTTCTTTCAGGGTAAATCGAGGTCTGTTTGGGTCCTTGGAGCCGGGCGATACGCCGCCATTTGTCGTTTTCGCGGCCAATTTTTCATCGTTCTTCTCCAGTTTGTCAAACTCATTGTTGAGTCTAATGGCGGCGCCGTTCGTGTTCTTTGAAAGTTTTTGCTTTAGGACATTAATGTCCGCTTCAAGGTCGGCTTTCTCTTGGGCGAGCGTTGAGTTTCGGGATTTTTGCAACGCGAGATTGCGACGAATAGTTTCGTTGATGTTTGCAAGACGGTCGACCTGTTCTTCCATCTAAAAGAGCAGAAACATCGTCCAATATCATCTTTTTTTTATCTTATCTTCCATCCTATACTGCAAAATTTTCTGACTTACAGCTTCAAGGTCAGACTTGACACTTCCAATTTCGCTATTTTTACTCCGAATCTCATCTCGTTGGTTGTCAATGGTCGACTTCATCTGTTCAATGATGGCAAGGTCGGCTGATGACAGCTGTTGGACTTCCTCTGTGAAATACAGACGTTGGTAAAACTTTGCTGAACGAAATATATATACACATCCCCCCCTGAGGATACCGAAGGATGGTTTACTGTGCAGGTTATCAGGGGGGTTGGTTTAACCCCTCCTGGTATTTCTCTATCACCTAAATTTTCAACCCCAAAATTTTAAATATTAAAGTCAAATAGCAAAATCGACTCTATATAAATCTTGCTAGTAACATGCTGGTACCTGCAGCCATAAATGTGTTCTGTAATTGAGCTTCCCCAGGAGGGTGGACCACAGCCTACCAACACACCCCTCCTACCATAACCCCAACCCTCTAGTACAGTGGCTCCTAGAGGATACAAATCAATGAAAAATCATCAACCAACCTTTTTTTTCCAATCGATGAGCTTTTTCTTCAGCATGCAAACTTTGGTTTTCATCCCTTAGTTTTTCCAAAGTGTTTATAAGTTCAGAAATCTCTCTTGAAGACTGATTCTTGAACTGATACAACTCCTGCAGCAGAAAAAACATCAATGAATAACCTTTAAACAGAGCAAGTTCCACAAAGAAACTCCACAAAATAAAATTATATACATACACATATGAATTTCTATTTTGCACAAAATAGGCCTCACATGAAGCTTTTATGATCTAGGCTTTTATTAAGGCAACAAAATTATTCTAATCACAATTTGGATTTTTGTCAATTTAGAAAGGCAATATACGGAAGTCTTGCATACAAGAATACTTGCAGACTCATTTCCATACCAAAACATACAACACCCACACTGAATGACAAAACAGCACCTCCCATTTTAAAATCAATCATGACAGACCCTTATAGTAAATTATGATCATATGACATCAATTCATGTTGTCAATTATAAAAAAAGTTAAAGAAGACATTGATAAACTGCTTTCAATATTTTCCTATCTTGATTAAAAATCATTTGCCTAAAAATTTGCATACAACATCAGCAAGCACTTAATTACATAACAATATAAAATATCGCATAAAGACCTCATCAAGTCTTCGATGTTGACTGGCTTCTCTCGTGACCTCCGTCATCAACCTCTCATTCTGCATCCTCATCTCTTCCAGCTCTAACACGCTCTTCTCTCTTTCCCCGACGGCGATCTCGAGCTGCTCTAAAACTTGAATCACTTTCGGCATCAATTCCATGACTGCATTGTGTCCGAAAGTCTCAATAATCTGTTCCATATCTTTGCCTATAAGCGAGGCTGTTTGGTAAACATCGGCTGTAGTTAACTGGCTTTCCATTGCCAAAGAAAGAGCGGTTGAATCTAAGAGTTCTTTGACAACGACTAATCCATGAAATTTTACGTAAAAGCGCGTGATCTGAAGTTGTATTTTTATGCAAATTTTTCACTTCCTTCTTTTTAAAAAATAATTTAAATTTTGAGGAAGAAGCGCAGGCGAGACGCCTTCGAATGTTCGGGTGTACAGAGAGATTCAGGTTAATTGATAAACATGGCCGGTCAATATTTATTGTTCTGACATCGTTAATTTTACGTGTTTTCTGTGAAATATTTCATTTTGATTGCGCTTTTTTGCGGCTAGGAATGAATGGCGATGCCAGTTATGGAACTTGTACCAGTCTATAGGGCGGATCAGCCGTTGAAAGACGGGAAAAATCGGTACGATTCTTTACAAGGAGCGGCGAAAATGCTTTGTATACATTCATTTATTGTATACATTCATTTATTACGCTATCGAAATCACTAAGCGAGGACCTTCATCTGAATAATATGCGGACCTTTATGTTACCTAGGCATAGCTTCAGAGCAGTAAGATCATCTTGGTCGTCAATCAATCAGTTTGCATTTAGCAGTCAAGGCTTAGCAGGAGAGCTTACAGCCAGCAAAAGGTATTGGTTTTCACTGTATTTTATTATACGAAGTGGCTATGTTGACGAGTCCGTGAATAGACTTCGCCATATAGTTGGTGTAATATCATGTAGAACAGGGAATAAGCATGGCTTGTCATGCAGGAACTAGCCAGAATAATACGGACAATAGTGCATAATATGATATGTGTAGAGACTAGACCAATAGTGGGTCTACTCACTATTACTGTACCTTTTGCTATGACATGTTAATTGTGCTATTCCTGTTCCACCATTTAGTTCAAATGAGGAACATTATTTCCATATTGTTGATCCAAATAAACCATGGGATTTATTCAGGTTTGTTGGGCGAAGGTTTTCTTAGATCAGAATGCCAATTCAACTAACATTTTTTAATACATAAATCCTTCCCCCTAGCATGGTCTCAGGTCACTCAGATACAATCACAGATTTGCAGTGGAATTCGTCCGGGACAAACCTTCTCTCTGTTGATAACAGTGGAGTCTTTAAGTTATGGGGAATGAAGGTATATGCTAAGAGTTTGCTGCATGTGGATGGCCTTCTTTTTATAGGAATTATAGGAATATAAAAGAATATAGTTATAAAAACAACTCTTCATAAAAATTATAGAACTGTTTAATCAATGACTGGGAATGCAAGAGAACTGTCTCTGTTGAAGAGAAGATAATTTGTATGTCTTGGCTCGGGAGTTCTGCTAAGGTATTTTTTTAAATTTGTTTGGTGGATCCACAGAATAGTCAGCTAGCATTTAGTTGGTTATATATTTAATGATTTTGGTTGGTCAGATGGTTATTTAGCCGATAAGGTAATGTTGAATTTAATACCAAGATCACAATACCTGGTTTATCTGATTCTCTGCAGTATTTATTTGGTGATGTACCAAGAGATCTTAACCAACTAATGGCGTCAGGGAATTCGCAAAGTTTTCCAAGGAATAAAGCCAAACACCCTTTAACGAATGCCTGTGGAATAACAAATGATGGTTGGATAGCTGTAACAGAGACTGGCAAAGTATGCGGACAATATATTTTGCCTGTAGGAGAAACATATTTTAAATCAGCTATAAAAAAATAGATGATTTGATGCATGCACATGTGTTTTTAGGTGTATTTTGTGAGTGTAAATTCTGATATTCCTATGGCGAAAGCTCAGATTGATACAGACCTCATGGGGATTCAGGTTGCTGATATATCTTTTTCAAATGGTAAGAAATCGGCTGAAAATAGACAAGAGAAAAAATTAATACTGTACTCTACAATTGTAGGCTTTATTAAGTAATACACCCAGGCGAAATATCTGAGGAAATATAGATTATTATCGTGTAGTAGAGATTCTTCACGCAGTGTTTTCTCAGCAAACGATTGTGCTCCTATTAACCTGTTTTTTGTTTTCAAAGATGGCCGCATTATTGTTGGTCTAGCGGATGGTTTGGTGGGATCCGTAGCAAGGTTTTATAAAGTAACTCTGTGCTGTACATCAAGCAGTATCCTTGGACAAAATTTGAACTTGTTTCACTTTAGTACACACGCCTCAAACACACGATAAACTTTATCGTATCTTGCTGCATTTTCATAGCTATAGCACAAACTACAATACAATCAAAACTTCGGCTCGAATTTTACGTAAATATTGAACATGTTATAAAAATATTTACCGTGTTTTCCACGAACTAACTATTGACACAGATACCGTAAATATCACTTGTACTGCTCTGCAAACTTTATCCCCGTATTCAAACAAGTCGGCCCATCGTAAGTATCACTCTAAAGTGAGGTAAAAAAAGACAAAGACATTAATCCATTATGATGAAATTTTACATTACTAGTTTAGGTTTTCTCCTGTAGTAACACTGGATGAATAAAAGATGATCCTTACTGGACCTCTAGGAAGAACAGTTTAGAACTGATAGAGCTATCCAGCATAAATAAAGTTAGTTTAGTTTAGGTTTCCTCCTGTAGTAACACTGGATCAATAAGAGATGATCCTTACTGGACCACTGGGAAGAACAGTTTAAAACTGATAGGTTTGTTTTAAAACTTTTGTTTTAAAATTGAAATCACTTTTTACAGCTTATGCAATTACTCACATCAAATTTGTCTACAAGAACTCGGGCGCGCATGTGTTCATATGCAGTAAAGGTACATGATATAAACATATTCAACCAGACATCGACTTAAAAATGTTCGTATCCCGATCAAGAAAGAAAAAAATTAAAGATATACGTTGTTTTCAGGTCTTCTTGAATCTTACATCGAAAGATGGCAGCTGACGATTGAAGCACAACAGCTTCACGAACTTTGTCAAAAACAACAACCACATAAACACCCTCCGCCAATAAAGGTTGCTTCACACAAGAATTTTAAACTAAATTCACATGGGACCGAAGGAACCTCTGGGTCAAAATAAACTGTGCTTGAGTTCCCTTCTCCTTTTTTACATTTCAACTACTGGACACCACTTTAAGTTCCTTAATAACACTCCCAATAACGGCTCTGATTCGATTCCTGAAATTCCTTTCAGGTCTAAAACGGAAACTCATTCCCTGAGTTCTCTCCTGCTCTTTTCCTTTCGTGGCTAACCGCAGACAACTTTTCTTTATTTTCCCAGACTTGGATTTTTCTTTCCCACCACGTTGTACGGAAACACATCGCTAGCGTTGCGGTCCCTTGGTTACCTGTGGATCCGGAGAAAAATCTAAGCTCGACCCAGTACCCGAGACACAATTTAATTCTCGGCTTTGCTGACGGTCATATCCGAGCATTGAATAGGTACATAAACGATCGATTTTGACGATGCTGAGGGTCTGGCTCAGTCAATCCTCCAGAGTTATTCAACACACCCCTCCGTATACATAGACCAACTTCGCACAAATAACAAATTGTTGTACAAATCGAACTAGGCATTCGCCCTCTTTGTTAATTTCCCCACAAACGCGCTACTGGCCATACCCAGCCTTAAAAGTTAGTTTTTCTTAGTTGAAAATGTTCCCCGAGGTCCCCATTTCAATTGAACGGCCCAATCTTTCATCATTTATACGGTCTCAAAACTCAAGATTTTGCTACGCAGGTTTTTTCACCCATTTCTTTACCTTTTCCAGTTTAAATCTATCCAGCGAAGGAGAGTTAACTAACCTTGATCATTTCCCATCATCCTACCATCGTAAGTCGATCCTATCTCTTGATTTTTCCACAGTTATACAACGCTTGTAACTTCACTCTTCTTCAAGTTCTTCCTGAGAAGGTTTGCTCTTTCCGACCAAAGCCTCGGTCGTTTCGAAACGTATTTTCAAGTCCCCTCCTTCAATCTTACATTTGCAGAAGCCAAACGACTCAAGACGTCTTTCAGTGGACACACGGATGCTTTCCTATCGCTCCATCTCTCCCCGTCCTCCTGTTGCCTCATGGGTATTACTGGCAGTGGTTCTTTGTATCTATTAAAATGCGAGCAAAACGCAGGTGGATTAAATTTTGGCTGGCTTACTTTTGTGATACTGCAAAAGATTTCAATTTCTACTTGTTGTTTGCTACGAAGCGATTAAATTAAAAAACTGTCTCGTTTGTTTTCAGCTGTAAGTCATATTCACAACTCGGTTGCGTTAGAAAATTTACTCAAGTATTCTATGATGTCTGGTTGGGATATCTGGGACGTGATGGTCGTATTGAAACACCAGCACGATGGTAAGACAAGCCACAGACACATCTGCTATGATCATCATTTGGTAGTGTTGAACTGGAAGCACTCTTCTCATAAATAATGATAATCATGAGACAACTGCATATTACAGGAATCAAACCTCAGTCACAGAGATGAAAGACACATGTACTAACAACCACTGTGTTTGGTAGAATCAAACTAGAACATTTGTTCCTGTGTGCATATTGCCCAAATTCAAACCCCAGTCCGAGCAGTGAAAGTGAATTCATACTAAACACAATCGACTTCATTTCTCTTCAACTACAGACATACTGGATGCCACATTAAAATTGTTGGAACAAGACTACAAGACCTTACCACAATCTCAAATCAACAGAAAATTTCTGTCCATCAAAGCAAATTTATTAAGGTATTATTTGCATGGCTTTTCAAGTCCACCTTTATTCGAGTTAGGTAAAGCATGAGAGCTTCATGAAAACGTGTATTTGACAATGAATCTCAATTCTTTTAATGCCATTCTAAGTTTGTACCGAGACTCACCAACAAAAGTCATGGATTGTTATTCGAAGCAATTTCTTCTGGCTCTCAGCAATTTCTTCAAATCTCTGGTTCCAATCGGAGCTGAAAAGTTAGCAGGTGTGTGTGCTTCACAGAGGTTCCTGGTCTGCGATATGTAATTCTCGGAGGTCGCTTTGCCTGATGCAACAATATTTCAATGAATATCTTTCGTTGTAGGCATCTGTGAACAAGCCGTCGAAATTGACCCCGAAACTGTGTTTCAAAATTTAGATTTAAAGGAATTCGAAATTGATCTTGGTAAATATAGACTAACTTTATGTTGTTCTTCGCCGTTTTTTCCCGCCGGAAAAATCTTCATTTCTCTGTGTTCAAATTTCTGCTGTTTCATTACAAAAAGTCAGCCAATGGCGTTCATGATTTTCAAAACCAATTAACCAACTTTGCCAATGGCGGGAAAATGTTGACATTAAGTCAAGGTCCTAATCTGCCGTGCAAAATACAGTATTTTGTTCATTTCAGGTGTTTTAAAAACTTTGGGTCCTTTATGCCAATGGCTTGCTGATTTTACGCTCTCGTTTTTCGGTATTCTCCTCGTAAAACAAGGCCAGGAAGCCATGCCTGGGGTAGGTTTAGTGTGTGACCACTTTGTCACCGCCATATTTGTTGTATAAATACATATACACATATATTTTCTACCGAACAAGTTTAAACCTTGCCATTTTGCCTGCGGTTGATTGAAAAGAACAAGAGAATACTACGACTCTTGTTCCTGTTATTATCATGACACATGCAAACACGTTTAAAACAAGTCCTAAACTCTATCATCTTATATTTTACAGGCTTCGCTTCTTCGCGACAACATTTGTATTTTATTATTAAAACAACTTCTGCTTTTGGTGCTAATATGGTCGAAACAGTCCGCCGTTATTTTACCATATTGTATTGGATCTATTGGTATGTCTTGTATAGAATTCGAGAGGATCCTTACTGTACCTCTAGGAGACTAGGAGGAACAGTTTAGAACAGATAAAGCTATCCAGTGTGGAGTTTTAAGAAATGTTTACAATTTTTTCCCCTACAGAAAAACACGAGTATGTGGTACAATTGTTCAAGCTCGTTTCCAGGCTCTGGCTGTGCAACCACCAGAAAGTGGACATAGGAGAAATCGAAAATTCAGTTACAGGTGATTCATGCTTATAAACCTGTGTCCCCCCTGGATTGATCTAATGTTGGGTTATCAGAGAGTGTACTATATTTCCTTGCGTATTACAGTATCATATTAAGCTCAGTGTTATCATTTTTCAGATTTGGAGTCATACTTTTCAAACCATTTAAATTTCTTATATCAATCTATGTTGATGACTCCTACCAACCAAGGTACAGTCCATCCAGTTTTTTATTCAGTACAACATTAACCGAAAAAACGGTGTTCACCATAGCGCGAGAAACACGCGTGGGGTTAGGGCTTTCCATATCGAATCATTGTTATGCTATTGTCTTAGGAATAACCGGTAAGCAAGCGTACCTAAAACCGGACGAACCGGACGTGTACGAGTTTGGCGATAAACCACGTGACCGAATGTTGCCGCTGCGGCTGCTGACCACTCAGTACAGCGGCCATGTTGATGTCGTGACCAAACAGTTTCTTGGCAACGCAAGCGACAGAAAACTTCGACAGTGTACAAAGTAAGTGATTTCGACAAGAATGAAATCTTATTCGCTAATGTTGCGTATATATCCGTGAAAAAGAAGTACTTTTGACTCACTGCTCGTGCTTTTGACGTAAGTTAACATTTGTAATGTCCAGGTGCGAGGGTATCTCCTTACTGACGCATACGGTTGAAAGTCAAGCAGAGAACGCCTGGGAACGAAAGTGGACGGCGTCGTGTGTATGTGGTGGGGCATGGAAGCGAGTGCAACCTGGTTGAAAAGACGTGAAGCTGGTCACGTGATACAATGAACCTATCAGAAACGTCTCTCCCTCAAAACGGCGCGAAAATGTTGACAACAAGCATGAAAAACGCGGCAGTAATTTTCCCGCCAAAACTCTGGCTACAATTAATTTTATTACCAAATATTCTAATTCCAAGAAAAGACGTTATTTTTTCGTTCCTAAGTCTTGTATGCTGTCGTCATCCACCTTAATTGAGAAAAAATAGAACATTTAGTAAAAAAACATCAATTCGCCATCACAAAATGTATGAATGAGACCACATTACAGTTCAACACAGCAAATGTCATACATAAAACTTAGTAAATTCAATACAAAAATCCTGTTCACTTTGGGAATTACAATGAATCTTTATCGTGCAAGAGATACTTAAAAGGTGCGACTTATCGGGCAACTGCATATTGCAGGAATCAAAATAAAATAGTTATGTTAACTGCATCCCCTTCGCCCCTTGGACACGAGGAATTGCGAATTGAAACTCGTGTTATTGTGCATGCTAGTAGCCTAGTGATACATGATTATTAAAGAAAATACCAATGATTTACCTCTGGCCATTTTTCTTGTATAAAATCTATGAGATCATCTTTAACATCGCCCTGGATAATGATCTCATCATCACCAGTGACAGAAGTTCCACAGGCAAATTTCTGTCCAAATGATTTGGCAGCTTTCTTTATATCTATTTCTGAAAACATGTTTTAAATTGTTAAACTTGTAAACCTGTGTGTCATCATAGCTTATTCGGACAGCAAGACTGACCAACAAGGGTAAAACAAAATTTACTACAAAAGTGCAACTAATCTCAAATTCAAAACATTCACTCCAAGCACAGCACTCCATAATGAGAAATCAAGTCAGATACAATCCAACTTACCAAATGTCTTCAGACCTGTCACAACAGTGACATATTTCTTCTTGCTTCTTTGTGACAGAGAAACTGTAATCTTTTTTGGTCCAGTACTTTGCTGTTAATGAGATAACCGCAGGACTCAAAATAACAGCTTCTCACCAAGAAAAAAACTTGTATGTGGCCAGTCATGCATATAGTAGCCAATTTGAAACAAACTGCACAATGGCAGAAACAGCATGAAACAGCGGCTCAAATGCCTGCAGCTGTCAGAGAAGAAATGGTACTTGATGTAACATTGGCTGACTGTACCTTCTTCTTAGTTTTGACAACCCCTTTTCCTCCTAGAACAAAAATTAAGGAATATTTGAGGATGCATTTAAAAAAAATATCAGAACTACTAGCCCTTGGTCATGCTTGATTCTTTTATACATCCAGATTTAGAACATTGTTAACTAAATTAGACAATTAGTTAGATGTAATTTTTTGCATAACCCTCCCCCCTGCATTGTATGCAAAAATCATGTACCTCCCCCCCCTGCATCCGTGCATTTGCACCATACATTAATACCATTGCCAATATGAAGATTTACAGAACCCTCCAGTGACATAAGATGCATATAAATCACACACTGCCCTCATGAACATCTAACAGCTGCTTAACCCCACCTGCAATCTTGAACTCTTTCCCTGCATGCTCTAAGTAAATCAAAGTTCAATATTTTGAGCTTGGTCAAGCTATGGTTACCTCTTGTCTGTCTCTTTTTTGCTCCAGCAACATCTAACTCTTCAAGACCCTGTGCCACTGAAAAAATATTAGATTCACCCAAAACTGCAGTACTAAGTTTAAACAGTTGGGTTCTTGTTCCTTGTTATAAAGTTGGCATCACCTTGACCCCAAGTTCAAAAGGTTAATGCTTAGTTTTGCCATTAAAATGGTCATGATATTAACATAGAAACTAAGATGAGAAATACATACCAATGGGAAAAGATGCATTATAAGCTCATATAATTTTAAAGTGTAAACTTGACATGATATTTTCATGTCTTGATGTATGGATATATGGTATATCACAACCAGATAAGAATTCAAATAATGCAATTCTATGGTGTACCAATGAAGTCCTCACAGCTCTCAGCCCATAGACAGGGAGAGTGGGAAGTGGGTGAGTATCCTACCCCAGATACCACCATCACCAAAGACTGACAATGGGGGGGGGGAGGATGATGGATTCAAGTGGTCACAGATCTGGAAACCTTTTTCATGGGATTGAACAATTATGTACACTAATACCTTGTGCAATCATGTCTTCATATTCATCTGGATGAGTGCCTTTCCACCATTCCTTACATTGGTCATAGCTTGGACTGTATTCACAATACTAGTACAAATTTAACAGTAAGAAATTGTACTTTAATAGTGAGTTCAACAGCAAATATTTTCTACTTATAATTTCAGGAATAAATATTCAAAAATTGTACGTACCTCACTGGGCAAGCTACAAACTTTGAAAAAAAATAAACTGTGTATGAATATCGTGTAAAAAAAATACAAAATCAAACGGCAAACTTTCAACATATAAATACCTCCACAATAAATAACTTCTAATGGATAATTCAACTCCTCGTCCTCCGCCATATTGAACGGGGCCAAAGTTCGAAAAATGCGCGTTCCAACATGTGGACTGGGAATGCTTCTCAGCGGGGGTCGAATATTTTGCGCAAAATATTGTAATTTGTGCGCGCGCTTTATTCTAATTTGCGCATTTTCTTCAGATCGCTTGTTATGACAACTCGATATCGAAAATTTTCAATATCAACAGAGTGTTTATTGACAAGTGTCTCGCTGGGTTATCTTAAGTCTGAATCGGTTTCAGATACATTGAGTTTTAAAAATCAATAGAAGAAACATGAGTGATGGACTGTATCAGTATATAAATATATTTTACAGGAAGTGGTTTACAAAATTATATTAAAAATTCTTTCAGGAAACATTACATAGTTTTGGACTTGCTTTCATGGTAAAATTCCCTCAACCCCACTCAACTTTAGGTAACTTTGGATAACCTCCTGGAGGTGGTGGTAACATGGAGGGAGGCAATTGAGATAAAGAGGGAAGATTTGCAGGCAACATAAAAATATGTGAGGTATTGTCTTCTTCTGCCATAGGCATTTCCTTTGTATTTTTATTGCCTTTTCTGTACTTTCTTCTTATCTCCCATTTTGCAAGCCAGTCACTCAGTTTTGGTTCACTTCTTAGACTGCTTGATGATGATCGAGCTTTTGCTAAAATACAGAACAAAATGAAATTGAATTGAGCACAATTTTAAGTAATATGTATACAGCAGAAACTAACACTCCTTTTCAAGCCAATTGGACAAGGAACTATCTACCTTGCTCTTCCAGTAACATCTGTGGGTTTTTGTGGGAATATCGACAATTATCTCCAAAATCGCATGAACCTGTTTGAAAAAATCTTCGACAGGGCAGCTTCAGAGCTTCTTCAGCGAGTAGCTGTACAGGGTCTAGAGTTAAACATAAAAGCCTAAATCTCTGCTATTACCAGTCACAATGGTCATAAAACTACTTGCTAGATTAACACAAGCAACAGGATGGTTGAATCAAAACATCTATTAATCTAAATGACTTCCAGCTCTTTGAGGAACTGTAAATGGACATGTCATATAAATGTGTCTGAACTTCTTTTCATACCTTTGAAGGAATCATAATGCAGTTTACGGTTTCGTTTGTGTTGGACGCCATTTATATGTTTTTTACGGTTGCCTGGAGAGTCTGCAAAATGTCTGTCACAGTAATCACAGAAATATCTTTTCCCCATTGTAGGCAGTGTGCGACCTCTATCTACAAAACGTTTAATTGTTCAATAAGTAATATTGCTGATTTAATAGTTTAATATTGTGAAACATGATTAATCATGGTCTATTAATCTGATTATATTATTGTAAAAATTGCAAAATATCCACGTCAAATGAAAATCGATTGTACTACAACAACTTTGTATAAATTCTACTAACCATTCACAGCCAAATCTTCATTAAAAAACGTTCAATTTCAAAGCTTTGACAAGCAGCTAAATCGCTAATGACAGAAGATAATATTGAAGATCAGTTGTGAGCATAGTTGTGAAGATGATGATTTTGTCCGCCATATTGAATTCCACCGCGTAGGCCGTAGAGGCGTGGGCACTATTTCATTTTGGGGCATTTTTTTTAAAGATCTTCTCAGGGTGGCTGTTTTTTTTAATTTTAAGCTAATTTATTGTTCAAATAGTCTATTGACTCTTAATGAATGCTTCTTAGATTGCTATTATTGCTTAAACGTATTTAAGAAAATTGAAAGTACCCCAAAAATTTAGCATCAAATTTGGATCATAGATATTTATTTAAAAAAACGTTTTATTTTTCTTATTCTGAAGATTCTCGTCAACAGTATTTACTGCAGTCCTAACCGCAATTTTCGTATACAAGATAGCTGAAGATAGAAAATTTGAACATACAAAAACTCAAAAAGTTAAACATGATAATTCGCAAATCATGCATTATCTCAGCAACGGATTATAGATCATTATGGACAGATAAGGCGCCGACTAAGCCAAAGTCGTTGATCTTAAGCAGATGCGGAAATTAAAGATGTCAACGGTTCATTCCCTTTTCTCCGGAGAGATTACCGTGGCTTTTGCGCATCGCTCCTGCTCATAACAACGGGAGCACAATTCACATACTTCGCATTATTCAGATTATGAAGCATTGTCTATCCCGCGTTCATTCACAATCAAAGCGTTCCAAAATGGCGTTCAATTAAATATTTCGGCAGTAACGGGCAGTTCATGATATTTCAAGAAATATAGCATTTAAAAATTTGCAAAAAGCCTCTATTGACGTTACGGATTTTACACTGTTAATAAAGTCAAGTGAACAATGTTGCTCACAGGGAGTGTCTTCAGTTTAATGACATAAAACTAAATCCAATATGCGTCATTATTTACTGAATGATATATAAAAATAAGCAGATGAAAGAATTTGCATCGTTGCTCCTATTAGTGTATATTTCCTGTGCGATAAAACAAACTAGGCCGGTATATTCGTTACTGACGCATTTTCTGCTATTAAAAGGGCCCGATTATTCAGTATCAAGATCACCTTGGTCACCTTGAATATCATCGTTTGCCGTTAATTGAAAGATGATGGTTTTACAAGGCTTATAGCAGCAATTTAATTTCGTATTTGTTTGACCATAGTTGGACTGATTATATTTATTCAGGTGACATCAAATATCCTCGCATCCTCTTATGTATAATTGTACTTAAAAATTTGATTTGCCTGCATGGATAGCAATCCGATTTAGTGTAACTCAGGCTTTGTGTGATGACAATGGTGTGATAGTGGTTATTATATAGAAACATGGAATGAGGGTATCTACCTCACGATATGCCTCCTTTATCTACACCCCCTCTCACGAAAGTGTTCACCATAGATGTCCGAGCCAGAGGGGCTGGAGGCCCCCCAGCTCTGAGATACATCGTACCGTCAATTTCTCAGGCAAAATACTTTGGATTTTTAAACCAAAACATCAGATTTTATATTCTATAAACCTGAGTCATCATGAGCAAGTGTTCATATGCCTTAGTTTTATCGACGCCGATAGGGTTAAAAAAAAGAAGCTTTCGTCAGCTTTACGAAATAAAAACAACCTATAAAAACAACCAATAAAAACAACGATTAGTACACCGCTTTACGATCAAAATAAGAAAGAGTCAATTCAAAAATTCAGGTGACGAAGAAAATTTTTAGGATAGTTACCTCTGCGGCTCTGCTCGGCTCTGCCACCTTCCACACACTTCACCCACCGCTAATCGAGAGAACTCCCCGTACACCCATGATTCAAACATGGTGGTTTATTGCTAATCGGTGTAGGCGCTTTAAAATACTGATCAGATCATCAGAATAAATAAAAATCAACACTCAAAAGATGTAAAAAATCGAAAAACGCAATTTCCAGTGAAAGGAATAATGAAATATTGCGGGACAGTGGCACTCATTCACAAGCGAGTAAAAAAAGTTATTTAATTACCCATTCTCGTATTTAGCATAGAATTGCGTGCTGGACTGCTTTACAAAGATAAAGACAAGTGCTTGCTAATCGGTTTACGAATATTTTGCCAATTTACGTGGTATTTTTAGGAACAAGTTAAAACTACGTTCAGCAAATATTGTCATTTTTGATTGGAATTACCTCCCCACCTTAAGGTTCGGCCGGATTATTTTTTATTAAATCGATATCGTTTCCTCGATTTCCCTGCTTCATGCGCTAAGACGCGTCACTTGAGAAAAAGTTTGAAAACCGTCATCTCTCAATTAATCTTAGATGCAGGAAAAGAGGTCAAGGATCAGCCAAGCCCACGCACGTATTTTGCAGACAGAGAAGAGTATATATATGTAGCGTCGTGCAGAGGGAGCAATATACAAGTCAAGAAACGATTCAGAAATAAACAAGGAAGACTCAAAGGGAAGATTTATACTTCGAAAATGATAAAGATTGCTGTCGTATTGCTGTTGAATGTCATGGTCGAACTTAGCAGTTCAATGCCACGTATGTTTTTATCATGAATACGGTATTGTTTTAGAGTATAAACAAATGATTTAAGTGGTTTCGATCACAGAATAAACGTTTTAGCGGTGTGCATGAGTTATAGCAATTTCGGCAACATATAGGCATCTTTGTAGACCATTATTCCCAGTACAATATATAGAGAACAAGAGTTGCACGAAAGCTGCTGCTCTAGGACTTATGCACCACACTGCGAGAACTAATTATCATTGTCACTTCTCTACACACACAAGCGAACATATTTCATTGAGATGTGAAATGTCATCGTGCGATGTATCTTGGTATAGGAATATGTATATTTTATTATATTTGACTAAGTGATGGAGTCACTGATTGAAAAATCCTAAATTGTGTAATTGCTATGCTATTTGAAACACTGATGGCCCGTGGAAGACAGTGTGTAGTTAGTATACTGTACAGAAAATATATCTTCTTTTTCCCGCCCAACCACAGATAACCACAATGATGGCGGAAAGTTGGCTGCAGAAGCACCAACAGAAGTTAAAGCGTGCAAAAATTTATACGAAAGATGTACAACAAGAGAAGAATGTTGTGGAAGGCTTGGTTGCTTCCCTCTTTACAGTGGCTACAACGGTTAGATAAAAATTATCAGCATCCTCATCCCCCCCCCGACCGTCACCTTAACTACGCTCGTTTCTCCCCCCCTCGCAAAAAAGGTCCGGGCTACGCCTTTGCATCTTATCACTCCACTGTTGACACGTTTTCATTACATCTATTTATAGAGTAACTGGGGACTGAACTATTTATATCTTTTTAGAAACTGTATGCAGAGGTGCTCCACCGATACCTCAATGTACAGCACGTTACGAGAAGTGTGTGCCTGGTGCGATTGATCCTTGTTGCGAAGGCAACGAATGCATGGGTAAGTATATATAGACCAGTGTCAGTGAACTCTGTGTAATCTGGAGCGATACTCAAGCCGCAATCTTTGGGGCTGAATTCAAAAACCAGTGCCAGTTTATTACTGGTGCACCGTGCACGTGCATGTTACATTGCGCATGGTAAATCCATACCACGTGCAAAACCACAATTGTATAGTTTTGCTCTACGATTTTAACGATGCTTGCTTCGCGAATATATTTCAGATTGCAAGGTCGAGGACGTGATTTGCGACTCGAAACGAAGCAGAAAAGATTATTGGTGCAAGAGATCGCAAAATGTTCGTTGGCAATGCCCTAGAATGTGTAACGTCTGCGGTAAGTTTTTCCACTAATATATCCACTGTAGGCTATGTACAAAGTGTCCCGGCAAAAGAAAACGCAATTGGCAATTCAAACTTTAGGTTTTGAAGTAGATCTCAACGATAAAAGCTATTTTCGCTACAGTCAACTGTACCACGATGTTAAATGATTGAAGTTTTGTCAACGTTTTGAAGTCTGGGAAACCAGCAGGGTGGGGAGGCAGGTGTACTCTTCTTCCCCCAGGGCCGCCATGTGGGGGGCTAACTTTTGATCAATTATTCTCTCTGCTTTTAGAACACAGATGTATCAAAAAAGATGTCAAAAAAATTTGGAAAATATGGCGACACATGAAAGCATTCTATTGAAGTCAGCCTCTTATTTATTAATATAAGTATATAAATGGATAGAAATACCTCCAGAAAGCATGTCAGCGCATGTTCGGCTTGTTAATCTTGTTTCAACTATACTGTAAAAAGACAATATGCTATTATTATTTTATTATTGTGAAAAAGGCAGAAAAAGAATCGCTTTTTTGACAATCTTACAAAGGAAATGGTCATAACGTCCATTATTTTTTAATTCATAACTATTAAAATATCTTTAAATTAAGAATTTGGTACCCTTTAAAAAGATTTGTCACGCCAGTGTTCTGGGAATCCAACCCAGAAACTAAACACTCGCGTTTTCAACACTTCATGTACAAATTTTGTGTAATGTAAAATAAATCTTTTCACTATCAACGAACACGTTTGGCCCCAGGCATATACACTGTTTTTTAAAACCAAACCGGAAAAGGAGGGAAACCGGAGTTCCCGGAGAAAAATCCTCCAAAGTCAATCTGAATTTCAGGTTACCCGACCGGCGTTCCGAATTTGACGTTCCTGCAGTTTGGGTTTTATTTATAGTATAACTGAGTGCCAGGAATTGCATAATGCTATACAATGTGCCAAAGAAACGTTAAAAGCAGAATTTTGGTTAAAATATTATCACAAGAATATATTTATTTATAAATTTTATACAATAATCTCTTTATAATGACAAATTAATAAAAAAATGAATAGTAACTGTTTTAACTTTAGCCATATATTAATTAAAAAATACTTTAAACAATGTATTATATATCCAACACTATCTATCCGTTTCCTTCATTAACCCTACGAATTTCAGAACCAGCTTGCAAAGTATTCTGGGATGATTCGTCAATTTGGACCACGCCCTCCTCACTCAGGGTCAGGGTCGGTTCTTCAAACTCATTTCCGCTGACAATCTCTTGCGCCACCTCGGGCACGTCTGTGACAAAACGTATCGGCATTTGGGGATTATCGTTGCCATTTTGGGTACTTCCAGGACTCTGTACTGCTTTACCCTCTTTCACCCCTACTGGTTTCATCTCGACAACGAATGTATCCTCAGTGTTCAAAGCATCATCGGGTTTCACAACACTACCGGAGTTAAAAATCCCATCGGATTTTAGGACCCCGGCGGCAGAGTTTAACACCCCCTCGGGTGCACTCTGATGAAGCTGCCTTGAATTATCTCTCAAGCTGTTGGGACGCAGGCTTGGCATACCTGTGTAAATCGCGCCAGGGGACTGGACATGTGTTTGCGTCAGCTCCTGTTTTGACAAAGCACATCTGACGGACGACGGCACAAAGGCCTGGGACTGAATACTGATAGGCGCAACTCCTGGACTGGAAATTTGATTCGATAAAGATGACCCGTTTACATTTCCCGGCTGCATTGTTGTCACGCTTTGTACTGTGGTAATTTGCGGCAAAGCGGACTGGTGCTGAATGGTGACGTCACTGCTTGAGCCAACGGACAGTGGAACGCCCGGGGCAGCGGTGACCGTCGAAGGGGAAACTGTACTCGAAATCAAAGCTGAATTCACCGATGGTTGAGAAGACATGGAGTACACCACTTGTGGCTGACCGCTGGTCATTGACATCAAAGTCACAGCGTGCACTGGGATTGGCTGGCTGCTAAGATGACTCGGTAACATGAGGTTTGTCACGTGCCCCGGCGGAATAGCACCCGGCGTTCCGATGTCGCCCGGCTGAGCAACAATGCCCGTGGCAGCATGCGACATTGGCAACATCTGACTGGGTACTAAACCAGTTATAACCTGTTGTGAGAGATATTCATTCCATCAAAAAGTATAAAAATTTCGCCAGCTTTGCAAATGCAAGGTATATTCCGCATTTTACAGAATTTCGCAAACGAATTTTGCTCTACAATGAGGTTTAATTTTCCTGGCCAAGACAAAAAATTTTCTCAGAATGCAAATTCGTCATTACCTGCAGTTGAGCTGGGGTTAGAATTTGATGTGGCATTGCACCGAATGCTACCGATATTGGCCGCTGAAGGTGACCATACGACACACTAGTTGCCTGCGTCACGGGCGGGGGACTCGATTCGAATTTGATCAAAGACATTGTTGGTAGTCGGGCTAGTGGGGTCGTTGAAAGCTGGGACGTGGTGGAGATGGGTGTCGATGACACAGGTGTCTGCGGGGTCACCTCTCGCTCCAAAGACTGAGTATCGTTAAACTTGGGGAGTGGGTGGGTCGCGAACGTTGGCAGAGGGGGAGGTTTGGGCATGATTGGTTTCTCGATGCTAGGCGTATTTGGTGCGTGTTTGGCGTCGATCCTGGACGTATGATGATCAATGCCGCCGTTACCTACAGAGAGGGAAAGCTGCTTCTAATCCTGCTTATATTAGCCACCGTTATCTAAGGAAGCTTTCTATCTCCCTTAGTTGAAAATGATGTCATCCCATGCGCTTACCTGTGACAGGATATGTCCCAGCATCCATTGCGAGCTTCACTTTAAACGCCTCTTCCTTCCTGCGATTAGCAAACCAGTTGTAGACTCGACTTTCTGTCACTAAATTTGGTCCAAGGTTGTTGACTTGCTCCAACGGGATCCCACGTTGCTCGCATTCTGCATCATTGCATGCTTTGACCAACAATTCCCTTGGAAAAATTCAAAAGAATATCGCTGTTATTCAAAATATTTCATTGTACTGGTTATTTCTATCGTACGAAGAAAAAGACTAAAGACTAAAGCTAAACTAACCTCACTAATCAGTACCGAAATACTTGAAAGCTCTAAACTGTTCTGCCTAAGGACTCACTAAGAGAAATCTATAAGATGTTCTACACTGTTTTCTTTCCACTTTAGTTATTTGGACTTCGTTATTTACCAGACACCGGTTGTACGAAAGCTGACCGGCCATCATGAAACCTGGCAAATATACAGCCATCTTTTCTTACCGTTCGTCTTTGGAAGGGTTTCTCTGTGAGTCGTAAGCTCCGTAAAGTATTTCTGTCGATGCATGTCCCCATTTGAAACGATTCCTCCTCGATCGTTTGTAAGCTGAACTCGAATTCGATGGGCTTAAATCGTGATCTGAATGCCGCTTTCCAGAAACGTTGGTGTACTCTATCAACAAAAAGGATGGCTGAAGCAATAAACTAATAGAGCTATCCAGTATAAATAAAGTTGGTTTAGTTATGGTTTCCTCCTGTAGTAACACTGGAATGACTGGATCAATAAGAGATGATCCTTACTGGAGCTTTAGGAAGAACAGTTTAGAACTAATAGAGCTATCCAGTATAAATAAAGTTGGTTTAGTTATGGTTTCCTCCTGTAGTAACACTGGATCAATAAGAGATGATCCTTACTGGACCTATAGGAAGAACAGTTTAGAACTGATAGAGCTATCCAGTATAAATAAAGTTAGTTTAGTTTAGGTTTCCTCCTGTAGTAACACTGGATCAATAAGAGATAGGTGATAAGTTATGATAATAGTGAACAAGAAGTTACAATGGTGTACATACGTGCCGCAACCTCTTTCTGTTTCGCTTCAAACCATTTATAAAGCGTCATTCTTTTCTGAGTTTTCATCGGCGTTCCCTTGTTCAAATGTTGCGAGAGATGACTTTGATTTAGGCCCGTCGTTTCAACCGCCTCCCTCTGAGGGATGTTATGTTGTTGCATGTACTGCTTGATTATCTTCGCGCTTTTCCACGGGTCGTGCCTGAATAGACGACAGAAAGAAAACGCTTGTGAAGACCACTGAACTAAAGATAATATACTGGATATATAGCGACTATATCTATCACAAACAAAGCAGGAATTAAAGTTACTTTTGAAGACCAAAATGAGGCGAATGAATAAATCACATACTCCAGGAAGTCTGCCTAACGCCTGTATACTAAATGCTCACTCACACTCAAACTCATTAAATGGAAGATCTGAATCACGACGTTACGATTGCATGACGGTATTCCTACTCGAATAAGAGCCTGATTTTCTGTGTTCCACCTTGAAACTTTGCATTGATGAAGAAATAACGTTACCATTGATAAATTATAACAGAATTTCTGTGTCGCAATTCAGTGAGAGTGAGTGCAAGTCTTCGTGATTGCTACCGTATGTTGTACTGCGTAACCGAATATGGTGGACGAGGGGATGGTTGGGTGGGGGTAGGTAAGGGCATTAACTCCGATAGGGGGGTGGGGGTAGTAAGGGCATTAACTCTGATAGAGATGTGGGGGTGGGTAAGGGCATTAACTCTGATGATAGGAAGGGTGGGGGTAGGTAGGGGCATTAACTCTGATAGGGAAGTGGGGCAGGTAAGGGCATTAACTCTGATAGGGGGGGATGAGTCCCTTGGTGTTGTAAATACAAAACAGCGCAGCATGCATGCGATAATAATTCTAATTTCCTTCTAAAAAACATTTTGCTCTTTACAGGTTCTCGTGTTTAGATCATCAATAATTAAGACATTAAGTAAATCCACACAAGACCAAGCGTCTATTTCGCACGCTTACATATGAGAGTTCTTGAAAATTGCCGAACATTTAAAGTTTGTGCTATTTTTAAAATGGTTTGTCTTGACTGAACAGATGCGCCGGCTATATTATCTGATGCCAGAAGATAAGATCCACAATTGATTAACAGCAGAAACGCAACGAATTTGTCAAAATCTCAGAGCGAGTTTAGTGCCGTTCCTTCCTGTCCTTCGCTACATGAAATGAAAACTTTTGAAGAAATTTGAGAGAAAACTGATCAACTACAAGTCTACAATAACGTTGAGATCTTCCTTGTGAATTTTCCCTTATCAAACATATGTTAATAATTCTCGAACGCAATTTAAAATTAAAATTTCGCCAAGCCATTTGTCTTTCAGCAAACATTATGATATATGATACTAATATTTGCGGCCACAATTCAAACATGGCTGGCGAAGATTATCAACAAGAACCAGATTTAGTTACATTAAACTTGGATTTTTCACCCGATTTTTTTGCCTCCGAGAGGTCTAAACGCTCGCTGTTTTTGAACACGAAGTTCTCTGGCTTTAAAAGTACCTTTTGGTTAGATTCATAAACACAATTTACTTCAAAAGCGGCAAAATCTAAGTGTTGAAAATTTTTGAGCGGTTGGATTCAGATTTCACAACGACTTTTAGCGCTCCTAAACGTTTTCAAATTTTGTCGTGTTCGACGCCCCATATCGTCGAGTAAAAACGGTAAAATTTTAAAACGCAAATATTGGTGCATGAACTATTAGCTGGTGATCAAAGGGAACGCGAAAACGAAATGAAAAGTCCCAAAAAGCAAACATTTATACATCGCATAAACGCATCTCAAATTTCGCTAATCATTACCGTCCATCGTGGTTTGAAAACTCAGGAACGCCTCTGGGCTTTTGACAAATTGTTAAACGCGCGCTCGGGTAAAAAAATCAACCAAAAAAGCCCCGAAATACAATTGTCTTGCCCTATTTGCATGAAACTAAAACCCGCAAGCTTAAGAGCAGCAGATTAAACAAACCAGAAGCGAAATTTCGCCCGCAGAAGCTGGTCTTTGAGCGACCCATTTTGTACAGGACTCGACAAAGAAGCACTGTTCAGCAAAGGCAGTTCAACCCAAGCGAAACACGGACAACTTCGGCGGAAAATCTTCAAAAGATAGACCTCAATACATGCCCGGACTCAAACCAATCGTAAATTAATCATAAACCCAAGTTTAAATAAGTTAAACCAGTGACATGCCAATGTGTACAAGAGATCGGTTAATATTTAAACGTATGGGTCATATCACAAACGTGTTCAACAATCATTAACGCTAGAAAAAAATTTAAATTCAGAAAGTTTTACTATCATAAATAATTCAAAGCAAAGTTAATGTAACCGGATGTTCAAACCTGAAAGAGTGTGGCAAGATGAAACGCGATTACGAACACGATGACCCGGTTGAAATAAGCTAGAATTTGGGAAATGCGAATTTCAAACGAACGTGTCTTCCTCAAACGCGTACTCGCAAATGGGAAGACGAAGAAGCGTTTGTATGAGCAATACGTACTTAGCGCAAGCCGCAAAGCTTGAAAAATATCGCAAAACGGTATCGAGTATTAACAGTATTATTATAAAAAGCGGTATATTTAAATTTTCACAAATCAAAGCTATTTCGTTCCAAAGAGATTGCGCGCAAGCCGAATGCATTAACTCGACATGTAAAGTTGTAAATAGCAGTTAGTATAAATCGATAATATTTGTTTACAGCGCTATCGGGATAATTTGGGGGGAGTTTACAAAGACATAGCTGAATCACCTCAACAATTGCTCGGCAATAGATTGGCCATTCGATTTGAGATCGGAGAGCGAGGGAGTTGTGCATTGAACGTCGCTACCACCGGATGCTTCGCTGAAATGTTCTGCCTGCTCGCCTCCATTGACAAGTTTCTCCAATTTACCAAAGTCTGGTTTCATTTGTTTCTCCAGCGCTCGCACGGCTTGGATAACTGTATCGCTGCTAACGCCGCTGTTCAACAAAGCAGCCAAGAGCTCCGCTTGTAGCTCCGTCACAGTTGCCATTCTACACTGTCGATATAGTACCCAGTTATACAACCCTGCTAGGAGATACACTCGGATACAGCATACTACCCACAGATATAATTGATACACAAGAACAACCGTACTACGGCGCCGTCCGTTTTACGCATGACACTGTTTACGAGCCCGCGCAACGTATCCGCTTGCAGAGCAATCACCATGGCAACTAAGCAATTTTCGACTTTTCGTCAGATCAGTAATTTTCGTCCATATTGGTTTCTGTTATTAAAAAAGGTGACCGTTTGTTTAGTGAGAAATTGCTCCGAAAAAACAACGCAAGATTATACATAATCTAGATTTCCAGATTATATAGAAGCTAGATTACAACATCCTCTAGTAAAATTGCAGTTGTACAAAATATTCAGAGGCCGCGGAAGTTAATATTTAGATCTACAAATGAGGCTAAGGTCTAAGATACCATACTCCGGGTGTATTCGACCCTACCATGGTCGAACATATATGGAGGGGCATTTGGGACAAAAATGACATTCGCTTGTACATTGCATGCCGTTCGTTCATGCCACATGCTATTCGTTCGTATCAGCTTTTATTCTCGACGTTGTTCGCGTGTAAGTTACACGCCATTTGTTCGTACACTTTGTGCCTTCGGTTTGAGCCGGCGGACTCATGTCATCGGGTCAGCGGCCGTTCCTTCTACTAGCTCGAGCCGGCGGACATAGTTTAATCGGGTCAGCGGTTGCTACATGAGACTTCGTGTAAGGACGTTCTATAAATTCTGGAATAGTTTGACTTTCGGCGTTTCACTCTGAATTTTGCTACGAGTTTACGGTAACGTTATTATTTAAAAATTAAAATGTCTTTTACTAGTGAAAGCCAGCAAAACTCACCATTTCATTTGATTCGAGTTAATGTTAGAGAAATTCTAATCGATGTGATTCGTAATCTAGAAGGCACAAATGGTAATATTAACATTGACTATGTTCGCTACAAAGTCGATTGGCTTTGTGCAATACTGACGAGATTCGGCAATAATTTGGAAAACATAGAACATTTACTTTTACCACGTATCAGGGAAGCACAAACTATTCTTGCAACCATTGACGACGATTTGTACACAGGCAACAACCATGTACCAACTTTATTGCAAACAAATTCCAGAGGAAGGCCTAGTTTTCACATTCCTTGTGAACAAATGGAACTATTTCTCGATTATGGATTCAAGGCAAGTGAAATGGCAAAGATTTTGGGTGTTAGTGAAAAAACAGTTTACCGGAGACTGGAGGAATATGGGCTATCCATGAGGAACAGCTATTCCAGTATTACTGAGAACGAGTTGGATGACATAATTAAAGGGATATTGGTGGAATTCCCTAACACTGGATATAAAACAATGCGTGGACATTTGCTTTCGCGGGGATTGAAGTTGCAGGAGAGTAGAGTAAGGGAAGCAATGAGACGTTCAGATCCTGAAGGTGTTCTTGTTCGAGCATTACAGCTAAGGGTAACTCACAGAAGGGTTTACAATGTTAGAGGACCTCTTTCTCTCTGGCACATGGATGGTCATCATAAACTTAAAAGGTGAGAAGGCATGCACAAAAGTAAATACATTCATACCTGAATTCAATTTCAATCAAATAAATCAATCATTATAATTTGGTAATGAGCTAGCTATGTACTTCCTCTTTTACAGGTGGAAATTTGTCATCCATGGTTGCATTGATGGGTTTTCTCGAAAGATAATGTATTTGTCCTGTAGTGGTAATAATCAAGCAGCCACAGTGTTAGGTTTGTTTTCAAAAGCTGTTGAACTTCATGGACTACCTTCAAGAGTGAGGGGAGACTATGGTGGAGAGAATGTCCAGGTGGCTTGGTATATGTTTAACCATCCACAGCGAGGACCAGGCAGGGGAAGTTACATCACAGGATCAAGTGTTCACAACCAAAGAATAGAGAGGCTGTGGCGTGACTTATTTGTTGGTTGTCTGTACATCTATTACTCTATTTTTTATTACTTGGAAGAAGCAGGATATTTGGAACTAAACAATGCAATTCACATGTTTTGCTTGCACTTTGTTTTTCAACCAAGAATAAACAGACAACTCCAGCATTTTTGTAATGGATGGGATAATCATCCATTGAGAACTGAACAAAATAAAACGCCAAACAGACTTTGGATCAATGGACTATTTGATATGTCATCAAATATTACTGGAGAGCTTTCTGATTACCAATCTCAGGTACTTACTACTTCAAAATGCTTTTTATTCGTGTGTTCTCTTCGATTATTTTCATTAGGGCTAGGGTTAAACAACTGCTCTGGATTATGGAAAGAATTAAATGAAAAACATGGAATGTGGTATACATACAAAAAATCACCGTAAAAAGCATAGTGCTGTTATTATGCAGTGTACGAAGTCAACAATATACTAAGTGTTGCAATATACAGAAAAGCATGTATAGTTCCTATTTATGTTTTTAAAATTGCACCCAATTTAGCAATTTAGAACTGCATTCAAAATAATCATTTTATATGTCAAAATGTAACAATTAGGATGACTGTTGTGTGCCATTTGATCACGGCTTTAAACTACTAGCTCATAATATTAAGTGCAAACTATGATTTCAAGTTTGCCTAGAACCTAAAAAATTAAAGTCTATGTTTGTTCATCACAGGAATGGAATGAGTATGGTATTGACCCTGATGCACCTTGCCCTGTACCTGAGTCAGAAAATATTGAAACACAAGATGTGATGTCTCCATTACAAGATGAAGATTTCGAAGCAATGAAACAACAGATTGACCCACTAAATGATACTGATGTGTATGGCATTGAAACATACATACAGGCATGCATTTTTGCATCTTCTAGGTCAGGTTGCCATGAGCCTGAATAGTTTTTATTAGCAGGTGATTTTAAGGAAAGTACAAACATATTAAGGACAATCACTTGCAAAACCTGGCGTTCTAATTAGGAAATGTACACATCTCTTCTGGAAAATGTTTTTGCCTTTAAAACAGAACCCAACTGCAACAAATGTTATGATACTAAATCCAACTTGTGTCTTATATGATGCCAAATCCCATTGCTTGCATGTCCAAGGCAATGTTCATCTGTCTGGAAAACTCTTCAAAATTGGCAACTTTTTTTGGTAGTTCTAAATCCATAGGACATGTATTGGAATTTGGCAAAACACTTTCAATAGTTGTGAGAGTTATCTTGTCAGGTTCATGAAAACCCATTGGTGGTATACTACTTGCACCAGTAGAAAATGCCAACAACTTTTGCAAACCCTTTGCATCTAATAATGTAAAAAAAGCTTTAGTATATATATGTACAGTAATATGTTCTTAGCTAAATCAAAACCAATAGTTACGGTACAGAAAATAACGTACCCAAATTATCAATATACTTGTAAAAATAGCCTTTGATTGGGTCATCTAAGTGTGTATGCATCAATAGACTTTTAAACATTTCTGGGGTAAGATCCACATCACCAACAATGAACAAACAAGGGCTTGAAAACATCAGGATGCTTCTGTGCTTCATTTAGTATTGGGCCAAGACCTTGACCAAATTGATCAAGCTCAGCTTTACGCATTAAGATCACTGTGTTCAGCATTATGCTTGTGATAGCTTCAAGTTTATTCTCTTTGGTGATTTTTTTAGTAAAACCAGTTTCCACAAGTGCATCAAGGATTTGATCAGGAATATTTTCAAAGTTATCTAAGGAATCAATCTGTAACAGAAAATGAAATACTTTAATTTTTATAAAACATTTGCATATAAATGTGTATTGATTGACAATTGAACTTAGTGATTAATGTTGATGAATCCCTACCTGTGTTACAATATCTCTAATATCTATGTCTGCTATATCCTCCTTCACAATGTCAATATCCTGACTTAAGCCTGAAATTAGGTATGAATAGATTGCAGGGGATAAAAATGGAAAGCCTGGACCTCCATTAAAAATGGATGTTGCAATAATTCTTCCAGCTACTTTATAAAGACTGGCCCTTAATGCATCTGTATTATGCATTGGTAGTAATCGGGCTTCACTTCCTTCAAACAGTCGTACAAAATTGCTAGGAGAAACCAAGCAATTCAATAAGAGAGTAAAGTATTCTCTCCTAGGACCCCCTCCATCGATTGCAGGCTCGTTTTCAAATACTATTTTCACTGGGGAGTCAAAATCGAAACTTGACTTTTTGAAAAATGACACACTGTCTTTAAACAGGCTACCACGATCAACAGATAATCTTTGAGGAGTTATTTTTGTGGGTGCTAGTTTTTGAAGATGTTCAGCAAGATTTAGTGGTTCATCTGCATCAATATTCTCCATCATTGTTTCAAAATCAGGAAAATAATCTAGCAAATATTTTAAAATTATTTTAATAGACCCATTTGACAATTTTGTTTCAAAGAATTTGAAACACCACTAGTACAAACCTTCCAATTGCCCATCCCATCCTCCAATCAGCTCATCAACCACCTCAGACACATTTCCTTGTTTATTTGCATACGAATTTTGCAATGTTTCGATACTTGTGTTCGGAAACATGTCTTTCAGGTGGGAAATGCAATCTATTAGAAAACATTTATGCAGTTTAAAATTCAATTTATTACATTTACTTTATTCATATATAAATCTTTGTCTAGATTTGTACCATTAATATAATAAAACAGTTTAGCATTTCAGCTATAACAATACCAACCACTTTTATCCTTAACTTCTTTTTTGTCTGAGACACTAGTACATATCGGGCTCTCATACGCATCTTGTATTTCCTGAGGTACCTTTCAAACAGAACATTTACACAGTATAATTAATGATTACACACACACATATATATATATATATATATATATATATATATTATATATATATATATAATATATATATATATATATATATATATATGCATTTGAACCTAGCTTACACACCATAAACAAATACATTTAGTAATATTATTTTAATTTGTACACACCAACATATAGCCCTGTATTCTGGGAATCAGAAAGGGATAGTAGTTCATTGGTGGCATGCATGAAGGCTTTTTTAAATTAATAGCAAAATTAGCTTATTACTGTACATACACATTTTCTGTTGGAAAAACTATATGTGAATATTCTGTATAATTTGTATCATGAATATAGAATGTGTAAGCAACTGAACCTTGTCTGCATTGATAGTTTCCACTTCAGGTGGAACCCTAACCTCGTCATCCGATACTTCATTGATCTGTAGTTAATAATAATAAGAAATATTAGCTTTTTCAGTAATATCTTATATTTATATTTCAATCAACATATATTTTATTTATTATTAAATTATGTTGTGTATGTACATGTGTATACTTACAAATCCATATTTTTATGCCCATCAGGGTTGCAGACAAGCTGGTGATTTTTAAATTCACCATATGTGAAGCTAGTGCTGCATTTGATACAATTGATAACTGGACCAACATCCTAAAAAAATATTTAAACATTACCAATTAATTTTACTAATTACATGCAAGAGGCAAATGTTATATCAGTGACTATAAAAGCTTGACAATCTGAATCACAGTTTCCATACAATGATTATACTTACAGTAGGTGAGAAGTGCACATTAATTGTCAAATTTTGTGGTGTGTAAGAAACACAAGAATCAATAAGGGTTGGGAAGCCTATATATTTACTAATTTGAAAATACTATCCTTGTCACAGTTAAGCATGTTGAGTAATTAAATCCAGAGTAACTTTAATAAATAGAAATAATTACCTTAGTATGCAATAATAAAATCGTGTAAGTTGAAAATAATTAGTAAAACTAATATGTCCAAAAGCACTAATAAAACTAAAATCTGAACTCACATCATATTTCACTTCAGTTTCATCCAAATCAATTTGTAGTGGACGGAAATAGGCTACGGCCTGGCCCAACCTTTCTTTGAGATATGATACAGAATATCCTTCTCTGCTTGGTGGGATAAGACTGAGTACCCTTTGTCCTCCACCACCTCCAACAGCTCTCAAAACTTCAAACCCTCCCGATCCTTTCATCTTTGGAAACTTTTCTTCCATGAATTTTTGTAGTTCTTCATGAGATGCATTCTTGTTAGGAAAAACGACTTTCATTTTGCCAAGCCCAGCTGCCATAAGGGAGTCAAGTCGGTGTCTGTCTGGTGTTAAACTCTCATTACACCTGCCTAGAATACATATGTCATGGGTCCAAGTCTCTGCTGGCTGGAATCGCAGTGGAACATAACCTTTTATTGATCCTTTTGTTTTTTTCACTGGTGGCTGTAAGTTGCCAGAAGGTAATGGGCGTGTGACGTTTCTAGAACACATTCCTGGAAATGCCCTTCTAAAATTGAAATGAATATATATAATCACTACAAGATTTCAATCACTATTTTTGGGTGAAAGAATTTTTTTAATTAAAATTCAAAATTTCACACGAATCTGTTGCTATGACAATATAAAGTATAAACCATTATGACAAATCAGTTGACAACACCAAGTCGTCAACCTTCTAAATACTATGGTCTATGGTAGTGTAGCATTCAAGATCGTATGCACATTCGTACTCTTTTTCATACCTGAAATCGTCTGAGGCACTTCGACCTTGCCCTGAAACAGAGGAGGCACTTCGTCTTTGGACTCCTTGCTGCAAAGATTGCCCCGATGGCGATGCCGAAAAAGTAGAAGCGCTTGGTCCTTGTTCCGAGAACGAGGAACTCGTTTCTGAGACATTTCCAGTTTCCAATTGGCACAATGCAGTTCTTAATAAATTGCTGGTTCTTGTTAATAGATCACGATTATTAGAAGATGAATTATTCATTTTTTCTGTACTTTCGTTTTTGTTCAACCTTTTGCTCTGTAGACTCTAATGTAAAACAGCAGTGTGACAGCGGTCCTTACACGAAGTCTCATGTAGCAACCGCTGACCCGATTAAACTATGTCCGCCGGCTCGAGCTAGTAGAAGGAACGGCCGCTGACCCGATGACATGAGTCCGCCGGCTCAAACCGAAGGCAGAAAGTGTACGAACAAATGGCGTGTAACTTACACGCGAACAACGTCGAGAATAAAAGCTGATACGAACGAATAGCATGTGGCATGAACGAACGGCATGCAATGTACAAGCGAATGTCATTTTTGTCCTAAATGCCCCTCCATAAACATATAAACCATATTCTGGTATATTCTAACCACTGTTTAGTACCTTTGAATATTTCTACCAAATACTTTCAAACTTAGGATTTGCCGTTTTCCAACAGTGATCATAAAAAAAATGACAGTGTAAACCTGCCAAAAAAAGACAGATTTCCATCAAATTTCAATTGCTTCAAGGCTTCGCCGTTCTCATCTTTGTTCCACAGATTTTTAGGCTTCCCCTCAATGTTGTTATAACTTATAACTGCGCAATACAGAAGATTCTAGTGTATCTTCAGGTGTTTGCTCTTGCTAGGAGAGGAATGTGCTGAGAAGACAAATAGTCGCTGAAGAACTACAGGAGAAATGCTTTCATTTTCTTGCTTTCCGACGGTGTAAATTATCCAACAATATGCCAATTTTTTTCTAGAAAAGTTCCTTGCAGTTGTTGAATTTGTAAAAACTTTCTCCAAACGCAAAAAGTTGCCAAAAAATAATAACCGAGCACAAACCGTAGAAACCTAATTTGTTCTCGTGAGTCAGGTAATTTTTGTTGAAATCATTTGCCTCCCGCACAGCTCCGAAATTTAGGTCCGTACGAATGAGCTATGCCTTGCTATAGTTCTCCCTGACATGTGCTTGTCTGACTGCGTTCCATATTCAATAAGTGAGTGAGAGGGTACATCTGTGAACATTTGTGAACAATAGTGTCATTTATATAGGGACATTGGTGGATTGTCCAGCAAACTGGCAACATGACTGGCAATGTCCTTGATGTCGTTCAGTTCCGTTGTCCATCTGATTTTGCGGGCTGCAAGCAGGCTATGATCTTCCCATCCGCTCAGGCTGTAAAGGAAACCAGTCGTTTCCTGTGAGCACAGAGCCTGGAAACGATGTTGCAAAACAAGGTCAATGACGACGCATAATCTCCGTCAGGTAGTCCGTCATTAAATATAAAGTCAATCGCCAATTCAGCGTCGCTTATACCATATACAGCTTGTGGAGAGGAGAGTTCCAGGCGAAACAACCAAATTTGGTGTTAGCGAGATACATTTTTTCACTCGCTTCCAGAGTGATATATCAATCTTGTCGGTTGGCAGGGTCGATCGTCGATTCTTTGCGCTTTTGATTTCGCTTCGTTCACTGACGATTTCGGAAAACTTTGTGTCGAGATCACGATGGTCAAGCGTGGGTGATTGCCGCATTAAATATGCACACTCATTAAATATCGATTATCATAAACGAGCCCACGGGTGGCTGAGCATCAGGCAGTGAGTGAGTGTTAATTTGCTTTGCCGTGAAAATGTCGAAAACTGAAGGTAAGATTAAATATATACCGCATTTTCATTTCACCCAAACAACGAGTTGCGACTTGCTACATTGTAGCGAACCGGATAATGGATGCTTTGAAATTTTCATTAGTTTTAACGTATCGATGTATATCTGAGGTTTAATTAACGCTGTACGGCATAACACAGTCGTGTGGTTCTAGAGTCAGGTCACGAAAGGCCGCATAAAAAGGATGATAGATATTTTGCTTGATGAATTAATTACTAACTAGAATTGATACATTCTAGGTCCTCCGCCCGTCCAGCCGAGGCCCTCTGTGGCAAAGCGACCTAGCTTTAATACAGGTTCTGCGCCACAGATGCAACCGAGGGAGGCCAGACCGAAGCAGGTAGCGTACCGTATTTCATGTTTAACTTAACAAATTAACGCTTCTTTTATAATCCGTGTCTGACAGAATCAAAACAAACTAAAGAGTTGATCGATTTCCAAAGCTTGCTGTGGTTTGTTTATGTTTAAAGTTTACGACTAACAGCGATTTGTTTGGGAGAAAATTGAACTCAAATCAACCCGATATTGATTCAGTGTTTTTCCTCGCCAAATATACTCGGAAGTCGAGTATGTCACATGCAGACGACAGTTTATACATACATTAATGTGTTTATTTTCTTAAAACACTCGGTGTTTTTATAAGACTACAGTTGATGTTCTTTAATACGTTAATGGTGTAAATCTTTCAGTTTTCCCAAACGTCGATCAAGCGATGTTTGTAAAATAAATCTTAAGGTATTAAAACTTGTAATTGCACAAAGTACGGTTCAAACAAACCACTTTTAGGTTGTTTAAACACGAGATCATTGTGGCTGATTTGAATGAATTGGTTGCTTGTTTTGACATGATGTTTAAAACGCTTGAAGATCTTAAATTATTTAGTATTAGGACAGCGAAAGACTGATACAACAATTGCAAATTCAAATCATTTTCATATCGCTCAAACATCATCACAAAATTCGCCAAAACAAACTTTCCTTTTTGGAAACGTTCGGATACCGAAATTTCGATTTAAAAACTAGCAGGGACACAAACACACCGTTTCCGCTTGATCCAAACAACTGAAGGAGTTTAATTGAATGAAGTTTTCAAAGATTAGGTCAAGAACAGTGTGGAATTTCATGATTAAATTACATAACATGTAACTAAAAGTAGAGCACTTGATAATTTCCCTCGATGTGGAACTCAAGACAAACTTAGACTGTAAATTTAGACACTCTCAGCCTGCTAATTTTACGTCAACCCAAATTCCTGCGAGATATCTGATTGCAAAGCCATCGCCAAAGCCGGAGATAACATTTTTGGCGTTCTGATTTGTGTGAAACAGTTGCCGCTCGCACATTGTCGCAATAGGGGGGAAAGAGTAATTACTTGATTATATACAGTGTCCTTGTTCCAAGACATAAAGCACAGCTATTATATACATTCAATGCAAGCTCGCCAGAAACGGAAATGAAGTTATCTGCCCAGGCGTGTATATATTAGTTGCATGTATCCAACACGATTCGTCATTCGTCGTCAATCATCACGCTGATAATAGCTGACCCAGTTCGATTCTAATCTTCTACTGATGTGTCATAACAAAATACGATATGAAAGGCTGTTTATTCTTGAAGCCGTACTTGAAGCACATCGAGTTTGCCAAGTTTTTTACCCAGTGTAGTTTTTTTTATAAGACAGAAGATCTTTATTTGCAATGTTTTTCAATAAAGAGTAGCAGAATATATAGCGACGGTTCGACCTCAAGAACTTTCTTATTGTAAACATCGATATTTTCCTCGCTACTAGATATTCCACGCGTTGTTGACGAGAAATGTTTCCAAAACAGCTGGAACGTCTTAAATGCTCGTGTTATAAGCAGAAAAAAAAAGGAAACCTGTAATATTGATTTTTTCATATTGATTTCTTCTCATTTATTCTGCAGGAGACTCCATATCTTGGCTTTGCCAATCTTCCCAATCAAGTTCACAGGAAGTCCGTAAAGAAAGGATTCGAGTTCACGTTAATGATAATAGGTATGAAAGAGCTTTGAGTCTTGAAATCAAATGTTCTTGTCTGGATACTAAATTTATCATAGAACCACGATAAAACTGATCACTAAGTGATCAGTGCTGACTCTTCGGAACTTTTCAGGAATCATCCAAAATTGATTCGTCTAAAATATACGAATTTGTCCGTGCAGAAATTTATCCGAAATCGTTGAGTTTATATTAGAAGTAGTAGAGGTAATCTAAACTTGAGCTTGAGAGGTTTTGTGCCGGAATAGGAAGTAATCATAGGCCATGGCTGTCAGCATGCAGAGAGGCTTAACTCTCTACTTCAAAACAAGCCCATCCGTCAAACGGATGTGACGTGTTACCAGGATTGAGAATCGCCCTTTTCTAAAGGATATTATCTTTCTTGAAATTTTTTATTTTTTTCCCACCGTAGGTGAGTCGGGCCTTGGAAAATCAACTTTGGTACACAGTCTTTTTATGACAGATCTTTACGAATCGCGACACAAACCCAGCGCTTCAGGTTGGTAAATTTATACTAATTATAATCATCGATGTAATAGGACTGCAGTGTACATGAAACAAGAAATGTGGAAATTACTTGATGATTTGCCAATGAACTCGAGTGCGTTTTTGCAAGGCGTGTTTTTGCAATTAAAGTGCATGCAATATTTCATATTATCTAGAAATGCTGAAGCGAACAATTCAAATCGATACGCACAAAGTAGACATTGAAGAGAAGGGAATAAGACTGAAGCTGACGGTCGTTGATACTCCAGGTTATGGAGATGCAATCGACAATAGTAAATGGTAGGAACTTGTGGGTGTTGAACGTTCAATGAACGAGTTCTTTTGAAGAGCATTTATTTATATGTAAAACTGATCTCAAGTTTTTCCCACGCTAAGGATGGATTTGGATAAGGCAAAAGTTACTTTCTTCACTCCAGCAATTCATTTAGTAAATCAAGTATATATTTCTTTTTTCGTAGTTGGGAACCGATCGTTAATTTTGTCGACCAGCAGTACGACAACTTCTTTCAAGACGAGTCCGGACTGAATCGTAAAAACATGTCAGACAGTCGAGTTCACTGCGTTCTACACTTCATCAATCCACAAGGTCATGGGTACGTTTGCCCGGAATAAAATTTTGTAAATAAAATTGTCAATACATATAGAAATGAAGAAATACTTAACGTAAATTAAAGTAAACGGCAACGTAGTTATGATAAATATTGCTCTCGGAAACGTGATCATTTTTTAAATTGTTTCTTTATGTAGATTAAAACCTCTGGATATTCAGGTAATGAAAGCACTCCATCACAAAGTCAACATAGTTCCTGTCATCGCTAAAGCGGACACGTTGACCCTCAACGAAGTTAAATCACTCAAACAAAAGGTATTCGAAAGAACATGATCTCTGTCTTCGCTTGAAAGTATTCCTTTATAGGGTGGCCAGAAGCCCAGGGCCAGAGAGAAGGGTGGGGCAACCTTCTCCCCCACTTTTCTAGAAGAGCATGTTACTCATGCACGAGCAGAAACATCCTGAGGGATCTCAAGTTGTACCATCAGGTTTCCAAGGACTATACCCCTCCACCCATTACATGTTACAACTCAAAAGCTCTCCTCCCCCCTCTAACCCCCCCTCCCCATACACGGGTAGAGGATGCAGAAACAAATGCTTGGATAGTAAACACCACTTATCTTTCTTAAAAAGTTGAATTGCTCAGCCTATTTTTTTAGATCTTAGATGAAATCGACGACCATCAAATCAACATATATAGTTTCCCCGATTGCGACAGCGATGATGACGAAACATTCTTGGCGCTTAATGCTGATCTCAAGGTTGGTTTCACTGGATAAACATTATGACGTCATTTCTTTATTTTGCTCTTTAAGACTACGAAATCATGTACACGATTGCAAGCTTTTCTCCATCAAAATCTGGCTTTGTAGCGAATCTAAAGTCCTCTAATGCTTTGGTAAAGAGAATGTACTTCCCCGTAATAGATCTCAGCAGCTGCAAATATGGTTTGTAGAGTTACTGTATTGATTATATTCCGGCAGGCTAGCGCACCGTTTGCGGTGGTTGGAAGTAATACAATCATAGACGTAAAGGGGAAGAAAGTCCGAGGACGAACATACCCATGGGGAGTTATAGATGGTGGGTACAAAATCCTCTATTGGGATGATACGTTAGAAATGATCAGGATTGATTGTTTTGAGATGATCCTAACCGAAATATCTTTCATTTAGTCGAAAATCCTGATCACTCCGATTTCACGAAATTACGAAATATGTTGATCAGGTGAGTTAGCTCTACGGCTCGTTTGAGGAAAGATTCAGGGGACAAACTCCAAAAGAACATCTTAAAATCCTCGATCAAAGTTTTTCGAGGATGATGCAAAGTATCTTTTCTTATTCAGAACTCATATGCAGGATCTTAAAGATGTCACTCAAGATGTCCACTACGAAAACTATCGCAGCGCAAGAATCGCAAATGGTGGCGACGTATCGCCGACACTAGATATGTAAGTACCAGAGGAACATGCGCAGACTAACTGTTTCACCACTTCTTACGTCACAAAGACACTGAGAATGAGAGTATTTGAGAACGAGTCCTAAAATCAACACGGATTCGACTATAATCGTGTGGTGATCTACACCTGAAAGAGCTGTGAGGCTAATTCGTGTTTCTCTTGTGTTCAGTACGAATAGTAGCGGTAGTGATGTGGATGTTTCACTTTCTGAGAAAGATAAGCAACTCAAGGAGAAAGAGGCTGAGGTTTGTATATATTTGCACTTAGTGAAATGGAATATCTCGCAAAATATGGAACATGCATTATTAACCTTTAAATTAGAAGATGGTGTAGGGGACTTAACGATGCTTTTTCCTCATTTGCTATGCATCAGTGAAAAACATTGGTTTTTTTCTGGGGAGCAAAGTGTTTCCGATCACACCCAGAAACATTCATTTTTCACAAGAGTGCGTGTGATTTATGTAGCGGAAACATTGTTCCTGAAACACTATTGTTTCCCGGGGAGCAAAGTGTTTTTCCTATTAACACCCAAAACATTCATTTTCACAAGCGTGATTTATGTAGTGGAAACATTGCCCTGTTGTCGACAGTGAGCTCCACATATATCTGGAGTAAGAACTTTGGGTTCAAAATATGTAAATATACAGATATATACAGATATATGTGGAGCTCACTTGTTGTCGATTACTCTTCCCAAACACACTGCCTTGTAATTATCGGGCCATCTGTGGTCCAAGTGAAAATGTGCTTGCGTTGAAACATTCATAAGCATATATATTATTTACTGGCCGAGCTCTAGTCTTTCTCACTAAACAAGTTTCCTAGTGTTTGTTCACGGTTCAACTTTGCCCGGAAAACAGCAAAACATTGGGCTTCAAAAATTCACTCTTATTTCTCTCATTCCAGTTGCTTCGTATGCAAGAGATGATTGCCAAAATGCAGGAGGAAATGAAACGACAAAAGGAGGGAAATTAGTCAAGTTTTAATCGTGCGTTCTCATACAAATACCACTGACAACAACAGTTGCTCGTAAACTTTACTCGTTACAACTGTAAAAAAAAGAGCTCGCAAGCTCAGGAATCGAACTTGCCAGTAGTTATTCCATCGCCTGGCTGTCGTATTTATGAACCGACGAGCCATTGAAGAAATATATAAGGACTTAAGGAAAACAGTTGCATCTTATTTACTAGGGATAATTTTGCACAATATTTTGTAGTTGTAAATTTTTTATATTACGTTTGGAGAAAATATTGCCGAATATATCAGTTAAATAATGAGGTGCTTCGTTTGTTGTTGCTATTGAGCAACTGCATGCAATGTACGTAATGTCAGTTGTATTCAAGAAGATGCTGCAAAGCTGTTTGGCGGCAAAAGTACACTGGTTTTTTCCAACCCTTGTTATCTTGTTGACCACGGCAAGTCTGTTTTCTGACCCTTCAGACTTCACATTTACAAAACCGCTCCAGCTTTTCTTAAAAGCATTTCCATTTTTTTTTTGAGAAAACCACTTCACTCAAGCTAAAAACATTTCTATTTTTTTAAAGGTCGCTCCACTCCACTGCTCTTGCATGGAGATAAAACCGATGCCTTTAATCAATTAATACAAAACAAGACATAATTCAAAGATTAACATCTTGAAACAAAATATATTTTTAAGCAGGAGAAGATGAATTTCGTGATATTTCGATTTTATTACAAAATCATCACAAAATTGAAATATTACTAAATCTTTCTTGTTTAGTTTTCAACCTAAATTTTGGGTTTCAAAATGTTAATCTTCGGATTGTTTTTTGTAAGTTCTAAAATTGGTATTGGGTTGTGGTCTAAATCGATTGAATCATCATTTCAGGTCTAAAAACCCGCTAAAATGAAAGAAACGTTCGCTCGATTTCGACGTTTCTAACGTATGTTTTATAAGAAAGAAAAACATCGGCTACTTTTTCGAAGAAGTATATTTCCAGCCAATCACCTTTCGAGAAACATAGCCAATCGTAAAGGCGGATTTTTAGCCAAAAATTAGCCAAATTTTGGCCGACTTTTGCCTACTCTTTGAGACGCATTTGGTACTAGAGATCTGAGCATGCGCAGTTGATCCACCGAAGAAATTTGTAAACAATCCAGGATTGAACAACTCAGTAACTTCAAAATGGCATCAAACAACAAGGGAGTTTCTTTCGAGACTTTGGCCAAATTTAAGTCGGATTTCACGTCGGACAAGAAGAATCTCTTGGCGCAAAATGTTTGTGCGAGATACGACACGTTTGAAGTGTGTTTGGGTCGAAGCGCTGCCAGGGGAATTCATCATGTTTATAATTGCAAGGTTTGACATTTTGGGTGTTTAATTTCCTTTGTTGTTCATCGCAGTAAAAGTACAGGAAAGAAGCTCTTACAGCGGCCGTAAGCTTGTTCTGAATTGCTGTTATTTGTTCTGTTTTTCTGTAATGGTTTCCGATTTGTCAACAAATGCCGCTATGAGGGGTTATGTTTCATGTTTTTGCAATTATTAATGGAACTATAAAGTTATCTAATAAAATAGCGGAAATTATCTAAAATGTTATCTATATGAAATAACGAAACTAAGTTCATTATATGTGCGTATCGATCGGAAGCCATCGAAAAAAAAACTACTCAATAATAATATGACATAGATATTGGATTAGGATGTGTTGAAGTTTTAATACTCTAGGCTGAAATATTAAATATATCAAGTGAATGGACTTTGTACAGTATATAATTTGGTCAATTTGGTAAAGACCTCAAAACTATGTTTATATATGAATATCTGTATTAAAGGTCAACCCTGAAGTAAAACCAGTAACCAATCAGAAGTCATCTGGGAGGTGCTGGATTTTTGCCCTTCTCAATGCAGTTCGCCAGCAGTTTGTTCGAAGAAAGAATATCGAGAGTTTCGAGTTTAGTCAAACATTCCTATTTTTCTGGGACAAAATCGAGCGAGCCAACTACCTCCTTAACGCTTACGAAGAGGTTGCACGGACGGATGGCGCAGATAGTCGTACAATGATGTTCCTGATGACCGACCCATCATGTGATGGTGGCCAGTGGCATATGTTGGTGAATTTGGTTACAAAATATGGATTGGTGCCGAAGTCAGCATGGCCAGATGTGCATAGTGCAACTAGTTCTCGCCGCATGAATTCTATAATTAACACCAAGGTAGATTAGTATGATTGTTACAAGAGTGGTAATATTGATGACGGCAGTGTTAATATTGGTATTGATGATACTGGTGACATTGATTATGATAATTTATGATAGTACTGATGATGATAGTAATGATCATGATCATGGCAGTATTGGTGATGATCTTATCAATATTGATATTGATATGTTATCAATAATGATATTGATATAATGATAATAGTTATTGATAATGTTGGGATGATGATGATTGTATTTTTGATGATCTAACAGTGTTTACATTGATTATTGGATTGATGAGAATGATCAGTATTGATCGTGATCATGGCAGTATTGGTGATGATATTATCAATAATGATATTGAAATAATAATGATAGTTATTGATGATGTTGGGGACCAATGATTATGGCATTACCCTATACTAATGACGATAATGATATTGGTAATATTGATGATAAAGGCATTGATGATATTTGTATTGCTGATGATAGAAATGATCACCTTTATTCATTCTTTTTTAAAATCCAGATGAGGTCATTTGCAAAGCGAATTGTGGATTTAGTAAAAGATGAAGTCAGCGAAGACGAGATGAAGAAAGCAAAAGAAGAAATGCTCTCTGAGGTGCGTTCAGAAAGTTAACTAAAATACCAGCCAAATACCAGCCAAATGTTGGTACTATTGGAGAGATCTTTCTTCTGGTTAGTACTGCCGTAAAAGCAGTCATTTCCCTCTAGTGAAGCATCGAAATTTTCCGGTATTTTTTCTCCCAATTTTTTTGGCGGTGTCTCAGAGGGAAGGTCATTCAATACCCACGAAAACATGGGGTAGTCATCTCTGGTCAAGAAAAAACTTTCATTTTTTGTACCCTATTAGATTTATGGCTTAGTATCAGTCTGTCTTGGAACACCACCAGACACATTCCAATGGGAATACTATGAAAATTCCAAGAAATACTGTAAGATTGATAAGATTACACCTCTGGAATTCTATGAAAAACATGTCAAGCCTGTTTATGATATGGAAAGTAAGGTACATATGATGATGGATCATGGGTGTATTTAACAATGATAATCAGAAAACTGTAGGAGGCAGTTGTATAAAAGGCTAACTTTTAACTGTAGTTAAATACAGAATTGGCCAATTAGGGTCGTGTATTTCTGAGTTAACTAGGATTTAACTATGCAAAATGTAGTTGAGTTTTATACAACTTGTATTACGTTCATTCTTGCTTCATTCTATATAGATAATAGATTTGTTTGCTAAAAACCGTATAATAATTCAGTAGTGTTATTGTGCCAATCTCAACACTGAATCTAGGTCACACGCAAAACATTTATTTCCTTGCTTAGGTTTGTTTAGTGAATGACCCCAGACCAAACAACGTCTACAATAAACTGTACAGCGTGAAGTATCTGGGCAACATGACAGGACAACAGACGGTCTACCTGAATCAGCCCGTAGAAGTGTTGAAGTACCTGACTGTTGCTTCTGTCAAGTCGAACGAGGTAGAAAATAGTTAAATGGCCTGCTTCAGACGTCGAACGTTTCACGTCCCGAACTTAACATAATATGAGTTTGTTTGAGTTCATTTGCATTTAATTCGGCACATGAAAAGTTGAACGAAACAACATCGTTTTTTCTGTATTATTTTGCTAATTATTACTTTCTTTGCCTAAGGTGGTTTGGTTTGGTTGTGACGTTGGAAAGCATTTCGATAGAAAACAAGGACTTTTAAGTTTAGACATGTGAGTAGATCAGTGGATGTTTACAATTCATTGCATGAGGAGCTAGCGATTTTGTTGTCTGGTTGACTGCCCGGAGCAATCTTTCAAAAGGTCTGATTTTTGATTTTGGATTTGACCTACTTTTTTAGCCACGAATTTGAGCTGACATTCAACTTGACCTTGCCGGCGCTGAATAAGGCTGATCGACTTTTGTTTGGGGAATCTCTGATGACCCACGCGATGGCCATCTCTGCTGTTAAAGTTGAGGTAAGATTGATCATTGATGAGGTCATTTCAATGATGCGATCGTTATGAGGTGAGGGTAATAAAGGAATTGTGAGGAACTGAGAGTGATGAGTCGTGGTAAGGTGGGGGCGATGAGGTGATAATGACGAGGGGATTATGATGAACTGAGAGTGATGAAGTGACGAGGTAATCGTGGTAAGATGGGGGGGATGAGGTGAGGGTGATAAATGGATTATGATGAACTGAGAGTGATGAAGTTACGAGGTAATCGTGGTAAGATGGGGGTGATAAGGTGATGGTGATTATGATGAACGAAGAGTGATGAAATGATGAAGTAATCGTGGTGAGGTGAGGGTTGTAAAATGACAGTAGCAGTGGTGGTAGTAAGGTTAGGGTGATGATGTGGCGGTAAGGTTGATATAGTGATAAGGTGTGGGTGATAAGGTGAGGGTGATATAGTGAAGAGGTGAGGGTGGTGTGGGTGATGAGGTGAGGGTGATATAGTGAACAAGTTAATAGTGATGAAATGACGGTGATGAAGTAGTAGTGATATTCACTTTCACCTTAAGGAACTGGAGAAGAAAGAGCCACGACGAAAGACGAAATCAACAGAAGATTCGAAATCGACGGGAGATTCGAAATCGACGGACGATTCAACAAAAGAAAGCAAAGTTGAACAAAAAGAAGCGAGTGAGCCAAAGGAAATTGACAAGAAAGTTTCCCTTGTTCCAGTCACGACAACAAAATGGCGTGTCGAGAATTCCTGGGGCGATGATAAAGGAGACAAAGGCTATCTCATGATGACCGATGAATGGTATGCTGGATGGATATGTTTCATATCGTATCATTGATAACAGTGATAACGCATTATTTTGCGTTTTAGGTTCTCCGAATTTGTCTACGAGGTCGTTGTCGACAAAAAGTTTGTGCCGGAGGAGATTTTGGATGTGCTGAAACAGGAGCCAATCGTATTACCCCCCTGGGATCCTATGGGAGCGCTTGCATGCCGGGAATGTGGAAATTAAACATTTACAATTACTTTGAATAATGAATAATGAAACAGTTACTTAATCTAGATAATCATATTGCAATTATAACGATTTGTTTAATTTTAATAGCGTTTTGAAAATTGCATGTGTAGAATTATTTCCTGACTATTTTGTACACTCAAAATTTTCATGATGTTTTCAAACAAGGAATTCAGGGGTGTTTAGAAAAAGCTGTCGTGGTTTGTGTCATAACTATCTGAAAAAGAGATCTCAATGTAGTGGTTTTAACATATTGTACTTTATTAAATGTAAAATAATCTAAAGACCTCACTTGCGTTATTTTCTTTTATTGTTGAGGGAGACACGTCATTAATTAAAATCGCCTTGAATATATGTGCAAAATATCCTAGGATTTAACAAGATCTCGACGAAAGCTCATAATGGCTTATAGAGATTAAGTTTACCTTTAAAACGGTCCGCTATTGGCTGGCCAACAAAGTTACAAGACAAACAGCTTGTCAAAATGAACTTAACTATAGTTTAATCGCTTTTCAATGCTTAAGTTTCATTGTTGAATATTTAAGCTAGAACAATTAGTTACTAAAGAGACGGAACTTTATTTGGAAATACGCATGGAAATGGTGTAATTTTTTCACGTCTGGTTCAGCCTACGAAATCATTTCTGGCCGTTTCACAGAGAGGATTCATATTGAATTGCACAACTGTATTTTTGTGGAATGTGACCTGGGGAACAGCTGCCTCAGTGGGTTTTTTACAAGATTGCAGGTGTTTTTAGGGCTTGTCGGAAATTGGCAGACTTAGAAACAGTGCCTGTGTTTATGTTGATAGGATTAGAGTGGGTCTGATAAATAAACTGAGGCAGAGGAAAGGTTAACATACGATCAATTCAACCGGCCGCCTTGGACGAATCAATTATCATCGGGAAAGTTATACTTACTACATATGAACTCAGCCTAATTGCTGCGGTATTAGTTTAATAATAAAGGACGAATTAGACTTGGTGAGTATCATTAGGGTATGTGTATGAAGTAATGTATTTGCGTGATTGTCAGACAATCACAAAACAAATTATTTTCTGACTATTCCATTTTAGTATAAACTGACTAATAGGCTATCACTTTTCCTGCGTTCTGATTGGCTACGCTACTGGTAGGCTATTAGTGATAGCCTACTAGTAGCAAAATTCAAAACAATGGCGGAAAATTCGCGTTTCGCCGAAGTATCTGAAGATTTTTTGGACGACTTGTTGGACAATTCCGTACCAGAAAAAACAAAAAAAGCAACAAAATACGGAATTGCAATTTTTAAGGGTAAGAAAATACATAAAAATAACGTATACTCAATTGAATTTTTATATTTAAACTGAATTTTAAAACATTTTACGCGAACAACAATTAAAATATTTTCTTCCTTTAATATACGAAATAAATTTCAGAATGGTTTGCAAGCCAACAAGAATTTTATATTGTGTTTCCTAGTTGTAAATTAATGTTATAGTTTATACTAAAACAATTAGACAACTCGGCCTCGTTGTCTATGAGCAAATAGTCAACTCGGCTTCGCCTCGTTGACTATTCGCTCATAGACAACTCGGACTCGTTGTCTAATTGTTAAATGGCTACTATGATGTGCGAATGATTTTGTTACCATCTGTTTAAGATGAAAGTGTGTAAGTTACCACAGGTTAAAACCGTGGACAGAAGGCATGCGGAAATGAAATCGATTATAGAGTTTATACAAGTGACTTCTAGTCTCCTACACAAGACAAACAACCCTTCGACCCTGTTCATTTCATACTGTCAGATCGCCTGTAAGAAACTATCGGTTGAATACGTGATGACTCGTGATATACTTTAGCTGTAACTTTCTGGAAAAAGATTCAGACAGCGCTGAATTGGCTGAAACTATTCAGGTTTACATTGCAATGACGTTTCATGCAGTGCCCTAGCTTGCAATATTCATACGTCGCAGTTTAGTTGATTAATAATGACAATCGCCGGTTATTAACGGGGTTAGCTGAACTGCATGTATTGTAAAAACTGTCTTCTTGACCTTAAGCTATTTCACTTCAGGACAAAAACTATAGCGAAGACTTCGTAAACTTTTACTATATAGAATCTAACCATAGCACTTTGGCACAGGAGATTTTTGAAATACACCACAAGAAATGTTTAAACAGTTAGTTTTTTGCCTGACTTCACTTGTTCAAATGCAACTCATAAAATACGATAATTTGGTGAACATTATTTCTCGTCAGACCTTTCTGAAATTCATCTCCAGTGATAAGATTTGGTTTATATATACAACAACCGTTTAGGTCTCAATTTCTTCCCGATCGAGATTGATGACCGTTGATTTGATTTCTAGACGGACCGAATGGAGGAAGAGAAAAATAGATGCGAGTCTAGTAATGGAAGTGAAGCCAGACCTAATACTCCATTTATGGATCCTTTTGCAAAACTCAACATACTGGAGGATGACAGTGGATACACGAGTACAACTAAGAACCAGTCTGTCCATCCGATACGGATTCCAAAGGACAAAGCAACGAAACCACAATGGTTCCACAAGTACAGTAGTTTCGCAAGGCGAAAGACTTTGCCAAATTTGCCCTCGTTGGAGGAAGAACAGGATTTTATTGAAAAAGATGTAGAGGATGAAATGGCGACGGTAAAGAATGGACGAAAATGTGATCGAAAATCCGATCGTTTTAAAAAGCTTAGGTTTTCTTCATGGAAAACTAATCAAGGCGAACCCAATCCTCCGAAAGAAAACACAAACTGTTGCAGAAATGAAGTCTCACTGCCAAAGATAGACACTTATTGCATATCGTACGCTCGACCATCGACAAACCATGGTTTTGCATACGCCGTTAGCTCGACAGAGCTGTTAAACGGCAAAAATACGATCCAAAAAAGAGCAAAACAAAAAAAAGCTAAGTTTAGAAGCAAAATATCAACGCCCGAGAACGGTCTGTCGCGTCAAGGCAGCGTGTACTTGCTTTTTCGGGCGCCGTCACGGGCATGCGGGCTAAACATTCCAGATTTCAAAGTGCGCTCGAAGGAACTGCATCACGTAAAAGACGCGAAGCGACGAAAGACTGGAGCGGGAAAGAACGCTGAGCCAATAAACATCGTGAGACTACCAGACATTAAACAAGACGTATGGAAGCAGATATAAGCCGAATTCATATTAGAGACGGGAAACCCTTCTTAGACGAGAAACTCATCGAAGACGGGAAACTCGTCTGATGTGGATCCGGTCACAGACGGGTTTCTCGTCCGAGCTTTCCCTTCAAAAGTTCTGTTCACACGATCCAATTTCATTGGATCGAATTCACTTCTGACGTATGAAGTACAATCAGTTATTGATAAAGCAGCACTGCACTGGCTTGAGTGGATTTGCTGCTCGTATACATTACAAGACAACAGACTATAAAACATCCATCAGAAGTGAATTGGATCAAACAAAATTGGATCGTGTGAACAGACCTTAACTTTCCTGCCCAACAGACGGGTAAGTTGGACGAGAATCCCATTTCGGGACGAGAAACTCGTCTTCAATTCGCATTTTGACGGATAAGTCAAACGAATTTCTGAAATATCAACACGATCAAGGACGGAATAACGTTTTAATTTTTTATTCGTCCTAACCGATAAGAAAGATACGAATCAGCACCCTGCTGATAGACTGATTAGTAAAAAAGAGCATTTTGAAAATAACAACCATCTGATTATTCATGGCATTAACTACTTAACGCCTTCATAGCAGATGTCTAATTTTTTTGAAGTTATTTCAAGTTTCTTTTTGTAGTAGCACTGGATCAACAAGAGATGATCCTTACTGGACCTCAGGAAGAACAGTTTAGAACTGATAGAGATATTTAGTATACTGAATAAAGTTAGTTTAGTTTAGGTTTCCTCCTGTAGTAACACTGGATCAGTAAGAGATGATCCTTACTGGACCTCTGGGAAGAACAGTTTAAAACTGAAGTTAATATAAACTAAGTTAGTTTAGTCCAGTATAAACTAAAGTTAGTTTAGTTTAGGTTTCCTGCTGTAGTAACACTGGATCAATATGAGATGATCCTTACTGGACCTCTAGGAGATAATGCAGCAAAATCCAGTATAAATAAAGATAGTTTAGTCTAGGTTTCATCCTGTGGTGACACTGGATGATCAGGATGGATAAGATATGATTTGTCATTACTCGGTTCGGTTCCTAACCGGACTTCGTTCGGTTTTTCACCGTGCTTTATCCCGTTTATTTCCAGTCAGGAAACATGGACGGGATATAATAATATTCTCAATATAATAACAATAAATCTTCCTATAATATCGCCGGAGCGTAGACTATGAACGTCATCTCAGCTGCGCGCGAACAAATTTTCTTTTCAAACAATATTAATAGCAGCACACATGCAGCGTTAAGATAAAAATAATGCAAATTATTGTTTACAATGAATATTTCATTGCTGCATTGCTATTTAATTATATTTCGCAAGCTAATTCATATTTGTTCCGCTGTTAATATGGCGAACGTCATCATTGAAATATACCTCTTAACATTTGGAAATTCTTTACAGAGAGAACCATTTTACAAGTTATTTAAAGTTGCATGAACTGTATATCAGGAAGTCGGTTTGCGGGGTTCAAGAGATGTCATATTTGCTCCTTAAACTTCTTGCTATTTATTCAGGCGCATCGTGAGAAGTTCGCCGATAATACAATTCATGGCATGAATATTTATTCGCATAGAAATGACAGGATTCGCAACAATTAAGCACACACTGACACACAACGCTCACGAGGGTCGGCATTTGAAGGATGGACATAGAAATAATTATATGACTTATGGTGGCATTATGGCAAGCATCTTTGTCAGCGTAACGTGAGGCTAAGCACTTATGCCTGGAAACGCGGAACAACGCGGAACAACAGTTGCCATTATAGTAGGCACTTTTATTATAGTACAGCACGAACTTTTAAAAGACATTCAACAGAATATAATCACCCTGAGGTAGGTACATTTACGAAATTTGTAACTTCATTAAACATATTGTGAACTTTGATACTTCAATGCCGCATATATTATAAATATTTCGAACTTAGTCTAGGAAATACTTAAAACCAAACATTGCACAATATTCCTGCTCAAATTGTACGACTCAGTTGGTTTACAAAACGCCAGTGGCCCAATACTAGTATCATTTGAGTTATCAGTGTTGAAGTTGGGACCTGCTAATCGCGATATGTCAAGTATTTCCATATTCAGACATGTTTGAACGAGAGATATATACATATATTGTACTCGTCATTTCATTATGAACTACTTCCCCTGGAGTTAGGCCGAAGCTAATTTCGAATGGCCCTTCGATGGGAATGTCTAAAAGCTACGAAATGCTACCGTAATAAGATATCAATTTAAACTCCTTCGACAGGATTCGAATTGTATAGAAAACTGATCGACAGGCATTGTGCTGACCATATTTACATAAAACCCCGAAAAATTTTAATTATAAAAAGTTGCATATCTCTCTCTCCGAAATGCATTTTCTTCGCGATGGGGTCGCGGGTGCGTTGTGGCCCCCTTCTAAAACCTGGTCTAACTGCCATAAGCCCATAGCGAGGCAGCATTTATGGCAGTATAATCTCAATTATCGCATGGTCATATATAAATACATGCATGAATATTAAGCATTGTCATTGTATACATGTTTCTGTTCACAATATGTCTCGTTTCTAAATGCATTTGGCCTGTCTGGCTAACGTCACAGGCATATTTCGGCACATACAAATCAAGTTAAAGGGTATTGGCAATAAATTTTTTTATTCTTGCGATCAATTAAGCATATCTATGGAATACTTAATTTCCTATTTTTACTTGTCCAGTGCGTTTATTTGCTCAGATATATCCGAAAGCATTTGACAGCCATCCGCCATCTTGAAAAAAAACTCATATGCTAATATATGCGAAAATAAATTTGTGACGTCAGGTGCAGGGGAGCAGATTTACAATAGTATGCGTGCAAGCGCATTCTAAGATGACTTTGACCAGAAACAACAGATAAACCAATTTTTTTCTTTCAATTGGATAAAAAACTAAGCGCTACTACCTTACTCTACGTATTAATGGTAAATTTAAAATAAACACGTTTATTTCGCCGTCGTAAAAGTGCTGATTATCATTATAGCTTTTACTATGTCAATTACGCCGGTTCGTCTAATTTGTACATTTCGTATACTGATCTCTACGCACACGACGATCAGGCAACCAATGTATATTTTCTCACTATTCACTAAACGTCTATTTATTTCGCTAGTGTCGAATTGAAGTCGAGATTTTAGCCGGCATCATCAAGGAACATTAGCATATCAGCTACATATATTTAAAGTGTCAACATTCTCAACTTGGTCAACCCAGATAAGATGACAATATTAGCCTCCACAGGGCTTGTTCATGTTGTCATTTAATGCGCACAACATACAATTTATTATTTTGGTACTCTACTAGTCTGTCTGAAAGTTTATTGTTTGTGCATCTTGTAGGGACAGCATTTTTCAGTATATACGCTACAAATTAAGTTATACAACTGGATACTTGGCCCTATGTAAACATGCAAAGAACATGACTCATATGAGGCATCTATCAGGTTGCTGTGTGGGAGTCAAAACTAACGCTAAATAGAAAGCAATGAAGATAATTTTAAAGATTCAGGCAAACTGTTCCACAATAAGCAAAAACAGAGTTAGATGAGATTGTTATAACCCATGGCCATGCAGCACTATTTTGTAGTTTTTGCAGTTTATCGCTCAACGATGCCATCCTAGACGGAGTAAAATGGGGAAAATGTGGCTCAATTGACACTTGATGCACTCTAGCTGCTAGCTGTATCTTATATATCTTTATTCCTATTTGCGTTAGAGCACTAATTCAGGATGTCACCAGTAAAACTGTTTATAAATTTCATCAATATGACCTTTTCCAAATCACGTTTTCGTAATTGTAAGACTAAAAGATTTAGATCTTGTAACTAACTTTTTCAAGTTGATTGTTGCTATTAACATGCAGTTTCATGATCATCAAATGTTGCAAGTCTTTAGCAAGAACCAATCATCACGGATACGGTTTACCGAAAATCGTATTCCAACGTTTTTTCGTGCCAACGTAATGATTCAATAGCATTCAGACTCTCCAAACACAAGCATCTTTAGCCTAAAATGCATGATCGACTTCCTCATCAGACGATTGACTATCATCTGAGTCACTCTACGCAATGATATTGCTTCGCTTCAAACCTGGTTCTGTTTCAAATTGATAGGGCAATACCTCTTCTACTTGTTTATCATGGTTATTTTTCATTTAAGTGATTGAAAAGCGCGAAATCCCTTACAAGAACTACGACATCGCGATTTGCGCGTATAAAATATATTTGTTGTTTTGATCTCCCCTGCACCTGACGTCACAAGGGTCAAGTTACCGAAAGATAATTTTTTTGAAAATCGGTCCAAGATGGCGGACGAATTGAATATTAATCATGAAATAACTCGAGAACAAAACAGTTTGGGTAAAAAATAATCACATATTCATAATCAGGAGGTCGAATATAACTGATAGCAAGAATAAAAAAATTTATTGCCAATACCCTTTAAACAACAGTTTCCGCTCAGCGAGTTCTTGTCACTTTCTAAAAACTATACTGTAAATAACCATAGTTACTAATCATCATCTCACAGCGACATATGTATGGCCATATGCCTGCTTTAGTCCAAATAAGTCTAATTATTGATCTACTTTTCCGAAAATCTTTTACAAACTTTATTAATGCTGTCTCGTGTTCAGTTTTCAAAAATACATATAAGACCTTTTGAAATTCTTTATCTCTGAAAGCTTTTTTGTGCAGTTTATAGGTAAAGCCCCAAAAATATCTGTTTGTACTCAGCCTTCGACTACATTGTTTACGCGCGCGGTCAGCTTCTACTGTCTGTACTAATTTTAAATAAGGAGCTTTACCAGTGACTACGAGTACGATCGAGTACGAGATTCGTCATTGTCGCACGTTGTTTGCTTACGCCATCAGCCAAAACTCGTAGTCGTTGGACTTTCGAGTACGAAATTTATTAAAAAAACTCGTACTCAACTCTCAAAAGCTCGACGAATACGAGTTTTGGCTGATGGCGTAAGCAAACAACGCGCGAGAATGACGAATCTCGTACTCGTAATCGTACTCGTCACTGCTAAAGCTCCCTAATGTTGTCGAAAGCTGAGTATAAACAGATTTCTGGGCTACTATGGTTTAATAATAAAGTGGTCTGTGACGCACACATGCTATTTGCTGCTCGTCGTATCATAAGTATATTTTGACATGTATTAGATAAGCATTTTTTTAATAACAGAACAGAAGTAAGAGATATCTATTGCATTCTCACTCTGCGCACAAGCAGTTCAGTTTAAATATCCGCTTTCGTAAATTGATAACGACTAATTCCGTTGCGCGGTCGTCATTCGTCATTTGCAACGTCAACGGAGTTTCAGAAAACTCGACTCAAAATAGAAGTAAAGTTTGAGAAAAAAAAGGTTTTCAAACTTATCAAGAAATGAGAATAAGAAAGTTTTACAGGATTTAAAACTTTAAGTCAATGAACTGCATGTAAGTCAATTCACTAAAGTGTTACTGATATGGTACTGAGAAAAAATTAAAACTGATAAGAACTAGCTGTAGTCAGCAAGTTAGGCTATTTATATAGACCGTACTGAGTGTGCAGTTATCATTCTTGGTCGAATTTGTGTTTCTGCATGTGTCTACTAGCAATGCACCTTTCAATAGTTCTACTCTAGCCACGAGTTGGTGATTGAAATAGCTCGGCTCAGATTTAAATGTTATAATGGTCGTTAGTACAAGTAGCAATGTTTTGGGCAGTTTTAGTTTACGACCATGCATGATGCATCCTAGAATTTTGCCCCATAACAATATTCTTGGCGGCGAATATAATGGTTGAATATAAATAGTGAATGTAGTGGTTGAAAAACTTGGTTAAGAACGAAGTTGAGAGTTTGAGGAAAACGATTGAGTCTAAGTTGTCTTGGTGATTCTAAAGCCAAGTGACAATAAAGCCACTTATGATATATTAGGCGTTTCAGCATAATTCAAGGAGAAGGCCATTCCTCGAAATTTAATCGCCTTGGTTACCAAATCCACGACAATGAAAAAGTCTAAACTTTGAATATGATCGAGGTATGATCGAAGTACACTATATCACGGAGCTACATGAAGTACCTCTTATGTAGTCGAGGAAGCGCTCATCGGTATGATAAATATTGTCTCATTTGTCTGTGAAGAAAAAGGCATCGTTCTTTCACGAAAGGAACAATCGCGAATAGGAATTCTGTAGATGCATGGAGAACGACGAATATGCACCATTAAAACGAGAGAACAAAATAGACTTGAAATGCAGTCACGTATTTAGACAAATTAACATCTGTCAGGATGACCTTGACATGTTTCGAATGGCCATTGTTACTTCTTCACCAGCGGTCATGATGACACGCAGTAGGACGGGGTCGAAATATACCGGTACAGTAATCGACCATCTGTTAAGGGACTGTCCCAGACGTTCCAGATCTTTGACTATTCCAGTCAAATGTCTGCGCGTATTTTAATATTGACTGCCGCGTAGTTTATGGTAATCAATATGTTATCATTAGTATACATGAAACGCGCGCTAACCGCCGTGAACTATTTATTATTCCGTGTTTAATTTCAAGTATTCTGTGTTCGCACAAAATAACGCGAAAATGCGCGATGCTAAACACTGAGGACTTACAGACGCGATTTTCAAGCAAACAATTATAAATTGGCCTATAATATCAAACGTTAAGCCAAGATATTCCGGGAATTTTGAAAAATTCGAGTGCTTTTAGATTTTCTGATAACAAACACTGCCAGGGGGTGTAATCGGACGAGTCTAAAGTACTCATATTGACCAAAGGTCTTCTAATAACCGAACGCAGCATAGATTGGCAATTCTGTGATTGATCACTTTCTCGTTACACTCTGTAGACGGATGAACCATCCAGTCTCAGCGAGTAAAAAAATTGTAATCTGTACTAAGAATTATCGCGGAAGTTCTCTAACTTCATTATTAGAGATCTTTTCTTTGCCCAAGTTTGTCCAGCCTATTGGCTATCCAGCTTCGGCAAGGGAGTCTTCGCGTGTGAAATCACTCAGACCAGGCCTTTAAAATTGGCATAAAATGTTCGACACTTATAGCCCCGTTTGTGTTTCTTTCAGTTCCTTGCATGTAGACAAACAATTTATAACGCGCTATAAATTTTTTACCAAGGCTTTCCCCGGACTGATGACCCACAAAACCAGCGCATATTGTAGCTATAAAAGTTATAAAACTAACGAATCATCTACGCCATTACAAACGTCAAGTATATTTAAACGAACTTACGAGTTTCATGACCATTTCATCTTTTAGATATTTACCGTTGGCAGTCGTGATCTGAAGCAAAGATGGAATTGTTGAAAAAGCTATTCGATACGAACTCACGGTTGCTGGCAAAATCGAAGGCTATATTGCTGTTTACCTTGGTTGCAACCATTGTCTTGAATCTCGTTCTTTTCCTGCGAATATCTCATCAAAAAAGTCCTGATATCGCCTACACAGATCCCAAGGAAATTTTTGCCGAATTCAAGTTGTTCCAAGCGGTTGAAAACAAAAGCGTTGATCTTGAATCAAGTTAGTCATAATATGTGTATAGCAAATGGGTTCCTTCCGACCATAACTGTAAATACGGCGTACAAATACATCGTCAACGACGAAGCAAGTTTAACCATAGTTTAACCGAGCAATCAGTCAAACACGAGGAGAACAAGCGCTTCGCTCAAAAACATACATGCCGTTGACAAACCTTCAGCAAATTTTGCATAACAATTGATTCCACAGTTCTGGTTATCCAGCGATTGAGTGCTGCATTGTCCTTTCATTGTTAAGAAAACCCGATTGTTTTTCATATCATCTCATTATTCATTGTTCATACATAGTTTCTGAATTAATTTACATGTCTCATTATCCTGGAGCTTTGGACTCGAACGAAATTCAAATTAAGTCTAGAAAGAACTAGAATAAGTAAACCGTACAATATTCAATTGTTGTGCCGTGTTTCAAACACCATGATCTTCCCCTATGTTTCCAACGTATTAACAACCGGCATACAGTCGCCCTGGGGCGGTGTTACACTATGCAACTTTCCTTGGAACTTGCAATACAATTCTACTTCTGAAGCATCTAAAGTTGTCAAATACGAACATTTCATACGATCTGCTGACGTTCTCTTGGCATTTCGAACACCCTTTACAAATTAACATCCCTCAAGATTAGAATTGCATTGCAAATTGCAAGGAAAGTAGCATAGTGTAAGAGCGCCTTGAAAGGCTGTCTTCATTGAACCTTTGAAGGCCAGAATACTTCAGTCCTAATAAAGGAACATGCCTTCTTCTTTTCCAGAATCATTCACAAGTGAACATTATCACGAGCAGCCGTTGGAACAGTTGCCCACAGAACCGCCCATAACCATTTCCCTCGGGGATACGACACGAGGCCGCAAGTCAAGCTGCCCCTTGATGACAATACACAAATCCGGAGGGTCACCCCTCAAAGAGACTGTCTGCCGCCCCCACCTGCCCGCCGAAGACGCTTGCGAATTCGCCGCGAGATTATTCAAATACCAACCGGCCATCGCGAAATGTCAGGACCAAAAAGAACCACCGCATGAATTGTGCCGCGTCACCGAAGTCCGTAACGGTGCTCGACTGTCCCCGCCCGAGGTCACCTGTGATGCATCCGTTTGTCTCGACACCGCTGACATCAAAATGCTGATCGTTGACCCGTCCGATGGAAATTATCTAGTGTTAGAACTACCCGGTAATACAAGTAATTCTGAGATTGAAGACATGGTAACGAAGGCGATTCCTTTAACACGAAAAAATGGATACAACTTCATGTTCATCGATTGTACTGGTAAAAAAACCCGACAAACGATTTCACAATTGTTGACTTTCATACCGGACCAGAAAATCCTTAAACCCGAGCAGAAACCGTCAGCGAACAAGATTAATGTGAATGTGGTGTTATTAGACTCGATTTCTCGCCCGCACTTTTTTCGTTCTCTGCCGAAAACTGCGTCTTTTTTGCGGCGGAAAAGCGAAGATTCGCAATTTGACGCGCATATTTTCGACTTCGAGTTGTTTCAATCCGTGCACGGACACACGCACGAGAACGAACACGCTTTGTTCGGAGGCGCGTTGTACCCGGAAAACCTCACGAAGTCCGAAAAGGATAACGCGCCAACGAACATGGAGAGACTCTTTGGGATATTCAAGGACGCCGGGTATCAGACGATGGCACAGAACGATTTGTGTTGGAAAGGCTGGTATGGCTTCTTGACGAGTTTCATGGCAGAGAAATGGACGAACCTGCAGGAAATGATGAGAAAAACAATCGATTCTTCAGGTGAGGATCCTTGTTGTGTTTTATACTGTACGTCCGTCTTTTTGCAAACAGGGACACTGCTGTGGTTCCAGAAGCCAAGTGATCCCGAAATAGAAATCCGTTCTTGATTATATCTGCTATCATGTCATCATATCTGCTATTATGTCATCATATTTGCTATCATGTCATCATATCTGCTATCATGTCATCATATCTGCTATGATGTCATATCTTCTATCAGGTCATCATATCTTCTATCATGTCATCATATCTGCTATCATGTCATCATATCTGCTATCATGTCATCATATCTGCAATCATGTCATGTCATCATATCTGCTATCATTTCATCATATCTGCTGTCATTTCATCTTTCTAGGTCTAACAGACGCCTCGTGTAAAATACTTGAACGCTACAAAGAAACATCACCTTTTACCGACAACGATGATCATCAGATATGCTACAACGGCAAACATCATCATCGATATCTTTTTGATAATCTCGTGAGCTACCTGAAAGCTGTCACCACAGTTAAACCTTCAAAACCTTTGTTTTCCTACACCGAAACTAATGTTGCACACGATGACGTAGGTGAGGATCAGAATGGTGGTGGTAAATGGCTTGCGACCCTAGTCTAGTTATCTTAAAAAATACTATACCATACTATACACCATACCATACCATTCAATACAGTACCATACCATACCATACCATACCATACCATACCATACCATACCATACCATACCATACCATACCATTCAATACAGTACCATACCATACCATACCATACCATACCATACCATACCATACCATACCATACCATACCATGCCATGCCATGCCATACCATACCATACCATACCATACCATACCATACCATACCATACCATTCAATACCATACCATACCATACCATACCATACCATACCATACCATACCATACCATACCATACCATACCATACCATACCATACCATACCATACCATACCATACCATACCATACCATCCCATACCATACCATACCATGCCATGCCATGCCATGCCATGCCATACCATACCATACCATACCATACCACCACACCATATCATTCCATACCATACCATACCATACCATACCATACTATGCCATGCCATACCATACCATACCATACCATACCATACCATACCATACCATACCATACCATACCATACCATACCATACCATACCATACCATACCATACCAAACCATACTATGCAATGCCATGCCATACCACACCATACCATACCACCACACCATATCATACATACCACATAGCGACTCCCCATAACACGATACATTTACCACACACATCATCATCTTTCTTTTTTCAGGCATTCGAGTTCAAACTCTCGACAATGATCTCATAGATCTCATATACAGTGTCTCCCAACTCCCAAACACCTTTACGATAATCTATGCAGACCATGGAAACACCTATACCGAATACCAGGTAGAAATGCTGGAAGGTCGCATGGAAATGTATCATCCTATTATGTTGGGAATTTTACCCAAAAAACTCGGGAGGAAGTTTGGAAACAATATAGTGGAAAATTTGAAAACAAACCAGCGTAGATTACTTCATCTTTTTGACATCCGCGAGAGCTTGGTAGAACTAGCGAAGTATGATACTAAATCAAGGTACTGTTCATGAGAAAATATAAATTTGATATCAATATAGTTAGTTTAATTTAGGTTTTCTCCTGCAGTAACGTTGGATCAATAACAGATGATCCTTTCTGGACCTCTAGGAAGGACAGTTTAGAATTGATAGAGCTATCCAGTATTACTGGACCGCTAGGAAGAACAGTTTAGAACTGATAGAGCTATCCAGTATTACTGGACCTCTAGCTATCCAGTATAAATAAGGTTGTAGTTAAGTTAATTTACTTTAGTTTAGGTATTCCTCTTGTAGTAACTCTGGATCAATAAGAGATGATCTTTACCAGACTTCTAGAAAGAACAGTTTAGAAGAAATAGAACCATCTAGTATACAGTTACTTTAGTTTTTGTTTAATTCTACCGTAATACTGGATATATTGGAGACGATTCTTAGTTATACTTTTGTCTTCACAGACTGAATCCTGTTGGGATATTCGGGAAAATACCGAAGGATCGAACTTGCAACGACTTGAAATTGAGCACACCGAATATCTGTATTTGCGAGGGGTGGGACACACCAGTTGAAAACTCGACCGTGCAAGTGGCCTTGGCGGAGTTTGCTATTGGTCAACTCAACAACCAATTACAAGGCGCCCTTCTTGCATCACGTCAGACAGAGCCCGAAGGAAATGTCCCAAGATCAATCTTCGGCGCATGTCAACGGTTACAATTGCAAAGTATTAAGAATGCAAGACAACATCCAACAGCCAGGGGAACCATGGTGACAACGATAGATGTGAAAGTACAATCGGGGAATATTGTGGATCAAGAGGAACTTATCACGGTTCAGGTGGAATCCGCGCAAAAAGCAGATAGATCATCTTTTGATATGAGGTGAAGTTTGAGAAAATTCACTGCATGCTCATTGTACCGGATTTTTCTACTGGCCCTCTTGGAAGTACAGTTATCCAGTATAAATAAAGATAGTTTAGTTAGGTTTCCTCCTGCAGAACACTGGATCAATAAGAGATGACCCTTAATGGACCTCTAGGAAGAACAGTTTAGAACTGATAGAGCTATCCAGTATAAATAAAGTTAGTTTAGTTTAGGTTTCCTCCTGTAGTAACACTGGATCAATAAGAGATGATCCTTAATGGACCTCTAGGAAGAACAGTTTAGAACTGATAGAGCTATCCAGTATAAATAAAGTTAGTTTAGTTTAGGTTTCCTCCTGTAGTAACACTGGATCAATAAGAGATGATCCTTACTGGATCTCTAGGAAGAACAGCTTAGAACTGATTGTTCAAAAACAGAGTTTAGAACTGACAAAAACTTACATTACAATTTTCCCCTGCAGATTAGTGACATACAGCAGAATCTCTCACTACTCGATATATGAACAATGCGCTGATCCTGGCCTGCCGTTAAACCTTTGCGTCTGCGACAAGCGCGACCCAAGAGGGAGGCCTCGGAACGAGACAGCCTACCATCGTATGCCAAAGAACACCATAGTTCGCAAGCTGAAGCCTTGTCTGTCGCTTCTAAAACGACTTTACAGCGAAAACAAAGGCGAAGACGATTACGTCGGGGTGGAGGTATACGAATTTGCCAATACATGCAACGATAAACAGTTCACTGTCAAAATCGCTGCTGAGGCAGAGAATGTTCGTGCATCAACGGAGCTGCCTATCAAAATTGTATTGCCACCAAAGACGATTTACTTTGGCACTCTTATGATGACTGAAGTCGGTTATGTCAACCCAACATTGAAGTTGAAGTTACACGTGATTGTTGAGGATGTGGACACGGGAAAACGCGGTAAAAGTGGTGGGAATCAAGTGGAAAGAAGGGATGAAAGCTTAAAGAGAAAAGTGGATGTACGGTTAAAAGGCAAAAGAAAGGAAGTTTAAAAAACAAGAAGCGGTGAGGATTGAGTTGTAATTTAATCCAGCTGGTTGCAAATTTGAGCGGTTTAGGCCGTGCTCAAACTGGAGACACTTATGTTTCATCATGAAAAACAGAGATTGCTTCGGGAAAATTACAGTGTGGAAGCATGGGAAATGTTTCTCCATTCGATAGGAAACAATTTTGCATCACGGAAACACTGCGACAATCTCCCAACGGGTCCACAAACAAAAAAAAAACATTTGAATGCCAATCACGAATGATTCCGCATCAATTCTTAGCTTTTCAAAAAGAGCAGATGGTTCTGATTATCTTTAAAACACAGTCGTTTTTATAAAAGAAATATATTTATTGAATTATAATATTTTTTGTAAATAATACAGTATTTAATTCAAGTGATTGATATTAAAGGGGGAATGCAATTTTATATATGGAGTGTTCTCGTGGGCTGAAAAATCACAAAAATCTCGGCGTATGAAACATGAAATTACAAATGGTTTAATTTGATGGCTGATCATAGGAATTAGACGCGGTTTTGTTTCAGTCGTCTGACCGGTATCCAAACAGTCAGGCCATATGAAATTCGGTTAGCAGTTCTGTTAATGACGAACATACATGTATATACAAAAATGCAAATGCCACCTGTTAACATGCGAGCAAAATAAAAGAGGGAATATGCAGTTTAAGAGTATTCAATTTTAAATCTAGCTAGCCGCTGTAACTATTACATTTCGTGCCGGATTTCGTGGCAAATATGTGAAATATTATATTTTCATACCATGCACAATGAAAGTCGTGGAACATTTCAACGCGTCAATTTTACGAGGATATCATATTTCAATCAATTCGGCCACCTTTGGTCATGACAGAAACTGCCATTTCCTTTGACCGTCAATTTCGACAACGAGACATTGATTTCAAGATAGGAAAGTTAACACCGGCAACGTGGCAAAGACTTAAGATGTTTGCATATCGCTGGCCGGCTTTCAACTGAAGAAAGGTTATTATGTATACAATAATATGCAAATTAAAAAAAAAACACGCTAAACACCATTTTCTGTGGAGGATGTGAACCGATTTCTACTGGAGTTGATGAATTATATTTGGTCTGATATATACATGGATGTATATTCTATTGTAAGGTTTGGTTGATAATCTCGTGTTAATATTAGACTCTCCTGATATCAGGCAGAACGAATATAGATATTCCTGGCATTTTGAATATGCTTTCAACTGTAAACAAACTATCGATGTTTATTGCATTAAAGTAGACATTTCAGAAATCCGGTGAAAATATATAGATTTTACGTTGACCAAAGCGTTATCGAATCAACGTTGCCTCGTATCGGAGATGACTGTGTATTTTAGACAAATACTACGCCAGGAAAATTAGACTGAATTGCATCAAATATCAAGTACATGTTGACCTTAAAATGCGATTTTAAAGTTAGTGAACTCACTGAACTAGAGGTGTCAAATCTAGGTTATCGCGAAGCATATCTACATGCGTGTTAAAACAAGTGGCTAAAAGTAATGCTTTCTCTATGGTTTGTCAAAGACGTCTCTCTCAAGTTTCGAGTTCGTTCAAACTTGAGACGTCTCTCTCAAGCTTAGAGAGCGTTCCACGTTTCATTTTCAAACAATTAGTCTGTTGTCATTTAAAAGTTAAGCACGAGCAACAACAGGAAGCAGACTTATAATCATACAATCATATATATGATGGAATATATACAACACTCAACAGCATTATATTTATTGTTTCCTACTTTCTGCAACTACATTAATCAATCATAAACCTCAAACGCTTTAGCCATTGAATTACCGCTCAGTTTAAACAAGTAAACGATGCAGCGTACAGAATAAAACATGGACATACGACAGCCTAATATCTTGAAATATGAAACGTCTTTAGCTTGCATTCAGTCGTTTACTTCACACAAATCATATTATCATCTTTTGTCCAACGGGAAATTCGTCAAATGGTATATTATTATACCTATATTCGTTTAAAAAATAAGCCAAAACGAAGTCAAAAAGCGAAATTTGCACAATGAGTATCCTCAAGAGTCACGATGTTCAACACCTCTCTCAACTAAACACAACTCTAGCATGCTTGTTACTCGTCATGGATACATTACGTCAGTGCAACTGAAAAGACACACAATAACTTATCCTCTCTGTCCCTGCGTGGTGTAAGAATGTAACAGCGATCAAGCGGAGATTTGATGCAGAAAATTAAATACAAAGACGGTGTATCGAACTGTTTCTGAAATCTGAACAAACAAATATAAGCCAGACTGGTGTGTATAAATAAAATACAAGACGCTGTTAACCGACTGGCGACTGTCACACAAAGAAGGTTTAGGTATAGTTCAGGCTCAAATCTATATGTCTGTTCGCTAAAATTATTTCTTTATTTTCATTACAGATAATGTGTTATTATTTCGGGTATTTATAACACGAATCTCACTGTGAGAACACACAAATTATGGAACCCGTCGAGAAAGATCGACGCATACTCGGGAATCCGCCGACCTACGGCAGGTTCCGAAGAAGCCTCATCGGAGTTCTTGTGCTCTTTGGAATCGGCAATGTTATTCTTGTCGTTTTGTACCCACAAATCTATAGCGGGGATCTTTTGGGAAAACTAAACCCTACCGCGAGTAAAAATTATAGTGATAAAGGAATTGAAAAAATTGCTGAAGTAAAACATAGAATATTTAGTTTTGAAAACAAGGATACTTCGAAGGTAATAGATCTTGCCGAAAGCGAGAAAAAGATTTCAAACCAGAGAACTCCAAATGAAATTTCCGAGGCAACAAACAGTGAAGATGTCGAGGATCTGTTGGACTTTTCAAGTACGAAGAACCTAAAAAATCTAACAACGAAGGATTCACAACATGTGAATAACGACACTCCCAGTAGCTTGAAGACTGAAGCTCCTAAACCATCGCAACCCGTCACAAAGAGAGACGCTTTAAAATCACCGACGAAATCTACGGTAACTCAAAACTCGAGCAAGCGGTTAAATACGAATGCACTAACGGAATCACACCGAATGATCAATGTCACATCAAAATTTCAAAACAATAATGCCAGTATTTCCGGGCAAACTTCGACGGATCAGAAAGAAGTGACTTCAAAAAAGATCGAATCTTTCAAACCGCGTGTTCCAACAAAACAACCTGGACAGAAAATTCCTACAAATGCTTTCAATATTTCGAAGAAAACAACCTCGTTCCAACCAAGGGCGGTCGAAGAGCCTCACTGTAAGCCGCACATTTTGTCGGCAGCAGCCATCGAATACACGACAAGAAAGTACGCAATTCGACCGGAGGTTTTGCAATGCAAGGACCAAAAAGCGCCGCCGTATGAGCTCTGTGTGGTTAACGAAACGAAAACGAACGACTCGTTCACGGATTTCATAATAAAATGTGATTTTTCTGTCTGTGACAGAACCAAACCGATGTCGATTGAGTACATGGACTATCGAGACGGTCTCATGAAAAAACAAGATATTCCAACAACGTTAAAAGGTGGGGAAATTGAGAAAATGGTGGCGAAGCTTGCTAAGGATGTGAGAAAACACGATTTGCCATTTTTGTTCGTGAATTGTAGCGGGAAATTAACAAATGTTGTTGTTGCTCAAATATTGACTTTTCTACCATCAATGCCCGTCCTGAAAGATGTTAAAACGCGTAATAAAATCAATATAAATATATTCCTCGTCGATTCTGTTTCGAGGAAACATTTCTATCGATCTTTTCCCAAAACTACGAAGTATTTAGAGGAGACAGCGAAGGAATCCGACTTTCCCGCACATATTTTCAACTTTGAACTCTTCCAAGCGGTACACGGTCATACAAACGAGAACGAACGAGCGCTGTTCAATGGTAGCATTCTGCACAGACGCGGTACAGCCAGAGACAGGACGCCTGTCAATTTGGAACCGCTTTACGGTGTGTTCAAGAAAGCTGGGTTTCAAACAATGTTTCTGGATGATCTTTGTTGGCGGGCGATCTGGGGCATCATGGATAAATACAAGGTTTCAAATTGGAATGTACTTCAAGATAAACTTCGAGTTTCAAGCATCGATACAAGGGGTGAGATATGTCGTTCATATGTTTCCCTACTTTATTATTCAGCGCACTGAACTCTTAAAACACACTACAAGTCTCCTGGCTTTCTTGTATTCCATCCATTAACCTTGTTTAGATAACTTGAATATTATTTCTTGTTTAGGCATCTCAGAATCCTCTTGTATGATCTTAAAACGGAACAAAATGAAATTACCTTTCTACGCGAAACCCAAACACCAGATATGCTTCAACGGCCGCCATCAGCACGAGTATGTCCTCGAATATCTCACGAAGTATCTCGATGCCATTCGTTCCACTCCCCAAAGCAAACCGCTCTTCTCGTACACGTCAACGCACGTCTCCCATGACGACGGTGGCATTCGAGTCCAGACCCTAGACGCCCATCTCAAAGATTTCATCCACCAAATGACCGCAAGGACGAACACCCTGAGTATAGTTTTCGCGGATCACGGAAACACGTACACAGGATATCAGGCAATGGCCGACGGAAAACAAGAGATGTTTCATCCGTTTATGTTGATGGTCGTGCCGAAGGCTTTGGGGAAACGATTTGGCGGAGAAGTTTTGAGAAATTTATACGAGAATAAGAAGCGGCTGTTTAATTTGTTTGATCTACGAGCTGGTCTGGTGGAACTTTCAAGGTATGTGAGCATTTTTGACAGTGCAACTATGTGATGGTACAGTATTAGTTGTGATCATGGTAATTGATTGTGGTGATAGTGAATGTGATGATATCGGTTGTGATCACGGTAATTGATTGTGGTGATGGTGAATGTGATGATATCGGTTGTGATCATGGTAATTGATTGTGGTGATGATGATTGTTACGATATTGGTTGTTAATCATGTTAAATGATTGTAATCATGTTGAATATGACTGTTCATCCTGACTGTAATGATGATACACCATTTCCAACACTTTAGCTACAACGGAGAATCGCCACTGAAACCAACAGGAATTTTTGGCAAAATAGCGCCGAATCGAACGTGCGAAGAGCTTCTCATAACAGCAGACAGTAAATGTATTTGTCAAGGCTGGGAGGCAGCCGTACCGACCACCAAGGATCATCTCGTTTTTGCTGAATTCGCGATCGGCGAAATAAACAACAAAATAAAAGATTCGCTCCTGAAGATGAGAGCGAAAGGTGTGCCGTTCACCAAGACTGGCGTTTTGTTCGGCGCGTGTCAACGATTGCGTGTTCAAAAAATCACAAACGTGAAAACGCGGAAAACGAAAGACGGAATGAAGACAATAACGATCGACGTTCGACTACAATCGAGCAATCTTCTTGACCAAGAGGAATTGATAACTGTCCAGGTGTGTATCGAGACACTTGCTGAAGAAATATTTATACATTCTTTAATCTGAATAAAGTTAAGAATAAATAACTCTCCTGGGGAAGGCCCTCAGGTCGAAACGTCGAAAAGTGTTTTGTCTAATTTAGACAGTTGTTGTACCACATTTGATGCGAAGTTGTTTGAAGACGCTGCCACGCTGCTCCCTGGTTATATTAAGAATAAACAGTCTTTTTTTTTAATTACGGCTTCAGTTTCAATTTTCATAAGCTTCAAAATGAATGTTAAACTGTTTACTGTTAAAGTAATTCGCTGATAGCGACGTTTGTAACGTATTTTTCCCTTAAACACAGGTGGCCCACAAAGAAAACAACGCTGGCTCATACGAGATGTCCTTGGTTTCAAAAAACAGAGTTTCAACTTATGGACCTTACAGGACATGTAAGGACGAAAGCGTCGACGTCAAGACATGTATATGCAACGACCCCAAAGATCCCAAACCTCCGACCGCACTCGAAGATGTTGTCGGAAAGAACTCGAAAATCACGAAGTTGGATCGATGCCTTTACAAAATACTTCGAACATACAACGGTAGTAAAAACGAACCTTTAGTAAAAGTTTACGAGCTCGTAAACGTTTGTAGAGACGAGGAATTCAAAGTAACATTAGACGTTTTGCCTGGAAAGGCGATATTTTCAACAAAAACGCCAATTTCCGTCACGTTACGACCACAGACGATACAATTCGTCGCGAGTGCGCGAATAATAGGAAAGACGAAGAGCGACGAAACGAATATTATATGGAATGTAGAATCTAAAAAATCTGCATAGGAAAATTAGAATTGCTATAAAATTTCTATTTTGAACAAGAGTTCGTGTTTATATTTTTTACATAATAATAGACCAATATTCTATTATTTGATGGTTTTCAAAGCGACTTTCGGTGACCATACCTTTTTTACTCTTTGAGGGATGTCAACGAGCGAATAGTTACGGGCGCTTGGGGTAAAGGCGCCGTTATTTTGAACATTCGTAACTTCCCTGCTCGTTCGCATCTATCAGAAGAGGAACAGAATTATCCTCTTCTGAAAATTGCGGCAGAATTTGCAAGTTGAAACGCGGGCGTTTCGAATTCACAAACAAGCTAACGTGAAAGCAAATTTCATTGTAATGCAATTTCATTGGTCGCATCGCACATCCTTCGGACGATCAAAAATACAATCGTTTTTCACTATTTACTGATGGTATTTTTGCATCCAACGTTCGCATCTCTGCTTTGAGATTTTCGCTTTGCTTGACAAGTCCCGATATACGCTTTGACTTCGGGCAGTCATAACACTCGTTTTACTGTATAAAGTTAACTTGCGTCAGCCCACGTGCGTGTGTAGGCGAGTCACCTTAATATCGAGAGGTCCACAAATCCGAGCACGTCAGTTCTCATCAACAGCGGTCTTCATACACAATCTTGCCAGCAAACCAGACATTTGTAACAGACTGTTCACTCCCTCAACAATGCGCATGTGCGTAAAACCGATTTCCTAAAAACACACAACCATTGGCCTCAAAATGTCGTTCGAAGTTGCATTACTTTAAAACACAAAAACTCAAAATTCAATGAACTCGTTTAGTTCACTTTAAGCATTTTATTTTGTGTCCAATAAAGATTCAATTTAGATCTATTTCAAGCTCCATTAAGAACTATCTTAATGACGAATTAGCATCAAATGTGGTATAGCAACTGCCTAAAATAGACAAGACACTTCTCGACGTTTCCAGCCGAGGGCCTTTGTCAGGAGAGTTAGTTAGGTCGAAACATCGAGAAGTGTTTTGTCTATTTTAGGCAGTTGTTGTACAACATTTGATGCTAAGTTGTTTGAAGACGCTGCCACGCTGCTCCCTGGTTATATTGGAACTATCTTAATGACGGACTTTCGCTGTTGTGTTTCCAAACTCAAATTGCAAGCATATTACCTTGATGAATTCTAGTTTAAGAAACTCCGGCATATCCTCGATCTTGCAAACTCGAAATATGCTGGTGATTATGTCTTCGGGCGAGTATCCCATTTGCCAGAGATGCGCCATGGTCTTGTACGCATCTTCGATATTGCCTTTGGTACAATGACCAATCATATCCTTCACCAGAAGCGGGTGTGGCTCATCGCAAACCTGTGAGGGGGGAAACGCCCCAATAATCATGATGAAACCGCTAAGCCTATCAACCCTGGCTCAAGAGCTCAAGATCTTGACACAAAAAATGGTTTTGTGTTTGACTGGTTTTGACAAATATGGCTGGTTAGCTGATTAATGTTCCCAGCCATCCCTCGTTCACTGGCAGGGGTTAATTTAGGACAAGATAAAAAGATCCCTAACTTGCCCTCCTTATCCCTCACCTTGAAAACGTTATCACCGTTGACCACGCCAAACCCATAAAAAGTGGATTGAAGGTTATTTATAGCCTATAAATAAATATATTTTACAATATTATAACAATGTTTGACATTAGCATAAAGGTTTTTTATATAAATATATCCTATTTGATATCAGTGTCCCCAGTTTTACCAAAATAAAGTGTGTTTCAGCAGAAATGGATTTTACTTTGACAACTAGTTCCAAAACTGGTCTATATAGGAAACACTTATCACTGGATGTAAAAGCTCGCTCTAGTACCTGACGCATATCGCCTTGGGCAGTAAACGTAATCGCCTCCAAACCATCATCTGTTTTCACAACCTGCAAAATAAAAAATTCTTTCACACTAACTCTCGTGACGAAAGTCGTTAGTGAAAAAGCCAACCCCCAAATGTTTTGTGTTTTTAAACTCACAGTTATGGGTCATACATATTCTAAATTCCCCAACATCACACAAAAAGTAATGAAAGATCACCTTCTCTTTGTCACAGATCTCCATAAGTCTGTTCAGTATCTGTGCATCACTGAGTTTAGTGTATCTCAAAATCGCACAGCGCGATTGGATGGCTTCTGGAAAATAGAATGTCACTCAGAATGGACGTATGATCCATATACCTTCACGTTACAAAATCACCATCTTCTACTGAGAACAAAATAATTTCAACACAAGTTACCTATGATTTTGTCTGAGGTATTACAGGCTAATGCAAAACGCGTTGTTTTTGAGAAAATCTCCATAGTTCGTCTTAATGCTTGCTGTGCTCCATCCGTCATGCTGAAGAAAGAAAGAGTGTTCAAACCATGAATTTATAACAATTCATTAGCTTAACTAATGGAAAGATTTCAGACTCTAGTCAAAACAAGCAAATTTATCTGTTGATATGGACTGTATCCAAATAACATATCTAAATACATCAAGCATAACAGAAACTTTGTGGCAGTTAAAAAAGGTAATTTTCGTGAAGATTATATGAAATTGGTGCTATTAACTACAGTATTGATGGAAATAGAACCTGTCAGCTTCGTCCAGAATGATAATTTTATGTCTTCCTTTGGGTAGAGTAACTTTCTTTTGTGCAAACATTTTGATTCGATTTCTGACAACATCAATTCCCCTGTAACAGAAGGGAACTGGATAAGTTTGGTCATGATAATGGAATGGTGGTTTAAATTGATAAACAGTGTTTATGGCCAGGGGCTCCCTCCTTTTGGGCATGGCTTCACAGCTTGGTTCATGGGAAGATGTGACATACAACATAAGATGTTTCCATGCAATCAATATACCTGTCATTTGAAGCATTTAGTTCCAAGACAGCATCTTTCATCGAGGTACCAAGCAATCCCATTGCCAGACATAAAATACTGGTTGTTTTACCAGAACCCGGTGGTCCCTAAATATGCAATCGAAGCATGGCTTACTAAGATAGTGCCATAATAGAAGAAAGCACTGTTAAATTGCAAGCAATATGAAAAATATTCATACTCACTGCAATGATAATGTTCGGCACATTTCCTTGTTCAGCAAAGACCTAGAAATAGATTATTGAAATGTTTTATGATATTTATGCCTAATATATTTGAGGAGAGTGCATAAAATGTACCATTGAGCTCTACCAATGTGCATTTTATGTTAATTCTACCTCAGGGATAAGGTAGCATACTTAGGATTTCCAATGCAATTTGTGCACAGTGGATAAAATAATTAAAATTACTCTTTTAAATTTCTTAACCAACGTTATTACCTGTAATCTACTGACTGTATCTTCGTTTCCTACAATATCTTTCAACATTGTTGGTCTGTACTTCTCAACCCTAGATAAATATTAGCAGAATGACGACATTGTAACGTAACTACTTGTACAATCATCATAATATCATCAAATTGTACAATAAATTGAATAAAAAAGCTGTACGTAAATAAACGTAATACATTTGGTTTCACCATGCGCCGATCACATGGCTTGTGTCAGCAACAAAAACCATGTAACATAAAGAGAAGATAATAACGGCAGTATTGAGTGATGAATAAAGGGCAAAAACCGCATCGTTTTTAAAATCTCGCCCCAAATGCAAGAAGAACAATTTGTCATGATGTCATCTTGAGCATACTTTAGAATAAAATTAATTTCATCCTGTGGTCTTTTAAAGAATCTTACCAGGGTAATTGAAAACCTTTTCTCTTCGCAACAGTAGAGCTTGGTGGTTCATCTTTAGAAACTGAAGAACCCGGTTTTTCGTCTAAATCAACATCCATCGTTTCGACCACTTCGTCCGCCATTTTGGAAAATACTTCCCGCCAAATCCCGCGAAAACTTCAAATTGACCTTTAGTTGACCTTTGCGATTACAGTAACGACTTCACCCCGTGCAGGCATTTCTGAGCCGAATCTAGACCTTTTCGCAGGCTAAACCTCCCATAAATGACTGCGACAGAAAAAGCTAACCCCCCCCTGGAAAAAGGAAACAACACTTGGTTTACTATTAAATATATTTATTTTAATTTTAAAAGCACTATGTCATAATTATTTCTCAGACTCCTTCCACATTCCTTTCTTTGTGTGATAGAAATGAAGGAAATTTAAAATCTTCAATCTTTCAATTTCCAAACCCTCTGATAATATCCGGTCAACCAAATCCCAATCCTCGCCACCCCAGGTATGCTTGAATCTCTCAACGTTCATACCTCCAAACCTGAAAAAAAGAGGATTTAGAAAAATACAATATACTTGTTTAATATGTAAGTCAAAAATATGTTCTTGGCAGAGATATTTTGAGTAATCTACTTTGTCTAATGCAAAATGATTTTACTTGTCAGTGAAAGACAGTGCAAGAATACTATTATCAATGCCAGTTAATGAGTTAAGCAAACTATCTGCCAGTGTTTTTTGCTAACTTTTATAGCTTGCAATGCATTCAGATGTGGCAATGTGCAATTCTTTATTGTTTTTAGCCTAACTCACAAAAGCAGGGCTCTTTGGCTGAATAATGTGGTTATCCATGAAACTAGTTATTCCATACCTGATCCAATCAGATTTGTATGTTGCTATTGGTCCAAAACCATCATGTTCCCAGCGTCCATTGGGGTTGCTTCCCGTATATCCGCAGTCAAGACGAACCAGTAAAGGATTGAAAGCAGTTTTTCCTTGAATACAATGCTAAAAAAGTCACAAAACAAGTCACAAAAAGACTTTAAAAGCCCCGTAACAAAAATGTACCTGTGAGCATGTTATTAGTTGTGTGATACCAAAGTCTGATCTCAATAATATTGGAAGGTGATGTAAAGTGCCAAGAAGTGTGAGCTCAAAAATATTACTGGAGTGATATTTCAGCACAAAGCTCTGAGTTGCATACCTTTCTGATGTGATCAACAATTGGAACTGGAAGATACAGGTGCAGATCACATATAAATACAATATCATTTGGATCGGTGACAACATCCATTGCGTACTGAAGTCCAATTGTCTTGTGAAACTTTGATTTCATATGTAGCAATATATAACGAGGCAATTTGCTCCGTTTGAGAGCCTCCTCAATGTTTATATCTTTACTATGAAAATCCATAATAATAACATTGAGGTTCTGATCTTTTGTTTGATCAAATATTTCCGCAAGATTGTTGATAAAATGTTGGACCCATCTGCCTTGCCGACCACCGACCGTCAGGATAATATTGACGGTGGCATTACGGCTCCACTGATAATCTCGTGGGGAGCACAGTCTGTCCTGACCTAGAGGCTCGTACACATACTCCGAGAGTCTGTGTGCTGTATCCGTAGTTATGTCTATTACCTCCAGTTCCAAAAGATAACGGCTTCCTCTCAAAAGGTCATGATTCTTCTCCACACTGAGAATCTGCTTTAGTTTGTATCGACTGAAAAGTTAAACAACAAGTTAGTTAGTCCACATCTCAGCTAAACAACACGGTTAAAACAGTAATGCTTACCTGTTGCGCTTCTCATCTAATGATGTCATGTAATCTTTCGCAATTTGTACAGCCTCGTCAGCATTAAGAACATCGTTACCCAGACACACCCAACCACCACGTGTCACATTGGTCTTGTCTTCCGGATATAACGAATTATAATGAGTCTCCCAGACACCTTTATAATTGGTCAACTTACGATCAACTATGTAGCTAGGTTTGTAATCACAACTCGTTAAAACATTCTTAACAACATTGTGGTCAATCAGAGGCAAAAGAAACAGATCATTTCGCTGTTGCTCGTTATCTTCTAGTATTGGAAACATCTTTTTTTTATGAACGATTGGGATTTCCAAACTAGGCTCGGAGCTATCAACTTCACCATTTCTCAAATAATGGTCCAACACCTTCACAGATACTTCGGAACCAGCGACCTCCACAAATTTTGAACTACCTGGGACCATCCATGTTATCTCAAAGTCTTCATCTTCACTGCCTTTCTTATGCAGTATCTCTATGTAATATTTATTATTGGAGACTAATTCCAATTCAAAGTTCCCAACCGAGTCACCATAGTGTGACTTTTGATACACCAGTTTCGCCGAAGAGGGATCTGAGTTTACGCCGAGCCAAATCTCGACAGGTCTACCCAGTATCTGAAATCTGTGAAGCCCAGTTGATTTTGGGAGCAAGAACCCAAATATTCTTTCTCCATAATCATAATTGCCTGTACCATGTTGAAAACGAGTTGTCTTTGTGTAAAGTCTTCTTGATGGAAACTTTGGAAATAAAACATGATTCTTTAAGCTGTTCAAATCATTTCCGCAAATTTCTCCCCAAATATGAACGTTTAATTTGCCGTACGTCACCTCATTTGCTGTAGAAACAGCGCGTTTCTGCTTCTCCCATTGCAAAGTTTGTCTGAAGTATGTCTCTGAACTGAGTCGTGTCTTACCTTTGAAATAACGCTCATTCCCACGCTGTGCAACAAATATTGGCAATTGAGGCTCCTCGTTCGGCGGTTCAGATCCAAAAAGTACTCTAGAGACGATAAAAACTGCACAAATTAAGACGGAAAACTTCAAAATTCTTCGTTTTCTTAAAGAAAAATTGAAGACCATTTCTACCTCTGGAACAACATGGCGGATGTGCTTCCACTTCGACAAAATACAAGTGGTCTCCTTCAATGGCTGTTTCTTTCTCCTCCAACCAAAACGCTATTTTTGACGCTATTTACGATATATACTTCTCTATTTTATTATCTGTACGGAATAAAATCCTATTTATATTTCGTTCGGGCTGGAAAAACCAAGTAACGAACAAAATGCTTGGTTGAAGCTCCAGTGAAATTTCATTTCCAAGGCAAGATTTTCCAACTTCAAAAGACCTTTTTAAATCTGCCAAATTCGCCTCTAGGAACGTTGAAAAGTTGGCTAAATATTCTTCCAATGCGAAAAAAACCCTATTCCAAACGAAAAAAAATTGGAAAGAATTCGAAGGGATCAAAAAGTCTACAACACGAAGTATTCCCAGGCGGTCACCCATCCAAGTACTAACTTCGCCCGTCCAGGCTTAGCTTTGGTGATCGAACGAGAACCAGCGTTTTCCTGGTGGTATGGTCGTAGACACTAGTGCACGTAATTTACGGTATTTAACACAAGAGCGTGCAAATAATCTCGTTCAATTATTTACCCTTTTAAACGAATATTCCTCGGAGGTTTTAGTGTATTTCCAAGAATACCTGACATAAAATGTTGGACAAGTAGTTTATGAAAGTAAATCTATGGGTTACTACTTTGCTACTTGCTATTCGTCAACCGAATACAACCTCATGAATGATTTCCTAACATATGTTCTGTGCCACATTACTTTGTCACAAAATGGTTATTATACAGACTTTTGGAGCATTTAATAATGGAATATTCGGTGAAATTTACCTCGGGTTTTAATCAATGTTCGGGTATTGAAGAATTCCTTAGCAAATGCGATTCCATTCCTTGCTTTTCCCTGCACTTTACCAAACCAGGATTCATAAATCACCCCGTGGCCTTCTTTTCCAAAGCTATAATGACTTCCAAAATGTCCCTTCAAACCCTAAAAATAAAGAATCTCTTTAAAACTTGATTTAAATGCACAAATCTTTCACTTTTTTTTAAAGTTCCTTTATCAAAGGCAAACTTAGGCGTTGGGAGCCCACGATTGCATTGCGCTTGGTGGTCAGCTATAGCTCGCAAGAAATCCAATATGGCGGATCCTCCGCAGCAAAAGAGACGAAGAGTGGAGAATCCTAAAACTCAATGTTTAGTGGAAAATTTTTTGCAGTGGTGCGGCGATGTTGGTTTAACTTTAAACTCTAAGGTATACTAAGGTTCTGATTCATCACGAAGTGTCATTCAATGTTTTGCAATAAAAAAAATGCCCGCAAATGTCTGCTATAAAAAAAAACGGTTCTTTTTTACCTCAAGGTTACGGTAAGGGAGGAAGGTTCGTGTCACAGGTTCGGCATGATCGCTTTGGAAAACATCGAAGAAGGAGAGTCTGTCTTCAAAATTCCAAGAAATGTTTTACTAGAACCGCACACCTCGGCCATTTCCGGAATTGTTTCAGAGTTTGCAGAATGTTTACCAGAAATTCACTCAAGGTATTGTCCGGATTGGAAAAAGTCAATGAAAATAGCCCGTGACAGCGTAGTTTAACAAGAAAAGATTATACATGATTATAATCGCCTTGAGGCAATAATCGCGTTGTTTATTTCCATCTAGAAACAAATGGCTTCCCCTTTTAATCACGCTTCTTCACGAGTACACGAACCCCACGTCAAAATGGCGACCATATTTAGATCTCGTACCAAGCGAGACAGTCCTCAATCAACCGATTTTTTGGACCGAACAAGAACGAAAAATCTTGACCTCAATCGATCTAAAAGATGGCGTGGAAGAAGACGAAAGGAATATCGAATTGGGATACAAGAATTTCGTGTTGCCGTTTATGGAAAAAAACAAGAAATATTTCGAGTAAGTTTGTCTCACCCCCGACAAAGTTATTTAACTACAGAGTTAACTGAGACTTTCAGCGGTTTTTGACAGGATGTATGTATTTCTTTCAGTCCTAAGGTTCATACCTTGGATCTTTACAAGCGTCTTGCTGGGTTTGTTATGGCGTACAGTTTTACCGACAGCGATGACGTCGACGCGAAGCCTGCGATGGTGCCGATGGCGGACATTTTGAATCACGTGAGCGACAACAACGCCCACCTGGAGTTTGGTGACGAGTTCCTAAGTATGGTCACCACACAAGCCATCAGGAAGGTAAATATGACCAAGACGAGGAACCAAAGGTCTCGTTGCTCCATCTGTTCATAACCAGGCCTGGGAACGAGCTATTCAGTTTCGAAAGATCAAACAATCTGTGCGCTTTTAAACCCCCTTTTTTAAAACCCAATCTGTCAAAATAATGAAATCACATTTAAAATCACGGTAGAACCTACTGAGTTCATCTGAAATCGAAAAGGGCGAGTGGCCAGAGTGGGATTGAAAGACTCTCTACTACATTTGATTTTAAATTTGTTGAATTAGGGCTGTGAGGTGTTCAACACTTATGGAAACCTGGATAACTGCAATCTTCTACGTTCGTATGGTTTCATTGAAGACCCTCCGAATGTTTTTGACGAGGTAAACATCGTGAAAAAAGGACATTGGTTGACTAAACCAAACATTCTAACGTTTTTACCTGCTTTCCAGCACCCCCAGGTGTCATTGTAACTCGACGTTTTATTGCATCAAGGTTGACATACCCTTGCGAATCTTCCAAGAAGTTTTAAAACTATCTGATAAAGAATGGAGAATCAAGATGACCTCGATACGAGGACAGGTACACACAAGATAGAGCAAAATCTAGGCCTGTGCAGTACATGTACAGTATACCACGGACATTGATAACAATAATTGAACCCTTGCCTCTCTTAAAAACAAGCTCCATATCTCTTCTTTAGCAAACGTGTAGTGTGAATACAGAAGAAGGACTCATATTTAATCTCAACGCTGGATGTACGTCGTCTGGGGAAGAACTGCACACACTTTTTGAGGCATGTCTCTGTGAAATAACTATTATCTTACTGCAGTTGCCTTGATATTTTTCAATTGAAAGTCTGTGTAAACTCAACAGATTAAGAGTGCTAAAAATGTAAGAATTTTTTCTGATAGGATTTTTGTTTTTAGCACGATGTTAATACGGTAAGAGAAAGTAAGTATTTTGTTTAAGGGTGTTTCCGTTAACAAATAACTTTATGTAATTTTAATATTTCCTTTAGGCTATTCATGAAAGACAATCAAAATCAGACGAAAATGACGAAATAAGGAAAGATATTGAAAGAAATGAGATTGAGAACGATAATGACAACAATACTAACTTAGAATATATCAAACCTAAGTCAAACGTCGATAAGGGATTGACCGAAATTTCTGGGGATGTCTCGAAGCATGCAGGGATAACAGTGGATGACGATGAAGATGATGGATTGAAGAGTGACTCGGATGAAGCCTCCGAGGGTGACAAGGGTACAACGATGGATACAAGTGGATCTGATAGCGACGGGATAGGGGATTTTTGGGGTAACGATGGATCAGAAAGCGATGACTCGAGTTGTGCTGGGCAAAGTGGTGTAGGCTGGGGTAAGATTCATTTCAAAAGTCCTACAAAGTCAATGTGTTTCGCACTTTAGCCAAATTTTACCTGAAAAAACGGTTAACTAGACGACTAGTGAATTTTGTTTTTGTTTTAGTTGAACTACAAGAATTACCAGGCAAATGGAAACAGACAATGACAAGGTGAAGTTAACGGAAATTTTTCCCCACATAATTTCATGTCACTGTATCAGGCCAATTTTGGCTTTCGCCTGATGTTAACGGTTAATTCTGGTAGTAAATGATGACGTCAGATGACGTTTGCCGCATATGATTTCACATAACATCAACGAACATCCGAACCAGCCGAACAGAATTGTCGTGTGTGTCATCGCATTATAATACACATGAACAATATTGAATGAATTAATCTTTTCTATTTTAGGGCAGCCAGTGTTCGCTCAAGAAATATACAAAATTTAGCAGAAGAATTGTCAAGAAAAGTTGCCAAATCACAGGACAAAACGCGAATTACAATGGTCAAAAACATCCTACAAGGCCAATTGACAATCTTACGAAAAATCCAAGATTTATCGATAATTTAATTTATTCGAATCTAATGCACTTATTTTTTTTATATTTATATATTATTTTTATATTTATATACCAAACGCAAATACTAGCGTGCACTCCCCCCGGAATCAATGTTTCAATTAAATTTAATAACTTATTGTTCTGTGATATGGCCTAGTCTCAAATGCTGTGTGTTTTTCTTTCTTGTATCCTAATGTGAAGTTCTGTGCAGTTTAGCGGCCATTTTGTACGTGAATATGATTACAACTAACTATATACGAGTCAACTTTCTGGCGTATGTGATTTCGTAGGTCTCAACAATCAGGTCACCCACATTAAGCACAACGTCACCTAGTATCTTAACTCCTGTGTACCAATTCAGTAAATAACATACGCCAAAATATCAAATTTTGCTTTTGGACAGACCATCTTCTCTTTACTTATCGTCTATTTTTTTACCCTGAATACACCTCATCTATTTTCTTCGGGATTAATTTAGTGTTGAAATGATCAAACCTGTGCTCATTACTTCCACTTGAATTATTTTCATTTTTCGTTTTTCAAGGTACCATAATCAGGCGTGTTGCTTCTTTCACTCATCTGTGAAAATGAAAACATCGTGAGTTTTGACACTGATCTCATAAAAAGAACTGTACACTATCTGCTGAAGTTAATGCTTCGAGAAAAATACGCGAGGCTATATTTTCTGCATATACAAATTTGCAAAAAGACTTCAAAACTTCACTAATTTATATAAATCATTATTACATTATACTAAAATTAGTATCCAGAATGTTATGCTTTTTTTCCCAAAGTGTAAAAAATTATTTTTTATGAGAATTTTAAATTAATTTATTATTTATAATTTGCACAACTCTGTTTATACCATTTAATCGTTAATATTTTCGTAGTCACCACTGTCAGTGCGTTCTTCGGGTTTTGTCTAAGTTCAAAGAAAAATACCCAAAGACCATGTCACACGAGCATTCCAAAATGTCGCCTTGAAGCAAAGCCGACGAAATGCTTCTTGTGAAGAAAAACATTTATCCCTCTTGCATATACGACTAGCTTGTAAATATATCAATTTGCGAGGAAATATATCATGAAATACAGGCCTTTTATAAAGGTTTAAAAAGCAAAACGTACTCGTAAACTCGCCTCATCTTCGCTTGTGCTACTGGCGTCCGGGTCGTCGACATATTGGTATTTCTTATTTCGATAAAAATATTTCTTTTTCAACAGATATAACACACATATATCGCACATCACGGTCGCCTGCAAGAAATATGGCACCCACGTTCTCAATAGTACAAAAACTGTTGCGGAAAAACTATGGAAGTGTGTTCAGAAGCAACAAACATCCGAAAACGCTCGATCTGTGGTTGAGTATGACCAGAAAATATTCACAATTTCCACCCAGCAAATTCTGGTAAAATTTAACACATTTTCTGGTCAAAAAATGGTCCCATTTTAACACTTATTCTGGTTTGTACAGTGAACATACCACGCTAAGTAAGGCCAAGCCAGCACCAAGATTCCGAAGCAAAGGAATGATGTCAAATTTACCAGCCTATTTGAAAAAAAAACACACCAGATTTAACCCCGACCCGAAGTATGCTTTCTTTGTAACCAGAAATAATGATTCGGCTTAAGTTCTTATAGAAATTATCTTAGCTATTTCCAGCAGGGTCAATCGCAAAATTACTTTTTTTAACAAGACTTTTTGAACTGGGGAACAAACTTTGAAGAAAGCCATACCTTCGCGTCGACCATTATAACAAATCTAATACCATATGCCTTTATCAACGTCCGGTACTGAGTATCATTTTCGACATCGTAAGTTGCAAATCTGTGCGAAAAATTGTAATTCTAATAAACATGCGATTATTTTACAAGGGAGCCGAACCTTACTACAGTTTTAAAGCACGGACAGTCTGTAAAAATACATACGCCATATTGCCTACGCTGCTACGGGAGATTTTGAAGCTTAACTCAATGTGAATAAATTCTATAAGCGATTATTTTTCAAGGGAGCCGAATCTTACTACAGTTTAAAAGCACGGACAGTCCGTAAAAATACATACGCCATACTGCCTACGCTGCTACGGGAGATTCCGAAGCTTAACTTAATGTGAATAAACTCTAAACAACTTGTATTTACTAAACTACTAATCCAGGATTGCAGAGAAAATACAACGAAGATATATAATTGTCTTGACCACAAACCTGAAGTTATATCCACCTGCTATCTGAGCATGCGCATTGTCCACTCTGAAACATGTGTGAAAACAAATTAAATTTGAACTTAAAAAACTTGAACTTGAATTCACTTCAAGAAGATTACACAACGTTTTGCTGCTTTATTGTACCTGCCAAATGAGTAATGTGGTAGACACTCGCTCTCGTCATAATCTAAATCACAATCCCACTTGATTTTAATGGCAACAATCCCCCCCTGAAATACAATAGAAACATCATTGAACTTTAGAGATATCAAAATAATTTTCATCAGAGCAACATATCCATGCAACATATTCAATATAAAATCTAACACAAAAAAATAGAGCCTGTTTTTAACATAGTTTTTAGTTTTCCTTTTGGTAAATTACACACCTAAAAGGGAAAAATATTGACAATGGGCTGTATATTACTAAGATATAACGATGTGTACCTTAATGCAAGCATCTTCAAATGCAGTATCGGAGATTTCATCAAATATTGTTTTTAAGCTAATGATTGGACACAGACGATTTTCTTTACTTGAACTGTAATGACATCTTGTCAGGTAGGTCTTGTTCTGCTTGTCATTTATATTTCGTCTGAAATGGTCAAGTAATATCAATAAGACTTTGATGTTAAAAGGCATTAAAAGGTAATTTTCCTCAGCAAGAGATTATGCAACTTTTTAACAGCACCTCTGTTACATGGCTATTTTTAACCCACATCCCCCTTCCTTTACCCATACCTTAGTCCGCCTTCTTTGCCACCCTCACTTTCTCTTATTCTTTACCCTTATACCTTCAATCCCCTACTCCCCCCTACCATCCATGCACATCCCTTCTTGTCCCCAAACTCGTCATCACAGGTCCCTCAAAATACTTACACCCGAACACCAAATTCTGGAAACTGCACAGTGTTCTTTATCAATATTGTGAAGTTGATGGCAGAATCAAGCAGGCAAGTGTCGCTAAATTGAAACAGTTAAAAATTAGTTGTGTATATGGAATATGTAAAAGTACTCTATAAAACATATCTTGGCACAACAATAGTGTGTGATCTATCAAAATTATTGTCAACATACTTTCTTAAGGGATTGCCAGAATTTGTTCCCGGCATTGGTAGTTTGTCATACTCCACTGGACACCAGGAATATATCTCGCAGACATTGTAATTGCCCCGGTCACTTCGTTGTCTGTCTGGTGCTATGCACCTTCCTGTCATGACGCCTGAGAACAGAACAAATCATGATCAATCCTATTCATTCGGCAATATTCATCCAGTGATAATTCACTATATTCATTTGATGCTAACTATGGAATGATTGTATGGCATATGACCACACATCCAGATTATGAACAAAGACCTAGATATATATATATTAGTTAATCTGGACTGAGAGCCTAAAGTCAAAATGTGTTCAAATGAGAGATGGTGAATATATACCTTAGAAAATAACAAACTAAAACTTTTTGTGTGCAAAATATATTTGAATACAATAAATGACGACGAGCCATTAATTAATCAGATGACCAGTTTCAGCGTGCATGAGGTCTAAATCATGGTCATTGCTCACAGTATTTTTGGCATTTAGTTGATGTGAACTAATATAGTAATGTATACAAAACAGGTCAGTGCTGTAGAAAAGGCAGCAATGTTGGCCATCACATACCATGTCCTGTGATAACTTCTTCACCTTTAGTACAATTAGCATCAGAATAACAACGAGCCATGGTGTATTGGTCGTCTTCCGGGCACATTCCTTGCTTCTGCCGAGGCGTTATTATCATGTTGGTCATCACAAAGACAGCATCATTTTCCTTAGATAGGTCATGAATATCAGTAAAATAATCAATAACATCAACACCAGATATCAGCAACAGAATCAATAACATCAACACCAGATATCAGAGATACCCTCACCAAGAACCAACTACATTGAAAATTACCTCTGGAGGTATCACATAATCTGACGAATCCCAGATCCGTGGTCCATCAAAAAGCTTGCTTGACTCTATCCCATTGCTAATGTTGACTGGGAAATTTATTGACAAATTGGTTAACGCTGTTCCTTTAAGTTTCGTTGTTACAGAGCTCAGTCCAACATCAAATGACTGATAACCTTTTTCATAGATAATAACATAGCTAAAGAAATGACAGATATATAGTTTTAACTCAATTACTCAAAGTGCTCTCTACTGATGATTAAAATCATCTTAAATTAGACAGAATGGACGCATATTTGTTTTCAATGCATGTTTTAGACGTGGAACTTTTCTGCACTATATTGAATGCAAATGAACTTAAACAAAGACCTTAGAATTCAGATCGATATCAAAACTTTCATGTCCGAGACAGGCCTGAACTGCATTCTCCTAATTTATCAAACAGGTTGCTGCAAGTCTGTGCATAAAAAACCTGCTGAAAAACGCATCTTTTCATAAAAATATGGGTCCTCGAAACACCTGTGTGCCAAAGAACAAGCATCACTTGTCACGGTTGTCACTTTTCATATCTCAAAGTTCAATTAAATTAAATAATTCAACAGAAGCAATATTAAGCACAAAACATCCATTCAGAATCGTTCATCTTTCAGAAACAATTGTGTACAATATTTTGTACAATATAAACAAGATAACCAATATATTTCCATGAATAGTTGTCTATTATTCCTTAAACAAAAGCTCCGATATTAGCACGAGCTCTTTCTTGTATATTAAAGACCCGTTCTTTTTCCATCGATTTTAGGTTTTGCTGAATGTTAACATAATTACTTAGAATTAGATCATTTTCGCAGATGACGATTGCCACGTACTTTTAATTTAAATACCACGACTGCAAATCTAAACATCATTTAAAGTGAGAAACACGACAAAAGACTGTTCTTACCCGATCACATATCCGATGATTGCAAGTTGTATTATGCGGTTGATCAAGCCAACTTTCTTGCTCTTTATATGAACAATCTTATTCGTATCATATTCAAGGACGGCAGCAGCGAAAGAGCTGCAAGCCTCGTTGAAATTCACCATTTTAAAGAAGCATTTTTCATGTCAGGAGATTAAGAATTTTGCAATCATCTTCATGAGGTCTGATCAGGTTTTATAGCTCAGTGCACTGAGCTATAATATAATTCCTGGAGGACCGGCTCCTAATGTTTTGAAATACAAAAAGTGAAGCAAAAAACATGGCGGATTTTGGCCTTTGCTGACGCCAGATTGACGCCACTGGTTCTTATTTGCAATGGTAGTTACCACTGACCAACCGCGATCCAAAGCATGAAAAAATGCGAGCACCCTCCTGGTTTTCGATAAAAACAGGATTTGGTTTTTACGAAATTTTTTGTTTTTGAACAAAAACATGGATTTTTTTCCTTTTTTGCTGGTTCTTTTCAACTTCAACAAAGAAGCAGCTATTTGCTCTGCTTGTTCCTGCCGCAATTTACTCATTAAAGAAGAAATTTTTGGCGATTTGCACTCAGGTAAGAGTTTTAAAAAGGCTTTCGCAATTTTGATGTTTGAACTCTGAACGTCAAGTAAAAAATATAGCCTCGTAGTTCGACGGCTATGACAGATCTGAAAACAGAAATGATATATTTACTAACATTTAATTTGTTTAACTACAACATATTTCTATTAATATTTGTTTATCCATTATATTTTACACTGATTTGAATCCATGTAGTTGTGCCAAAACTCAGGTCTAACCAGATCAATCATCAATGTGTCTATAGCCATCTTTTGATGAAAAATCATACAAGATATATTAGATCAAAGTATATAAAGGATGCAATAGGAACAAAAATATAATCTGAAGGAGCAAGGTCTGAGAATAACTTGCCTAAATTTACTCACACTTCCAACTGAGGCATCATCATGGCCTCAGTAGCTGACACTAAATTATCTGTACTAATTTTGTCAACACTTACAGGGTGTATTATACATACAGTTAATCTCTGACATATCTTTCTTTTTGCAGGGACATAACATAGGGTTTGGTAGATCAAGTGGAGGCATGTTATGCAAAATTCTGGAGAATTAAATTGAGACAACCATACTATTATACCCATATGAACTACACACATTCTTAAATACAGAAACTGTTTTATTTTTTTTACAAATTACAATGTTTTATTAAAAGAAAATAAATATTACAATTGGTAAGGCTTTGTTTATTTCATTTCCAAAGAACCTTTCCAGTCATTGCAGGCTAATCTGGGAGAAGCTGGTAAGTGGTAAGCCCCTTTTGCATATAATCAATAATAATTACCATGGCTATCTTGGCCTACAAGCATCCCTGGTTCTAATCTTCCTTAATGCAGCCTCTGCATTATCATTTGCAAATATAGAAAAGCATATGACCTGCACAGGTGCCATAATTATTGGTTTTATACCATGGAAAGAGCATGGCCTGTGCAGTCAAACAATTATAGTGCTGACCACTGCATGGTGCTGACTGCTGGAAGCTTTCAATTTAATAGTTCATCCTTATAGCTAATAAGCTCATTCATATACATGATATATGCTGATATAGTTCAGTACAGAAAAACTATTTCTTCTGGCTAATGAAATCCAGCTATTAAAACAAATGGACAGGCTACCCTTGGTTGAAATTGCACATCTTCATCCTCCCAATGATTCTTAGCCTCTGTTTCTTTGGACTTGAATTTACATCATGTTACCTTTTAGCGTTCTTTGGAAGAAAATGCCTGAAATATGTATGTAATATGTAAAATAAATTATTTCCAAAGTATAGGGTAATCTTTTTTGTAGTTGTTCAAACTTCAAACTATACATTTCATTCTCTCCGCCCGTCTTTTGGTCAAATATTAAAATATATAAACAACGACATCTATCTAAAGACTGTTAACGAAAAAAAATGGTGAAATTTTATCTAAAAAATGAAATTTATGAATAATATATTTACCTGTCAGTCAACTGCATTTTCGTTTCGGCAAATTTCTTGAAGTTTTATGATTTATCTGTTATTTGTTTCCTGTTTTTGACAGAAGTACGTGTACGACTTTGATATCTTCACAAAAACATCGAACATATCTGATCAAAAAGTTTTCAGTTCAAAAATATTGACTGACGTTTAAATTTTTTTCGGAAAATATAATAATGAGAACTGAATACTATTTTTAACAAAAACCAGGGGGGAGTGCATTTGTAGCGGGCTCAGAATTGAGCCTTGGTCAGTGGTAACTACCATGGCGAATAGGAACCAGTGGCGTCAATCTGGCGTCAGCAAACGCCGAAATCCGCCATGTTTTTTGCTTCACTTTTTGGTCGCGGGCCGGTCCTCCAGGAATTATATTATAGCTCAGTGGCTCAGTGGCTTTCTCGAGAAGGCAGGAAATTGAGACAACAGTCACGAGAGGTAACGGCCAGCGATAATCTAATCACTACTTTAAGTTACCCATCTTGAAGTGTACCACTCCACCATGTACCACTCAACCATGGTAAGGTCGAATATACCATATTTCGGTATATTCGACCATGGTCGAATGTACCGGAAAACGGTAAACTCGACCATGGTCGAATGTACGGGAAAATGGTAAACTCGACCATGGTCGAATGTACGGGAAAATGGTAAACTCGACCATGGTCGAATGTACCGGAAAATGGTATACTATCGGTACACTACCGTCACTACGAGTGAAAAAACGTCACATACTAAATTGCTTCAAACAACAGACTAAAATTAAATCTTTAATTCAAATTTCTGAATCAACATTAAAATAGCTCTGTAATTCCTAAAAATACACTCTTGTGATATGAAAAACAATTGTATATGTTTTATAATAATAATAAGCAGCATTAAAAGCTGATATTTAGTGAAGAGATTGAAGTCTGCTTTGCAGTGTCTCTTATAAGATTAAACAATGATAGATGCAATCAAAGAATGTGCTGAGCAGATGATTCATCACATATAAGCAAAACTCTGACAAATCCATATTTTATATACGGTATCCTTAGAAAATTCAAGTTGGCACAACCTGTAAGAGCAAAGAGTTTCTTAAAGTTAAAAATGAATGAAGAAAATACGTCTTGTGATTGAACTTTTCCTATGTGAAATCACGGCTGAGACGCTCGCCATGATGGCAATCAAAACAATCCTAGAGAAAACAATCTTAGAGACGTGGCGTGCCAATACCTCACCTGCATGGGGTCGGTTGTATAAAACTCTTTTACTACACCTTGCATAGTTAAATTCTAGTTAACAAATTCTAGCCAAAAATATACAACTCTGATTGGGTATTTCTGTCCTTAACTACAGTTAAAAGTTAACTAGTCTTACTCTTGCCCCTACATACAACCGGCCCCTGGTGTGGCTATACACCGTTTATTGGATCAAACTGATTCCTCGTGGAAAGACTTGCCGCTTTTTAGTGCCATTCAAAATCCAAATCAGAAATCTAACTTGTGGCACAGAATAGATATTTTCACTTTTGTTAAGTATGTTATTTTGTGAAAATTTCCAAGGCAAAAGCTTCATGTGGCTTTCACATGTATTACACTATAATCTTGATACAAACTCAGCTTTTTTTCAGCTTAAAGTCAGATTTTGTGGTTATTGCTTTCTTATGGACAAGCTGAAGTTAACCAAGTGTGCATGGTAATGAAAAGTAAGCTAACATGACAGCGACATACCACTTCTAAATTTCCAGTCTTTCCTTTTGCGATAAACAGTTGTTCACTGTAAAGTACAATTCATATAAGAATATACAAGATTAGGACAACATAGGACAAGGATAGGATAAAACAGGACATATAGGAACGGACAGGACAGATTAAAACAAGATAGGGTATGATGAGATAGAATAGAACAAGATAGAATAAAAAGAGAAATGTCAAAACAGGAAAACAGCAGATCATGATGTGGCAGTGAATAAAACAAAATTAAAAACAATACGTACCCTTTAGCGAATGTTATTGTGCCCTTCTTCTCCTTGGGTAATGAATGCGTGATACTAGAAGGACAATTTAAAAACACTTGCATTTAGCACAAGCTGCTCCTTCTAATTTGCAGTGGATTGAGAGAAATGTTCCCTCGATGAAAACATTCAAGTTCAATACTTACACGATTGGTAAAATATATTTACCTTGACTGTTCAATATGAATTTTGTCTTTTTTACCGGCCGTTAGAGAGATCTGTGTGACCGTTTCAATTATCTTCGAACTTGTTAGAATCCAATCGCCCTGTCATAGAAACGTACAAATTTATCAAATTAGCAATGTCATGCTGTAATCCATAGACACACCAATGACACTAACCGAGAATATCTATGAATCACACAAATTGGCTACAAAATTGGCTACTTTGCATGGCTATATTTTCGGTAATACTTGAAATTTTGCGGCCAAACTTGGCAATTATACTAATTTCGATATGCTCTTTTTAGCTGTGGTGATTTATTTCCTTCTTGTCAACTAGATCGTAAGTTGGTCTATTATGCAAAAGGTCCATTAGCAGTTAAGAAACTGAGAAAAATTATGATAATCATCATTGTGTTTGTTAGGAAACAGGTACACATGTTATTATGGGACACACGTGACACATCCTTGCCCTTAGCTCAGTTAGCTGTATTTAATGAGTGGTAATATTAATGGAGTTACCTTATCGCCTTTCTGTTCACAAGTTGTGTGAAGTATAAAAATATTATCGCCCAAAGAGCTCACAGATATTCCTGAATGAAAAGTTCGGATAGCATGTAACGGAAAGGGTTTTGTAGTGAAAAGCAAAACATAGAAACGAGAACTGTTGTTCGAAAAAACAATAAAAATCTTACAATACCTATTAACTCGGAATGCAAAACCTTCTCTTTAATTTTGAAATTTGATGGTTCCAGCAAGTATGTTGCCTGCATGTGCAGAAAATTCAAATTGAGGGCATATTTCTCTATCCAGTTCTTTCATAAATAGGTTATTATCCACTGCTATTATAAAATTTCTCACGTTACCTGATTGCTGACGATGAGCACACGTGATCTTGGCTTGTAACCATGGCGATCGTATTTCACCACACCGATACAATACTAAATGATGTCATACAAAAAAATTCCTCAACATTTAATCGATATCACATACTTTTTATAAAGCATGCACAATACAAGAGGAAAAAAAATTACGCATATAAACTTAGATATAAACTAGAGAAAACTACTTTATCTAATATTAGAGTTCCATTCCGACAACGAGATATCTGTAGTTGAAGGAATGTTTACAGTTCTCCAAGAACGACTACCACGAACACACACAACCCTAGCGCGAAGAAGAGCAAAAGCTATCTTCGTACGTAACCAGTTGAAACATTCCTCAACATTGGGTTACTTATGAAATGATCTTTCTAGACGTTACGTTGGATTCTGTTTTTGTATGTCTAAATCAAATTCTAGTGCATTGCAAATGTTGAAAATGTCTAATCCTCACATCAAGTTTCATTTAAACATTGATGATGACGAGTTGGATTCCTTTACCTTTGTTACTTCAGAATTGATAAGATGATCAAAAGCACTCTTTTTCATCGCCTCTTGACTTGAGTCTAAAGATGCGATCAGATATGCCATCTTAAGTCAATAATATACGCGTGTCGACCAGCTGTCTGAATGACCTGTGTGTTTAAATCTTCGATATACGCACCCAATCTGCTATATTTGAACGGTTCAGAAACACTCTCTTCGTAGCACGTTTTATTTCCTTTGAATAAATCACTAGCGGCCAACTTCATTGTAAGCTAGGAAAAGATTAGCTATTCGTCAGGGGAAGAATTCTAAACTGTTCTTCCTAGAGGTCCGGTAAGGATCATCTCTTATTGATCCAGTGTTACTACAGGAGGAAACCTAAACTAAACTAACTTTATTTACACTGGATAGCTCTATCAGTTCTAAACTGTTCTTCCTAGAGGTCCAGTAAGGATCATCTCTTATTGATCCAGTGTTACTACAGGAGGAAACCTAAACTAAACTAACTTTATTTATGCTGGATAGCTCTATCAGTTCTAAACTGTTCTTCCTGGAGGCCCAGTAAGGATCATCTCTTATTGATCCAGTGTTACTACAGGAGAAAACCTAAACTAAACTAACTTTATTTATACTGGATAGCTCTATCAGTTCTAAACTGTTCTTCCTAGAGGTCCAGTAAGGATCATCTCTTATTGATCCTTTATTTATACTGGATAGCTCTATCAGTTCTAATACTTACCTGTGCCTTTCTCTCGGCTGATAGACCGCGGACATATTTCCTAACCATTGCGCGAGTGTGCAAGACATGAAGTAATTCTGATGCCTGGGATTTCAAAGTGAAATATCAAAGTTTAAGATTTTTTCTCGGTTGTTTTCTAAACATGAGGCGAGCTTTTTGTACGTAATACAAATTTAAAGTTTGTTTTAACCCAGTTGTGACTTTAAACTTTGAGTTAGTGAATTTAATCATTCACCAAAGCCAAGTTATTTCCCTAAGTTTTATGATTTTACGTCGACCTTTGTCATACCTCTTTGACAGCTGGCGGTGGTGGGGGGAGCCAGGATTTGTCCAACACATTCTTTGGAAGGTTCTTAGCCAGTTCTACAAGATACCACTTTCTCGTGCAACATATGAACTGTGAAAAATATCGCATAACAAGGTTAATGGGTGCAGTGTTTCATTACATGAAAATATGGTACGGTGTTACATTGTTTGGTACGGAAAGGTACGGAACGGTGCGGTACGGCACGGCACGAAACGGAACGGTACAGTACGGTACGGTATATGGTATGGTATTGAATGCGTGCTCTGTATGCCATGCTATAGATCACACTCACCCAGGCATTCTCCTCATTTGCAGGCTCATTGCGCGTCATAAAACCTTTGATAAACCTATAGTTGAGACAACATCAAGACTAGAAACCATCTCAGCAAGAATAAACAAGCTTTATGAAGACCAATATTGATTGGGATCTCCCATTTTACATTCAACCCTCACATGCAGTTAAAAGGAAATCTTATCCAGGTGACCGCAAATTTTGAGCTATTTCTTGTTTGACAAATCAACATACTTTCTGATAGCCGCAGCCGCTCGCTTTCGTCTTTCTCTGAGTCTCTGAGCACTCAATCTGCGCCAGTGAGCAGCGATGACAGTGACCGCCATTCTGATGATCTGGTAATTTTTCTTCGCGCTGTAACCACGGTATCGCGTTTGGATCACAGTTGCTACAACAAAAATACATCGCACGTTTTGTACCCATTTTGTAAATCCGCGAATCTCGTAATCTAGCAGGGTCCAGACATCACCCTACGACAAAGCATAGCTCTGGGAGACAACAAGTTCACTTCTTTTAACAAGTTCACTTCTGTCCATGCACGAGGTACGGTGTTGTTTTGATTAAAAGTAAAATACTGTCACGTTCCGTTACAGGATTCTGTATCTTTCCCAAACAATACTACGCCAAAGGAAGAGGACAGAGTATACCTTCCCTGAAGGGGGGGGGAGTAGAGGAGGGAGTGAAGCCCCCACTCCCTCCTCCCCCTCACATAAAGACATCGCTCATTTTCTCACCTAGATAGTGTTTCTTGTTTTGGAAGAGGTCCTCTGTGGCAAACAGTGTCTGAGGATTTCGGATAAAGATCTTCGTCCTGGTTTGAAACGGTTGAAGAAACATCAGAAAGAAGGATGGTAGGCCTCGATTTTATCACAACATCGAGCCATTCATTGCGGCTTCGAAATTCTTCGAACATCCTACCTTCCCATTTTATACTCGTCTTGTTTATAGCCCAAATGTTCGCATAACTTTAATACGCCATCTTCAGGTTTTCCTTAGAAAATGAAAGAAATTTCGTTAACTTATTAAATGACGATGCTTCCGACTGTGTACTAAAAAGTGAGTGCCAGTAGAAACTTAGGCACGTCTGAAACGATGGTTTTAGCGGTATTAAAAGCAGATTTTTAGATGCACATACCATCCCAAATAGGCCAAGTATCAGGACACAGGGCTTTGTACCTTGAAAACAAGAACGCATAAACATGACTGGAGTCGAAAAGGAATGTGTACAGTGAGTTGTGTGAGGTTGGACAGCTAGCTTTTAAGTCAGCCAGCTACAGGCATCGAATATACAACGAACTACTTGTCAAAAAGAGCTGGAGAAAAGCATTGCAAGGATTCCGAGCTTTACCTTTGAAGAAAAACTTTATGATTTCTTCTATAAGCGAAACCAGCTCTTCTCACTCGAAGGTTCTCCATCAAGCCCAAATATTTCACTTGATGATGAATTAACTTCTCGTCGAAGGCAGCTGAACGAATCGAAATATTACTAATATACAATGATTGACTGGCTTTTAGTGGATCTCGTTCGATTGAACTTATTGGGGATGATGTTCAGTGGATAGAAAGAAGCTACAATGTGATGGCAATCTTTCAATTGCAATTATATGCCTGGAACATGTTGCTTACTCACTCACCTGATCGTTTAGAATCGTTCGGTTTAATACAACGAACGTATGAAGGTTGTTTTGATAGTAAAATCCCCATGAGGTTGTTCAGACTTGTTTTAAACTGAGTTGCCGCCTACGAGAACGAAAGAAATGTTGTTCACGTTTAAAAATAAGCTTTGTCTTTATTTCTTGGACATTGTGCAAAATGCGAGGCCAAACTAATTACGTTGCACTTCGATTTAAGGATAACTTTCTGAACGATTTACGTCCTAATTTCGAGAAGAACGTCTGCTCAGATCTAAGTCAGGAACAGTTGCATGAGAAAAATCATCAAGGTCTTCCGGCAGAATTGAACATACGCTTTCATTTGCGATGCCCATGGCAAGCTCTGAGCAATAAGGTGTCAATTTGATTATAAACTTACCGTTCCAGGACGTTTCTTACACGCCATTTCGCTCTGAGGAAAGGCACTGGATGTAATCGTGTTCTTACTGAGTGACATCGCCTAGATTAGATACACAATAAACCCACTCTATTGTTTTTTTTCATTACGGTAACAATGTTTGTGTGAAATTTGTGTATACGTGCCGCATGAAGGCCCTTAAGGTAACTAGTTCTTTGTACCTCTTTCAAGTCTCTGTAGAGAGGATCGTTGTTCTTGTCAATAAAACCTGAGAAATAAAAATATATTCACATGTATACCGGGTCATCAATGGATGGGTTTTGCCCGTAATCTTAGCGTATATCTGGAGTACGAACGTAGCCAAAAGGTAATGTTTAGTAAATCCTAAATAAACGAATTTAATTCCTAATTAAGGTTAGGAATAGGTTAGATTTAGGATTATGGTTAATCCTAATAGACTATAAACTTAATCTTAGGCCTAAACCTAACCTAAGGATTAAGTTGCGGGTTTGTTAATATACATAGAGTAACATGAAGTAACATGACTGTGAACGAAGAATTCGATTATTGATATACACATGACTTCTTTGCTGTATACGTCTTTGAAAAAGTAAACCGTTTCCTATTGAAATGAAGCAAACTACCTACCTAAAACACTATAGGTTACATCCCCAGCATAATGTTTCAACCGGAACTCCTGCAATATGCGAGAATAACACATTAATATCTCCCTTTAGTAGCCAAGTGTCGTTGTGTGTCTAAAACAGACTTTGTTCAAGCATGACACTTTGCTAAATCTCACTTCAGTATTTAGCGAAGTTACTAATAAAGTACAAAGGTTTCAACAAGAGTTTCACAAGTGTTCGACCAATGAGATGTTTGTCATGCTAAAAACTTTTGACCAATCAGGTATTGGAACTCAAAAGTTCTGACCAATCAGCAGAGGGAGTGAAAAGCTTTTTACTTACCTCGCGTCCTATGTCTTTTCTGCCCTCATAATCTGACATCTCGTGGCTGAAATATTTCAAACAGAAATCAGTAAAACTTTGATTCAAAAATGGATCATCCACATTCAAAGAAACCGTTTGATCTTTAGTATATTATGAATTAAGTAAAATTCTTACAAGACGATTACAAATCTCAATAAACAAACAATATGCTACACAACTAACAGCTTCAACAGGAAATAAGCGAATGCGTTCGCAGGCTGTACCAGGATAGACCTACCAAACAAAATGTTCATGGTTGCCAATGGTGGTGATCAATTTTGATAAAAATGTCATGTCAGAAACCTCGCCAGGTCTTAAACATTCTTCATCCTATCAGAGAAGACGATTATGTTAATGTGACATAATGATTATTCTTTAGGGTCTAAGCGGGTCATCTCTTATTGATCTGGAGGAAACCTAAACTACCGGATAGCTCTATCAGTTCTAAACTGTTCTTCCTAGAGGTCCAGTAAGGATCATCTCTTATTGATCCAGTGTTACTACAGGAGGAAACCTAAACTAAACTAACTTTATTTATACTGGATAGCTCTATCAGTTCTAAACTGTTCTTCCTAGAGGTCCAGTAAGGATCATCTCTTATTGATCTAGTGTTACTACAGGAGGAAACCTAAACTAAACTAACTTTATTTATACTGGATAGCTCTATCAGTTCTAAACTGTTCTTCCTAGAGGTCCAGTAAGGATCATCTCTTATTGATCCAGTGTTACTACAGGAGGAAACCTAAACTAAACTAACTTTATTTACACTGGATAGCTCTATCAGTTCTCATTATCTTCGTTTTATTCTACAGAAAATGCCCCGTAGCAAAAGCCATAGCTTTAAGTTTTTCTCACCAAAACTGCAATTATTCCTTTATGTTTCTCCTCGATCAAGTCACATATAATCTTATTATTAAAGTACTCCACTGGTTCCCACTAAAAAGTAAACAAAAAGTAATACAATTAGTCAAGTTAATGACCTCGCGAGGCAGTTAGCTCGGCCCGAAAACCATCCGCACACGTGAGAAACTTGCTTCTCGAGGCGAATTCCTTACGAAAACTAGGTCTTTAGCTCAGCTCTCGTGTGCGGCGGGCTTTAAAAAGATTTCAGCTGAACTCTATAATAACATGCATGCACTTGAATGATAACGTGGAGAGGTGATTGAGGTCAGGGGCCGGTTGTATCAAGCCCGTTTAACTTAAACGGTGGTTAAGTTCAAAATAGAAATCAAGTTTATCGTTTTATTCAACAAGTAAACTACATGTTTTTAACCTTAATACAAGGATACTGTTTACAACTACATATTCAGTACATAATATTCAAGTTGACTCATTCAAGAGAGAGCTAAGAGTAAACGGGCTTGATACAACCGGCTCTAGATGCTCGATCTTGAAAATCTTGAAAGCAATGGGCACCGAAGTAGTCAAAATGGACTTTAACTTCGCGCAAATCATAATACATCAACTTAAATTTTTTCCAGGAGATGAACTCGAAAGAATTGCTTTCTTCCGTCCGGTCTGCGAGGGTCTAATTTCCTATTAAATCTTAGTCTCGCGCAGGTTACCAGATAGACGCCCCATTGATTTCGTATGAAAGCCAATGGTCACAAGACACAAATATTCAGATTTCAGATACATTTTTAAAAGCGGCAGCGAATTGGTTCGAATCACAGGAATCTAAAAATTTACAGTCGGCATCATTTGAATATGAACAGGCTGAACTTAGTTAAAGAAAGCAATATCACGTCGGATTATTCTCAAATTTCTCTTGGATACGACGAGACCAGATTTCAAACGCAGGTAAACGATAATTTTTGCTGTGGAATATGCGAGAACGTAATGAAAGATCCCGTGATGTGCCGCAATCAACATGGCTTTTGTCGCGGGTGTATCACGATTCATCTTCGAAAGAATTCCCAAACATGCCCAATCTGCCGTGACGAACTCACTGCCGAGACTTTGACCGAGGCTCCGAGAATTGTAAAGAACTATTTGAACGAGCAGAGCATTCGATGCAAGTATTTCGACCGAAGATGTCAAGATATCGTTCAATTGGAACGTTTAGAAGGACACGTCGCCGAATGCGGCTTTGCGCCAGTCGTTTGCGGAAATGAAGGTTGTGGTGAGACGATAAATAAAAGAGATCGCAGGTATCACGAGGGAGAACTCTGCCAATACAGAAAGTTGATATGTGTTAATTTCGAAGAGCTCACTGCGATGATGGCGGACATGAAAACGAAGATGGCTGACCTTGACACGAAAGTTGGAGTCGTGAACGCAAAACTTGAGAAAGTGGACACGAGACTTGCGAACACGGACACGAAAACGGCGTGTACCCAATTTGAGAACGCAGACACGAAACTCGCGAACTTGGACACGAAAGTTGACGTCATGGGAACGAAACTGGAAGTCATGGGCACGAATGTGGAAAACCTTCAGCAAAACGTTAACGCAAAGTTCGGACAGATGAACAATGACATGGAAAGAATGAGGACAAATTTAAACGAAGTTAAAGAAGGATTTGACAACTTCAAAGAAGCAGTAATTGAGAAGAAAGAGAGAAAAGACAACGCGGAAGTGGATGGTGCAAACGATGTCGATGACCAAGCAAATGGCGAACGTCGTATACTTGTTGCTGGTGGTTTTGGATGCGATTCGGTAGAAATGTTCAACTACAGTCGTAGACTATGGTCCACATTAAAGCCCATGACAAGAGATCGAGAAGGCGCGTCCTCGTTCGTTTACAATAATCAAGCGACTGTAGCAGGAGGTTCTGATGAGGAAGGAGCAATGGATAGTATGATAAGCATTGGCATTCATCCCATCCCTGATGCCTCAATTGACTGGGGTCACGTCGTCGCCAAACTTCCTACTGGGATGCACGCACAGAGCAGTGTGGTGTACAACGATAGCTTGTTTGTTATCGGCGGTTACGATAGCGACCAAGGCAACGTTTCCAACCGTATTTACGAAATAATGCTCGAACCACCTCACAGAGTTGAACAGGTATCAACAATGCCTGAACCAAGGGTATATCATGGAACGGAACTTTGTGATGGCAGTATTTATATTTTCGGGGGAGGAAAGTCTGGAAGATGCAGGGATAACATGAACAGTGTGTTGAGCTATGACATCGAGACGACAGAAGCTCAACGGTTACCAGCACTTCCCTACCAAGTGGGTCGAATGGCGACAGTCAAATGGGGTGAGAATGCCGTAATAATTGGCGGGGTTGACAGAAATGGTAGAAGTTTAAACAGTGTTGTAATTTATAACATGAAAACTGGAAAGTTTTACATGTTACCTCCCATGCTTCGGAAAAGAGATGGGTGTACGGCAGTTGTGATTGAAAACACCATCGTTGTTTTGGGGGGAGATGATGAAGCGGGAAACACATTGAAATCAGTCGAAGGTTTCAACTTCGGAAGCTACAGTTGGGAAGAACTTCCTGACATGAACGAGGCAAGAATGCTGGCAACAGCTGTTGTGTTTTAGACATTTTTACGTACGCTTTTTCCACGAAATATTTTTATGGCAGATAAAGTTAGAATGATTTCAAATCAACGAGGGTTTTGAAAAGATTCATCTTCCTTTCTCATAACGACGTCAACACGAAGAGTCCGATGTTACACGAAGTTTGATTGGCTCCGCAAAACTGACGAGCCAATCGAACATCGTGTAACATCAGATTTCCCACGCAACGTCATTATGAGAAAGCTCTATTGAATTTACTATGGTTTTAATGCGAATATCTTATTGTGAAACTTAATAAATCATTGATTTTTCATATAAGACCAAGTCAATCACACAGCTAAATAGCATTTCGTAGTTACCAATCCTTGATTCATAACAACAACAGACTCATGAATACACCTTATATAAGCTTCAGATGCAGCGAAATGTTCCAACTTTAATATTATTGCAGCAGGAAGATTTCAAAAGGCATACTTTCTCGTGACATCCGTGCTGTGTATAGTTATATGCATGCAAACACAAACGAAAGACAAACCTCGATGCCTTCTCTCATGTATTCCTCCTGTTCCGATTTCAAAGTCAGCTCAATGAAAAGTTGTTGGAGTTTTTCATTGCAGTAGTTGATGCAAAATTGTTCAAATCTACAAATTACGGAACGGAAAATTTAGTAAAGCTTTCGACATTCAATGAATAACTTAAATCCACATCCTAAATATCACCCACGACAAACGGTCTTATATGAAAAGATAACCAATGAAAACATGAAAATGCAGTGGGGTAGCCACCCTGACGATTTAGTCATGCTATGCAAATTTTATATTATTATCATTATTCATTTCTTTAGAAATTCATTGGTTTCACAGTCAATGAACACCAAAGTATTAGCATAGCATGACTAAATTGTCGGGCTGGCTACGCCACTGCGAAAATGTGATTTTCACAGTTTCCATCCGAGATTTGAAACTAATCTAAACTAAACTAATTGCGCTCTCACGATATCTTGTTTACTTCATGTTTTTTGTCGATTTAATTTTTATTTGTTCATTTTACTTTATGTCGATTGTCTTTTATATTCAGATATTGACTATTCAAAGGTTATGATCATTACCCGTTTTCGTCGAAAATCTCAAAGCCATATATATCCAGAATACCAAGCAGGGATGTCTTTCCTAAATATTTCTAATAATAAACCAACAACGATATTAGCAATTATATCAACTTCTCATGTATCTCAAAGCAAAGTTTTTAATAACTTTTTTACTTCAACAACTTGAAGAAGATAGTTTTACAATCAAACTTTCCTAGTGACTATCAAATTCAGTATATTTCCAACTCTTTCCAGTTGCACCGTTAAACTTTCCCTGCTTCAAAAATTTGTTTGACCGTGGATGGGATGCCCCACTCCAAGCTACTGACCTTGCTTTTGAGAGCTGTATTCAAACGAGCCACAAGCCAGGAAAACAGCCTTTCGTAAACGCCTTTGGAAAGCGCATCTCTGGCGTACGCGGCTTGTTCCATCGTCAACAACGTCTTCACCTACACGAAACGAGACGAAAGATTATAACACTGAACCCCAACAATGTTAAAAACTATTAATGAGTTTTAGGGACTTTGTAAGCCTGGAATATCCTCCCATATTCAAGTACTTTAAAGGATTTTGTAAGGGACACACTGATACTGGTAAGCCACCCTTTTCTTCTGAGACGAGACCGTTGTACGAACTTGAACGCAGTAAACTCTTACAATGAAAGCAAATTGTAAAGTGAACTTATAAGGCGATGTTACACTATGCAAATTGCAATGCAATTCTACACCTGAAGCATCTAAAGTTGTGAAATACGAACATTTCTCACGATCTGCTAACGTTTCCGTAGCATTTCGAACACTCTTTACAAATTACCATCCCTCAAAATTATAACCGCACTGCAAGTTGCAATCCCGCAATCCCGCAATCCCGCATACCTTTTCACCTTTCACGTCAACGGAACGATGTCTGAAGGCTTTTTCCAGTGCTTCATCAGGGCAACCAAGCAACTATAAACAAAATGAAGTTTAAAAACGGAGTGCTCGCAATTCCAATTTACACATCCATGCAAAAAGATGTTTATTATAAGAATCACTGTATTCTCGTACCTTCGTAACGATCTCCACGTCTTTGTTATCGATCAGAGCTACGCCGCCATTGGCAATCTTGAACTCGATATTGCCGACATGAAGGATGGAAGCGACGATGGCAAACAGATCGTTCTGTTCCTCGCTTGTGAAGTCGATCACTTTTAAAGCTTCTTTCACGACCTGAAAGCCTCCTCTGTCGGTCAAGTTTCGTATGACGGAAATATCAGCCTGATTGGAAGAAAATTGTGAAGATCTTTAGCATGCAAGTTGCACCAAATTGATGGGGAGCAATCATGAAGTAGATTCACTGCAGTCTTCACCTTCGACTAAACTAGGTTATCAATAACGTCTGTGCAAAACGGTTGTATCATCATGCATGAAACGGCATGATTGATTAAACTGTTCGTTTCTTATCTATATCAATCAGTTAGTCTACGATGTTCTCCCATTAAAATCGAGCCAGAACCATGCACTTATTTGCATGAGCTCTTTATACAGATCCATTGTCGGACATGCACCGCATGGGCTAGCTGTACCTGATTCAAGTACTTGTAGTTGGCTGGATCTCGGGTCAACTGTAATCTTTCCAGTTCACTGTCATCAGCTCCACGGAGGAGTTGGTAAAATATGTGGAAGTTTTGTTCGCCTGTAAAAGGAAAATAAAAAGACCAATTCGCAAAAAAATGTTGTATCTCATTTCAAAATATAGCCTTGGAACGGTTACAAAGTCACCGTTAATCGTATATTTTCATATTGACGCAAAAAACTGTAACCTAAACTTGTACCGGTTATGGATTTGCCTCGCAATACAAAGTAGAGACGTCCTAAATTGTCTCCTGGGGCCGGTTGTTCGAAAGGCGTTTAGCTTAAACGGTGAATAAGCCAAAGTCTAAAATTACTCTCATGCATCTTGTGAATGACTAAATCTGCATCTTATGCATATATGTACTTATGTGCAAATATGTACTTCCATTGACAATGGGCTATTTACATCGAAATATTTCAGCTCAGTTGTTCAATAAATATATAGTTTTGCTTTCCATTTTGACCTTATCCACCGTTTAAGCTAAACGCCTTTCGAACAACCGGCTCCTGGCTTGCAAAATGGCTTTCTATGGCCCGTTTCAGACGTTGAATCGAGTGAAAATGAACTTAAACAAAGACTTTATCTTTACCATTAGGTTCGACGTCTGAAACAGGCCTAAATATAGAACTGGATAGAAAGACTTCGCATGCTTTACCTTTGCACTGATGCACAACACGAGATTTCTCCAGCAGGTAGTTGATGATGTGACCGCCAATGGGCGAGCCCTGGAAAATGCGAGATCGGCAAATTTTAGCACTGAAATATCGCGATCTGAATCCACAAAATGCCGTCAAGACAAACCTTAAAATCAAACTGGATATCCATATACTTTCCAAAACGACTGGAGTTATCATTTCTGTTCGTCTTAGCATTTCCAAACGCCTGAAAAGATATAGGTATGTTATGTTTATATATAATACATACACGCTGAAATAAATCGGTTGAATATGGTTATTCTGGAATGTACGGATAGAACAATATATCCTAATGACTAAATTCATACAGTTAGTCAGAAAGATCAGCCGCCTTTACCAATCAGCGCTTAGAAGGACTGTAGAAATAGAAATCCATTCTACAGTATTTAATCGATTATATCTTTCGTTTTTTTTATGAAATTAGTCGAAATTTTGTGATTACGTTTAGTTATAAGAAATATATCTCTGACATAAATTTGAAACCGAAATAAAGTATTTTTCAAGAGATATTAAGTTGTTTCAAGCTTTTTCCCGCCATTTCAGAAAAACTAGATATAGTTACCTCAAGAAGCGGATTGGACTTCAATAATTTATCTTTGACTCGCTCAACTTCAGAAGAGTACGGGCTAATCGCAGCAAGGTACTGGAGAATTTTCTTTGACGCTTCTATAAAGATCAAACAGGTTCACTGAGTTGATTGTGATTATTGGGTGTTTATCGTTATGATAATCGATTGAAGATATCAAAGAACATTATTCATCAGTGATCGACTTACCAGTTTTTCCGGAACCAGATTCACCCGATATCAACACGCATTGATCCAGGCGTTCCTCTTTCATCGAGTGATATGCAGCGTCAGATATCGCATAGCTAGACGAAAAATTTTGCAAGTTATAGATCACATTAGGGTGGCATCAAATCACTAATTATCCCGGTGTGAGAATGTCGAGAATCGCCGAGATTTGTGTGTCACAACATAGGAATAATTGTGACCTGAAATTGAAGTCCCCATTCAACTACAAGAGCACTTTGAACGCAAGAGCACTTTGAACGGGGTGCAAAGGGTGTCTGAAACAAACCAGGGCATCCTACTGTAGTGATAAGCGTGACAATTTACCTAGATTTTGATTTTACTATTGCAAATATACGTTAAAGCCCGTATTTTGTTTAATCGCAAGGTTTTTCTCACGTTAAAGATTCTTTTCGTACGAAAAGGTTCTTTTCACACGCGTGAAAGGTTCTAATTGAATTTTTCCCACGCTTGTTACATTTTTTGCAACACTTATCTTTGCTACATTTTGGAATACTTTTGTTACGTTTTGAGGCGTTCTAGAATACAAAACTCTTACTTTGATCTGTTCTAAAGAATAAATCTGTTTTCGACAACTAAAGGGCACATGTGAAGACAGATTTATGCTCGTGTGAAGTTTTTCTTGCTACTATTACGAATTTCTTGCATGGAAGATGAATAAAAGTAGTCATAAGTCCGTTTTATTTGACTTGCAGCCTATGTTAAAAGTACGATTTCTATTATCGGACGGACGGCTCCTCGTTTAGCTTTGTTATTTTATAACACATTTGAATTGTCCGAAGATGAACTAACCACAAAGCCTGATCGACAGATCAAGGTACTGTACGCTGCATAAATTACAGCTGATTAAATACTTAAGCTGAAAGCATAACCCACTTTGTCAACATGAAACTAAAGTTTTCGTTTCGGAAAAGTAGCGGTCTACGCAAAGACCAAAAACATTAAAATTTTTGCCGTTTTATTCTATTATTAATAGAGTCAATTTGAATATTTCGTATTCACGTTAACATCGGCGCCAATATGAAAGTGGTTTCTACTTGGTAAATATCCCGTTAAAGCAGGAAGGATTTTAATATCAAGTGTGGCTGAATAGCAGCCTTACCATTTTTGGTTGAAAATAGTCGAATGTACTTTGAAGCATATTTATCTACTGCCATTTAAAGTAACAGAATATATTGCAATTGAGAATTTTAAGACGGCTTAGTTTATGATAAACCCTACAACAGAACCGTACAAAGTTTATGATAACCGTAAGACAATCACAAAACATTGAGTAAGTAATTATAATTTTTTGACCTGATATTTTTACGAAACCGAAAAAAGAAAGTTTACAAACACAGTTACACATATTGTTTATGCAACTAAAAGATGACGTCTTTCTAGTTTCATTTTAAAAGGTTAACAGCTTTGCTTGTAGGGTTTCTGCAATTTGCTGATGCGACTTAAACCGTTCTCAAACGGAAATAGGACTACCCATACTGATCAAATTAATTTGGCCATAAATGGAATTATGGAAATGCTATACTTTGCAGGATATTATGTGAAAAGCGTTACAGTGTGGTTGCACAACTACAATATCAACTGCTGAGTAAAAGTGTTTGGTTTCGAGCGAAATATCGCGTGTGAAACTTGTGTGAATTAGAGTGTCGTTAGAGCGACTTGAAAAGGACGCTCTCAAATGCTTTCGCAAACCAATTTCTGAAGTGGCCTTTGCGTCAAAAGCAAACATCGCCTATTGCTTTGGACATTTTAAGCTCTGTTCACACGATCCAATTTTGTTGGATCCAATTCACTTCTGACGTATGAAATATAGTCGGTTATTGATAAAGCAGTACTGCACTAGCTTCAGTGGATTTGCTGCTCGTATACATTACAAGACAACAGACTATAAAACATCCATCAGAAGTGAATTGGATCCAATGTGAACAGACCTTTAGGCCACACATATATGGAAATAACGAACCTTGACCATATCTTTCATTCCTGTCATCATTTGCCCTCAATAACAAAACACCCACTCGTGAATGACATTAAAAATTGAATATCTCTCGAACAGACATAAGCAAGAAACACCCATATTGAATTTCCCATTCATACAACACTGACAAATACTAATGCTTGCCCTGAACGAGGTCAAACAGATTAGGTCAAAATGTTTAAAAGGCCTTGAAAAATATGAGCAAACTTCGATACTTTGTAATCAACAAAACGATTAAACATCAAAACTTAATCCTAACGCGGAAAATGTATCTGTTTAGTATACACAATTACATCCCAATTACTCTATAAACATTTTCAGTGAAAGAAAGCAGACAGTCGCATAAAGATTGGATAATTCGAGCATGAAATACGCCGTTGTTTACATGTTCTTATCTTCGCAATACCTAAATACTTTAAATGCAATATTTAAAGCTGAAATGATGATAATTATTTACTTACACATGGGGAGGCAGTTCATACAAATTAACGCCTCTGTATTGTTCAATTGTTTCATTTGTATATATCGTTAAATTCTTGTAGGGATTTACAGAAACGACCACGTTTCCAATATAAGTCTAAGAATAGACAAAGCACACAATATTATTACATAGTTTGTGGACATTCACAGCGGGGTTTGGAGTTCAGACGAGGGTTTTTTATTATAGGCTGTACTTGAAGCCTATTCTTGACCGGCGCTTTTTTACCAACGAAACAAACCATTTATATCGTCTAGTTTATCAGGTAATCTTTGTCATACTGTCGCTTATATAATAATACAGAAGTTTGTCAATTGAATACCGGTAACCTTATAAAAAATATTTGAACATCTTAGCTAGCGAATAAGTGAATAGCTCGCAATTTATACATTTTCAATTTCACAACCTAGCCGTCCCAGCGGTGACAGGTTTTTATATTTATTATTCAATAAATTTGTATATTTTCGACTCGCCTCGACATTGTAAATGTAGAAAAAAAGGCCTTAAATTTTGCCGTGTTTGTTTAGATTAGGAGATACACCACAAGCTAGTTTGACATTATTATCAAATCATTAAGCATTGTTGTGTAGAGTTGTTAGTTGAATTGTATTTCGTTTCTTTGACAAGCTGTAAAATTGACAAGGGTCTATCTTTACTTACGTATATCAGATCGGCTTGATAGCGCTTTCGCAAATTATCCACAAAGGCATTGGGGTTTTTGAAATCCTCTAAAAGGACAAAATCCTGAACGCCGACCCGATCTCGGGCATGTAGTTGATTTTCCATAAGGTTTCGTTATGTTTACAAGGCACTGCCGTCTCTCCACCTAGCTCTTCAGAAACTCTTCCAAAAATCTACAATCGTACGAGAAATCTTTGCCCGAAGAACCTGGATAAAACACACAGCATGTAGTTCAACGTATGTTGTTCAAGCCGAGTATGTTTTAATTAAACTTTCGCATATTTTGACTGTTTTAATCGCCGACTGGGAAAGCAATTATGTTGTTGTATATTTCTCCATATATTTCTTCAGGATACGCGATTTCCGGTCCTTGACTTCCGATTACGTCATGTCCGCCGTGCTCTTGAATCCAAGATGGCCGCAGAAAAGGTGTCAAAAAACATCGAAGTATTTTGGCATTTTCTCCGCGATTCTTTTGCCGATGCGTACGAAAACGCCGGCCAGTTGTGGAGCGTTAGCGACTGGCAAGTTCGTGTTTGCTTCATACTCGCGGCAATGCTGCTTTTGAATGTAATTTTGATCGGGATTTCCTGGCGTGTATACGGTGGGGTGATCTCACAAATGTATAGCACAAAGGCAAAAAGAAGGAGCTCTGTTTTAATACGCACTCTGAACGATGAAAGCGGAAAGGAGTCGAGAAAGAAAACGGATTGAGACTGCGCTTGAACCAAAATGCAGTGATTGCCAGTACAGGCATGAGGCATCCTACGACACAACTTCTTTCAAGTCAGGCCCTACAAAATGGCTTGTGCATGGCATGGCTATAATAAAAGCGTATTGCCAGGAACTCTGGAACACATCGATAGATGCAGAAAGTCACTCAGAAAAAGGCTTAGAGATGGGAAATTAACCCCGTGCACAGTCCTTTGCCAAGACATATTTAAAGAACGTCAAACGTCGATATAAATATTAGATTCAATAAACTGAATGACAATATTTTCATATTGAGTGTTTGAAAACATTAGCAGTAACAGTACCTTGAACGGTTTCAAATACAATTAAGGTCAGACAAGTCAGATCCAATCGATCACAATCGAATTTTCTAATAAACTTTGTATCATATGGAAGAGAATGTCAATTTTTTAAAGGTTGAAAAAATGATTTGTTGAAATGGTCAGTTGAGCATCTATAGCTACTATTGTCTTTTCTTTTTTGGTGCGATTTTATAAGCCCCAATCAATCCATGCGCAAATCGCTAACGCGACGCGGATTTTCAGTTTTCAGAAGGGAATAAATATGTTCAATATCTGTCGCGTTGGCGAAACACGTGGGCCTTAACTTTAGCTTGTTTTTTCCACTTACGCGTTTTTCATACGCACGTACACGCACGTAAAAGTCTAAATCCTTACGCCTGTCTGAAACCTTTGAAAAAACTAAGTGAATAAATCGAAGGAACTTAGTTTTCTGCATATTTTAGTACGCATTAGTTGACCTAGATGTTCAATGATAAAAATTTAAAGGCATTTAAAATTTTCCGTACGTGTACGTGCGTATAAAAACGCGTACGTGGAAAACAGCCTTAACGCTGTAACCGATTCCTTACCACTGTCACGTTGTTATCACGTGTAAATCAGGAGCGGAATTAACGTGGGACCTGACAGAAACTAGCACTTTGCCATATAGTTGTCACTATTACCTCAAAACATGTTAGTAAATAAATGGCGAAGTAGTAAATTTACTTGAGGATATAAGTAAATTTCCCAAGAGGATTTGGTAGGGGGTGCTGACACCGTGCTATTGAGCAGTGATTCATAACTGTCATGAACACATCGAACAGACTGAACGTTACTATAAGAGATTTTTGATATTTTGTTAATTTGTCTATAGCCAATAAATATTACACAAATATTGTCTCTATAAAAAATGGAAATAGTTTGAGAATTTGATTTCGATTGATTTCAGACCTTTTCGATTCTTTTATCAATATTTTTATAAAATGACAATTGTATTTGTCACTTGTTTTTCGTTGAGCACGTTGTTTCGTCTGGCATACGTAAACATTTTTAAATATTAGTTTTTTAAAAACTACTTTAAAATAAATATTTTACATTGAGGTTAGTTTTTATCGATGTATGCATATTCTATGAGTTTAGCTCAGATATATTTTGCCAATATTTATTATTGTGCTAGGCTTGTCATCTTGCATTTCACCGTAAGTGTAAGATTTGTATAAAATACTTTCAGTTATGTTAGGGGCTGTTGACATGAGCCTGGTTACCCGAGATTCAACGAAGCGTGAGATAATTTTGAGGTATTGAAATGAGCAGATAACATGATCCTGGCAGTCGTATAATCACCACAACAATAGCATGTGCTTGTTTGGTGTCATAAAGACTTATTTCAATACCTCAAAGTCCTCTCACGCTTCGTTGAATCTCGGGTAACTGGGCTCATGTAAACAGCCCCTTTGCTTTTCATGAAACGTGCTGATAGATATTGAAAACGCGGAAGTCTTTTCAAAAGGGGGGTGGGTGCATGGCTCGTCTGCCCACGCGAACCCTTTTGTTGACAATATATGCCGCTGGTCATTGTCACAGCTCGAAGTAGGCCATAGCCACTTGTTTCCAGGCTATGGCGACAGGAGTCCTTACCTCATTCGATGCATTTGGTGTAAATATTTTGAAAGCCATAATCTCGACGGCAATTTGCAGTGCAAAAATGATTTTTCAATGATGAAACCTTTCTCTTGGCCAGTATTCATCCTATAAAGAGTCTAATATCTTCTTTACATCAGGATTCACCTATACATGAAATTGAAATGATTTTCACACGTGTGCATGTGGACTAAAAAAAAGCTGCGTGGCGAAAAAAAAGCTGGCAATCTCTGTGATAATTGTCATAGTAAAAAAGATATGGTGGAATTCCGGTAGACTTCAATGCGTCTCTAATGAGCTAATTTTGATGTCGAGACAACTTCGTCTCGCTAATCATTTGAAGTTTAACCTTCAAATATTCATGTTTTGATATTTCAAAAGCAGTATAGCCCAGTTTCTACTCTCAAATTTTAAAAAGGCAAATCCTAAGTTCTGAAGGATCTAAACTATTCACCTTAATTCCATCAAGTTTCCAGCTCAGAGCAAAAAAGTCTGCAGATTCGATGATCTCTTTCTGCCCATCAAAACTATTCAGCAATTCCACCCTGTTATAGAAATATCGATGCAAAAATTACGGTATAAATTGATAGCGCTGTTCATCTTTCGTACAACCGGCCGCAGGCATATAGACACAATACTTACGGTAGCTGATCCTTGCACGTGATCCTCTCAGAGAAAGCGGCAACTGCAGAGAATTGCTTGATGTTGAACTCTCCTTCTCTGTCGATAAGAACCAGCTATGGCATAAAGAAAAACCACGAGTCATCTTTTACAAACTTTGGTTCTTTACAGAATGTTCAATACTGTGGAATGGATTTTTCATCGACTGCCCCTAAAGCTACTGCATTGTAGTTAACAAATATACCTCAACAATATTCTCAACATGTTCAGAATCTAATATTCCTGTGTGGACATCTTTCAAACCCGTTTCCAATTCCTGTATGTTAAATTTCCAAAGTATTAGGTCATAAACACACATGCAATTTTAAAATTCCAACAAAGCCATTGAAAGCGTTCTAAAACGCAGTTCATGCATTAACTATGCAATGTGCCGGTCCACTTACTGTGAAGCTGATTAATCCGTCGCGATTTTTGTCCACCTTTTGAAATACGTGTTTGTACAACGCTTTTCTTCGCTTGCTATAATTAAGATTGTTATTTAGCCTCTAATAAAAAGCAAAATGGCTGGTATAATAATAAGTTTATTTAACCTTTGAGATACCACTGAGAAATTATGCTTGAGAACGCTACCTTATGATACAGTATTTCGTCAGATATTCCATTGGAGTCATGGCTGAAATTATAGGGAGACAAAACACCGTCAGATTAACTAGTGCCTACTTTCCCCGATTGTATTGAGTCTTGTGCTGTGATGGGTTGATCAGTGGTGCTTTACAAGTGTCACGGACCCAAAAAACGGACCGTGATATCATCACACAACTCACTTTCAAGCAAGCGAACATCCATTGGTATTTCAAAGCGACTGTTCTGTTGAGACAAGGCCAAACGCCCTTTGAGCCAAGGTTTCATGCCCTCCCTCAAGCGCTACAATACAAGATAATGTTTCTCAGCGAGCTGCCACAGCCTATTCACGCGGTTTCTCATTTGCGTTTTTGATCTTAGGATACGGGTAAAACCCCATCTCTTCCATTCAACTTTTACCTTCTCTTGTTCCAGAATCTGTTCCATGAGTAATGCGGATTCCGCACACAAGATGGTGTCATCGCCCTCGCTATTTTCCGAGTCTTTTTTTCGCCGTATTTTTTGCCTCGGCGCTTTCATGTTGGCACGTTTACCGTAAATGCTGCCTTTTGGCTGAAAAAGCAAAAAAAGATGGAAACCGTCCGGCAGTCAGATTACATGAAATGTCGCTGTTTTGAACCGACCAATCATAAGGTAGTTTACCTTTGGTCTTCTTCGTCCAGTCGAACTATGCAGATCAGAATCAGATTGTCTGAAAAAAAGCAGAAAATTTTCACAGTAAAACTTTTGCAATCCACTGACTGTTGGCACACCTGGAGCAACTGCCTATCCCGTTTTACTACAATGGCAAAAACCACGGACGCATGAAAACTCGTGTGGCAAGTTGAACAGGATTTCGTAGACACGTGTGCGCACAAATATATCGAGTGCAACGATTCTGGAGGTGGCAAATATAAGCATAAATCACTGCTTACCCTTCCTCATCACTTGAGGTCTGTTCAGCTCCATCGAAATTCAGCTGTTTGTCCTTAAATTGCGCCTGTAGGTCCGGTTTACTTTGCGGCCTGGATTATGAGAAAGAAACAATATTTTTTGTCGATACTTTGCATAAACTCTGCCTGCTTTGGCTACGTGATCTTCATAAACACCAGCGCATATTTGAAGCGCGGGATTTTTAGTACAATCTCCACACTTGTTTACATCGATCGGAAAAAAATCATAGCAAATATTTGAAATGAAAACATCGACAATGGATGACTCAAGCTGTGAGAGTAAATTGTAATCCACACACAGAAAGAAGGAAATCTAAAACCACAGCTATAAACAGTGTCTTAGAAAAGATGAAACTCTACAAATTTTGGTTTCAAAATTCTTTAAAATTGGGAAACTATGGTCATGCGAAGTTGACAGATCTTGTTCAACAATAACTTAATGGTTTCCGTGTTTGGATGACCTGATCTAACCCGCGGCACGCGGGAATGTTGCGAGAGTTTAGAATATATACAAAATTTGCGAACTGACAATGTCTGCCACATTTCACAGCATTTTAGCAACAAAACTCTGCAGTTTCAGCCAATCTAACTTCATCACTCACGTACCTCAAATCAGCAGATCTTCTCTCCATCGTGGTTTTCGATAAAGAACCGTCAGTCTCTTCTGGCGATGTCAATCGCTTCATGATGGACGAATTAAGTTCGTGTTCAAAAATTCGATTTTTATCGCTTCCCTTGAGGATCGACTTTGGCGACTCGGCGCCGGCCGCGTCCTCTGCGCCGACATTCGACGATGATCGGCGATCTGTCGTCAAAGGTTCGGAAAAGGTAACCTGTTGGTTGTTTTGTGATGCGTCCAGTTCGTCGCTCGGAGTTCCGTTTTCAAGCGAGTTGCCGTCCAAAGAGTTTTCTGCATCATTGGGATTTTGTTGATCTGATTGCAAACTAAAGAATCACAAAAATACGATACGATGTAACTAAATTGATACGTATTTCGTCCTCAAAAAAGCCTAAAACGCTTTGGACATGCAGAAAAAGGCTTTTTAGCGAGATTCGGTCACAATAGTCGTAGTAAGCTTGGGACATGTCGCAGTGCTCGGAAGCTTTCGTCCAATTGGATAATGCTTTTCTATGCTTTCTAAAGAACGAAGCTATGCTATTGGTTGAAACAGAAATGTATGGTAAAGTTCAGCCAATGAAAATCATTCTTGCGAGGAGCTGCGACACTACCCGTAAGCTTGCAAATGAACAATTGGCTACAATGTTTCCATTGCGGCCAAGTCTTGCACCTGGTATAAACAACTCTGTCAAGTCATATAAGCATTTTCCACATAGAGCAACAACTCGCTTGGTTATGATACCTCTTGTTTATGTCATCTTCGCTCTTCAGAGCACCGCTTTCGTCCAAGCCGCTACTTTTGCCATCGACACTACCATCATATTGGTCGTAAATGTTCACACCTGTGTCATCACCTTGGCGACCGGCATCGGAGTCACCATCAGCATTGCCCTAAGACGAAATCAAAAAGTTATAAACGAGACAGTTTTTTAATCCACAGCCTGCGAAGCGAGATGTTTTTGTTAAAATGTACCACTCCGTCAAGCAAAAAGGGCAAACTTTTTACAGCAAAACACAATTGATATTATAAATAAATACATCTTACCTTTCCATCATCCAAAGCAGACTCGCCGAGCAAATCTGAAACGTTTGCATCAATATCGCTACCAGAAAGACCTTCTCCGGCGTTTTGTAGTTCAAGTGAGGCAAACACATCTTGATCCACACTAGACGTCGTGTTCCCTTCTTCTTCACCGTCGTCCATATTGGATCCTTCCCCGTCCAAAAAGCTTCCTGTGTTTGCGAGAAAATCGTTATTTTTAATGCACAAACTAGGACAAAGATAAGATGGATCATTTGAAAATCCATCAGCCGTCAAACGGTGGAAAATCTTTTTGCGAAAGGGCAGTAATTAAATGAGAAATTAGAAATATGACTATATAGTCAGTTCTGTTTAGCTTTCTATTATTAACCAGCCTTCTCACGATCGCTACCTGATCGTATTTACATCAGCGTTAAATACAGTTTTATAGTAACTATACCAAACCTGATACTGAATGTTTAACTTCGCAGTCTAAACCGAATTGAAAATCGTTAATTTCATTATCAAATTAAGCAATTCAGCTCTGCTATTATCTAAACACTAGTCTCTGCACGAAACGACGGCTGCCTATAGGCAATGGCCACTACAATGCCGATACGAAAACATATTCTTGTATTCAAACCACGATATTTTATCAGTAAGATATTCCACGATAGTTGTGCGTGTAAATAATCATTAGTTGTAATGTACTTGCGTTTTTTATCCGAAGGATTGGCTCTGTCCTTCGTTAGACCAAAACAAAACAGTCAAAACGCATGACTTTGTAAACTGTTACTGATAGCGCCGTCTCGTAGTTAAACTGCAAACCATATTTAAATTTCGACAGGTGCAAAAGGCCAAAACGATATGTTTTGCATGTATGAAATATCGCTTTGACAACCAGCGAGTGTTTTTATGAAAATTTATTAACAAGGAAACGAAAGCAAGATGTTTGGAAACTTCGTGCACTTCAAACCTTGATTGAAGAAAATTTCGTTTGAATTGTAGATATTTTTTCAGAATTTCTGGCGTGCTATATCTCAGTTAATACAGCCTACTTAAATTGTCAATCAAATTAAGAAAAACGATTTGTCGACACGAATTACAGATGTGCTTTAAATAAAAAAAATAACATAAAATGAACAACATTGAGTCGCATTGGCCATTATACATGAATTGATACCGTAAATTTCCTGATTAAAAATCGCCGGTAAGTAATTGTGGGTGAATAAAATTGTGAATTCAGGCAATTACAACAAGAATTGTTCGTCATATTACAATGTAGTGCATTACAGTTATTTTAATTTGTATTTTTTTTGTAGCACTTTCCATGCGGACAGGTATACTGACAATTCGAAGTAGTATGTTCGCAAATTTCTAAGGGCTTGTTTACATGGAGCGAGTTATCCCGGCCAAGCGAGGCAAAAACTAAAAATCGCACTGATCACATCAAAGGCTTAACCTGATTAGTCTTTCATATGCAGTTTTCACCTCGCCCAGCCGGGATAACTAGCTCCATGTAAACAAGCGTCCACAACAACAAGGCCTATCTCCTCCTATTGTGCCCGACAGCCAAACGACTACCAAACAGCCGTGTATCGCCGTAGGTCGTAGAAAACGTTGCCAAAGGTGAAATAAACATTTATTAGAGCCTATAACGTACCGTCCAGTTCAGATTTGAGCAACGAAGATCTTGACGAAAACTGGGCTTCCTGACTTGCGTCATCAACATCATCTTTCCTAGGGTCCATTCCATAGCTCGGTAAGATATTTCTAAACCCGATGTCGACCTCCGTTCCACTCTCCTCTCCGCTGTCTGCCAGTTCCTCCTGTGTACCTGCGGATACCAAAAGGTCCTCGGTGACCATGCTAATACCACAGCTGCTATAGCCGCTGCTCTTCGCAGTCCCCGGACGCTGGTGCACGGGCATCGGCTCGACAAAACTAATGTACTTCGGAACATTGCCACGACGAAACTGGAAAGTGTTTAAACTTAACGTCAGTTTTAACGTTCAAGTACAAATAATTCTTGGGGCAAAATGCACAGTTTGACAATTAAGCCGATACCAGGCAGACATGGCGATCCAATAGGTTGCCAAATTCAGATTTGCATACTCACCCCTTTCGGGTCAACGATCTTCGGTTTAACACGCTGTCTCTAAAAATACCAAAAAATGAGAAATACTCAGACTGTGCTTGACTCGTTAATTGGGATTGCTCCTTGTATTATCAATTGAATCTGTCAGGAGAAAAAGATTCAGTGAATATCTTTCTCTCGCCTATACTAAGTGGTATTCTTGTGCCAGACTAGAATGAGCGCCAGTCATTCTTTTCGCTTTGCAATGAAGATCGTAGTCGTGTATAACGATAAGCATTGCACTGTTATTGTCCTCTATAGCATACAGGAAGACAACTACATGAACCATACATTACCCAAATCCCCAAAGACATTTTCCATTAAAAACTTTCAAACAATTCAATCTCTGAATCGCTACAAATAAGCTGCATATTCGCAGCAAGTTTAGTCCACATGTTACATTTCCGAAATCAAAAACAATTCACAACACTGCTCGTTGCTAACTAAACAACGCTAAACGCTCACAATTGACATACAAAGTGTAAAATAAACATCGTAAGGAAAACTAAGCTTTAAATCAAACTATTGAATGAAAGTTATTTGGAAAGAAATCCCAATGTAATCCCAGGGTTTTCCATCAAAGGCTCCGGTATAAATGCACGCAAAATGTTTTTTTCCATTCTGGGACATTCTCATAAATTTATCCCGTAGTTTCTGCCAAAAATTCGAGGCAGTGTTGTTATTAGAGGCGAGAAGAAAGAAAAATGTTGTAGTTTTTGGAGTATCTTTGCTGTAAATATCCAGAAAAAGAGCGTTCGACAAAGTACTTAATCCCTAACTTCAAGTGTATTGTAAACCTTGTGCTTTTGTGCGATTGACAGCTATATTGCAATATCAGAAATGGTTTTGCATATATTAAATATATCTAAAGTTAACGTCTGTTTTAGGAAAAGGATTTGAAATTTATAAAAGCTGTATTTTATTTGAAGTTTATAACATCTGTATGTGATTCTCAAGTCAATAGACCAGGTGGTTAATTGTTTATTATTTTAAGTGTTTGGATCCGGAAGAATATTTTTACGGGACTCTGTGTTTTGTAACTTCTGCAGAAGCCAGTTGTACGAAATCTGTTTATCCTAAACAGTGGATGAGTCAAATTTGAATGGCTTTTTTTATACCTTTCGAATATAGAAGGTTATCTACGTTGTTGTAAATTATTGAGACATTTTCCTTTTGATTTTTCACTGAATCGCCTATTTTGTGCGTAGCCGTGAGGGCTGTGCCTGGATGGCTGATAAATGTGGTAAAATCTTTAGCAGAAAACATGCATTTGGACAAATAATTATCGAGTTAATGTGACACTATAGCTTGGTGCGTCTTTGCATAAACGTAAAAAAAAATTGGCTAATGCTTTCGAGTTTTTACTGATTGGTTCAAGGAGTTTAGAATTCCTTCCAGCCGGTGGAAAATTGAACAATCAGCCTTACCAGATTTGGAGAGGAGAGACGTCTATTTTTCACATAATTCGCGCAGTGATGATTGGAACTGGGAACGAACCGTTCTGCTGGCAAAACTGTTCTTCTGAAAGCAATGCACGACTGAGGTCTGAATTTATAATCGGCCACTGACGAGACGTCACTCAACGAGAGAGAATCCAGTCGACGCTGGATTGCGTCATCAGTAAAAAACATGGCGTCCGACATTGATCCGTCGTCCAACACCCGAGCGTTACATGGTAACGAGGCCGAGAACTCTCGAGCCGATTTTGGATCCGGTCGCTTAACCGGGCTTGATTTAGTGGCGAAGCAATTATTTACAGAAGATCTTGCACTTTTTGTGTTATTTGGTGCAGAAGGGCATCGATTCTTTCCCAACGTTTTTCTTCCAACACCATTTTCGTATTTCCCCACGATCAATTTGTTGTTTTGCGAAGGTGTTTTGGAAAAGGTTCTGATTAAGGGCGTCGACAAACACCTGATTCGAAGACTACCGCTGTCTGGCGGGCGCTTGGCACACGTTTTGACACCGCTATTAAGGTAGCTATAGGTAGTATTTTGTTGCAAATTATATTTAGCACTTTGCGGTTTTTGAGAGAAGGCACTCGTTAAACCGGCAGGACCGGAATACCTTCTTTGTTTCGTTCTCGACTTTGGTAGCTGAGAAAAGGATTTTAAAACATCCACTGAGCTTCCAATTTCGCTCACGGAATGCAAGCTGTTGGCTCGTGAACTGGCTCTCTGTACATCAAACTTTGCCTGCAGATCTTTGATGGAATACATGTACGAATTTTTACTGCTGATTGAGAATTATAGGATTCCACACGCACCATCCTTCAGGCGCCCAGTTTGTGCTTTATCCATAAACAAATCGCTTCACCCTATTTTGGGGATGCTTTGACGGGTCGCTCCGAGAGTGCTAATTCATTTCGACCAGGTGAAGTGATTCTTGTAGAGAAGCAAGTGAGAAATCTTCAAATAACTGTGAACAAATAATACAGTATCAGACATCCCGACTAATCTTCAGACATCGCAACTAATCTTAATTACGGTGATGATTAACACGTCCCAGTTTTTCACCGATCGATTACATTTCAAGAAAGATGCAATTACCTTTATAACAAGGTTTATATGAACACAACGCTTTTAAATACAACTTAGAATGGCCTATCACTTCATAAATTACAATGCATCGGTACAATTAACGTAGCGATTCATAAAGTGATTTTCACCTCGCAACACGTTTCCAAAAATTTAGTATATATATTATCTATTAGCTGTTTCTAATTGCTAATCATGTGTTTAATTATAAACTCTAGCCAATAGATATCACGCCTAAAGTCACAAACGCGTGCAGCCAAATTTTAAATATACAAATTTCAGGAACTAAATCTGACAACAGTTCGACTTTGCCGTGAGGAGTAGATTAATATTTATCGTTTTTTAAGATATTAAAGTCTAAGGTCACGTTTACTTTCCATTATTAGCAGTAAAAGGTTGATATTAAAATACCAAACTTACCGAACTTTAATGCATGCTCAACCTTTACAACTTTCATTATCTTGATAATCTTAATGATCTTTACAGATATTCTGGTTTGCCGGCTTTGTTTACAACAAGATTCAAAGATTATTTCCACTGACTATTCATTGGCTCCAGAGTAATCTGACCTCTCGATTGTATGCACGGTTGTCATGGAAATGACGACGCATTTAACCACCCACCTTTCTACTTCAAGGCTAAAAATCCCGATGACTTTTTTAGTTCATATGCTCACGAGACCAGGTTATAGCAGTTTCCTTAAAGATACTATTTCATAATCGATGTGTTGCCATTTTGTCCCGCGGGTAACCATCCGTTCGTTTCAATATTGTAAGGGATAGAGTCGATACTAAAATTTGCTGCATCACGACCCATTGCAAGTTAATAGTTAACCAAATGTTTGTAGGAGAGTTGCAAACCATTAAAGCATTTGGAAGGACGTAAAAATCAATAGTACTATTACACTTATATCCCATAAGTTGGTAAGCCTTATGAAATAAACGTCAAGCAAAGGCTTATGCGCAACACCGCAGAAATTGGTGTTTATGAAGTTTCAACCCGAAAATCTGATCACTGGTTCACATTGTGCATTGCTGTATCGCTATCAAAGAGATAACTATTGAATAATTTTACAAAGTTCGGTTTTTCCTCAGAATACGCATTCTGCAATCTTTTGACAGCTCATCATACACATCTGACAGCTGTGAAATGGCCATTTTGAGGCTTAAAGTATACACAAGGTTATTAATTCAGACGATTCGTTTTTGCCGTGTGCAAGCTTCAAATCTTTTGTGCAAGGCATATTTTGTGTAGTATCTATAAATCTTTTTTCTCACTAAGTTTCTCGCCTAAGTATTGAGAATTGCGGATAAGTATTTTTCAATCCTACCAATTTCCGCGGTGTCCTTATGCGCGCTGTTTAAGACTGAGTTTACAACGAGGTTTTAAAATAAAGGCCCAATAAATTTTTAGTTTTTAGAAGCAACTAATTTCAATTCTGGAAGGAAATTTCGCGAGCTATTGGCACATCCTTCGGTAATTACCCAGGATATCAGACTTAGTCAAACTTACGCCTGTATTCAAAAAGCTCACTCACACTCACACTCATTGAGTGTGACATATAAATTTCGTTAATGCTGATCAATGAGAAAGTTTTCTCTGAATAGATGGAAAGATATAAAGTAAATCACTGAAAATCAAGCCCCTGTTCGTCTGGAAATACCGCCATTGAAACATTATGAGAAGATTAAGATCTCCCACTCAATGAGTTTGAGTGTGAGTGAGCTTTTAGAATACAGGCGTTAGTATTGTAGAGTATACGAGGGAAGCCAACTAGGTTAGTTGAGATGATATGGAGATGAAGTGAGCAGAGATATAGGCATTAAGGCGAGCTGGTGGAATATATGATGGAATGAAGAAATCAGAGCGTGTCGAAGAAGATGTGAGGTGGTAGACATTGCAGGATGAAGGAAGCAAGGTTGAGATGATATAAACACGTAATAAGAAGAGGTGAAGGAGAGCTGGTATTCTGGTAATGATGAATGCTGCGGAGCGCTGGGAATGAAGAGGTTAGAAGATTTGAGGTGGTAGGCATTGCAGAGAAGATGAGAGAAGCAAGGTTGAGATGATATAGACACGTAATAAGGAGAGGTGAAGGAGAGTTGTTATTCTGGTAATGATGAATGCTGCGGAACGCTGGGAATGACGAGGTTAGAAGATGTGAGGTGGTAGGCATTGCAGAGGAGATGAAGGAAGCAAGGTTGAAGGACTGATCGAGGTGATTAGTTTTCATATTTACTCGATCTTATCCACTCTTGGTCTGGTGTTATATTAACTTTGTTTCTTTGTTATATGTTTGTTATGTTGTGCTTTGTTGTTGTGTTAAGTAATTATTCGGTCCGCGGTAATTGGCAACTAGCTGTTGCGGCTCCCGTGTCAATTTATTGTTATTACATTGGCAAAGTTATTAAATTAAATTAAATTAAGGTTGAGATGATATGGGCACGTAATAAGAAGACCTGAAGGAGAGATGGTCAGAGATATTGTGAAATAAAGAGATCAGAAGAAGATGTGAGGTGGTAGACATTGCAGAGAAGATGAGGGAAGCAAGGTTTAGATGATATGGACACGTAATAAGAAGAGACGAAGGAGAGCTGGTAGTGAAGAATGCTGCGGGACGCTGGGAATGAAGATAATTAGAAGATATGAGATGGTAGACATTGCAAGAAGATGAGAAATGACACACGACAGAAGACATATAGTGATAGATATTGAAACTTCCAGCAACATAATTACATTGTTGGGGAGTACTGTAGCATAATATTTTTTGCCACAACAAACGATCATTTGATAAAATCTTTAATTTTTTCCCTCAAGGCCCTAAACAGCCTAACAATCAGCACAATATCTTTGCTGACATAATCGCTCAAATCGTTTCTTACCTTATCAAGGTTTTCCAAGATCTCTCGTGTCATCAAACCAAACTCCCCTTCGGTACTTGTATAATTCAATCCCTCGTAAACGGCTCGACATTTCTTGCACGTTGGCCAAAGGGATTCTAGCTTCGATAATCTTTTATCCTCGACATGACTTAAATGGAATGAAAACCAATCAGAACACGCTTCGAAATACTCGTCTTTTGAAGTAGCCATTGAATTGAGTATATTATAAAGCCATGAAAATTGCAAAGTGTTTGCAACTTCGTTTAATCAACAGCTTGTTGAATATTTTGCCGGAAATTTGCCGTTTTTTTCGACGGTGAATACGTAGCAACTGTACATGAAATTGTTTGTTATTCCAGTCTAAGTTTTAAACATATTTTGAATATATCCCAAGATTTCAATGAAGAAATGTTTTATACGAACACCTGCTGTAGTCGCTCATGACTACGTGTTTTGGCATGTCAATTGTGGTTTGTATATATTTTCATTTGAAAATAAAACTTCGCTGGTGGCACTGAATAAACAATTTATATGGATAAAGTTGTGAACTTGGATAATGGAACTGTATAGCAGTGTTTTGCTCTTCATAACATTTTTTTAGGCTTGTGGTTTCCATGCGACGAATTCATTGAAAACAATAGATAAACTAGTTGAAATACCCTGTTATCTGTTGTTATTTTAATGCATTAGGCAAATTGAAAAGTGGGCCATTTTGTAATATCCTTCAAGGAGAAATTACAACCTTTATATCGTTCATATCAACTAATAACCCTTCAGGCACTTTCCACTACGAAAATCACAGCCAACGGCGTATTAGAAAAGTTTCATCGCTGGAAGATAGTATCTGAGCCTGATTTGAAATGTAAACACGATGCAAATGAAGAAGCTGGATTTATCTCAACTGCCTGTCTAGAATAGACTTAAAGATATACTTTCCCTCTGCACCTCACTGGAAAGTTAGTAAACGTTTAGAATCCAGAGTGTGTAGTAATGTTAACAACGCTTTAAAACTCAATCACAAATATCAATTTTAAACGGAAACTACTTTCACCAAAGCACTTTTTACTATCATAAATGCTGTGTTTCATTTTTAATAACTCTCGTTACGTCAGCTACATTGTATTATTTGTGTTGGGTAATTTTCTCTTGAAAGATCCAGAAAGAAATAGAAAGAAATATGCATTTATCTGTTTCTAAAATCATTGGAGTATATCGTTCATTTGGGATCAAAGGTTCGTTCATTTCATCTCTTCAAAGTTTCGCTTGTGACTTCAACAGGTCGCCCAATTTTTGCGTCAGCAAAATATTCCCGCCAACTTTCAGTTTCCCGGTCATAAACAACTGTTGCGCGTTGGCTTTTCCCGCCACAATCTTGGCAAAATCGTCGTCTGCAACAGTTATGGTGCAATCTGGTCTCCCAGCAGGTGCGCCCGCGGTGATTGTTCCACTCCCAGTTTTGAGGTCCACAAACCACTGGCCAGCGGTTTTACCATCTTTGGTAATGTTCCAAAGGTACGTGGCTTTGATTCTTTGCGCGAGTTTGGGCGATGACGCAAGACGAGCGGCGATGTCTTTGAAGATGGCGTGAGCTTTAAGGCTCGTGTTTCCACTTGCTGGAGGTTTTGCAGGTGCTTTCGATGGTTTTTGATTTATCTTGGACATTTCCTGCGAGTGAAACGTTTATCGAGTTAGTTGATGAGTCATAGTGACATAATCTACCATAACAAAATCATTAAATACCTTTTTCAAATCAAATTCGTTCAACAAAGTCTGCAATTTTTGTGCCAACATGATATTTCCTGAAATCTTCACTTTTCCTTGCATGAACAACTTCTGCGGGTTCGTCTCGCCCATCGCGATCTTCATGAAATCTTCGTCGGCAATCGTGATCGTACAGCTCGGCTTTCCCGAAGGCTTTCCGTGCGTCACCGATCCTGGCTCCTTCGTGAAGTCGGCCGTCCATTCCGAGACGATTTTCCCGCCTTTCGTAATTCGCCACAGAAAAGAGGCTTTGATTTTCTTTACCAAGTGGGGGTAGTTCGGGAGGTTGTCTGACATCAGTTGAAACAAGGTGTCACTCTGTACTGACGTACTTGCAGGGGGTGGGGTAACCTTACTTATTTCGTTGCTCTGTAAAAAAAAAGATGAAAATGTTATGGAATTAATGTTCCTGTCATTGCTAAGCGAAACTACAAAGTTTAGACTAGTTTCCCTGAAGAAAACGGCGATTAGAACCATTGACAATGCACATTTGACAAAGTTTTGAAAAATTATATATATATAAAGCTTGTCTATTTTACTGCAGTTCGAAAAAAACACTTAGTAAATTCGCAAAGATTGGTAGAAAACTTAGTAAATTCGCAAATATTGGTAGAGAAATATTGTATAATGTGAAAAATATAGCCCTCTAGAATGGTTAAATTACCTAAAAAGCGACAATACGTCAAGTTTATAACTTTTTCTAGTTGGTAAAACGGTTTGGGCTCATCCTCTTTGAAACTTGAGCAGTTTTTACCTTGCTTGGCGGTGCCACCGAGCCATGCAACTCGATATAAGCACCAGTCAACAAAATCTCTCCCGTTTCAACCACCTTGCACTGCATAAGTACTCTGTTTCCATCCTTCCACATCTCCGTACGAATGCTTTGACCTGGAATAACTGGCTTCGAGAATCGAGCTTTGATTGCTTTAAACCTACGAACGTCGTTGTCGCAAAAGTGCTTCAGGACGTGCCTGGTAGCGTAACCCATCGAACACAAGCCGTGGAGGATTGGAGTTTTGAAACCTACAAGTCGAATAAGTTGAATATTTACTATTTAGTACGTTCGTCATGTATTTAACATATGGCATCTTGCCTTCTTGTACAATTCGACAAATCTTCTTTATACTATTTATTGAATGATTTATTGAATGATTATTGATTGATTGATTGATTGATGATTATTGATTGATTGATTGATGATTATTGATTGATTGATTGATTATTGATTAATTATTTATTGATTGAAGCTTTAATTTTCGAGAAAAAAGCTGTCTTGAAAGTGGAAAACATTGTCATGTATATAACTTCTTGCCTTTAAAAGGAGGTGTACATTGCTTTGCAGAATACTTGCATTAAAAAGCTTTGCAATTTGTTGAATTGAATGTGTTTCTGAGCAAGCCTTAGGGCTTGGGTTTGGATATTAAAACCAAAACTGTGTTGCAATCCAAATGAACAAACTTTGCAAAATGAAATAATTTTTTAAAACTTACCTCCCATAGCAGCAAAATTTGGGTCAATGTGCAAAGGATTTAGGTCACATGCAAGACGATACAGAGCTGCCTGACTGTTGCCAGTTTTCTCGATTTCAACCACATCAGGAGCCCTGGAGGGTGTGGCTACCAATGGCCTCAACTCATTCGAACGAGTCTTGCTGCCAAATCCACCACTTCCAATAGCAAATATTGCAAACTGATTAAAGCAAACAGGACCTAAAATAAATAGATATTGGTGTCTATAATAAACTAAGATTTGATATGGAGAGAGTTTCCTCATAATAATACTATTATTATTACTGTCAATATTGCAAAGATATCAGCCATGGCTTAGTGATAAATTGCAGGAGTATATTTTTTACTATTTTACAACATTTTGCAACCACATTTTGCAGTTCTAGTGATCCTAAATTATGCCCTTTCTATTTGTGGCATTGGATTTCATGGCTTGAATAGAATTTATGGTCTGTGGATGAAATTTTTTGCTAGTGGCAAGAACAGTGCATTTAGACAACATACTAATATTATTTAGCAAAGTCAACTACCTTTTTCATCAGAAGTGGTAATATTGACAACGATAAGAGCCCCTGACTTCTTGTCCAAAACATCTGCAATTACAGTGCTGCTTTTTAGTGTTGCATTTGCTTGTAATGGCCGATACAATTCCAAGTAATGTTCCCCATGAAGTGCCTTCAAAAACAAAATATTTTCAAAATGAATAACCCAAAATAAGGTTTTAAAATAAATCTGAAGATATTGCGACCACAAGGGTCTGCAATGGTCTACAATAGAATAAAAAAGAAGTACAACCTAAATTAAGTCTCAATTCTGATAGCACAGAATATTACCTTGGCTGGGTTTATTTCAAATCCAATTTTTTCTTTGCTCAAAAAAGAACTTGTCATAAAACTTGCCTAAATGAGAAAAGTTGACTGTTAGTTTGTTCAAATATTGCTTGATGTATTATTTGGTTATTTGCAAATTTAACACAATAAAAAGCAATGCAAATCTCTTTCCTACCTGAGCAGGAATCACTGCAAACGTTGGAAGAACACTGAAATCTTCATGACCCTCATACAAGAACTTCAAATGAGAGCCATCTTCTTTAACAGTCACACCAATTCCCAAGGCAAATTGAATAACCTCTTTGAAGGTGTAAGAGAACTCATCCTTCGGGCGGGCAGGTGTTCCACTCTTGGCAGAGGTGTCTTGTCCCATTAGCAGCTTCATTGTTCCATCATTTCCAGTGGCTGGGTTAGTTGCATCAGTCCAGTCTTTGATTCGAGCCCAGTTATCTTGTACCAGTTCTGCGGTAAGATCTTGTCCATCAGACAGGAGGTTAACTCCCTTGGATTGCTGCCAGCGAATCATTGCTGCTGCACCGCCGGCAATGAAAAACAACTGACCGTTTTCGTCACAAGACTTGTGGCACAGGTACACCAAGAACGGTGCAACCAATCTGGGCGCTACCATTTTCAAAACTTCATCCGGCAAAATCCCTTTGGTCAACCGGGAATCTGCAACAGGGACAATGGTGTTGCACTTGATGTTGTAACGCTCGCCTTCAATAGCAAGGGTTCGGGCCAAGCTGTACAATCCAAGTTTGGCAGCCGCATAATTAGCCTGTCCGTAATTCCCGAAGACGCCGGTTGACGACGAGGTCATAATGATCCGCCCGTACTTTTGTTTCTTCATGTGAGGCCATGCTGCCTTAGTGACCAGGAACGCGCCTCGGAGATGTACCCTGTGGACTAAATCCCAGTCCATGGTACTCATATTACCAAAGGAACGATCTCTTAAAATGCCAGCATTATTGATCAAAATATCAATTCGGCCAAACGCTTTTATAACCTGGTCAACCAGCTCTTGCCCGTTTTCAACAGATTCGTAATTTGCGACCGCTTTTCCTCCCGATGCGCGGATCTCTGCGACGACTTTGTCGGCCAAAGAGGAGCTCCGACCTTCCCCCCTTGCACTTCCACCTAAATCGTTGACTACCACCGAAGCACCCCGCGCAGCGAAGGCCAGAGCGTATTCCCTACCTAGACCGCCTCCTGCACCAGTTACGAGCACAACTTGGCCGTCAAAACGCAGAGATTTAGCTGCCATTTTGCAGAAACAAGTAAAACTGTGGCAATTCTTTCCAATGCTTTCCTTCAAGGATTGCGAAAAGGCAAATGGACTTTAAATCATAATTTCCATCGCCCAAAAGACAGCCTTACGTCATCGATTGAGACAAAATTCCGAATTCAGATTCAGTTTCTTATTTTATTTATTTAATTAAAAAAAATTTTCTTTACAATTTTTTTCGGATGCAATAGAGGTTTATTGTCTAAAGTACAGTGATACATAAAAAAATGACAGTTTGAAGTTGACGGTCGACAAGCTACTTTAGCTTTACGATGATTAGGATTAATGTGTTCTAAATTTGAGGGATGGAAACAAAGTTGATATAGCAAAAGAACTCCGAACGTCTCCGATCACAAACCGAAAAATCCCGAACAAAAAATAACAAAAATTTGTAAGATTTTTTGGTTCAAAGTACAAAGTGTTCGAAAATCTTTTTTTAAAAGAATCCAAGCATTAAAATGGTCGAAAACAGCAAAGTATTTGCCAAATTTCCACCTGGACCTTTGGATGTGTACAGAAAACAAGCATCTTTTGATTGGTACGACATGAAACGATTTATAGAAGGCGATGAAATCTTGGAGACGAAGGAAAAGATTTGGAGCGTTATGGCCAAAGATCCAGTGTTTTTAGAGACAACGCAAGGTCTGACCATGGAGGGAAAGCGACGAGTGACATTTCTGAGGGTTAAAAGACTTGTGGAGTATGATTTTTTGGGCGAGGTCGGGGAGAATCCATTGAATTTACATGCTATAACAGATGCGTTTGGCTCGCTTAACTGGGGATTGCTTGCAAAATTTCAATTGCATAATCAGGTGGCTGCAAAATACCTTCAGAGGAGTATTTATGTTCTGTCTGGTGTCATTGTTTTCTCATGCATTTCACTTTACCCATTTGATATTAATGCTGCTTGGGTTAGCTGTGCTTTGGTACACAGGAGCCCTGTGTTGCTACTATGTCACTACCTGTTGTGCGGTAACCTGCAATTAGCAAGGCACCTATATAAGTGATTTTGCCCTATTGACGGCAATCAATTTTACCGGACAATTGGTCAGGGTTACTATTATGACCACGCATGATGGTGGATACGACTCATTGATAGCATTGGTGGTGATGGGATGTTGGTGATGCCAGTTGTGACAATGACAGTAATGAGGGTGATATGGTAGTTTTGAGCGGTGGTAGCAGGGTGGTGATAATGATGATATGGTCGTAATGATAGTGATGACATTAGGAAGAGTGCCCTGTTGTAATAGTTGTTACTTAGTAATGGTTTGTGTTCCATGGCCATCCAACATTGTCCACATAAATACAGGCAAAATAATTTCCCCTTTGCTTGCATTTACTCTTTCAGATGTTTACGTTTAATTTAAAATCAGCCAGTCAGCATCCAATGATCCAATCTTTGGTAGAAAAATGTGAAAATTTAGAGGTTTGTCATTGTTGCTTTCAAACTTACACATTTGCAAGATAATCAGTATATGACTGTTCTTGTTGAAGACCATAATGATATTGTATTAAACTATCCCAATATCACCAGGTTTTTGGCTGTTTTGCCCTAACGGAATTGAGTCACGGTAGTAACACAAAAGCTATGAGAACAGTTGCTGTTTATGACCCGAAAACACAGGTGAAAACATATTTCAGTTTTTGGTATGGTTTATATCAATTTGTTAATAAATTCTCTCAACATTTTCTGAAAACACAATTCACCATGAAGCTGTCTTTAGACATTTGAAACATCAAATACTAGCTCATGATAGATGCTTTAACGCTGCTGATATTTAACCAATTCACTGATGCATTTTTCATTTTAAATTACGAAGAGAATTTCTATGTTATAGAAATTTATTTTAAATACACCGGACCACGAAGCGACGAAATGGTGGGTGGGGAACCTGGGTAAGACCGCCACCCATGCCTTGGTATACGCTCAACTCTACACTCCAGATGGCATGTGTCATGGTCTTCACATGTTCTGTGTGGAAGTGCGTAACCCTGATCTCACAGCTAGACCTGGAGTGCTCGTGGGGGATATTGGGCAGAAACTGGGACAGAATGAGTTGGATAATGGGTGAGTGATGGTGGGAATTGAGGATGAGATATTGATAGTAGGTGATAGTAGGTGATAATAAAATAATCACTCACCCTATTTCTCACAGATTTGTAGCATTTAAAAACGTGTCCATCCCAAGGGAGTTTTTATTAAGCAAGCATTCTCAAGTCACACCAGATGGTCGCTATGTCTCCACGATTAAAGACCCTAGGAAAAGATTCGCTGCATCACTAGGAGCTCTCTCACACGGCAGAGTTGGCATTACTGAGATGAGTGTTGTTAATTTAAGGTTATGTCTGACGATAGCAATAAGGTATGTTAGTTTCATCAGTTGTTTTAAGACTATTAACTTCAACACAATTTCCACTGTTATGTTCATTGCATACAACCAGACGTTTTTAAAGACTTGAACTAAAGATTGAACTAAACTCTTTTGTTCCTGCAGGATGATAAGATGTCATTGTTTTATAAATACCTGTAATGTCCTTTTCCATATTATCTGCGCAGGTATTCAGCAGTTAGACGTCAGTTTGGACCACCTGGACAAGACGAGATCCCTGTTTTGGAATATCAAATGCAGGTTAGTTATACACAATAAGCATATGAAAGTCATTAAAAAGCTCAGAAAAAAGGCGGGAATGTTTATTAATAGATTAGATTTATTTCAATTCAACTTGAATTTGAAAAATGCACTTATTTTTCAGCAATGGAGGTTAATTCCACTCCTGGCTGCAACGTACGCCTTGCAGCAATTTTCTAAAACGTTATTTCAAGATATGCTTCGCTTCAAGTTGGCTTAATCCTCGGTGAATCCGACACGAATCAGGTAGAAAGCCTCTGCCTCTACGGCTTCATCAAATCATTCAAGTTCAACGTCTTATATTAATGCTTGAATTAAAATAAGTTGCACGGCATAATGCGTAAATTAGCACTTCCATAAACTACATTATTATGGTCTCTGAAAGTTGTGTCTTGTTTCTATGCATTTTAAAGGCTGATTTAGGTCGTGAACTTCACGCTCTATCGTGTTCGTCCAAACCTATTGCCGCGTGGACAGCACGTGATGCCATCCAGGAGTGTCGCGAGGCGTGTGGCGGTCATGGATATTTAGCTGGTAATAAACACATGTGAAATTTCACTGGACTGAACCCTAATTATGCAGAGCTTTAGCGGTTTTCTACGAGCTGTAAGATTCTGCATGAAGAAGCTTGCACTTTTGTCGGACGAGATCGCTTAACCGAATCACGCGAATCTCGTGATTGCTGCTAAAGGCTCGCTGATTACCCCTCCCCCCCAAAAAATTCCCCCTTTTCTCCCCCCTCGGGCTGATGTAGAAATGTATCTTTCCAAATCCAGTCAACAGGCTTGGTGAACTCAGAGATGACAATGATCCTAATTGTACCTACGAAGGTGACAATAATCTGCTGCTGGGGCAAACAAGCAACTTCTTGCTTTCAAAACTGGACGAAATAAAAAAAGGTTCGATATTTTCTAAACCCCATTTAACACCGTCGCAATTTCTTTCAAGTACAGTGGAAATTTTTCAAAACCAAATCCTACGCTTTTGTGGGATAATTTGAAGGAACTATAAAAGTGATTTCTTCCTGATATTTATTCACAAATTCTTTAAAACTTGGCGTTTATCAATACAAAATTCCGAATTACATCAAAGAACCTTCGTAGTGTGAATCAAGGTTAACACACTTTGCCTTTATCGAAGATCGCGAACTGAGCGGTTATTGAATATTTTGACTGTGCTTTTATATTTTAGGAGAAAAAGTCAACTCGCCTACAGGTTGTGTCGAGTTTCTGAATCATATGGAAGAGATATTGGAAAACAAGTTTCATGCACACGCGATAAAAGATTTCAAAAGTTTTGATGGTCAGAAGAATTCCTTTCATTACTGTTCTGTGTGTAAACCCTCTTTATTAATGACATCCAATCTACCGGACACTGCAACAATTGCCACTTTCTTTTTTATCCAGTTATTTTGCAAGCATTCAGTTGGCTGGTTTGTTACTTATTAAAACAAAGCGATAAAAAGATTCAAAGCGAATTGAATAGCGGCAAGGTTTGGCAAAATCTTATCCAATTCTCTCAGCAAATAGTATAAAAACACCTAACATTAAATGCTTGAATTTGAAGGAAACGTTTTCAGCAAAAAATGACAGTCAAGCGTTTTTCTGTCGCTCGTTGGCATTGGCGTTCATCCAGGTACGTATACGGTATACAGAGATCCAACTTTTATCAATAATATCCTGGCATTCGAAAAATTAGATTTATGACTCTCTTATAGAAAACAGTTATGGACAGATTTCATGCGTTTGTTCACGACCCTGATACTCCAACGAATTTTCGCGCCATTTTAGCAAAGTTGGAAATCTTGTATGGTTTGTGGATTTTGGAAAAACATTTAGGAACTTTTTACGAAGGTTTGTGTTAAAAAAACATTTCCCATGCAGGCATTTGAACAGCTGTGATTAATTTTATATCATGCATCACACACAAAAGATTTCATTACCTTATTACGACGACAGGTGGCTTCTTCAATCAAGGAAGTCATGTCGGAATGATTCGTAAATCAATCGTGGATCTTTGTGACGAGGTTTGTTTCGGTCTCCCATTCGGTCGTCTTGTTGTCGTAGTACCTTTAGTGGAAAAATGATCAGTTAAGGATGAAATATATTGAACTTTGAGGATGAAATATATTGTCTTGTAGATTAAACCAGAATCAGTCTCATTAGTGGATGCTCTGGCACCCCCAGACTTTATTCTGAACTCCCCAATTGGCCATAGTAATGGAAAGGTTTGTACTAGTGATTAATTCTGTAGGAAGGTAGGACTATTGTTCAAAAGCCTAGTCCGTTCTGGGAATCTGCTCTGAACAAACTCTAGTTCAGATTTAAAAGTGTTTGGCGAACCGAAATGCTGTTAGATGCTCGCCCAGCAACATCTAAGTCCGCCTTTTCCCTTCTGTAATCAAATGGCATAATATTTTTCTGTCGCTCCCAGGCCCTGGAAAATCTATACGACGCGGTTCTGAAGGACCCGAAGAACACACAACGCCCTTCGTGGTGGAAAGACTTCAAGGAGAAGCCCACGAAAGGGTCTCTTCGCATAGGAAGCAAGTTATAATTAATGTGCAGCAAGAACTACCATGGATAGACATATAACCGAATATTCAGATATAGATAGACAATAACCGAAATTCAAATATTTATGGCTTTCCAAAGGCTTTAATCACCCCATAATACGAAACTCAAAAATGAAAGACAATACTGTGATGAAAATTTGAGAGCGAGCTATCAGGCTTTCGCGCCAATGCAGACTGTTTTCTATTTATGATTACCAAATCTGGCAGCCGAATTAATTTATTTCAGAATAATTTCATTGAATAAATTATAGAGGGGGGGGGTTAATAATAAGCTCCCCCCCGGTTCCGACAGTCTGAACAACAGAAGCTTTCAAAACCTATTTAGTCATGCATCTTCACAGATGCAAATTCGATTCTACTGTGACCATTCAACATGGCCACCAATTGGGTTCATTTATTCCTAGCAAACGCGTAACCAAGTCTCGTTATTTTCAGTCAGTCCTCGCTTTTGCGATTTTGTCACTGTTTTGTTTACGATTTGCTACGTTCGTCAGAGCTTTCCTCGTGTACTTAAATCGTTGAACAAGATTACAAGAACACGATACAGCTCCTAAGAATCGCATGTTTACCTCGTTTACCGGCGTTGCTATCAAGTTAAACCATAGGTTAAACTAACCAACGGAACTGATAATTATTAAACTACATTACAAACTTACCGCAAATCGATGTTACCAACAGATTGTACCATAATTGAGCACCATAAAACGGAGCTTTTTACGCCTTTCCTACGAAGAACGTCGTTTTAATGTAAAGCACGATGCATTATGATGAATAAACATTAAAATGAACAGACTGCGAAGCGTTGTAATTAATCAAAAAATTGAATATAACAGCTTTGACGTGCCTATTGTTCTATTGTATTCTTGTCGTTGTTCAGCACAATACTTTTTGGAGATGAGCGAGTGCCCAAGTGACATCCAATGATCCAACCACAATTCTGTCATTGGCATTTCTACTGCTTTATTTTCATGGTCCAAAACCCACCAGTTCTCCGCACACCAAAGACAAAGACATGAAAGTCATGATAGTTTTTACTTGTTTCCAAAAGCAAAGTTCGTCTTGTTATAATTAGGCCAGTTTTTCTTCTTCGAGTGTGTTTCAGATTTGATGTTTGGTTTAGATAAGTTGCCCTATCTTATACGCTTTATCCATGGGAGTGACACAGCAAACCGCGAGTTATGTAACCGCCAAGCATAAAACAAACCGATTTGGTCGATGTTACCGCGAGTTTTAATTCCAAACGGTTTTATACACTTTCGACTATATATGCCTATCGATTTCCACACAAAACAAACACAAACTCCCAATGTAATAGACAACAACGTACAGTTTATTGAATATATATAAAAATATTTTTACAGTCGTTGATGCGGAATAATCAAGCCCACAAAGAGAGGACAATATATGTTTTTCGATTATATATATTTTTATACAACAAAATTACAACATTGATTATGTAACTTCTGAACATTATTTCATTTTCTGTGATGTAATATACACTAAACTAACCGCTACATAAGGTTATGACAACAGCAAGAAGCTATCGGCCAAAACAACTTCATTTTTTGTGTTTCATAAATTAAGGGTGTATTTTGTAGTTGTGAAAAGGTTTGATTTCAGCAGTTCAACAATGTGTGGCTTTCCTAAGCTTTGCATGTCCCCAAAAAGGGTAAAATTCAAGCATTTCTTAATACTATGTCTTGCGAAATCCAAGGACTACCAGACATTAAACAATTGAAACTAATATCATAGAACACTAACATTCAGCTCTGGTGATTATTCAGAAATGGCTGTCATTACGAATATTATGAAAATGTGAATTTGCAGACTTTCGAAAAGTTGTTTATAAATATGGGTCTTTTAAAACCTTGTATTATTACTTTCAATTCAAGATTGGCATGCATATACGAGCCCCAGACTCCCGGTTGCTTAGTTGAGACACTCGTTTTAAATAATGCTTAGCTGCTGTTGTCATAAACCTTTTCATAAGAGACTACCTAAACTAACCTACGGCTACGATATATAAACACCGACACAATATCAATTTGAAATCATGTTTCCGACACGTGAACTTCGTCAGAAAGATTGATCAATACATTTTATCATTAATAAATTCGTGTATATATTATACTGGTCAAAAACGCGGACACAAAATATGAACCAGAACGGCTCAACCACAGTGTGCCGTTCAAAAAGCTCACGGGCTCATGCTACAACAACCGCTGTATCGACAGAACGTGGGCTCAACATACAATACCGCTTACCTAGGAGTTCGCAGTCAAGAAAAAACCTCGATGACACCGCAGCTTCAAAAACCGCTGGCTCAAGCTTCGATAATTTGAGGCAGTTCAACAGTCGCCCGTATGAAGATGGCGTCATCGACAATGTATTTGCGCGCCCGAATGGTGTCATGGGATGCGAATTGTGGGTAACCAAAACCGGGGGTGTTGGAACTCTTTTTAGGCCGATGGAAGCTCGTCCACTTGGGTCTGGCGAAAAATTCTGGCTTATATGACGTTGCTTACTCGCGTCTGAGGATTGCTCGATCAACGTTAGCGAAATGTCTCCGAGGAAAGGCCACTTTAAGAGAGAATCGTACTCTCCGACTAGCAGCCGAACGTACAGCGAGAGATGCGTCCCCTCCCCGCTCCCGTTGCCGTTCGGGAAGGCAACGATCATGAACTTGTACCCATACTGATCTGTATAAAAAGGTGGACTGTGTATTTCGTAGCCGCTAATCTCTTTAGCGGTCTCTAAGCACGCCGAAAATTTTTCGATTTTCCACAAAAGCTGACCTTGGTTAAACGGCTTGCAGTGTTTTACAACAGCCTGTAGCTCGTTGATTTCTTTCGATTGTTTGACAGACAACTTACACATGAGATTCAGATGTTCCTTCATCTTGTTCTCCAAATGACGGTTTATATTGGATCGGGGACACTAAATAAGATAAGGAAAAATCGAATCACGAGTCATATTTGTAATTCTAATACATGCTTCAAAGATAACCGGTGATAAACAATGCCATTCATGAAAATCTTTTCCACGAGTTTTGGGCTGAAATATTTCATCCCAAATATAGCCTCCCAAGTATATTTCATTCTATATCCAATAGAACGAAAATAACTATTCTTTATATTACAAGACTTCAGGCAGCAAACTATTTAAATTATCCTTGAGTTTACTAGCCATATACTTCTATGTTTACACAAGAAAATCTTCTAAAAAAGAAAATCAAGAAAATCGTGTTTATGATAACTACCTTATGGCCACATCCAGCGAATTTAAACGGACAGACTTCCAAAATCGCAGAACAATCGGTCGTGACATGACGGTTGATCTGCGAAGGACACAATGAGCAAATATTACACAAAGTACTTGATTAAATACTTAAAGAAGCCCAACATAAAAATGGAATGAAATATTTCTTCTCTGTACCTCTTCTCGTGGAATCTGACGAACGCCACAGCTATTCGGACAACTCAGAGGGAACCTTGGACAATCTCTGAGGTGCTCCTAGAAGAATGGATTGGAACAAATGTTTATTTAACGTTTAAGAAGAAAATAGTAACTAAGTCCACTTTACTCAGGTAATATATTATATTACGGGATTGAATACAATTCGCAGAAAGACACAAACTCGAGACATCCTGTATGAAGCATACTCAACAGCACTTCGAGCTCAGAGTTTAAGATCTACGAAAAATCTATCTATTGAAAGAGCGTCCTTTATTGGTTAACTATGTTAGTAAGTTGGTCAAGGCAATGGAGCCTTTGGTAAGGATTTCTGATTCTAACCTGTAGTTCAGAATGGCCAACTTGTTTGTTACAATACTGACAGAGCGTCAGCCGTTTCGGACACTCATCAGACATGTGCGTCGTGATTTCCTCGTTCGCCATCAGAGCACCGCAGACACACGTGAACAGCTCGCGTTCCGTAGATGTCTGGGGAGGAGGGTTATTCGAGGAGCCCATGTAGACGACCTGACTTCCGTACTCCGGTCGCCGACGCAGCGGCGGAGTCTGGGACGGAGGAGGGGAATCCGGGAGGTCTGGGGCGGTCTCTTCTTCTTGCAAGGTTTCCTGGATATTTATCTCGCGACCGAAAGAGGAGTTGCGAGACCTGCGTCGATTGTGATTGTGTCTCTTGTTTCCTGAATGGAAGAAAATGATTTTAAGATAAGAAAAAAACGAGGTGCACCATTCCAAGAATCAATTTTCAATTCAGAATATTTCAGAGAATTTTTCAAAAGCTTGACCAGTCGTAGCGTCAGCTCGATGGATGGAACCTGGGGGTAAGTATGAGTATAATCAACGTATCCCCAAACGTACCTGTGGTTCCATGCCATTCCTCAATCCTTCGTTGTGGTATATCGGTTCTGCCAACGATTCAACGCGCGGGATTCCGACGCGGCGCGCATTGGCTGGTCCTGGGACAAGCTACGGGGTTGGTTAAATGAGTCATGTTTCGAACGACCAAGATTCTTGATATGTTGACGTAATTTACTCGCGGTCGAACTGTTTTCTGATTTGCCGCAAGATCGGGAATGTTTCTGCAATTGCAAAATAGTCAGGAATTGATCTAGTGTTACTACAGGAGGAAACCTAAACTAAACTAACTTTATTTATACTGGATAGCTTTATCAGTTCTAAACTGTTCTTCCTAGAGGTCCAGTAAGGATCATCTCTTATTGATCCAGTGTTACTACAGGAAGAAACCTAAACTAAACTAACTTTATTATACTGGATAACTCTATCAGTTCTGAACTGTTCTTCCTAGAGGTCCAGTAAGGATCATCTCTTATTGATCCAGTGTTACTACAGGAAGAAACCTAAACTAAACTAACTTTATTTATACTGGATAACTCTATCAGTTCTGAACTGTTCTTCCTAGAGGTCCAGTAAGGATCATCTCTTATTGATCCAGTGTTACTACAGGAAGAAACCTAAACTAAACTAACTTTATTTATACTGGATAACTCCATCAGCTCTAAACTGTTCTTCCTAGAGGTCCAGCAAGGATCATCTCTTATTGATCCAGTGTTACTACAGGAGGAAACCTGAACTAAACTAACTTTATATTTATACTGAATAGCTCTATCAACTCTTCTTACCTCATGTTCCTCGCGAGGAATATTCTGACGACAGTTTGGACAGGATACGTAACGATTAGAGCAAAGATTACGAACGTGTTCTTCAAGTTGGTTCCGCATGAGTTGCACCCCGCACTTGTTGGAACATTCAATCACACTGTGTTCACAAGTTGACAGGTGGCTCTGGATGGTCAGAAAAAAACACTTGTCAAAAAATATAGTGATAAAGTTGCTCTGCTATCAGACAACTACGTTTCACTGTAGGCTTGGTTCATAGTTTCAAAAGTTCGGGAACAGATTGACAGCTTTTTGGTAGTCCGCCAACTTGGATAGCGTGAGCTTTTTATTTAACCGATTACTGGAAGTCCTGGGAACTTTAAAGTGTTCTGAAATCACTGACGGAAAGAGAACCTGTAGTGCTATAAAATCTCAGTTGCATTCCATGTTTGTTTGCTATTTACGAACGTTATATTAATTCGCCACCAAAAATGGCGAAAGGTTTGACGAAAAGATGACGTCATTTGCAGGATCGCAATACAGAGAGGAAAATGACACATTCATATTTTTACCTTCAGCTTTCTCAAAGGTCCTTTCCACTTGCAGCCCTGGCTGCAATATCGACAGAAGACTGTCAAAGACTGGATCTTTTTACCAGACGATTCATCGAGATAGACCTGGTTTAATATGGATACAGAAAATCAGAAATAAATAACACTCTAGAAAGTTTTCAACACAGGTAACATATATGGAAATAATTGTGTAAAAAGCCAAGTTCAATATCTGAAAAGCATTCAAAACAAGTTTATGACGATATCGGTCATCATAACAACATAAAATGCCCATATATAAGGACGTAAGGTATTGTTCTTTCAGACTCCGTCAGTTTTGGTTCTACAGTAGTGCATAAATCCAGGCTTCGTTTTTGATAAATATATTTGCTATATTCAGTGTACTGTTAGATCAGTGAAGACCTTGGCGCGTCCAACGTGTGCCGTACCATACTGCTTTGCGAGCACGTTTGCCGAAAAAAGTGATATTATTAAGTGTGACACATCGGAGAGTCTTTTAATCAAGATGAAGAATATTGGACCAGAATGTTTATTAAAAAAAAACATTCAAGATATTTATCCATACACGCAACAGTGTATAATATGCAAGTTTGGAGATTCATGCCTTAATTGTGTTGAGAGTTTTTGGATTCGAGAGACCTTAGATGATGTACGAAAAATTCTTGCTCTTTGATTCCACCCCACGCATGAAAATATTGCAAAATTCAAAGCGAGAGGCCTCAAATCGTGACAAGAGATGTCTTATATTGCAATAGCGGAGTCTGACTAATCAGTTGAAATATTTCGTATCGCTTGCCAGAAAAAACAGGGGAAAATATACCAGAAAGAGTCTTTTGTCCTCAAGAGTATATAAGCCCGAGAGTCTAGTCATCCAGCCGTTACAACTATTGCTCAGCAAATATGGCGCCGATACGTAGGTTGCTCTGCAATTACAATTGAGTGTCTTCCTAATTTTCGTTCCTTCTTCGCGCTAAATTTACCCATTTGAGCAATAAATAGCAAGTTGTGCAATACGTAATTACGCCCATGCGTTGGAACAGGGGAATAGAAAGCTCTGGGTCGAATATTTAAAAAGATCTTTTAACAAAAGTCTTTAGCAAAGATCGAGCAAGTTCTAAGCTTTGTATTAGATGCGAGGAGTCAGACTTTGTAAAATACCAATTCAATAGATTTCTATCGTAAAGTACCGCCAGAGTTAACTAGCTATATTAATTAATAAAGATGTTTTGTGTTTTGCAAGATATTCGCTTTGAAAGATGTCGGTTCTAAAACTGCTTTTATCCTGTCAAATTTGGACAATGAGTATAATTATTTCATTTACATATATGTTACAAATCTCATAATACCCAATATGTTAGCACAATCGCTTAATGAAACGACATCAAAAAGCAAACTATTGAATTGAGAAACACATAACTTCCTCACAAGCAAAATAACTTCACACCTCATTAGAAATTCCTTGTTTGTATCTAATACTCATTAAGCATACGAATCTCAAGGATCTATTCTTTGTTAAAGCGACTTAAAAAAGAGGGGCCAACATTTCTCTCTCTGAAGTTGCAAAACAATCGTCGAAAAGGGAAAATTGACGTCCTTTCCTTAAACACATTTATACTAGAATATGAATATGTACTTGCTTTATGAAGTATTATGGTAGATTACATATGTGGAACGACCAAGAGCTTTCTAGGTAGCTTAAACCTCGTTATGAACATTTGCATTTGGTCTAAAGAACTCTTTGTAGTAAATAACTTCAAGTCTTATGACTTCTAAAACAACTTTAATATATTTCAAAAGCAAAGGTTGCAAATAGTTTCTTTAAACTAAACAGATCATGGCTGTATCGATGGAAGATCTTGATCAACACGCTCAAAACTAGCTTTTTATAGAAACGATATTGTAATAGTCAACTATATTATAATATATGGATACATGTGACGAATTCGGAACAGCCACCAATTTCATGCAGCTTCAGTAAACACACTTTGTAATTACAACTATATTTGCTATGCAGCCAACATGCAGGAACCCACATGAGGAATTTCAAGGAATTTAGATCCCAGGGAAGTTATCTTGGCGGATTGTAGCTATCTGTATTCTTTAATACGTGTAATTGAAAAACTCCAAATATATAAACCGACAGCATATACTTTCTAAACACCTTACCCCAATGTTGTTTTCGATACACCACGAACGGACAGAAAGCATTTTTTAATCCCAAGAATAGAATCCAAAATAACACAGAGCTGAAACTGGAATGCACAAATAGCCAATGCCAATTCACCCTTTATAGGAAAAACTTTTTAACAGACGAGAGTTTTGAATCGGCTCTCGAATATCGACTTTCGGTATACGCAACGTATAGAGAGAGGCAGACAACTCTGTTCATTCAATGATTACCACAACGCATGCAACGGCTGGTTGTGTATGACCAAGGTGTTAAGCTACGGTGTATTTATATGGTGCAATACTGACTCGAGTGCTGGTGCGTTTCCTGATATTGTCTCTGTTTGTTAAATGCATATTAGCACGCTTCCTTTCCTAAGAGGATCAAGGATCTTTATATAGATGATAACAGCGTGCCCTTCAACAACGAGCAAATATATCCTTCAGTTTGTTCCGCAAATGATGCATATATCAGCTGTAATAACTGGTTAATATCACAATAACCTCGACTAATGACCTTCTAATAACAATACCCTGCCCCGAAAAGAATTTCTCAACAAAATCAAGAACTCCACACCTCTGAAAGGGATTTCCTTTCTACGCATTGCGAATTACGACAATTAAAGACAATTCCAGATGTATATTCATGCAAAATCTATACGTTTATAATATTTAATTGTACTAAATTCATTCCTTAATTGTCATATATAATTTGGGATTCCATCAAAATTGGATTTATCAATAAAATAAACTTTATAATAGCTTCGTTTAACAATCAAAACTTTACAAACCTGATTATGCTTTATTGCGTATAATCTGTGTTTAAATAAACGAGACATCGCTAAATGTAGTTTATGCATTTACAGTTTATACCATATTCATAGTTTATATCATTAAATGTAGTTTAGTATGCATCTGCCTAATATATACTGGGGAAAGAGAAAGGTCCTCGTCTTCTCGATATTTCTTTCTGCGTCGTTTCGTCAACAGACTGAACAGGTACTAGCGTTTTTGACAAAGGCTATTAGTTCGAGACGACGAAACTCTTCCTGTATATTCTAAACAGGTGCCGAGTCATATTTTATGAGAAGTTATTTGAATGAGCCGCCACGCACGCTACTTTTTGTTATGTTTTAGTATAGTGTCACTAAGTGTGAACTTTCTACGGCGAATTGACGACAGAGCGCGACGATTTCCGACTCGACATTCTTCGTCGTAATATTCCAGTGTTAATCCCAGGAATTAACGATGTTAGTACGTCAAAACATCTCTTCCTGGTTTCCGCAGTAACAATTCGTTTTCAAAATCATTTCAGCGTTTCTTAATCGTCGTTTCTTAATGCATTACGTCTTTCCCGTATCGTCATAAACCCCCCGCGGTCATCTAACCTAACACATCCTATTCTTACTGTCATGGATATTGCTAAATGATCTTGTAAATGAATCTAACATTGCAGATTGATCTAACATTGTGATATACCTTCAATTCAATATATCTCACTGAGTTTTACAGATAAGAGTGAAATATTATATCCCGTTCTCTGTGAAAAACAACCTCGAAAAGACAAAGCTCACAGGTCATCTGCCTCTTGTTGATATTTCATTATCAAGATGTCCTTGAAATTAGTTTTTGACTCCCCTTTCACGCACGCCATTCCCTTAACTTCCTTCAAGGAAAAATTTTCCAAGTTGGGGACTTTTGCATGCTAGCATAGCAAATACCAAGCAGGAACAAGCCTGTGCGGCGTAGAAAATTTTTCCGGGTTTCTGAGATCGGAATTTGAGAAGAGGGATTTACGCTCATGTCAACAGCGCGTACACGGATACGTCATCACGGCGAGGCTCATTGAGGTAGAGAGTATGTACCGGGCAGCCTGTGTGACCACGCGTGGAAATCCAACTACAATAAATACACGCAGGAGCAACTCGCGGTAAAAACACGCGTCTCGCAGGGCTTCGGCTGATAGTGGACTGAGGACGAATCGGGCTACCGAAAATGCCTGATCACTGCGGGGTGACTAAAGGTGACCTTTGATCCAAACAACCAGGGACACCCCAATCGTAAGATCCATGCAAATAAATTCTACCTGCATTACCCCAGGTTTACTGAAATCTACAAATCAAAACTCCAACACCCAAATAATAAAGATAAAGTGATAAACATTTCTTAAGGTTCAATACGGATTTTGTGTCCTAAAGTTTTAATTTTTATGTAAACATCAAGAAGAAACACGTAAACAAGAACAGCATGCTAAAATTCGACCCATGGTCAGCGATGATCAATCCACAGCCTACCGAGGCCAGAGTAAAAACAGTTCAATAATTTACCAGCGTTTAAATGCAAATGAAATGAATGAAAAGACATCAAAAACATTGGAGACTCGTTTTGTTCCGGGTCATATTTTCCGGAGAACAAAACACAAATATAATGGTATTATTTGGCATGGTGTTTTAAGATTGCGTGGCCATTCGATTAAATTTACGTCCATGTCTATGTAATGCCAGCTTAAAATTGATAAATGATTGAATAACCGGAATAATCCTTGTGTTAAGAATGTAAAATCTATAAATACTAGCATCGACTTACCGAGAGAGGTAAATTTCTTGTTTCGTGTTCGGCTGTCGTTCACGAATGCTCAATTTACGGTTCGTTGTAATAATGCAAGCTGTGCTGATTTTTAAACGAGATAAGTTTCGAAGCTATAATGTTACTAATTTACTGCATGTGACATAATGACAGTAATTACTATAATGTCAGAAGGCACGGAGAACTAACGGTCAAGAGAAACGCCAAAAATATTCGTCTCGTAAAAATATTGCATCTATACCAAAGACTTTTTAATATCATACATGTGAGAGTACAGAATTTCGCTTACATTGAAGAAATAATTCTCACACAGATTTGAAAAGCATCGTTGACAGATGTGAGTCGAAATATTTTCCATATAAACAGCAAATGTTGTCAGCAGCCAAAGAGAAATATTCACCACATTCAATTCTCACAAAATAAGCATATTTCTGCATGTATGCAACATTCTTAGGTTAAAAAAAATTAAAAATTGCAATTTTGTTACTGATTTACTGATATGCATGTCTGTTGGTCGGTGGTACAAATTAATTTAACCCTCCGTAGCCCTCGGGCAAAATTCCAAATTATTTAATTTAATATTTACGACAGGATCACGGAAGATTGCTGTAAACAAATCAATTCAACGGCGGCCATGTTGAATTGCACAACAAGAATTTACTGTTAATAAGATGTCTAAAAAGGTTCTACACGCTTTTAGTTGTTCATAGGAACGGAGAATATTTCCCAGAAAGGAATTTTACTATCAATGGCATCCTATTCTTCATAAATTTGCGGCTGATTGAGTGATTAGGATCATCAAACATGGCCGCCATGCATACAATAATTCATTATGCCATGTTTAAAACGTTATAAAATTAATACTACGGTGTACTTAAACCTGTATCTCAGATGATACATAAGAAAGGAAATGTGCTTCACATCCGAACTAATTTAAAAGCAAGAATTAACTTAGTTCGTTATTTGACGTGTTTTATAAACACCTCCGGTTTCAAAAGGATTAATTTTACTTGACTAGACTAAGGACGTCGGAGAATGGCTGATTGCCAGAGGTTTTTGAGATTCCGGCTGAGCCTTTGTTTATATCGTTGATTAAGTTTTGAAAATAGTGGAATAAACTATAAAGTTCCCAGAGAAACGCAACAAACACAACCAGTTTTGACGTGAGATCTTTTGTATAGAATCACTAGAACTAGAACTACATGTTATAAAACTGACTACAGCAGTTTACACCAAAGAAGTTCCCTAAATCTGTACGCAAATATTTGCCCTCGTTGTAAAAAAGATATGAAGAATGCAAAACGCGGAGAGTTTTCTGTGTCACCCCGTGGCCACCCACTAACCGTGCGTTAAATTTTAATTTGTTATAATTTTGTTAAGTCTTTGGCCCACATGTGAAGAATATAATTGCCTTTCATTGTTCTGACCATCACGTCTGCAGTTTTTTATGCCAATAGCTATTCATCAGTGACAACGACAGGGTAAATTATATAAATATCATATACAACAAATTTAAAAAAAAACACGATGATGTAATATAAACTATATAACACCGTGCAATATCACAAGGACGTTTTTCTCCTGAAATCTTCCTTTCTCATGTAAATAATGAACTCGTTTTTAATTTTATTTGCCTGAATGTTCTCTCATATAAAACAGGTTTGCCTCGCAACGTGTTTTTTTCATCCTATAATATTAGTTTCTATCTTTCTTTAACAACTTTAATAAACTGAATTTGCTCTTAAACACGAATAAGCAGGTCGTCTTTCATGACTGGTTTTTGAACAAAGACCTCTTGCAAAGAAAGTATTTCGTCGCGTTGCTAAAACTTGGCAACGACACCTTGCCAAGAAAAAAATGCTAATCTTACAGAAATTATACTTTAGAGACGTATAGTTTACAATCTGAATGTCGAAGTTTGAATCATGCACGCATTATAATACAGCTTTTATGGGAAAGAAAACAAGTACATCATGCAGTAAACTACAATTCTGATATCTATCTATATACAAATTCAACACTGTACGCGACCACCTATGTTAGTGTGTTTGCACATTATGCAGGGAATTTAACTTGATTCTTAGCATCAACACAATTTTCTCACCCCTTTGTAATAGCACCCAACTGTGTGATGTTGCATGAGCACACCAGGAAATGAATCTATATTAATCCGCTTAAAAAGATCAACTTTGTGCAAAATCTCATTTCGTTTGAGGTAAAAATTCTCATAAAAAACAATGACGTTAAATGGGCTTCCGAAGACAATTGAACGCTGAGAACTTCACAAATCTACCGCAATTCATTTAACATTGCCATTTCTCAAACAGAGCCAAGTTGTACAAGGATTAAACACGCGTATATAAATGAAGTTTTTGACCGACTCCATGCATGTGAATAGCTGTTATCTTCGAGCATGTTTGGCAAGAAAAATAACGAAGAAGTCAAAGAGTATTTATGCTCACAACTCGATCGTTTGTCGACTTGAATATAGCATAAACCTCTTCGTTTGAGAAGTTGCTTTGCAAATTACAAAAGGTTCGCGGCGTTGTAACGGCCACGACAATCAAATCAAATGTAAATAAACAAAAATTAAATGCTAGGAAAATATATACAACAAATATTTAGCCGTTTCTAACCTGTGAATGCTTGACTTCGAGCTGGTCAGCAGGGCATCGTAACTCCTGTTCGCTCCTAAAACAAAAATGCATGCATGTCAACACAGAGAAACTACGCAGTAACATTGCTATTGGCTATCAACAGCAGGCGATTGTCAAAACAACTCACATCACGCGTGAACTCGCAAAAAAGGGCCCTAAACAGTTTCGCAAGCACTTGGAAACATGAGGACATCTTATATAGCTTGGCTATACACTGTTTTCCAACCCAACTTTAGCCGTTTGCCGAAAGGATTTCAATTGCTGTTGCATGCCATAAATTTGACACAAACTGTTACCACGAAGGTGAACCATGTTTCTCTTTAAACCCTGATCGAAATATGAAGATTTAAGATTCAGAAATTATAAATATACACTTCATTTTTTTAATTCTGACAGAAAGCATAGAGATTTTACCATGATGAGGTAACCTAAACATTGTAAGTACATAAAAAACGACATGACAGGCATTCAAACAATGTCAATATTAACATTAATCAGATTCTTCTCCAACACGCAAATAATGGACGCTGGATTAGAAAAAAGGCATTTAAAGACCCTTACGAAACATTATATATACTCAAAGCCTTGTAGAATCTCTCTAGCCTTACAGTTAAAAATTACTACGTCTAAGAAACGTCTATGCTGATGTGAATGAAAAATAATCCACCATATTTTGCCTCAAGAGATACAAGATTTAGCATTAGCGGCATGAAAGTTAAATCCATTTGACAACACTGGATTATATTGTTTGTTCCTAGCCACAATAGATTTATTTTAGTTTTGGTTAGTATATTAACTCTCTAACTGGCAACGAACCAAGATTGGTCCTGTAAGTTTTTTAAACAGAAATCCTAGAGAGACGATAATTTTGCAAAATTACACTTTCAAATGTTCCTCCTGAAATTGAATTCAGTCCAAGTATTTAAAGACACAATTGTCTATTTTGATATTTTTAGTCATATTGTTGATGTAAAAACTTGTTTCTTTTGGAAAATCGGCTGTAAAGTGATTATTTGTTAGCCAATTTCCTAAGCCCCCTCAAAAATCACATTTCAAGCCACAAAAATAGTTCTTTTCATGAGGATAAGTGACCTTGCTCACACCATAAGAAGATTTAAACCACAAAATATCTTCAACCACACTGTAGGATGTGCTTTGCACAGAAGACAATTGTTGAAGTATAGCATTTTGTGACATAGAAGTTTTAAATCAAATTGAATCATAACCTGTGTGGGGATAAAATTAATTTAATGAAGAAGGAAAATGCAATTTGATGAAGTGCGAATTTTCAATTTAAACAACCAAATCACCTGGGCAAACACGACTTCTGTACAAATTAGACTTGTATTCCTAATGCACCGTTGTCCTTCAACAGGTCAATGCTAAAGATGAGCTAATGTGATCAATGGAGACAGAAATTTTTCACCTGTCTTCATTTGAGAATAGTGCTTTCAGTCTAATCCAAGAAGGAGCCAATAGAATCCAATGCTTGACAGACTAAAACTGTTTGCATCACCATAATTGGGTTGCGGTTTATGCACAAACACATTGTGCAGATACGGAGCCATTAATCCATTAATCAGTGATGCACCTAACTTAGTGAAATGTTTTTGTATGAATCTACCAGCTGGTAATTGTTCTGCTTTATCATTGTGGTCTGTCAAATAATTTTACATATAATATTGAAATGCAAGCCAACTGTACTAAAGCTATAAACTTGGTATTCTATCATTTAGTCTTTTTATGTGTAAACTTTGGTCAATGTTTTACATTAATCCAGCTTCAACAAAGACTGTTCGAAATATATAGTTTAACGAAATTATCACCATAAAATCTTAAACATGAGATTTATGCAGGCAATTCATTCAAAATAGCAGGGTCTCAGTTAATAGCTATGTACAGTAATCAGGAAGTACTGTACATAACCTGTACTGACTTAAAAATGCAAGAATCGATTGATGGTGATTGCTTCAAAGTCCTCTTAATATCTCTTTCTTGATATGCGAGCAATGGAGTCCCTTAATACATCTGATTCTAACCAGATGTCTATTGTTTAAATTTCTGCTTGATCGTATATTGAGAAATAGCTTACTTTGCAGTTCCAAACCCAATCACAGCATGTTAATACAGAGGTGGCTATATCCGAGGGGTGTCCTTAAAGAGGAATTTTGCTTTCGCATCATCAGACTATAGATACAATATCAAGATACCCCAGTTACATCTGTGTTTTCCTTCCCAAACTTGGGATATTGTTTGCAATAAAATCTCAAGTCAATATTTTTATAGCCAAATAATTCAGTACTTCTATAACACACCTTTATGAATCAAATGTGGTTAAACCCACACACATCTTTCTGATTGTTCTATGTGGGTGGTTATGCATACTTTCTGTCAACGCCTGATATAAAATACCCACATCCCATTAACAATAACCTCAAGAAACACTTTGAAAATACAAACTTGAATAATACGAAGACCTTAATTCTCCCAAATAAGGATTTAAATGCAGCATATAATAGTTTAACGAACTATACATTGGATTGGGAAGCTCTAAAGCGTGTGATAATAAGTTTTTAAGCGAGGGAAACGCTTAAGATTTCCACTTATTTGCCGTCAAATAAATCATATTCTCGAAGGACGTCGACCATTCATTGGAATTAACATAACACTTTCCCATGACAATTACAAAGCTACCCTAGTTTATCTCTGACCTTTAATCATAATTTAAACGCGCTCAAACAAAAGACCGAAAACAAAAATAGCTTTCTTTTTGTTCGGTATTTGTAGAAGGAATATATCTGGCCATTAAACTAACAAACGATGTACTTTAAAGCAACGTTTTGCGAGCGGAAAATGTTTGTAAACAATATCGCAAGGGCAGAGTCGAAATCAAATTACACAAGTAAAACTACTCGAACAATTATAAAAAGATCACGAAATTTTACCGATCACACTAAAAGACTAAAGACAGATAAATTATCTGACATCTCACATAGTAAAACGACAGGACAATCGCACAATTCCGGTTTATTCAAAAGGTATGCGCTCATGCATTCGATTGCTGCTTAAAAAACAATATAAACGATTTACAATACAAGTGTTTGAAATATAACTTTAATGCTCAACTCTCCTATCAGACTTTGTATAACACGGTAGCGATGTTTTGTACGTAAAACTTACGTGAAGGGTTCAAAATGATCGTTTAGGCAGGATTCACAAAATCGGTGGCCACAGGACGAGATCTGTACTGGTTTTCTTAAAGGCAATCCGCACAGACCACAAAGTAGATTCTCTTTCACCGGACTACAAAAATTCGCATCAATCCCTGGCATATTTCAGCTTTGATCGCCGCTTTCTCGGCCACAAAATCCTCAACGATTCAACCCAAATTGTAGACCGTATCTCATTCTCTCCTTCTCGAAGGTTTTTAACGTTTTCTTACACGGTAAAATGCCTTTTAAATCGACAAAAACACTGCTGTTACAACCAAATGTTGAACGTATTAAAGTGGTATGCTTGAGCAACTTTAGTCTTCAATTTGCATACATTATGTTAAATAGTCACATGGTTCGTTCTGGAATGCCGGAATTTATTCTGTTTTGCATATTTCCCGGTCAGCATTTATGGCTACACAAAACCTTTACAATTTCAAATAACTTCTTAGACCAAACTTTAATTTACGCCCATTTCCCTTACCTTCACGACCAGCTCGATACGAATGCATGATACCCCGCGACTGACATGACATTTGCCACGTACGGATTTTCGCTGATCGCCGTAATTTATTCAAGCTATTTTTACTTCCATAATTACATTAGATGTATCTTGTTTATCAGACTATCACTATCAGTATCAGTTTTTGTCAGTTTTAAGCAGGAAGTACCAGCTAAAAATTCCACGACACTTTGTTCATAGATATCTCTGAATCAACTTAATTAAACTCTCAGTCTGTCGCTAAACCATTGTATCGAAGTCTGTGCAAGCTTACGGATGCGCGGTCCCCACACTTTCCGCCTCATAAACGCGTTATCAAAATGGTCCAAGCTTTGATCAAACCTGGCCGTTGTGAATGTGAATTTCAGAATTTTATTATGACTTCTATATTACAATATACTTGCTCGTGCATGCTTTAAATACAGTATACTCAATCGTTTATATCGTCTTTAAATATATCTCTAAGATAAATGCCTGAATATTTTACCACGGGAGGTACAATTAAAGCGCTTATTGGATATAGCGCTACAAAGGCCTGTTAAATCCAGCTTTCGAATTAATTATCCTTTAAGATAGACAAAAAACATACAAAGTATCGCGTATCACAAAAGTAATCCGCGCGCCAACTTGGGTGGCTAGATCCTCCTTTTTGTTAAACCATTCGCAACAAACCAATGTTAATTTATTTACTTTGGTTGCATTCATTGTTTGTTTGCCACCCAAAATGGCGGAAGGCTACAATTACGGATAATGATCACAGCTGCAAGGCCGCATACTAAATTTAATAAACTATAAACACTGGGATAAGCTAAAGCGTTGTTAATTACAGGGGGGACGGTGCTTAGACCGGTACAATTGTGGGACAAGGGTGAAGGGTGCTCCATGCGTCCCCCAGCGATTCTCTATAATCAGTCGTTAGACACAAGTTCTAAAGTACCAATGCATTGAATGAGAATCCAGTCGGTATGCAGAGGCTGAGGAAGATACGAATTTTACACCAAGGAAACAAACAACAACATATACATACTTCTATGTCCTGCATAAAAGCCGAAAATATCTACAAATAAAATACTGGAAAACGTTTTTCAGAACAAATCAAGCTTCATGGCTCGCTCATGCCATCGCAGTCGACGACAACTTTGATGAAGATTGTGTCATCCTTGAGGTAATTCCGCGTATCGACGTCATCGTGGCGGACAAATTTTGCGCCGCCAAAGCTGGCGTTCTTTTCCATCCTTGGTCGCCCCAGGAACGGCTCGTTCTCCGCGCATGGATTGGGTTTGATGCTGAACTTGATGTGTTTACGTTCACTTGCGTCGTCATTTTGATCAAGGAGAAAGAATGTAACTCGGTAATCAAATGGCCATTTCAAAAGAGCATCGTAGGCGCCTGTGAAATAATAAAACTTGCAGCTCAAGTGAAACACTCGAAAATAACCTGAACAGATTCTAAATTTTGCCTCCAGAATTTAATTTAGGTGCAAAACTAGCAGTTTAAACACAAAGCTATTTCATTCGGGCTCTGAGAATAATTTTCTTGGACGAAAGACGGTTGTTATTTGATTATATTTGTTTGCCGTAGCGCCAAGTCGAGTCAAAACATGGTCTGAAACTGGCCCAAAATTTTTGCCCAATACTAGGTATTTTTAAGTCTACAAGTACTCTCAAATTGCTTCTGAAAGGACCATTCTTCTAGCAAAATCTTTCAGGATTTGTGTCAATGATAATTCTTACTCACTTACGCTTATCTTAGCACATAATTGACAACTAATAGTAGCCTTGAAATACGCCAAATTTTAACCACCTGCCCGTGCTTCTCAGCCTCTCTGAAGTTCGCTATTATCACTTGACTTGAACGCCTTACCTTTCAAAACACTGACGAAGATTGACATGTGAGTTCCTTTGCCCTTGCCGTCCCCGTTCAGACAGACGGAAGCGCACAGCCTGTAGCCATGTTTGGATGTCGTAAAAGTCGGACTGAAGAGCGTCTCCAAATTTCCCGCCTTCGACTCCTTGAGTTTGCGCGCGTAGTCCTCGACGCGCCAGATCATCGCGTTGTGCGCGATCTTCTCGAGATCTCCCACGCGGCGGTCCATGTCTTTGATCATGTTCACGTGTTCGACAAGGTTTCCATCGTGCTTGTCCAGCCGTTCCTTGTTCAGCATCGCGAGCCCGTAAATAAGTTTCACGTGATTGATAATTTCGCTTTTGTAATGTTTGGGTAGTTTCTCACGGCTGCACTGTAGAAATAAGTTAATATAGTTCAGGTTTTGTTTAGTTCATATTCAACTACACTGCTTATGAAAAACTCTTGATAAATGCAACATTAATCTCGGAAATGTTAGCCCTGAAATTATATCAATGTTGTGGCAAGAATTACAGCCCGCCTCCCTAAACTGTTGCTCTACAATCCCGTTGTCGAATGAATTCACGCTATATCGCTGTTTCTGAAGAGAAAAAATGAATATGCTTCTTTCGACAAGGGTATAGACAAAATTCGTAGTATACTTACTCGATGTTCGCAGCCAATGCCTTCATAATCACAGTTAATCTTTGTTTTTGGACAATTTTCTTCAATGTGCTTGTCGAGCTAAATAAAAGCAAAACAGCTGTGAAAACAAGCAAGCACCTTGTCCTTGTTAAGCCGAGGTAAGAACTTCCTTTTCCTACCAGGATATGACCAGAAATGACGGTAAAGAACTGGAGCTTTTTGTCAAATAAAAATCCATTTCTCGGTTGAAAGCGAGATATACGACGACCGAGATTCTTCCCAACACAAAACATTTCCTCACCTCATCTCTCGGAATGCTCAAAGTTTTGTCGCATTTATTCGGACAAGGCAGTGGGATTTTAGGGCATTCTTGGATGTGCTCCTTCTTATCTTCTCTCAAATGTCTATCGTCGCAGTAGGAACAAGCGATGATTTTTTTCGGACAATCCTTGTCAAGATGTTTTTGCAAGAATCTTTTCTGGAATTTTGCCCCACAATCGTTGATGCAAAGGATATCGCCGTATTCACAGTTCTCCAAATGTTCCTGTACAAGAAGACGACGTTATTTAAAGAATATTATCGAGACTATATATAGCTCCTTATAAACTGTGAATATTTGCAAAGTAAAATGGAAAATATCAAACCTGTATTTGTTGGTATTCGCCTTCCCATTTGCAGCCCCATTCATGGTTGGAGCACTTCACCTCCAAAGCAAGAATTTCCTTATTGAATGCTTTGTCGACCGTTGCCTGAAGAAGTTCGAATAAAATATTTTATCAGAATATTCTTGAAATTTTGCATGTTGAATTGATGCATAACTTCAATCATCAATTTGTAGGAACACCACGTGTATTTATTATAGATACAGATCTTTCTCTAAGGCCTTCATCAGTGCGATTAATTTTGTGGCCGCGGGATAGAGCAGTGAACTGGAAGGAGAGATGGGGAAGAACGGGGATAGAGAGGAAGAAAAGGAAGATAGTGAAAGAGGTTGATGGAGAATAGCTCGTTTATTGCGAAAGAACTTCTGAAGGGTACAGTGAAGTGCATCTTCAAGCGAAGTCGAATTGTTGCTCGAGTATAAAAGTATATATATAAAAGTATAAAACATCAACTCACTGAGTCAACGTCAATCTTTCCGCGGTCTACAGGGCATCTTCTGTTGTCAGATCTACAAATATTGGAAAAATAACGAGAAATAATTAAAGTCGGCATACTAAAGATATAAAGAATCAAACGAGTATCTTCTAGTTCTATGATATTAACATCCTCGTGAGAAGCCGCTAGCTTCGGCCGGAAACGTTGATAAGATCACAGGTAATAGAAACTGATCAAAAAACTTCCTATCAACTATGTTACAATACGAGCCAATATAAGTTAAGCAGGTGAGCACTTCGGCGAAATTTCAATTGCACGGAATCACGTTTCCAGTTTTAATGAAAAAAAACGCGAGAGATTGTGAGAGATAAGCCGCGAAAAGTCGATAATTTTGAAGAGTAGTATAAAGTGACTCGAAAGGGTATAAAAGTAATCTGAAAATTCGAGGGAGCTTCACGATTAACAACGGCAATCTTGTTTTCAATTCAAATTCGTTCAAGTAATCAAGATAGCTTTATCCCTGCCGATTAACAATTCGTTCATATATACCGAAAAGCTAGAGTGTTTTCAGAACGTTAAGAGCGGCACCTATTCCTCTTTAAAATAAATATTTATTAATAATTGAATTTAAAGGTTCCTAACAAATATTAATCCTATTTAATGCATTTGACAACTTACACAAAATAGCTGCAATGAAAACGCAAATAAGTACGTTAGGCCGAACCTCAAGTTTCAACAAACCTTTGTTGTTGTCGAGAGTTTCGTGAAAACGTTTTGAATAAAAAAAGACATCTGATCATGAGGTAATTTTCATATTCAACGGCTTAGCGAGGCGATAGCAATTAAAACATTACAACATGTATTATCCAACGTATACATTATATAATAATCATTGAATTACAAAGATATTCTACGGCTTCTTCATCTATTTTCAAAGTATTTTACTCCGAAGACTGAAGTCATAAATTTGAAATGGCTATGTGTGTCTTGTTTATGCCGTTGACGCCGTTGTCAATTTAATTCTGTGCCGGCCTCGCGAATCTAACAGTTTTGAGGCTTTTCTTCGCTTAGTAAAACCGATTACCTTCGGAACGATATGAAGGTTTTCTTTACGTTCAAGAATCGAGAGGCTAGCTCCAGTCAAATTCACAAACAAAAGAAACTTTATGCCAATATCTACGTTATTTTGCTCCATTCAAG